AGCTTGCTCATTTTTCATCATTGTCACTGGATGAAGAGCAGATGAAGACATTTTGTCCGGCAATATTCCTGGCTTTCCAAAATTAACTGCATCAACTCCTGTTGTGCTTACAGAGGGTCGAGTCAGAGAGTCGGAGTTAGAGCAAACTCCAGGTGCAGTCCTCATGGCCTTTTTCATGCGAATGCTTTGTAAGAGGTAGGGCAAGTTCTCGGCAGTGGTCTGCTCTTCGGAGTAATTTAGAAGTTCGTCCAGGTCCGCTTTCTCCAGTCCATAATTTTCTAAGATGTTCCCAGCCAATTGTGGATTACAGTCCGAGTAACTGGGTTGAGAAGAAACTCTTTGATCTTCTGCTCGAGTGGCATAAACAGACACATTTGATGCCAATTTTGAGAAATCATCGGTCGTACTCTTGTGGTCTGGCAAAAAGTTGTAGGAGCTACAGCTGGTGCTCGAGAGTTGATGCCCATATGAAGCTGACATCTCTGGGGCTGAAATGGATAAGGTTTCTTTTTGGGTGATGGTAAAGAACGCACACTGATCTATGGATTGGTGTTTGCTCTCCTCTCTGTGGGGAATGTTGAAGGTACTTTGCGAAGTTGTCAGATAGTTTTCAGACCTGTAGTTGCTAATAGGCACAGAGAATGGATTCATTTCTCTTTCCTTAGATGAGGTAGGAGTCCCAGGAGACGCTCCAGGGAAGGTGAAGTTGTATTCAGGTCCAACATTTGGTGTTGTTCTCCAAGGATCTCTCTCAGTTTTCACATGGAAGAGACCAGTTTGCCCCTGGGAGGCATTCTGTGTCCCAGGGGATAAAGGATTGTACATGAGATAAGACATAAAGAAGGTAATGCTTCTCAGAGGTTTAAAGAGTTCTGTGGTGAGATAGCTCTGCTGTCAACCACCAACAAGAACAATGTTCTTTAACAGCCAGTGCAGGCTGCAGTGTGTCCTCGAAATCCCTGGAAGAGCCTATCTAGGCCCATGAAGCGCTCCTTTACCTCACCTTCAGCAGGTAAGACAGAGGCATCAAACTGAAGACAGCAAAAACAAAAAAAGTAGGTTACTAAAATGAAACAAGTGCAGAAACAGGTGAAATCATAATTAGAAACTCATAGACATATTCTATTTAAAAAAGGTATCAACTAGAGATGCACCAGTTCCAGTGTTCTGGCTGACCATGATTACTCATCTTTAAAAAGCCATACCAGCACATTTTTGGCCAATACCAATTTTCTTTTTGTCTGCAATAAAGTTAAATGTAGTAAGAAAGTTGTTTAGTTGGTTATAGGCAGGGTTGGGTAACAACTAGTAACATTTGTTCAATGATATTTCCTCAAGTAACTTTTCTTTCTAAAAAAAAAAAATCCTTTTAAGAGTATTTTCAATAGACTTTTAATTGAGTAATTTTATTATGATTAAAGTATTCAGCAAAATATGTGGACTTTCTACCAACTGAATGAAAAAACAAAAGTTCACAAGTTTTTTCATTGAAAGAAATTGATTTGGATTTTTTTTTTTTGCCTGATTTTATTATTTTTGTGAATTATATGAATTGTAGTAATTTTTGACATAAAAATATTAAAATTTCCACTTAGCTTTATGTGTGTATGTTTATTTTTCAATGTCTTTTAAAGTTAACCATATTTAGCATATAATCTCATTTATTTTACAATAAACATGCATTCATTTTTTTTTTTTTACTTCTTACCATTTCCACTACATTCCACATCCTTTAAGCCTTTTCACAAAGCAAAGCTGTAAATCAGGCTTGCTAACAATGTAGGCAGATGAGGGGCAAGTCACACTCAGAAGTAATGACTCAACAGCGATTGAAGTAACAAAGACAAGAGAGCATCTGATTCTCAATGGGAGATTTACTGCCCCTGCTGGTAGCCTTTGATTACATTTATAGGTCAAATCTTGGGTAAACCTTTATCAAAATCAAGTTAATATTCAGAGTGTTACATTTATATGCAGGTGTTGGTTATCAGAGTAAAAATACATACAAATAAAAATATAGCAAGTTATGGTTTCAAAAATCACTCAAATGTCATGTCGTACTTTGCCTAACACTTATTTATTTTACTGAAAATCCAAGGAAAGGATTGGTGAGACCAAATTTGATCCAATTCCCCCCAAAAGTAGCACTTATCCTACCAACATTTTGCTGCACACAGTAAATCAACAGGCTAACAGGAAGTGTCCAACCTTTGCCCAAGAAACACAAATTGAGGTATTTACACATTTTTCTACAGTCTAAAACACAGAAAGTAATAATGTAGAAACTTAAAAAGTTCCAACATGCTCTCTTTTTTAAAGATGATATAGCATCAAAAAAGAAAAAAAAAAACAACAATCATCATGTAAGTGAAGAAGATGACTGCGGGAAGCTACCTGAGCAGATAGCCTAACTAATTAACAGCTTGTTAGCTTTTTGTTTCTCTAAAAAGCCCAGAGCTGCAAAAACGTTATAATTCTCCACAACAATCAATATATCAATGCTCTGCTCACTTTAATAAAACAGTAGTGAAGATGGCCTCAGTTTGCAGCAGGGACAATAACTGAAAATCATGATGTTGTTTAATGTTTGTGTAAACTCGCTGAAATCTTTACTCGATTTTATCATATTAAAATCTCATCCTAAAAATACTCTAATTCCCAACTCGGTTGCTGAATTTGTATAGCACTCTTAAATGCAATAAAAAAAATAAATCCTCCTCATGGTTTCTGTGTTTATATGGATTGACATTTATCAAAATTTTCATGCATCTAAAACTTTTCATGCATATACAACTTATGCACATTCCATTATTTTCGTTCTTATTTATAATAAATATATATATATATTTTTTTTTTTTTTGCAAAATGGGGATTTTCAGCCACTTTTTAAACTGGGGAAAAACTTTAGGCTTTATGTGGAGGGGAACAGAATTTGGGGGACAGAAATGTCTCAAAAACCCACAAAAAGCAAGTCAGTAAGCAGGAAAATCACCGACTGCTGTTTGCAGGATTAAAAGCAAACTTTCCACAAACTTCCGAGGATTCTTTCCAGAAAAAAAAAACAATCACTGGCGCACATGTTTGCTTTGACGACAGTAAAAATCGATGACATGTCAATATATTCGTGCACAACCTTTAAAAACCTCATATAAGCGCTTTTAGGGCAAAGTTTTTGCAGCTTCTTACCTTTTGTTTGCAGCGTTTTAACTCGCGTGGAGAGAAGCATGGAGACGCTGAGTTCAGGAGGCGTGATGTTGCTTTGAGCGCTGCGCTCCCTGTTCTTCTTCCCCGGTTAATTCCGAGCGGACGGCGACGCGACACCACTGCCCCCTGCTGGATGGAGGAGTGGACGGCACCATTTAATTTCGAAATCTTCGCGTAACTAGAAATTCCGAGATGTGTCAATATCCAAACATTATAATCTTAATATGTCTGTTATTGTGTTTTAAAAATAAAAATGCTATTTTGGGACTTTTTCTAAATTTTCGGCCTGATTCCATTTTTTTTTCTCAAGTCGCGTCACGTCGGAGTTCGGAACGCGTAAATGCTGCGTTCCATTTACCTCGGAAAAGTTCATTCGGACCTAGGAGTGACGTCACACACGAGTTGATGGTGTTCCAACGATGTCGCAGAACTCTTTCGATGATCAGATGAATTGAGGTGGTTTTTCGGCCGTACCGAAATTTTTCGCAAAACTGTAAAGGAAACACTTTTGCGTCACATGAGTCATGTGATCAACAACCGGATGTTACTACTGGCGAGAAAGAAGAAGACGACAGGAAATGGTAGGAGGATAATAGAAAGCATGTGTTTTTTGTTGTTGCTTTTTTTTTTATAACTTATTGCATGAACAAAGGTATTCACATGTAATTTTAATTGTGTTGCTTATTTAATTGAAAAACTGCATTTGTGAAACTGTATTTCTTTGACAGAAGAGCGACCCCAACTCTGATGTTAAACTAAGAATATAAATAGATATGGAATAATCAAGTAGGTCTGTCACGATAACAAATTTTGTTGGAGGATAAATTGTCTCCGAAATTATCACAATAAATGATAATAATAATGTCGTTTCGACACCATTTTCAAATAAAATAACGGCAATAGCATAATAATGCAAGAACATGTTCTGAAATATCAACAAACTTTAATTTCTAATTAACATCTAACACTGAAACTGGAATTGATTTTAATTTTCCAAAATAAATAAACAAAACAACAGAAACAACAAATAAGAATGACGCTGAAGTCTCTGTAAACAAAGTTGTTGAGACCAAAGCATCAGATCGAAGACTTTTGTTATCCAGTTGTCTATTGGTAGAAAGAGGAAGAGAAAAGAGAAAACAACGAACCATGGAAATAGAAATAATTGAACTTGTTTTAATTTATCAACATGCATTTATCTAAAAAATAACATTTAACAAGTCATTAAACATGCATTTTATTTAATTTTTGGAAATGGAAGCAGAAAAAATAATTAATGTTCAAAATTAAATCATTTTATGTTTATTTTTCATTTTTAATATTTCTGCTACAAATAATTAATGTTTATCAAAATATCATAAGACTCTTCTTATGACCTAAGCTTGTTAAAAATAACAATAAATGATCAATAATAGCGAATCGTTTATCACGTCACTGTAAATCAAGTGACGTGATCTGCTGCATTTCATTACCTCGGATATTTTCATTACTAAATTTTATACAGTAATATGCTACGCTTTGACTATGCTAAACCAACAGATGTTGAAAAAAATCATTTTAAAAAGGATTCATATTATTAATTGAGATCGGAGATGAAGAGACACCACCGTCTTCATGGAGATTATTGTTTCTGTTAATTTACCTGCCGTGTAAATTGTAAAATCCGATAAATTGAACGCCGTCAAAGTCGGACGTTCTTAGACCCACCCACTTTCACACAGCGCGCGTTTTCATTGGCCTTACCCTGTGTTAATCACAACCGTGACTCAAGCCGCTGTCATGTGACGAATGTTTTTGTCGAGTCGTTTCCGCATTCAGTGGGTGATATTCGCCGTGTCATGTGAACTTAAACCTTTGGGGTGGTTTAATTTCCAACCCCCTGGGAATCTTCATCGAGGTCCAGAGGATTACCGGCCGCTCCAGAGCTCTTTCCGGCGGGCGCGCTGACAGACTCGGGTCCGGGGCGGTCAGCCATGGCGGACGAGGAGCGGTCACCGCTGCTGCCCGAGCAGCAGTACGCGACCAACGGCTTCTTCCCGGGGAGAGGCTCCGGCGGATATCCACAGAGTACGAACACATTTCTCTCCTGTTAGCCACTAAAACTACATTGATAAATGCTAACAAACTTACTCTAGAATAACTAAAACGTTTACATATGTGTTTAGCCCTGGTTATGCTTTAATGTAAACAAGCTTAGCCGTTTTAGCTCAGAGTTTGAATCACAGTGGAAGAAATTAAGACGTATCTAAAACAGGTTTCACATGTGTAAGATTACATGTGACGTCATACTAGGTTTGTAAAATGGCCTTCAGATGTTTATAAGTTAGCTAATACGTTCATATAGTTCATATTTACTTTTCTTTTACATACACACATGTTCACTACATTAACTATAAGTCCATATTTTATTTATTTATTTTCTACTTTTGCAGTCATTTGAAGCTGTTAAAACACAAACTTTCTCTAGTCTCCATTTCCTCTCACAGTATCTTGTGAAGTGAATGACAGTAGTCTGATAATGGGAACCAGGAATGCCTGGTTTGTGGTTCGTTCTGTTCCTGTGTGGACCACATTTTTCTCCAGTTGTGTGGAGCAAAGTGAAACAACGTTTCGCCCCTCCTCTGCCTATTGCTGTCTACTGGCAGTCATCTGACTGGCTTACAAGGAAGAAAAATGCCTCTGATTTCCAGTCAGAAAAAAACAAATGCCATGATGTTGCATCTACCACATATTTACATAACAAATATGTGGTTTGCAATTTGCAAACCATGTATGTGTTGAGCAATACCCTGCATCATAACCGGATGAATTAATCAGTTAACATCAGCATATTATGGTCCAAATGTTGCTCTGCAAAGAGCAAAGTGGAAACATGTCAATTATTCTTTACATTTACATAAAAGCTGCCTAACAATCAGCTGATCTTTGTCCTATATTCTGAATTAAACTAAGATAAAATAACAGTAAATATAAAACTATCCCAATTATAACAGTTTGTATACTCTGACGCTGTGGTTTTCTTCGTATATTCTTTAGTTCCTGATGTATAAACTTACTTCAGTGTTTTTATTTCCTCTTTCACTCTCAGTTGTTTGAGCAGCTTTGCTGACTCTCCTGGTTACTCATACAGACGTTCATGTTGTAAAATATATGATTGGGTGAAAGATAATACTAAAAAATGGTGAGGTTGACATAGTTTACTGACCTGAATCCTGAACACTTTTATTGCCGTCATTAAAGCTGTATGTTTGTGATCTCATTCCAAATGTTCATGTTTGCTGGGAAATTTGCAGATGACAATGTTTTAGCTCAAAGTCGTACTCAAGTTAGAGTAGCGGTACTTCAACACAGTTTGAATCGAGTACAAAGTAGCCGATCAAGAAATGACTCAAGATGAAGTAAAAAAGTATTTGGTAAAAAGTCTATTCATGTACTGAGTATCTGATCAGTACATCAGTAATGTAATATTTGAAAACGGCATCTTTAGATGGACTGAAATGTAAAATTATGTGTCAAATTTAGGTATTTTTAAAGAACAAAATAATTTGAAAATAATTCAAATGACAAATAACAAAATCAGGCAAGAGAAAATTTTTCCGGATCGTTTTCTTTCAATATAAAAAAAACGTACGAAACTTGTATCTCTGTCTGGTGAATAAAAAAACATTGAAGTAAAAATACTCTGAAAAGTAAGATTTTTCCAAAAAGCGACTCCAATAATTGTAATTGTAATGTAACTAGTTACTAGCCGACTTCACTGCACAAAGCGACCAAAGAAACTACAAAAAGCCTCAATGTAAACCCCTATTTAACCCTAGAAGCTGCTGTTATTAGTGTCTCTGTTGTTTGTTTGGATCTTTTCATCGTCTTCCTGTCTTCAGGTATAGTGCCGTTCCCCAGCTTTGTGGCGCCCAATGAAGCTCCGCCCCCGTACTCGCCCCAGGGCAGTCCAGACAGCAGCAGCGCGCCGGTCATCAGCTGCCGGGTCTGTCAGACGACCATCTCTGTGGAGGGAAAGGTGCATCAGCATGTGGTGAAGTGCAGCATCTGCAACGAAGCTACGGTGAGAACGAGGAAGACTCGTTTAATCAGTCTGTCAGTCAGTCAGGTTTATTTGTGCAGAGCATTTCAGCAACAAGGCAAAGAGCTTTACATCATAAAAGCACAAATTTTTAAAGAAAACACCATACAGTTAACAATTGAGAAAACCAGTAAACATTACATTTTTCCATTAGTAAACATTGAATATGTTGATCAATGTTTCATTGATTATGGTTCAAAAGCAACTCTAAGCAGGTTGGCTTTTAATGTACATTTAAAGGAACTCAGTGTTTAGGCTGTTTTGCAGTTTTCTGGAAGTTTGTTCCAGATTTGTGGTGCATAGAAGCTGAATGCTGCTTCTGCATGTTTGGTTCTGGTTCTTTCAATGCAGAGCAGAACCAGAGGGGTCTGGAATGTTGCTATGACGACATCATATCTTTAATGTATTGCAGTGCTAAGCCATTCAGTGATTTTAAAGTCTATTTTCTGAGTTACAGCAGCCAGTGTAGGACTATAAACTAACATTCTGACTAAAACTAATGTCCTGGTTTTAGTCAGAACGCCAGCAGCAGCATCATTCTGGATCTGATCAAGATTTTAGGCAGAGCTGTGAAGACACTGCTGCAGTAATCAGTGCAACTGAAGATAAACACAAGGATGAGTTTCTCTAGATCTTACTGAATCCTGGAAATGTTCTTCAGGTGATAGAAGGCCGACTTTGTAACCGTCTTTATGTGACACTGAAGGTTCAGGTCTGAATAATTTAAGCCTGTAAAGCAGGGATGTCCAAAGGGCAGTAAAGGGGCCATTTGTGGCCCTGGGGCAGTTTATTGTATCTGTATTTGTCAGATATGGAGATAGAGTTCATCTGAACGTTTTGAATTTGTTTTAAAGTTTCTTTTGTTTTCTGTTTGTAGCCGATAAAGAATGCTCCGGTTGGAAAGAAGTACGTTCGCTGTCCGTGTAACTGTCTGCTGATCTGCAAAGTCACATCCCAAAAGATCGCCTGTCCAAGGCCGTACTGGTAAGACTGGGAAAAAAATAAATACTGCAGCCCTATGAGATAAATTAGAATATGAAATTTGTTCTATGTGCAAATTGCAGCTAATAGAGAATAATTGGTCTAAATTGCAAATTTAGCAGAAATGCCAAAGCCAGTATGATGAATATGACTCTATATATCGAGATTAGCTTCAGCATTTTTTCTAAAGTTACATTTTAAACCAATTATTTTCTATTAGCTGCCATTAGCATACAGAACAGGTTTAGTTTATGTAAGCCTACTTCTTAGTATTAGCATATGTGAATAGCTTAGCATTTTTAGCTAACCAAATAAATGAATATGACTGAATATATGCAGATAGATAGAAAAAAAACACTAAAAAACAGTGGAAGTTTTGTTTGGAAATGTTAGAGGATTATGTTATGAGCTGTTTTAAGTTAGTGGTTTCCTAAATGCTTTTTTAAAATGTATTTATGTTTTTTGGGCAGTAAGCGTATCATCAACCTGGGACCAGTCCACATTGGCAGCGACAGTCCAGAACCGCGCCACCAACCCGTCGGACTCAGAGTCATCTGCGGACACTGTGCCAACACATTCCTGGTAAATGGCAAATACTGCAACAGGCTGCACATGTATTTACACTGGTATTGATCTTTTCTTTATTCTTATTCCATACTTCCAGTGGACGGAGATTTCAGATCGGACTTTGGCCCGATGTCCACACTGCCGAAAAGTGTAAGCATTTCTGTAGCTGTTTGCATTTTTGAGAGACAGATCCATACAACCCAATCAGGTTTGCTTTAAAATAAAATGCTTTTCCTTTTTTGTTCATCAGTTCTTCAGTTGGTCAGCAATACCCGAGGAGGAGGAGCTGGCTGTGTTTTCTGCTCTTTGTTGTTCTGGCAGTGTCCACCGCTGGACTTTTGGTGAGTTTCTATCTGTGTTAAACTATTCTGGTAAAGATGGATTTATTTGTGACACAATGACATTCTGATAGTTCTCATCATGCATTTCTTTAATTTGAGATATTTATACTAACCTAAATAAGAAAAGGAATATAGGAAGTTGGTTTACATTAACTGTGTTCTGCATGCTAAATCATTGATCTAATATTCAACACCAGCAAAAAGGTGAAGGTAATATGCTAATGTGAGCTAAAATGCTCAACAACAATTGAAAAAATTAACAATAATTGAAATGGTGATGTTGGCACAATCATATAATCACTTATCAACATATAATATGCTATTGTGAGCTAATGTAGCATCATAAACTAAGTACTCAGCTACACTTTATATGTCATCATGAGCTAAAATGTTAACTTTTGGATGTCCCCAGTCAATGTACTATATTTCAGTTGCATTATATGCTGAAAAACAACTAAAGATCTTGTTTGTAGGAACAGATTCTTCTGGGAAGAACCTCAAAGTCAACACAGCTTCAGAAAACTCTTTTATTTGCACGTGTCTGAAAGGACTTGAACAAATCTGTGTGTGTTTGTGTTCAGGTTGGGACGTGGAAGCCGGCGCAGCACTCTAAGGGCATCTACGTGTCGTGGGTGCTGCTGATTCTGTTAGCCGTTTTTACCTTGATAAGAACCATATACTGGAGGTGTTTTAAGATCAGCGACCCCGTGTCCAACATCACATAGAGAGGCCGTTCAGGAACTGAAAGGGAGACGTCGGTTCCTGTCGCAGATCAAGTACCTGATCAGGATCACACAAGACAAGTGGTAAACGGTCTGAGAGTGGGTGTGGTAACCTTGAAATGACACAGGAAGGGAAAACTAACTGAATTTAGAGTAAAATATCTTTCTTGTGCTATAATGGGTTTAACAAAATAAAAGCTGCTAGTTGTCCAAAAACGACACTGAGATCTTGTTGAACATTTTCTATTTTATTGCCGTCATCAACTTTGAAAAGTATTAAAATAAATAAATGAAAGGAATCTGAACTACAAAACAGGATCAACATCGTTTTAAAGTAACTTCTTGTGTCTTAGAGGTTTTTTTTATGGAAGCTGGTTCATTGAAACCACAAATTAACTTTTTGGTTTCTCAAATTAAATCACGTTACAGCAAAAAAAATTTCATCAGGTTTATCTTTAATTCTCCAGGATCACATTGTAAGAAGTTTATTTCCACAAGTCAGAATGATTTTTAATACTTTTACATAAAATGTAACATGTTTGTAGTTTCCTTTTAAAGCTGCAATATGGAACTTTTATACAATATATATGTATTTTTAAATATTTGTTGAACCTGTCAGTGCTGTCAATCACCCTCCGTGTGCTGCTCTCTGCTAAGCCACATCTAGCATAGCCTGGTGTTGAATGCGAAGGGCAGTTAGCATGGTAACTAATGACAGTGGATAAACATTTTCCTGTAACAGGAAGCTGTTTTTCCACCATTAAAACATTTAGCAGCTTGTTTACTAGGTTGATTAACAGCGCTAAGACCCTCTTCCTCACTGATTTGTTGTTTTTGTTCAGAACGAGCGCGTTTCTCCAGACAGCAATGGTAAATCTGTCTTTTCACAGATTGTCTGTCTCATATTAAACTGTCACAACATGGAGAAAGTTTTAACAAATATGTAAAAATCTAATTTTAAATAAAAGTTCCTTCAGCTTTAAGGACTTTATTTACTTTCTAAAGTGTTTTGACAACAAATTAATGGTGTATTTAAACCTCCTTTAATCAGATTAATCCATTAAAATAACATCAAATATCAAATCGACATGAGATTTAGGGAGAAATTGATCATGAATTTAATCAGTTTCACATTGTTTCCCCTCCAGTTTTCCTTCTTCCACAGATAAAAATAAACTGGTATCAGGATTATCTCTGTTTAATATGAACTCATTTGGGATCTAATCCCAACTCTAAGTGAAAGCAGAAGATGGTAAAATCTTCTCATATCTCAGCTGTTCATGTTAATGAACTCGGATCACATGAAGAAACGTTAAACCTGTTGAGCCTGCTTTGTGTAAAAGTCGTGAGATTCCTCTGATTGGTTCTTTTGACTTATGGATGAATCAGGATTTTTGTTCTGCCGGATTATTAGAAAATACGATGAAAAATGAAATGAAAACAGGAAGTAACTGATGTTTTGCTGAACTGACATGTTTTCAATGGACATAAAAACAATAGTTTATTTGATGCCGTCATTTCAATTTTACCAACCCAAATACAAACGTTTGTCTACAGATTTACACATATTGATGATAAATTGATGTTTTAGTGCTTTACTTTTTACCGGGAGTTAATTTAAAGTATAAATGCTCTTATAGAAACCACTTGGCATAGAAACGTCTCTAAAACCGAAGCTCAAATTGATCCCACTAACAGGATATTAATGTGTTTTTATTGTCCAGTACAGAGTTCAGGTCTAGCACTGGAGCTTAAAATAAAAACATCTGAAGTTGTATAAAAAAATGATCTAAAAGCTGAGTTGACTTCTTTAAAGAAACAGTCAAACTTGAACTGATAAATGAAGGTTTAATGTGTTTAAGTAATTTATGGTTTCTTCTAAAACAAGAAGATGTCAAGAATATTTTACCTCATGAAGCCTAAATAAACAGAAAATGTAAAATATGAAGCATTCGAAGAAACATGTGTTTCACTTCAGCGGCATTGTTTATTTAATGTAACCATTTAAATTGATTTATTCGCAGATTAGAAGGAATTAAGTAAATTCTTGTTTTGTTACCAATGAAAGGCCTTTGCTCAGTTTAGTGTAAAAAATATCTTAATTCAGTTTATTTAATGTGTAAATAAGAAGGATAATTTATAGGTGAATGATTTTGGGAATCTTTAAGTTAATTATAATCTTGTGTTTATTAGCATGTAGACACCAGATTCATCTCATACAGGGATTTTGAACATATCTGATTTATTTGTGCTTTTATTTTATTTTTTATTTTGTTTATCCATAAAATCAAACTTGTCAGATTTTATTTCAGTCAACTTTCGTCTTGAAAGTTCAACTCTGATCTGAATCTGATTAAATTTAATGTGTGGAAATAAGTGCTAATGTCTCTGTGAAAATGTAAATATTTCAGGAGTTTCTGCTGCCCCCTTGTGTTTGATTGCTGTATGTACCTGCTGACTGTGTCATGTTGCACTACTACATTGTACTGAAATACTACTCCTGTACGGTTCTCACTGTATTTTTGGTGGATGGATGCTTTATTTTGTATATCGTGAAACAAAGTAATACCTTTAACAAAGTCCTCGGCTCAATGTCATTTTTTTATTATTACTTTTTAAATCCAGAAAGTATATATTTCTAAAAGAAATTGATGAGAAGAATAAATGTATACATTTAGCATATAATCTGTATTTAAGATATTTAATTATTTTAAATATTTATGACTTTTTATGCAAACTCAATTTAAATTGTTCTACTGCAAAGACACAAATATTATCAAATCATTAATTTCAGTGCATGCAGGAGGTTATCTGTATTTACTAATGTCATCTTACTATATATATAAAGTGGCAAAAAACACTTTTGTAACTTGTAACTCTTGGCTACTAGAGTTTTACTTCTTGTAACCACAAGAGGTCAGCAGCAAGCAAGAAATAAGATCTGAAGCGCCAGGCTGCAACTTCATATTTATAATATTGCTCCATTTGTTTTCTGTTTTTCATTTCATTATTTTATTGCACAGCTCCTTGAAAAACACTGACGACGCTGATAATCTGATGAAGCTCTGTTGCCTGGTAATGGCAACATAGCAACTTCTCTGGGGTTGCGTTCTAAAAGTTTTGGTAATTTTCCAGACACGGAAAATATTAATGTATCGGCAAAACATGGCTGTGTGGTTTTGGAAGCAGTGGGGCAATAGGATTGTTTAAAAACAAAAGAACAAAAAAACAAATTTAGAGCTTAATCTGACAATTTCAAGCAAAAACGGGGAAATTTCAGATTTTGAAAAGTTGAAGATTTGCTACAACAAACTGGGAAATGTTGAGATTGTTTGAGAAAAACTGTGAAAAGTTTGAGTTTCAAAAGTCTGAATTTTTGAAACTTTCTGTTTGAAAAGTCAAACATTTGCTAAAAAAATTTAAATCTTTTAATTTCTCTCAGAAATGTTTGAGAGAAAGAAAAACATTTTGAGTTTCCAAAGTCAAACATTTGCTACCAAATCTTAGAATTTTTTAGAATAATCCCAGAAATTTACAAGAAAAACTTAAAAACATTGACTTTTGAAAACTCAGTAAATGTCCAAACGTTGAAAATTTTGAAACAGACATTTGAGTTCTCGTTTGGGTCTCGTTCGGTTTCCATCCCGTATGTCCTCCTCCCTCCAGCACTTGATCACTGTCCTTTGAGTTCAGTTTGGCAAACTCTCCTCCCTCTCTTCAGTCTCCTCCTTCTCCTCCCTCTCTTCCTTCTCCTCCCTCTCTTCCCTCTCCTCCCTCTCTTCCTTCCCCTCTCCTCCCTCTCTTCCCTCTCCCTCTCTTCTCTCTCCTCCCTCTCCTCCCTCTCTTCCTTCTCTTCCCTCTCCTCCCTCTCCTCCCCCATCCAGCTGCTGCCTCACTGGGATGACTCCAGTACAGCATGCTTTTCCCAGTTGCTTCTTGTTGCTCGGACCGCTCTGAAGGTCCGACTCGCTCGATTTGATTTGGACTAAATCTGGGATTTAAAGACTAAACCGATGCACAAATGATCTTTGTCCTAAAGGAAATGCTTTGATTTCCTGAGCCACTGTGGGACGGCTGGAGCTGGAAGGGAGATCTCTGCTTTGGCTGGAAGAAAACTAAAGATTGTTGCAGCCAGTTGCAGAAATAAGTTGGCGCTCAGAGAGTTTGCCTGATCCTGGTTCGGGTGACTGTTCCTGGCTGGTTTTGGACATGTTGGAGGAAGAGAAGGCAGTTGGATCTCCGCAGGAGCGAAAAACTTCAAACATTAGCAGGAAGAAAAGTCAGAGCTTCAACGGAGGAAACTGCAACGTTGCCTCAACCAACGGCAACGTCAGCAATCATCCACAAAGGTGAGAGATGAAGCGTCTTCCTGCCAGAATGCTTGGTTTGCTAAAGTAGATTACTGCTGCTGTCATGATGTAAAGAACTGAGAAATAAACTGTTGCTACAACAGAAGGAGCTGAAAATGAGATTTGATCATTTCCTGCTTAAAACATGTTGCTAATGCTAACGTCTCAGAAATAAAGCAGCACGGTTTACGTCTGCCTTCATTAAAATGATCTGAAGAATGAAAATGTTCATCGAATCGCTTTAGAGAAGAGCTTCAGTTTCTGAGTCGCTTCATTTTGTTAATCCATGAAATCAGTTTCCTGTTTGGAACCGAAGAACCTGAAGAATCAGTTTGTTAGATAGAACTGTTCATCCATCCACCCATCATCCATCCATCCATCCATCCATCCATCCATCCATCCATCCATCCATCCATCCATCCCATCCATCCATCCATCCATCCATCCATCCATCCATCCATCCATCCATCCATCCATCATCATCCATCCATCCATCCATCCATCCATCCATCCATCCATCCATCATCCATCCATCCATCCATCCATCCATCCATCCATCCATCCATCCATCCATCCATCCATCCATCCATCCATCCATCCATCCATCCATCTATTAATTAATTAATTAATTAATTTCTATCCTGGATAACATTAAATATTCCCGTTGGCCCACAGATATTTGATCAGATCAGAAAAACAGAGAAAAGCTTTTTATCATCAGAGCTAATTTCAGTTTAGCTCCACAGTTTTGGTGACATCAGTCCCAAAGCGGGTCTAGATGGGTCTCCATGGGTCTTAATGGGTCTTAATGGGTCTCAATGGGTCTCAATGGGTCTCAATGGGTCTTAATGGATTCCCAGACAGCGCAGGGAACCCAACACAGTGAGGCGTTTATTACTGCGGGACAGATTATTGTCCCTCAGGCTCACACAGGCTGTCAGCATTAAGTAAACACAAAAACAACCCTTTTTATTTTCCAATAGAACGTGTGGGGAAAACGAGAGGCTCACATGCCTTCATAATGTTTTCACTTACATAATTTAACGCTGGATTTCATTTGCAGACAGCTTTGTAACAATATGGCCAATAAAAATGTAGTTTTAACTGATTTATTCTCTGTTTTCACTCAAACTATATGAGGAGACGTAACTGGATGTGATTCGAGATCCTGCAGCTGCAGACGGATATTGTTGCACTTTCACAGCCAACGCAGAGGAACGACACTGAAACTTGTTCATGGTGCTAAACTTACACCACTGCAACCAGTGAACCCAAACCAGTTGCATAAGCTGCTGATGGCCAACAGATGGATAACATCGAGAGACATTTATCAACATTTCTTAATTTTCTAGCAAATTCTTGACTTTTGAAACTCATATTTTTTCTTGACATTAATCTGAACATTTCAGTTTTTTTCCAGCAGTTTTCCACTTTTCTTGTCTTCACGTTTCCTTGTTTTTTTTAATGGAAAATCTTTGGGCTTGTTCTAAAAAACTATTATTTTCTTTTTCAACTTCTGAAGCTCATGAATTTCTACAATATCCATATTTGTTTTTTTCTCATTCTCTGACTCGTGGCTCCTTCAGATTAAAAGCTCCCTGACCTTTAAACGACTTTGACCCACATTTAGCCTCCATATGTCCAATCACCTCGTAAAGGTTTTTATAGCATCTCAGTCGTAGCGCTGCAGATGTGAAGGTAAATCCAGCTGCTCCCTTTCCTCCATTTCCTGCTTTCCTGTCACTGAACAACTCACTTTATCAGTTTTTATACCTTAATCTAGCCAGACTCTGTCCTGCAGTTCACACCATTGTTTTTGGGAGTCCCGTTTCCCGCCTGTCGACCGTTAGCACCTTAGCATGGCGTTCCTGGCGAGCCCCGCTCAGGCAGGAACGCCATGTTACTGGTCACACTGGTTTAAGTTTAGCATCGTGCATCACGAGAGCCGGAAGAATCTGGTCAGCTGACTGATTTTATCTTTATCTGACTGACAACATTATCACAGCCTAACAATAATCATCTCTATGCGGCCGAGGAGGCGGGACATCAGAAATCAAATATGGCGGCGGCCGATTTCGGCCATTTTTATTCAAACGTAGCTAGCCCTAACGGCAAGTGAGGGGGAGTGGTTTTCATTTTCTGGTTAATCTTTGGGCATCATTTTTTGCTCGGTTTTAGGCAGTAATTGTTTTGAAAAAGCGTACGTTAACACAGGGTTCCCAAAGTGTGGCGTCGCACCCTCGGCTGGGTCGTGAGGTGACAAACGGAGGGTCCAGAGGTGGATGTGGGGTGAAAATCAACTCAATAAATGCACCATTAAATAATGCAATATAACTTTTAAATTATTAAATTAAATAGTTTTAAAGGATACATTTATTTAGTTAATTATCGTTATCATTGTTAAATATTATTTATCAGTTTTAATTACATCTAATACTTAATATGATAATTGTGTTATTAATTTCTTGTATTGTTGACTAAATTTGTGTGAAGTCGTATAACCTTTGTTTGTTTTAGCAGAACAAATTGAACATTGTCCAGATAGAAAATAACATTGTCGCTATTTTTAGCACATTTATGGAAATTCCAATTAATGTGCATTGTCCCTACCGAGTAAATGTAGTTAAATTAACATTTAAAAAATCACTGTATGTTTTTAATTAAATACATGGAATGAAATATTTATTCATGCTGTTAGTTTGGGGAGAGTATTTAGCAAGACAGGCGAAATAATCTGCCAGTGGAACTAATATTTTTTTCTTACATATAAATATCAAGGAATTATTTACTCAACATACTTCCTCTATCTTGCTGAAAAGTTACTTATTGGTTAGTTTTGTTTAATTTGAAATTCACTAAGGCGTTTGCACTTGAAAATAGACTGAAAATACTTGGTAAGGTTTTGTATTTTTGCAATTTTTATTTTCTCTTCACAACTACTTTTTTAGTTTTCCACATTTAACTGCAATAAAAAACACAGAGGTTTGTGGTTCACTCCCTTCACTTTCGGGGAGTGAATATACAGTTTCAGTGTAAATTCACTCAAGAATATCCTGACTGCCTCCAGAGTTTGAGCTCAGAGATGCTCCGATTAGCTGGTCGCTTTGCGTTGGAGTCCATTTGTTCAACCGGCTGTGAAAAGAGTTTCTGGGTCAACCAGCCTCAGAATCAAGTTGTCCTGTGAGATCAAACTGGACAGGACCTCCTAGTTTGAAGCCAAAGATTTCTGGCAGAGCCTTTTAGTTAGACGTTGGAAATCCTGCAAGCTTTTATGTCTGTCAGCATCTTTTGGAATAAAAAAGAAATCTTCCTTCATTTATTTATATTTTTAGCTTCTTAAAATAGCAAATGTCTGCAGACTTGCTCGCCATATCAGTGGGAAACAGTTTCAGTGATTGAGTGGGCCTGAGAGATGAAGACGTGATGAAAAGTCTCAGCTGTAAGCGAAGCTCTGGTCTGATGATGTAACTCAAACTGGGCACAAACTCACCACTGTTACGTCATCTCCTACGGCGATCGCTGTCAGCTGTCAGATTCATTTCAGCTCCGGTGAACTTGGACTGGAGATATTTTTATGATTTCATCTTAGCCGAGTTTGTTTTTGTCATTACTGAGTGAAAAATTATCTGGAAAAAAAACAAAAAAAAAAACAGTAAATAAATATTTAACACCTGTTCAAGTTCACATTTCCCAGTAATTTTCTTTTAAAACTATTGAAACTACTAAAACTGTAAAACATTTGTTTGGGCTGCCGGTGGTTTGGAAAACATCAACTGAATCCTTTATAATAAATGTAAGAAACAAAGATTTATCCTGAATTACAAATTATATAATAAAAAAACATCTTGAACTGTTTATTTATGCATTTTAAACCTTTATCTTGAATGATTTACAGACAAATTTTATAACTTTGCTATTTCATGAAGCAAAGTAAAATTTTCGCTATTTTAAATTTCTTTTTATCAATATTTATTATTTAACATTGTACTTGTGCATATTGCTTTTGTGCATATTGCTTTTTTAATTATGTGTAATAAATTATGGAAAAGTTTAAATAGCTTCTCTTGATCAGATTAGATCAAATCAGATTTATTTTAGTAAATTTAAAAAAGTAAACAAAATAAAATTCCATTTTACAAACATAATTTGGTTTCTTTATGCTTGCGTACCAAATCATAGCTTCAACAGTAATGAATCATATCTACTGCTCATATATTTATTTTTAAATATGTACTATCTAGTATTTTCTTTACTAGTTATTTCACCACAGTTTATGTTTGTCTAAAACTTTTATGGTGCTTTTTGTGGCGTTATAAAAATTTATACCTTGTAAATGTTTGGACTGCAAGCTAAAATCTGAGCTCCAGACATGCAGCCTTGTGACTGTAAACTTGAAACGTCACTTTGACCTTTAGATTTAGATTCAGCTCGTTCAAACCGATTCAATTTGATTCATTATTCTAGTTCAGATGTTAAACATTCAGCATTTTGTTTAGTGTAAACATTTTGACTGTTGAATTTAAAAATCCACGTTATTCCTGAACAGCTGTAAAAATACCAATTATTGATAATTCATGGAGTTTCATCACTTGTCACCAGATTGGACTAATCAACAGTTTCAGTTTGATCCAGGCCTGGTGGTGCCGAGTGGCCGCGGCTGTCTGTCTGAGCAGGACGTGATTTATTTCCATCAGCGCTGATTAAACCTAAACTCTAAATGCCCTTCAGAACACGGCAGGATTCCTCAGCAGGTCCAGTTAAACCTCACTTTTATACGTCCACATTTATCCAACAATCCTCAATTTAAGATCAGCCATAAATATTCTCCCAGTCATTTGTCGAGAACATGTAAGCGGGGCGGGTGATAAAGTGGCAGAGCCGCAGAGAGATTTACGACCAAGACATGTGTAGCAGCCGCGTTTGTCTGGTGTGTGTTTCAGTTTGGACTTCGCGTCCCGAGTGCATGACGACTGAAACCCATCCGCCTGTTGCTGGGCATGTCAATGAAGCGCATGGACTCCAAGAAACTGCTGAGACAACAACATGCCCATGTGACACAAACTGGGAACTGTCGTCGGGGCAGAGAAAGCAGCTGGAAGCTGTGAGGTTTTAATGGCTTCGCTTCAAACACACACTGATCAGTCTGTGTTTTCCAGGCATATAGTGTCATTTTACCGCAGATTTAACCTTCAGTTTTTATAAAAATATATTTATATATCAAATATGAGTTAGAAATTTCACTTCATAATTTAATAGATTGAAATTGGGCCTCTGTCTCTTTAAGAAACTCATGCCCATTCTGAAACTCCTCCTTCAAGAAGTCAATCCAACATGGCTCCTCCATTAACCCTTTCAACAACGTTTTAATGAACTCAACAGGTGAATAGTTCCACCACGTGATCGCTAATTGTGTCTGGCTAGTCTGAAGGAGCAGCTCTGTGAGGTGGAATCTCAGAAACTGCAGCTCTAAGGAGGAGCTGTGCCTCGAAGGCGGAGCTAGATCCACCCAGACGTTTTGTACAGCTGAATGGTTGCCATGGAGCTTAAAGGATTTCTCAAACACGTATCAAAGAAAAGCAAAACGCCAGGTATGTTTTGGATGAGGGAATAACATTATAAAATGATGTAAAGCTAAAAAAAAGTCAATTTTACATAAAACTGCCCTTTCAAAATAAAAAATAGGGTCACTAAAGCATAGAGAATAATAAAATAATAGAATAAATTAATGGCAGCCATTTTTTATGTTCTGTTTTTGTTGCATTTAGATCAAAATTGTCCATTCTAAAGAAAATGTTCTTTTATTATGTAACATGAGAAATTTGGTACACCAGCACAGCAACAGGTAACTATGCCTAGCATAATTATTAATTATTTTTTATTTTATTACATTAAAGCCACAAATTTTAGTGGTTTTTATTGGGACTTGATGTGTTTGATCAACAGAAGTTGTGGCATTTAGACCTCAGTACTTCTGTAATGCCTCTCATATTTACATTTTGAACACAAAAAAATGCAAAGACATACAATTAAAAAGACAGAAAGTGAAAAGAGCTAATCAATCAGTTTAGATAAATAATGTAAAGATACTGACAAAATATGACAATATTGATAAAGAAGTCAGGGTTTTGTGGCTGTTTTAACAGATTCGTCCGTTCAGGCGTATGTCATGTCAGCTCTGAGGTCACTGAAACGAGCCTCTGTCAGAGTAGCGATGACAGCTGAAAATAAACTGGACCTCTTTTGGCTCAGCCTCTCCTTCCAGACACACAACGCCTGCGTTCTGCCAGGCAGCTGTTGTGCTGCGTTCAGGTGTTAAGCCCTTTGGTCCAGAAGAGGGGATGAAGAGGATATATTAGTAATTTGCAGCAATACCCATCAGTGAATAATCTGTTAATGAAAATATTCATCAAAGCTGTTTCATTAGCTGTTTACTCAACAGTCTATAAAGTCAATAGTTGTTCTTTATCAAAGATATGGAGCTCATGTGCTACAGTCTTGGTGCGTTGCTGAATACAGTTGGGAAAACTGGGAATGTTTTGGAGGATTATGGAGAGTCTGGGTTTACCTTACTGAAATAAAATAAACCATAAAACAACTTTAAGTGTCAAACACAGGCTTTTCTCTAAGTTTATCTAATTTAAGACATAATTTCATATATTTTCAGCTCATTAAGTTACTGACAGCATAGTTTTTTTTATTTTATTTAAACCAGTTATACAAGTGGTGTCAAACTCCAGTCCTCAAGATGTCCTTCAGTTTTTAGATATGCCACACGTACAAATACCTGCAATATTTGAAATGGCTTAATTACCTCCTCCTTGTGTAGATCAGATTTCCAGAGCCTTAATGACCTAATTATTTTATTCAGGTGGTGCAACAAAGGCTCAGCTAAAAGTTGTAGCTCACTTACCCTTGAGGACTGGAGTTTGATACCTGTGAATTATACTATAAATAAATTTCAATATGTTTGCACCTTTACATGTGAACAGAGGATTGTTAGGATTCTGAAATTAAATTCTGAGATTAAAGAGAATTATCAATTTTCGAGGCCCTACCAATGTGTTCTGAAGAAATATTGAAAAAAATGTTTTTACATTCTCCAATAAATAGCCTTTAAAGAGTAATTTGAGTGCTTTAATCTCAAATTAAAGCAATGTTTAATTAGAAGACACTAACTTGATTTAGTACGTTGGGAGGCTTGTCAGAGAGTCTGTCTGCTCCTTTTCATGACTCGAGCGAGAGCCGGCTAAAAACGAAGAGAAAGTAAGGGTTAACTTTTTGGGAACAACTGTTGTTAACAGTGAAAATGTTACTGTATAAAACGTGTAATGTCAAATTTAGTCATATGGCAGAAAAGTTTGGCATACTGTTCAAATATTGACAAAATGTCACCTAGTCGCCACCCAAGCACCGCGACAGTCAGCTATGATGCGACCTTTCCACTTGGTCCTTAACGGTTGGACTTTTACTCTGGAGGGAACCAAAGCGGAAACACGAATCGTTCTGCGCATGTCTGTTCACTCGTAACCTGGCTGCCTGCTAACGGTCGGAGAAGCTAATGGAGGAACCTAAAATATCACTTTAACTGATCAGAGGAGCCGTTTGGAGTTCGTGAAAAAGGGAAGCTGCACACTAAAGACGAGTGGTATGTACCTAATGTTGATGTAAAAGCGGCGAATGGTGAGAAAACGCTGTTTTCCCCGGAAATCTGGAACGGTTTCCACAGGCCTGGTAGGCTGAAGTAAACGTCTGCGACAACATATGCCAGGTTTTCGGTTAGGACCCCTGTATACCTGCAATATTTGGCATTTCAATAAAGTAAAAGAAAAAACGGGATCGGCTGCGATCTAATTTAATATGCACTGAGGTAATTTTAACGTTTTCGAAACGTCATTTCGTTTTTATGTTGTTAGTGCTGAAGACAGTAGTATTTTAGGTTGATGTTGGGGTAAATAATACGAAGACCAGGAGATCTGCTTTCCTCCACTATTAGCTGAGCATCTTTTACAGCATCCTTCTTCCTTCACGACTCCTTGATGCTGGTCAGCAGGTTTCCTGTTTGTACCGGAAGCACCCGAGGACCCATCGGTTTGCTGACCACTGCACCGCCTGTCCTGGCCGTCTCCTCAACTCTATCGCCTGAACAGAAAAACAAAAAAAAAAAAAAAAAAAAACATGGCGAACTAATTGAAAAAAATCAAACAACAAAAACCACCCCAATTTTAATTTGATTAATTTTATGGCTGTCGCTGTGACCGCACACAAAAATGGGTGAAGATGAAATTAATGAAAGATGAAGTAATACAAAACATATATTTGAAGGACAAGATTACAGCTTGCCAGAAATACTGTACTCTGATAATAGGAAGATGGATCTGTGTAAGATAATTTAAAAAGAAAACTGTGTATCTATTTACAAGATGCGAAAAAGCTAAACTGCAAATAATAGTGAAATTTTTTTTCAAGAGGAGTGAAACTGTTCTAATAACAGCTTGTATGTAAACACTTAATGAGTCTATAACGCTTCTTTGTGTGCTTCGGATGCATTGATGTGTCACCGAAGGAGTTCTGTAGTTCAATCAGCTACTCCCAGTTATAGTAACCCAATTTTTGACAAAAACCTTGTCAAAAATTGGAAAGAAAAATCCTTCCACACAATCCAAAAACAAAGGAAAAATTTGTTCAAACATGCAAAGGGTCATCCAGAATAATTATGACCAGAGGTCTTCAAAAAGAACAACTCTGACTAATGGAGCAGAGCTACTCTGATATGTTGTTACCATGAAAGGCATATTCATGGTAACAGCAACAGCTCAATTTAGTTGCAAAATGTTCAGTTAAATACTTGTGATGTCACAGCATTTATTCCATCCAACCATTCATCATCAATCCAGCCATTGTTCAAACAAACTTATCCTTGCACGGTTGTAGGGGAATTGCCTATTTCCAGCAGTTTTAAACTCAAGCAAAAGTGTTTTTCAATCAAATTTCTTCATTCAACTAAATAAAAAGCAGCATTTATTGCCTTTGAAGCTCATCTTTTGGTCCTAGAAACATCTATTGTGTACAAGGGATGCCTGTGGCTCTGTCAGAGGTGCTGAAATTGGATATTTTTCCTTTGGCAAATGAACATCGCTGTGATGCAGAAGAACTACTGAGGAGGGCAACAGAAAAGCTCGAGCCACTTCTGGTACATTCACTCTAGGCCTGTTTAGTCCACTGTAATCAAACTCCAGTTAGTTAGCCTAAAAAGCTCAGTTCATTTGGGGAGGTGACTATAGAGTCAAACTAATGCACACCAACAAAGTAAACTGGTCCACCTACAAACGTAGGTTTCGGTTCAGTTAAAGCGAACTGTGTGTGAATGTCAATGGGACCAGTGATTGCTCCAAAAGCAGGAAGTGGGCGATAGTGCAAGACATTCCAGGTAAATCCAACAAAAAAACAATGGTCATATCGAGTGCTTGTGGGAGAAATGGCTTGTGGTCTTTTGCTCATAGTGTTTGGTTCTGTAGTGTGAAAGAAACTGCAGCAGTTAAAATGGAACAAATTTTGTGATTTTGATCTTCACTTGAACTGAGCTTACCGGACTATCAGGTGGGAAAACACCCTTTTGTTTGTTTTTGCACCTGTTCACCCATGTAATCATGTAATTTACTTTTTGACATCTGATCTTCTGAAGATGGAATCAAGATGATAAGTCATCAGCAGAATCAATTTGGGTCATCATTACTTCAGAGTCTTATTTGTTTTATTAGATCCCCAAAATGTCTCCTGGTTCAGCAGTCTGTTCGATTTAGAACAAGACTATATGTCAGATCAAGTTTAATGTTTCAAAGAATAAATATTTAATTTGCATTTTGACTTTGTATGTGACAATTCTGTTGATTTGTTCCTCTTTTTTAATAGAACACTTACTCTGGAAATCATCATCTTGGAAGTTTTGTTGCAGTTCATCTGCTTTCCAAGAATGTAACACCAGTAAAGACAGAATTTTGCAACCTTAAAACTGATTATACAATGAAATGTCCCTTAGTGTACCTTTTGTTTTAAATTAAAAGATCAAATCAATTATCTTCCATCTATTCGGGATCTTCTGTGGCAGTGAGCTTTTATTTTTAACTGATTTTTTTTTTTGTTTCTATGGAAATGGTCCTTAGTAAACAATTGTGTCTTTGTGTCTTACAAACTGCTATGCAAGTGTTTTCTGTACCATATCTGTTGATATATTTTGTAAGACTTGGAAAATATATTGTCAAAATGTCTATGTAGCTAACGGAAGAGTTGGCTAATGGACAGGAAACCTCTTGTTGGATTTCATTCGGATACAAAGCTAAAGTCTAGCCCCACTCATTAACCTTGTGTCTTTGTTCTTTTAAACTTTTCAGCTTTTCTTTGCTTTTGGAGAATTGCGCCCCGTGTCCTGCTCCAGGGGTCCTAACAACCCCACTTCTCAGCGGGCTTCCTGGGAGCGCACCACTGACAGGAAGGCAAGTTGCTTCTTTGCAGTTGGCCCACCTGAAGGCTCAGCTAGCATTAACGCAGATGAACAATGTTCTCGCTGTTGGTGGCTGTGCTCCAACCTTGACATCAAACACCCACATACCTGCTCCAGGTTTGCCCACAAAACCACCTTCGCCAACTGCTGTGGCCATCAATCTCCTGAACCTTCTCAAGATTGTCAACACTATGTCTCATCCGATGTATAATCCCTTTGGCCCTGGCAAACAGATGCCATCCCAGGGACCTTATGGACTTTCTGGGGGGCAAATGGAGATGGACCCGCAGAGGCCACCGCCTCACTTTGGCTCTGGTTCCAACTTCAGCTCTTCTGGATCTTCTGGTCTTACCCATGGATCCTCTGGAGGACCTATACCGTCTATTATGTCTTTACCAGGAAACTACAGACCCGAGAGGAATAAGATTACAGTAGATGAAGACATAGACAGATGCTTGGACTTGAATATCAGTAGAGCCAGGGAGGAGGTGATACAAATTTCCTCAAGTCAAAATACTCAATTTACTAATGTTCAAAGAGATCCATTTCCTTCTTCAAACAAAGGAATGCCTTCATATTTGACATCTGCTACTCTAGTAAACAGATCCTTTACTTTGGACAGTAGTAACAACAGTTTGGACTGGTTGCCTATATGCCAGAGGGGTTCAGAGGAAGAGTCGTCAAAAAAATATTCATCTGCGTCCTCCAGCTTTCCAGGGAGTGGTGCAAGTGTTTTCAGTACCTCCAGTGAAGGAAAACACATGTCATCCATTCCAGGTTTGGGTGACTATGACATAAAAAGACCAGCTAAGTCTGTGCCTCCTTCGGAGCCCATTCGTCCCAAGTATACTTCAGAATCAGCCTCCAACATCCTCCTGCACTTTGGTCTTGAAAAAGAAGACTTGGAACACCTAATTTCTTACCCTGAAGACCAGATAACACCTGAGAACCTGCCTTTCATTCTAAGGCAAATCAAGCTGGAGAAAGAAAAGAAAGCTGCAACTGCTGTTCAATCCAAACCCTACTGTGCAACTCAACCCATCAGAAGTATGGGTGAAAAGGACAAGTTTATACCTTCCATAAGAGCAGGGTTCAATTCAGATCAAATATCATCCACTGTTCTTAAACCAAGTAAAGTGATTGAATATGGACACACTGGCAAATATACCACAGGGGTTGGGAATGTTGGCAGTTCCGCTGTGGCTGGTGTGGGCGGAAGTTTGTTGTGTACGGATACTTTCAAACCTAGCAGCCATGTCAGAGATCCACTTCAAAGAGGCCAGGGAGACCTGAAAACTGGACCTGTTGTCTCTTCACATAGCCAGATAAGTTCTGTCTCCACTGTTGACTCACTGAGGAGCCCTGTGGCACCATCAAGCAGGGATCTATCTAAAAAATTGGGAGTCCAAACAAGCCAGAATTCAACATCGCTCTTCCCATCTTTCGGATTGCTGAACAAGGACACAGAATTAAGACTACTCAAGCCCGAAGGCCCTCAAATTCCTCCCCCAAAGCAGCCAGAGCCAGCTTGCCAGGCATCCACTCAACCTCAGTCATTCAATCCACTCTGTAATTTAAGTCGTGGAGTTCATCCTGGGCGTCCTGGCCTTGTGCTTATTCACAGTAATGACTCTCACAACAATAAGAGCAAAACTCAAGGTCAAGGATTAAAAGCTCCTGAACAGGCGAATAAGATACCAGCACAACAGCAGCCAATTCAGCAGAATCTACAACATCAAGGACCACCACCACAGAAACCACAATTTCAAATGCATCCGCAGCCGATTCCGTCGCTGAAACAAGTACAAGGTCTTCCTGCTACCGTGCCAACCCGGTTGTCTCTCTTTCCACTTCGTCCTGCTCTACCTACACCAGCACAAGTTCCGATCTGTCCCTCTCTTCCTATGTCAGCCCCAATGCTACTTCGTCCTTCTCCACCGACACCAGCCCAAGGCAGGATGGATGCTATGCCTCATATGCCGCCTCCAGTTTTCAAAGACCAGACATCAGTACCAAAAATGGGTCCATCCAAACTACCAACACCGGCCATGATGCAGGACTACGCCGCAGCAACACCAAAAATATTTCCTCATACCTGTTGTCTTTGTATGAAAGAATGTACCAATATGAAGGTGAGTGGAAGAAATTGTTCTCCTTACATCTAGGACGTTGTTGGTGTATGTTGGAGATTCATCCTGATTTTCAATATAAACTGACATGTTTATGTTTGAGAAAATATCATTTTTAATTGGAGCATGAGTTGACTAACATAGACTGTTATAAAACAAACTGTTGTGAATATAAAACCATAGAAATTATTGTTCAACGTTTCATGGTTAACAACCCTGTTCCAAACTAAAAGGTATGTACCAAAATGTTACGAGCACTAGATCTTTATTGATTTAAAAAATCCCTTTGTGGTATTTGCAAACAAATTTGATCACCTGAAACTAGTCAGGAAACATTTTGTATTAGATTGTTGTAGATGTTTAAGTGGCATGAAATGAATGTTATTGGACTAATCATGCTTGCTGTGTAATCATATGTATAAATCTGCTAAAAATGTGGAAGAAATGTTTTCTTGGACATTGAGAAGAACAAGATGGGTCTGTGCAGAAGAAAAGGATCAATGGAAGATATAGAATGTTTTTATTTTCTTACCTCCAACATATTTATTTTTTGTAGGAGCTTCCGGAGAAGCTCTTTCCAACTCCTTCTGGGGTTAAGATCAAATACTTCTTATTTATTATGTTCTTCAAGTAGCACATTTGGTCTCACCCTTCTTTCTGGTTCCTGCTCTACTATCTGACTTGCCTGACCATTGCATTCCTACAATCAATTCTCGTGTCCTTTCAGTGCTCCATCTGGGATTTGTCCCACTGGGCTTGATTTTTAAAAATTTTTTTTAGGATGCATTATGACCAATCAGTGAACAGGAGGAGTTGATGTGTTTTTAATTGTAGTCTGCCTATACAGGGTTGTAGTTTGGCAACGCCAGAGGAGGAAGTGATGCTGTGAAGTATACTTCTCCATTGATTCTTGGGGTGCATTCACAGCCTTGTGTAGTCCGCTTCCATTAAACGCTCATTGGTTTGCCTAGACGGTCGACCCGGTTTGTTTGGGGAGGCATAAATGGACAATCAATGAAGGAAGCTGACTCAATCAGCTTCCTTCATTGTTCTTATCTATGACCAAACGTTAGCGATTGGGTAAAATCAAATCCAATCGTTGAAAACTTTCAACAGAGTCCATGCCTCCAGCCAGTAATTGCTGAGAGCCTAGATTTTCCATATGAAGCAAAGTATAGAACCACAGTCTGGTTTTTACCAGGCTACCTTCAGAGGAACAAACCACAGTTTTTAATTTTTTATTTGCATATGTCTTAAAGATGGATATTCTGCCTCTCATCCTTTTCCTACCATCCTCTCCCTTCTCAAGCTGTTTTTCTTGCTTGAATTGAACATTGCAAAGATCCTGATGGGATTTCGAAGACGAGAGATATTTCAAGACGTGGAAGACTGAAGAACCAAACGATGGAAGTTCCCAAAGGCTTCTTGTCATTGTTACAATTCTGTAAAATTTTTGCTTTTTTGATAAAGATTGTACTCTTGTTGATGTTTTAATTTTGGGTTCATGCAGTTTTTTTTTTTTTTTTTTGCTTTGTTTTTATTTCTGTGTCTTTGTTCTTTGTTTACTAAATTGAGTAAAATACTGTTTTATTGTCTGAATATACAGGTTTTGATGAGTTAATGTTAGGCTTAACAACAGTGGTGTTTTAATACATCTGTTTGTTGTTCTGAATAGGACTGGCTCTCCCACCAGAACACTAGCCTTCATCTTGACAGCTGCAGACTGCTGAGGTTACGGTGAGTTTAAAATAAACTTTGCTTTCACTCCATAATGTCCCACTGTGTTTCAATAAAAATTCTATTGATGTTCATGGGCTAGGTGTTTATAGATATACTTTGGAACAACAATAACCGCTTAACTATGTGGTATACACAAAGGAATCACAAATATGTTCTTGTTCTCGTTGCCCAAGTTTAATGTTCCTTCAGTTGAGGCCCACATTTTCGAACAACTACGAATTGGTTTTAATCGTTCCTAAGTCAGTTGGTTTCTTGAGTTGTCTCCTTTTGATTTTAATTGGTGTTTTTTCCCCCCAAAGATACCCTGATTGGGATGGGACTACACTGGAGTTATTGAGGTAACTGCTGGATTGGAGTCATAGTTATGACACCTTGTGATCGTTCTCCTTTCCCATTTTTCAACCATGCTTTTCTTTATCATAATTCTCCACAGTGGTCCGGGTAAAGGCACCCAAGCCTCCCCCACAACTCTTGACCAGAGTTTCCATGAGACTCGTTCCCATTCCCTCAGCCCTCATCGCCAACATGGATCAGAGGATAGCAAGGAAAGTCCACACCACTATTATGGGTCAGAGAGTCGAAGACAAAAACGTAGCAGCCGCTCTCGATCACGTAGTCCACAATGCCATCGTTCCTCTGATGGGCAAAGAGAGAGACGAAGTAGCAGATCGCCACATGCCTCCAGGCACTCTCGCAGGTTTTTCTTAAAAATACACCATGATTTTTATATATATATATATATATATAAGAGCCATAAAATTTTGTAAGTTGGTTAAAATTGATCAATTGTTTTGTCTAGGTCCCGCTCTCGTTCCTATGATCGTCCAACCTCGTCTCACCACCGCTCACGTTCAAGAAGTTACGAGAGGCGATCACCTTCTAGGAAGAGGGAAGCCAGGCGGTTGTCACCAAGGAGGAGCTATGAGCGTCGACCGTCTCCAAGAAGAAGCGATGAGAGACACTCGTCACCATGGAGTAGTCGTGAGGCGCGGTCACCAGCGGCGAGATCCGGACCTCAGCATAAGAGGTCCAGAAGTGCCGACAGGCTGGCTAAGAGACTCCTGGAAACAACAGGTCTGAAGAATGCCTATGATATTTTACCTTCAACTTTTAATCAACAAGTAAATTCATGCTGGTAAATCACAAATTGTTCTTCTAGCTGTCCAATCTCTGTCCAAACAATCTAACCTGGAGGCCATGGTTAAAACACTGGCTCCTGCGTTACTGGCTGAACTGGCTAAGATGAAGTCCTCTTCCAACACAGAGAAGAAGACATCTTCTGCTAAATCATCTAAAGCCACATCCAGCCGTCCAAAGAGCGGAAAAAGCTCTTCAGCGAAGCCTATGGTAAGTTTCAATTGACAAATTGATACGAAGCCTTGTTTGATCTGTTTACTCTGACTTTGGGCTGTGATTCTTCAAAATAAAAGTTGCAGAGAAGAAGCAATCAGTTTACATCTCCTTAATTAAAACAAATGTCCAAAGGTTTTAAAACTTGAGACTTAACATTGTTTAAGACGTTTTTAACAAATAAGAAAAAGATTGGTGCTTCATGTTTTTATTTTTTTATTTATTTTCTGTTTCTTCAGTCTGCTGAGTCTGCTGGCAAGGTGAGGCTCTTTAGCGTTTCTGCTTCTCTTTCCCATGATGACATTTTTGAAGCGTTGGAGCAATTTGGAAAAGTCAAAGAAGTGATTATAGCAAGAGCATCACTACAAGTATGTGGTATACATCTAATTAATTATTTTAATGACCAACAATGTGTTGATGTATCCAAAAAGCAGATGAGTGCGATAGGTAATTTGATTGCATATTTTCTTCTTTATTTTTGTTTGTATTTGTAGGCAATCATTCATTTTGAGAAAGAGGCAGATGCAGAGAAACTGAAGAAATTAAAATGCTTGCAAGTGAAAGGACTGACTGTCTATGTTGACAAAAAAATGGTAATTCACTTTCACTTTTGCTTGACAAATTCACCACGCTCCATAACAGAGCTGAATCCGAATCAATGTTATTTATTTACAGAATATTGTTTCCAAGAAACCTCAGTCGGCGCAGAAGTCAGCTCCACAGAAGTAAGTTTTGCTCACAGTAACACTTAATTTGAACTATACTGTACAAAATCTTTATGTTGGTTTTGACAAAACTAGACTCCATTAAAAATATTAGTCTCAAATATGTTTGATTTTAAAGTAAGAAATCAAGATCAAATACTGGGCTACATCAGAATCAGCTTTAACTTTGTGTCTATTTTGCTCTCAATGAAGACATTTAAGAGGAGAATTATGCATCATTCATATATTCATAGTTTTCACAAAAGAGGAAGATGAGGTTGAATTGATGTAAATAGGCATGGTATCGACCTGGGCTCTGACAGTAAACAGAGCAAATTTCTTTTCTTTGATTCAGATATTCTCCTCTTACTTCATCCTTTGTGACTTTTCTCTACAGAAAGTCTGCAGAGTCCAGTACAACATTCACCGGAAAAGATAAGACACCTGCATTACCTGGAGCTAAAACCATCACAACAGGCAAAGTTGCTACAAAAGCAAAGGGTGTCCCCACAAAGCAAGTAGCTGTAAAGAAACCCAATACAGCTGGAAAAAGTGCAGTAAAACTGGTTGGAGATTCAGGGATCCATAAAACCAAAAGTCCAGTAAAGACATCTAATGCCGATGATTCTACAAATGAAGCAACAAACACAAAACCTGAAAATTATGAAATGAAATCTGAAACTCCCAGTGAGACTGCTGAGGTGATTAAGATGTTGGATACAACTGTCGGGGATGAACATAAAGAGGAGAAAATGGCGTCTCTAGTGAAGGAAGTGACTCATGAAGCAGAAACATCATCAAACCCAGTGAAGGCTGAAACCCAACCAGACACTTTGGGTGTGAAGGACTTGGAGTTCAAATCAGCAACATCGGAAAACCAGCCGGTTGCTGCCAAAGCAGAAAGCGAAGAGCTCCCCCTGGTGACCAAAACTGTGGACATACTGGAAACCTCTGAGGAGAACCAAGTAGAAGAATGTCTCAAAGTGGATTCTGTAAGGATCAAAGTTGAAGATGTTGAACCTGGAAAGACTGAACCAGAAGAACCCATGGAAATTTTGAGCTCTGCTGAGTCCAAAGACCAAGTTTCAGAAACTGTAAAACCAGCTGCTAGAGTTAAAACGCCACCATGTTCGTCGTTTCCACGTAAAACCTCTGCTGATCCACCTCAAACTCAGCAAACCACTGTGAAAACTGAAGAAATGTCAGAGAGAGACTCACTGCAGGAACAGCCATGTCCGATGGAGGAATCAGAACCCCCAGCAGGAAAGGTAAAGACAGAAACTGAGCAACTACAGTCTCCAAAGAAGATGGAAACGATGCAAAAAGGTTAGTTTGAAACGGTTTCCATCCAGTTGCCATGCAAAGTTTGAGCAAACTTTCAAAATGACGTAAAGTAGAAATGCACATTAGGAAAGAATGTTGTCCTGATAATTAACTCCAGTGTTTTTAGAATTCATATGAGCATGATATAAAAATAAATCTTTGTGTGAATTAATTTATTTTTACTCAGAACAATCTGCGACAGACGTAAGCAGTCATCTGACACCAGAACTTGTGAGCGACGTTGTAGCCGTGAAGCTTGAGGAACCAACATCTGCCGGAAAGAAGACTGCTGATGGCACAGCGGCACCAGCTGACGTTCTCTCCCTCACAGCCACGGTGAAGACAGAAAAGCAGGAGCAACAAAAAGAAACAAGTAAGAAGTCTGTCAAACAACCTCAATATTTGAACATATGTTCAGTTTGCACATCATTTCTCCCTAAAACAACTTGTCTTACAGAACGCACACCACAGAAAACTGTCAAGTCCTCAATGGTAAGTTTTATTTACAAACTCTACTCATAAATATTGTTCATCATTTGTGTGGAAGTTAGCATCCAACTTGATTAATGTTTATTTGGGTTTTGGAGAAGGCTAATCTTTATCTGTGGATGACGGTTCAATTATTGTAAGATCATGAGATTCTCCATTTGATGTTTCACTGAATTTAAAAACCAAAAAGTCTCCCTTGCATTTCATTACCAGTAATATCAGCTAAGAGCATGTTAAAGCTGAGAGCCTCTTGACTGATATTAGAATATGAGGATAATTATTTAGTCAGAAATAATGCAGAAAATAAACATTAATTTTGCAAAATACATGGAAGAATCCATTGTAGCAAATTTGCTACAATTTGCTGCAAGTTTAATTTGAGCAAAATGTCCAAATATAAATATCAGAATCAGTTTCATTCAGCACTCAAACCAGGAATTCACCTTCAGTTCTGTTTTGCTCTTAATAAATATGTGTAGGTGTACATGGGAGGAAGACGAGGTTGAACTTGTGCATTATGCATGAAATCGTTCTGGGCTGTCAAATACTTTGTCCTTTTGTACCTTTTTGCTGTGTAATATTAGCTTTCTGTTTTGTTCGCAGCCTCTTTCAAAAGATTCACATAATGAGAAACAACCTCCACCTCAAACCTGTGCCTCAGTTTATCCAACTCCAGCAGAACCCATCCAGTCAGGTTCTGTCAAAGCAGATATGAAGGCTGGCAAAAATGAAACGGAGGTTGTTGCAATCCCGACTATGTCTCGTAAGTCCAATGAAAATTCTGAGAGAAAGCAATCACCCAGAGCTCCAGTCGTCCCTGCAGAAAAACAAACCATTCCTGTTCCATACACCTCCACCACGTCAGTCACAGCTTTGGGCAAACTGCAGGATGATGACGCTGAACTTCCACAGATCGATGAAGATTTCTTTAGGGCGCTCACAACAGCACTTCGTGAGCACAGACTAAGACAGGGAGAAAAGAAAACAAGTGAAGAGGTGAGACTGGCTCTAAATCATGGCATCTGGATGTTGTTCTTGAAACTACTGCTAGTAACCAGACAGCCAATAAAGTTCTGAACTTCAGAGTTATCTAAAAATGCTTAAAAAGTCAGAAAACTGATGTTTTTATTCGATTCTTTAGAGTTCCACCATAAGCAAAACGACCTCTGAAGGTATGAAGGAGGAATACACACCACTCACACAGGTAAATTAGCAGTCGTTTTCCCTAATTATGATAGTTTTGGATTATATTTTTTTTGTATTTTCCAAATATTTTGCTAAAAACTGTTGACATGTAAGATTTTGCCTTTTATTGTGAATCAAATTAATCGCAACTATGGTTCCTTCTCCACCCAGGATGAAAGCAAAGAGGAGGATAATTACTCAGATCCTTTTGATGAGTTTGACTTTAACTTTGGAGACTTTGTGACTGTTGATGAGATTAGTGAAGAAATGGATGACACGCTGGTTGAAACAGAGGTTGAAAACACCTCTGTTTCATTAGAGTCGATATCCAGAGCTACAACAGAAAAGCTAAGCCCAGATGTGTCCTCTGTTGCCAGTGAGACCTCAACAAGGTCTTCAATAACCTGCAAGATCTCAACTTCTTCCTCATCCAAGTCTGAAAAAGGCAGTGACTCTTTAAGTTCCGCGTCCGAGCCCGAAAACAAGCAGAAACTTTCCTCTGAACCTCCCAAATTTGAAACCAAAACCTCATCTGTTAGTGGCGTTAAACCTAAAAGTTCCTCCACTCCTTCTAATTCTTTAAAAACTCCACTTTCATCTCAGTCAAACAAGAGTCAACCTCTCGTTAGGTCATTAGAAACATCCTCTGGTCGAAGTACTCGTTCATCAGCAGCAGCCAACAAATCATCTGTAGGAACTCAGCAGGTGGGTAAGAAGGATGTAAAACCTAAAGAGAGTGTAGTGGCAAAGTCTGACCACCATGTGTCAGCAGAGAGCTGTTCTGCAAATACTGTTGAGTCACAATTGAGGATAAAAACATCGAAGATTCAACCCACAGAGGGACAGAGCTCACAGATCCAGAATCTAAAGACAGATTTTAAAAATGTCAAAGAGATGAAGAAAAACGAAGTGAAGGATAAGAAAAAAGACATGGATGGCAAAAGCACTGAGGAAAAGGGAGGCAATAATGGGAATAAACAAATTCTTGATTCCTTCAAAGAAAAATCTGATGAACAGAAAAACAAGGATGGCAATCAAGACAGAAGAACTGAAATTCAAATGTCTGGAGTTGAGCAAGACCAGCTCATTCTTCAAGGAGCTAATAACAATAGTCCATCAGATGGGTGCCAGGAAATGGAAGTAGATGAATCCACCAAGCTGCAGGACTGCGCACTTAAAAATCAGGCTGCCACAGCCCATGATGAAGAAACCAACCAGACTCCAAATAGCAGTAGCGTAAAACAAAATGACATTCGTTTATCCGAGAGAGTCTGTGAAACCTCCAGAGAGTTTGGTCAGAACTCTAATGAAGAAGACCAAAATGACAGCAGACACTTTGACACTTTGAAAGACCAAAAACTTGTAGTTCCCACAGACCTACTGTCTAAAGCAGATGATGAAGAGGCTTATGAGGTCATAGATTCATTGGACGATCAACAAGCAACCACTGAGGCGGAATCGGAAAGGGAGAAGAAGGAACAAAAAAAGAAAGAAAGCACAACCACTTGTGGAGGTGATGGACCGACCAGAAAAGGACGTTCAAGAAGCCAAACATTTAAAAGTGAAGAGAAAGAAAATTCACCAAAGCAACAGGACAAAACAAGAACATATGTGACACAAAGAAAGGACGGCAAAATAGAAAAAGAAGAAGAGAGTCTTGAGGATTTCGAGGAAATGGTCTATGAAGTTGTGGACTCCATTGAAGACGATTCTGTTCAAGAGCCCTCAACGACAGGGAATTCTAGTAGGAGACGAACACCAAGACGAAACAAAAAAGATGAAAAGACATCACCTCCTGTAGAAGAACCTAAAAAATCTGATGATGAAGAAGAGGAAATGTTCACAGTTTTAGACTCTGTGGAAGAAGAAAGTCCCAGTGACAAACCAGTGGTGGCGAGATCGACTAGAGGAAGAAGACAAAACATAGCAAAGAAAGTTGAAGAAAATACTAAAATGAAACAAGACAAGACCCCCACAAGAAGAAGATGCACACCAGTCAGAGATTCTAAGGAGAAAGATGGTGAGAAAACTCCAAAAATAGATGTTCCTCTAAAGAAAAGTACACCAACGAAGAGTGACTCTGCTGTACCAAGCACTGGTGATGAGGACACTGTCTGTATGGAATTGGATGCTGTTGTCTATGACCAACCAACTACACAGAAACCAAAAAGAGGAAAACCAAAGGACAATAAAACAAGTCAAAAACAAAGTGAGGAGGAAGAAGAGCCTGTTTATGAGATTGTAGATTCTGTAGAAGAAGATCAAGAAAATACCATGACAGTGACATCCAGACAAGAAAATGAGACAAAAGTTGAAATGACTGCAGACGTGAACATTGTTTCGCTTACCAAAGTGAAAGAAGATAAGTCCCCAACAAGGAGACGCACACCAGCCAGAGATGCTAAGGAAAAAGACAGAGTTCAGCTAAAGGAAAGTGCACAAACAAAGAAGAGTGACACTGCTGTAGCAAGCACTGGTGAAGTGGACGATACTTATAAGCAATTGATTGCTGTTAAGGAAGGCCAACCAAGAACACAGAAATCAAGAAGAGGAAGACCAAAGAAGGACAATAAAACAAGTAAAAAACAAAGTGAGGAAGAAGAAGAGCCTGTTTATCAGATTGTAGATTCTCTCGAAGGAGATCAAGAAAACACCATGACGGTAGAATCCAGTCTTAATGAAGACAGTGAGCCAAACATTAAAATGACTGCAGATTTCAACACAGTTTTGTTTACCAAATTGGGTGAAGACAGAACCCTCACAAGACGACAATGCACATCGACCAGAGATTCCCATGAAAAAGATGTAGTTTCTCTAAAGGAAAGTACACCAACACAGACGAGTAATGCTGCTGTTGTAAACACCAGGGAGGAAGACACTATTATTGAAGAACTGGATGCTGTTGAGAATGGCCAATCAGCAACCCAGAAACCAGGAAGAGGAAGACCAAAGAAGAAGAATAAAACCAGTAAAAAACTGACTAAGGAAGAAGAGACCGTTTATCAGATTGTAGATACTCTAGAAGGTGATCAAGACAAAACCATGATGGTAGCTTCCCTTCATATGGAGGAAACTGAGGAAAAAGTTGAAATGACTGAAAATGTCAACACAGTTTTGTTTTCCGAAATGAAAGAAGACAAGATCCTCACAAGAGGACAATGCACACCAGCCAGAGATTCTAAGGAAAAAGACAGAGTTCCTCTGAAGGAAAGTACACCAACAAAGAAAAGTAATGCTGCTCTAACAAGTACTGGTGATGAGGACAGTACTTATGAAGAATTTAATGCTCCTGAGGATGGCCAACCAACAACACAGAAACCAAGAAGAGGAAGACCAAAGAAGAACAATAAAACAAGTAAAAAGCAAACTGAGGAAGATGAAGAGCCTGCTCATCAGATTGTAGATTCTTTAGAAGATCTAGAAAAAAATGTGAGGGTCGAAGTCAGTCTGCAGGAGGACAGTGAGACAAAAGTTGAAATGGCTGCAAATGCCAACATCGATTTGTTTACCAAAACAAAGGAAGGCAAGAAGTTCACAAAAAGACGACACACACCTGCCAGAGATTCCCAGGAAAATGACAGAGAGAAAACTCCAAAACCAGATGTTTGTATTCCTCTAATGGAAAGTACGCCAACTAAGGAGAATGATGCTAGGCACCTGGGTGGGGAGGAGACTAGTTATGAAGTATTGGATGCTTTTGAGGAAGAGGTTGTTGAGCAAGCAAGACGAGCATCAAGGAGGGAAAGACCAAAGAAAGACAATAAAACGAGTGAAAAACCAACAGAAAATCTGAAGGTTGACTCACCCAGAAAGGATGAAGAAGAAGCAACATATCAGATTCTTGACTCTGTTGAGGATGAAGTGGTTGATGACGTAGCTCCTGTAGACCAATCTGAGTGTGCAAAAATGTCAAGCACTTTTGAAGATGATGACATAACAAAGGAAATGATTAGGTCACTATTAAATAAGGAGGAAGGAGGGACTATTTATCAAATTGTAGATTCACTGGAAGAAGATCATGTTCAAGAAGAGATGATGACAGAAACAGCCATGCAGGAGGAGAGTGTGACAACAGGAGATATGATAGCAAGTACTGACCATACACTGTCCAGCCCCTCAACTGTAGAACCATCCGAACAAACAGGTGGACAGAAGGAGATTCAGTTAGCTGGTAAAACATTGGAAGATAAAGAGGATTCATCTATTAAAGGCTCTGATACAGAGGGGAAGGAGAGTACATTGGAGGTTGATATTGTAGAGAAAGATGAGTCTTCAAATAAGCCAAATGATCATCTTTGTGCATCAGAGGAGAATATGCCAACATCACCGAAGAGCAAGGACACAGAAGCAACCGAAAATATTCTTGTGAACCTGGATCAGGTGAGCGAAGATGAGGAAGATTTTCCTGATGACGCGGCAGAGGAAGAAGAGTTGAAGAAAAGGCAAGCTGCTGCTAAGAAAAGAGAAAATGACCGTGAGGACAAAAGGTCCAGGGAAAGAGAAGCTATGGAACGAAGGAGTCGAAGCAGCAGCAAAGGACGGAGTAGGAAATCAACATGGGAACCGGAGAAGACGAGTCAACAAGATTTGGAAAAGGTGGAGGTAGACGCCCAGGATCTGGTAGCCCAGGATCTGGTAACCCTCGATGAGGTGGGAGGAGATGAAGTCGGAGAGGAAGCTGTGACAGAGGCTCCAACATGGAAAGTGGAACTCACAGAGGGAGAACTGCAGGATCTCGTTACATTGGATGAGATTGTTGAGGAAGAGGAAGGACAGCTTGAAGCCCCGCCTGAGAGTCTGGGCTTCTCTAAAGTCAGAGGACTCTCTAAACTCAGACTCTCAGACTCTCTAAAGTCAGAGGTATGGTTGAGATCCAACTATATCTTGTTTGAATCGAACATTATGTCACAAATAGCATTATGAATCTCACTGGCTTGTTTGTCTCCTTTTAGACCTTGACAGAAATCGCCCAGACTGAGGACAACAAAGATGACGATAATCATCCAAAAGAACGTTCAAGCTCTTCTAAACATAAACTCGATGACATCACAGGTTTGTGACAAATGTCCTTCGAAGACGTCGTCAATCTTTTTGGTTTAATCTCATATTGAGAGGCAACAGGTCTAGGATAAGAGTAACCAGCTTCATTATGCTGAAAATCCTGAACTGAGGCTGAAGAGTTAACGTAAGCCACAAATTCTGCTTGGTAAAACAAGCCCCCTGGCGTTCACGACACAAAGAAATGTTTTCTTTGTGTGGTTTCATTCAGCGGTTCTTGGTCCAGGAGAAAAACCAGGTGCTCAAAGGGTTTTGTTTGTTTATTCATACAGTGCAGTATGAAAGCGAACCGCTCCAGTTCAAAATTTAACAAATGTTGTAATTTTACCCCTGAATCGAACCGAGTCTAAAAAAAAACTATTGAGCGTGAAAATACCATAAGATTAATTTTGTTTTATAGACCAGTTTATTCTACTATGCTGGAAATAAATCTCTGAATAGAAATAGGAGCATATTGAAACATTTATATTATTATAAGTCTATGTTCAGTTTTAACATTTTTCATGTTGCTGTTTTGCGTAACTTCGTTCTTAATCTAAAACTCAGTTTTGAAAAGAGTATTTTGTACAGACCAGTACTAGGTTTGAAGACGAGTGTCAAATGGTTTAATCTTTTGTTTTAGAGGAAAATGGGAAGTTTGTCACTGTTGATGAGGTGGGAGAGATTGAAGAAGAGGAGGAAAAGGAAGCGGTAAAAAGAACCGGTCGACCCAAGAAGAGATGCCGACTGACTCCTGGTAAACACTAACACAACTGTTTAAAGCTTCTGTTAGACAGCAAAGCTTCAAACTCAATTTACTAATTTCCTTCTACAGTGAGAAAAGCTACCAGAGGCAAAACAGTGAAGGAAGAAAATCATAGTCAAGAAGAGGGAGAAAATAAATCCCTTCCACCTGCTTCACTGGATTCCTCCTCGACTCTGGACACACCTGGTCCATCAGGTGACGTTCAGTCTGAGACCCAGAGGAAAGAGGAGGGGAAGAACACCGAAGCTGTTTCTACCGAACATCAACCTCTGCCTAATGATGGACTGAAATTAGGATTTGAGGAAGCAGAGAAACAAGAGCACAGAAGAGCCGGTGTTAAAGGTATATAACATGTTAAACACCACGATACAGGCTGATGTCCCAAAAGCCTATGTGCACATTTCTAAAGAATGATTTTTTTTTCTCCAAAAAAGACCCATGAATAATCAGGGGTTGCTGAAACACTTGAAAACTGAATGTGTATAATAGCACTTTGCACCAGTCTAATGGTTGAATCATCTAAATAATAGATTACAAACAATAAATATCTTTGCAATTAATTGCGATTAATTACAGACCTTGCAATGGTCTGTAATTGTATTGTAAAAACATGTGTGTATTTACAATTCGATACTTTAAAAAAAATAATTGTGAGCAGCTTCAACAGGTTTGTAGAAAAGCCAATATGAATTTGTAGTTACGGCTTACCTGTCATATTGCCAGCAAAAATATATTTTTTATATTTTACCATAGACCAGTTGGTGTACAGTTTCAACCGTTCCCAAATTCTAAAACAAGTTTTACTGCTTAAATGTTAAATCTGAGGTAAAATAAGTGGGGAAGACTTCACCCTGTACTCATGATCTTTGTTCTTTTAGTTGTGGATAAACGGACACAGGAGCCAACTGGACCCGAAGCAAAACGATCTCGCTCTCAGTCTCCGAGTGTCTCTCTGAACCTCCAGCTGCCGCCATTTAATCCCAAAAATCCTCTGGGTGAGAAACACACACATTAAAATAACAAAACAAGAAAAATGGATGCAAATTGGGATCATTTCCTGTTTTCTTCCTTTTTCTGCCCAGGTAAGGAATTTGTGAATCCCACGTCTGGGTTTTTCTGCAGTTTGTGTTCTGTTTTTTACCTAAACGAGGACACGGCCAAGGAACTCCACTGCAGCAGCCGGGAGCATTACGACAACCTGAAGGTATGCACAAACAGCTCAAAGTTCATAACACGAAACCTTTACTCAATCTTGGTCTTTCATTGTCTTCGTTTCCTCTTTCTCAGAACTATTACCAGAGACTTCAGCAAAATGTGCAAGGCTCGCTCTCGGACTGATCATCTTAAACTGCAGATTATTTTCCTGGAACATGAGAAACCACCCAAGCTTTCCAGCACCCATGATGGTTTTAGCTCTAACTTTTAGTTTCTTTATCTTTTTTTCTTAAATCTTTCAGTATTTCATCAGTTTTTTTGTACTTTCTTTGTGCATAACTTATATATTCCACAGCTAAGAGTGGTAAATGTACATATTTAGGAGTTGTTCGCTCCTAACTTAAGAAGAAAAACAACTAACAGTTAGTGCCAACTCAATACATTTCGAGATATACAGGCAGTAAATCAAATACTGTTTACTAGTGTGGACTGTTCAAATGATAGATTTATTCTACAAATCAAAAGGTTACGTTACATCAACTTTTTACATTAATTTGTCAGTGTTACAGCATAGTGCATCAGTTTCATGTAAAGTTGAGTTCAGTTTTATTTAAGCATGACTTGCTAACAGTACCTGACTAATGGAAGCTGCTGTTCTGCATTTAGTTTTGTAGTTATGAGACTCTGCTTTTGTTTGTTGGGACTTTTCTCTTTAAATAAGGGTACAATGTGTTGTTTAATTTCTTTAAGTTTATTTTAAAAATACAACGAAAATGTATCGTCACATGTAAACATAAAGTGTAATTATCTGACTTGAACGTAAATTTTTGTTTGTGTGTGACTGAGTAAAGATTGTTTATCATTTTGAATTCCTTTCTGTTGTTACTTTACTGATGACTGAGATGATTAAAAATCAATTTAAACATCACTGGGTTTTTTAGTATATGTACCACACACACGAGCCAACTTTGTCTTACTACTTTTTTTTGCCACTTTTTAACCTGAACATTTTTTTCTTGTTCATATTAAAATTGAACTCCTGTTCTTCGCCTTAATCAAAACTTAAAGAGTAATATCTGGCTGAAAGAATTTGATCTGAATGTCTAAATCTAATATTACTTTTAAATGAAAAATGATAGTCACTTATGATTAATTAATTAGGGTTAATAATTGCATTGAGTTCCTTTATTGTCATTAGGTTTAAAAATACTTTTTGTCTTAAGGCACTAAATGACGAATTTTCTACAGCTTATATGTAAGTCATAACATTTTAAAGTTTTAGTTTGTACTTGACGTTAAAATGTATGTTATGATCGTCAAGGGGATTTTTTTTTTTCAGCATTCGGGATCCCTTCACTGGATCTTAGCTTTCATGCTTTTACGCTGAAGTTTCTCAAACCGGAAACAATTAAAGGTCATATCCGTTCACCGATGCTATGAACGGAAGTCGTGAATGGAGGAGGCTAAAAATAAATCTTGAATCGACCCGTGGAGCTGTTTGAATTCCTGATAAGTGGACTTTTACCACACTCTTACCGAGTGGTATGTAACTGAAGTGAATGTAAAAAGTGCAGAATGATAAGTTGCTGCGTTCGAGTTGCATTTTGACCGTTTGTGTTCCCCTGTAGCCGAGGGAAATGTTAGCATTAACGTTGCTTCATGTAAAATGAATTTAACATTTATCGACTGGTAACGGAGCCGAATGAAAAATAATTTGATGTTATTGCGATATAACATATTTAAGGGGGCGTCTCGATGATAAATATTTGTTTTAATGTGATTTCACTGTTTGCTTGAGAATTGTTTATGCTGCATATGGTTTTCCAGGTCAAGTGGCGCTAGCATAGCCCCATTATAGCTCGGTTTCCTTCCCCCCGTTTACCGAGCAGCTCTGTAACAACTTCCTACTGTCACGAAGACTGTGTGAATGGAGCTGTGAAACGGTTTATACCGGGTTATTATGTTTTCCACCCGAATAATCATCTCCTAGCTGACCACGACGCTGGCTGACCTGACTGAACCCTGACCAGAAAGACAGCAAAGGACTGGGAGACTATTTAAGATATAATTAATACATACTATCATCTTACGAACTCGTCTTTCTTACCAATTTTCCTCAACTTTCTTCTTGATTATAGTTTTAAAGATGGTCATAGTTTAAGACATTTAAGTAGCAACCACCTATAAATCAGTACTTATCACTTAACCTGGAGGAGTTGACAAACAATGTTTGCCATTGATTTCATTTTCTTAGTTTTTGTGTACTGATACCAGTCACATTCCCTATGGAAAGTATAGGCTCTGTTGGTGTACAACTGGGATGCAGAAAAATATGAAAAACACGCTTCATATATGACTCATGATTCAAGACAAAGCTTCTTCTTTTCCAGCATCACCCACAAACTCATTCTTGTGTACATTCAAATCAAGTGTACTCGGTGTGTAATAATTACACACTAAGTAATGACAAGCCCCTGTTTTAACATGCAATTAGATGTAAATGTGTTTTTCATTTGCAGGATAAAACTATGTCCTCACACTGGAAAGCCAGTTTTTTGGAAACTCTTATGACAGATACATGTGTGTTTAAAACCAGACAAATATGTAGAATAGAATAAAAATATGTGGCTAAAAGACTTTATTTGTTTAAGCAAATGCAACAAAATCAAAACAAACAGATTCTAAGGATATATTAATTCTAGTCACAATATTTTCTATATTCATTCTTAAATAGGGGAAACATTAGTTTTCTATTCTTTCTCACTTATGAAGACCTGAATCGTTTTAAGACATCTGCCTAGCTAACAGAAGAGTTGGCTAATGGGCAGGGAACTTCTAATTGTTGGATCTCATTCATCCACCAAGCTAAAGTCTAGCCCCAGTCTCTAACTCAATTCTCTGTTCCTTTAAACTTTTCAGCTTTTCTTTGCTTTTGTAGAATTGCAGCCTGTGTTGTGCTTCTGCGCACCGAAGAAGCCCCCCTGTTGGCGGGCTTCCCGGGAGCTTTCCACTGCCCAGAGGGCAGGCTCCATCTTTCCAGTTGGGTCAACTAGATCTATGAACAATGTCCTCCTGGTCTGCAGCTGTCCTGTGACCTGAACGACAAACTCCCAACACACCTGCTCGGGACTTACCGACAAAACCACTTTTGCAGACTGTATCGGTCTCCTGAACCTTCTGAAGACTGCTGACACCATGTCTCATCCCATGTATAATCCTTTCAACACGGGAAAGAGGATGCGACCCCAAGGACCATATGTACACTCTGGTGGACAAATGGAGATGAACCCTCAGAGGCCACCACTTCACCCTGGTGCTGGTTCCAATTTCGGCTCTTCTGGATCTACTGCCATCAACTGTGAACCATCTGGAGGACCTATTCCAAGCCTTCTGAGTTTACAAGTAAACTACAGACCTGAGAGAAGCACTGTACCAATAGAGGACATAGACCAACATTTGGACTTGAACATCAGCAGAGCCAGGGAGGAGGCTATGCAAAATTCTGCAAGCCAAAACACCCAATTTACCAATGTTCAAAGAGACATGTTTCCATCCACAAACACCGGGATGCAGTCATATTTGCCACCTGCTGCTGCTCAAGTGAACAGACCCTTCACTGTTGATAGAGGCAGCACCTCCTTGAACTGGGCCTCGGCAGAAGAGTCCTCAAAAATGTATCCTTCTGCTTCACCCAGCTTCCTAGGCTGTGGTGAGGGTGGGAAGCAGTCATTTGTTGGTTTGGGTAATTATGACCCTTCTATGTCTGACAAATCTGCACCTGCTCAGGAGTCCATGCACACTTCAAAATTGGACATCCTCCAGCAGTTTGGGCTTTTGAAGGAAGACCTGCAGCAACTAACGTCATACTCCGAATACCAGATCACCCCCGACAACCTGCCTTTCATCTTAAGGCAAATCCGACTGGAGAAGGAGAAGAGAGTGCCAACTTCAGTTCACTCAACATCGTACGGTGAAGCTCAACCCATGAGGAGTATGGGTGAGATGGAAAAGTTGATTGGCTCCAGAGGGCCAGTGTTGGATCCAGATCAAGTAACTTTGACAGTTGTCAATCAAAGCAAAGTGATTGACTATAGACATTCCTCAAAGTCAGAGTTGACCCCTTTTGGACAACTGAACAAGGACACAGATTTAAGACAACTCATGTCTGAAGGTCCATCGAAGAACCCTGGACACCCTGGACCAGCTCACCAGGCAGCCTCCGAAACCCAAGTGTCCAAACCACCCTCGAATTTGATCCGTGGAGTTCATCCTGGGCGCCCTGGGCTTGTGCTTATTGGCAGCAATGTCCACAGTCGTGATGACCACCATCTCAAATCTACAGGGCAAGCCTCAAAAGCTCCTGATCTGGATATGAAGAATAAAACCAAGGCTGGACCAAAGAAGCAGCTCCAGATGCACCAGGGACCTCGACGGCCTAAAGATTTTCCTGTGACGAAGCCAGCACCACTTCTACATCATATGCATCCTGCTCCACCTAATCCAGGGCCAGGCAAGATGGATGCTATGACTCGTGGTGGGCCGCCAAACCATCTTCCGCCACTAGCCCTGATGGAAGACTGCTCTGCAGCAACACCAAGACTATTTCCTCATACCTGTTCTCTTTGTATTAAACAATGTACCAATTTGAAGGTGAGTGGATGGTTGCAGATTTCTCCCGTAGCAAGTAGGATATGGTTATGTGTGTTGAACATGTTCCTGCTGATTTTTTTTTGTTTTTGTTTGACTAAATGTGAAGCTTAAGAAAAGGCATAGATTATTGTTTTGCCTAGACTATCAATCATGCGTTCAAAATGTAGGATTTTGTACCAAAATGTTTCTATTTTTGATAGTTCTGAACTATTTTGTAATTTGATTGATAGAACTTTGCGATTTTGAAGTAATTTGAACGGCCAATCATCAGAAAATTTCTGTTTAATTGGACTTATAGAGATTTATTTAGGATAACGAAGATGTTACTAGATTAGCCATTATTTTTTCATAACTGCATATGAAAGTATGTGGAACCAAGCTGTGTTTCAACTGACGAAAATGGAAATGAGTGGCTTTATGGACGTGAACAAAAACAATCTGGAATAGTCGACAGATCATTGGGACTTGACAAGAGGTTTTGAGTTTTTGCCGAAGGAGGTAAGAGGATACATTTTCATTGGGACCATTTATAACTCCTGATGTTGGAGTTAAGAGGATGTATTTTTAAAACAAAACTTTTTGTTTCATTTAAAGTTTGTATTTTTGAAATATAAATATTACTGAGCCTTGCAGCAAGAAAGCCATATGCTTAAATCCCGGCCTCTGGTATTTCTGCATGTTTTCCCTGTGCATGTGTGCATTCTCTCCAGGTACTCTGGTTTCCCACACTCCAAGTACTTACAGAGGTTAATTGGTCTCTCTAAATTGCCCTTAGTTATGAATGTGTGCATGTATGTTTTTCCAGTGTATCTCTGTTGCCCTGCGATCGACATGCAACCTGTACAAGGTTTACATAGACTCTGGCTCATTGTCTGAGGTACTCACCACCATTCAAGGACCAATGGCTACGGATGATGGATGGAACGGTTTCCCCCCCTTCTGGTCCACAGTCATCTCATTCTTCAGCTGTAATGCCCCTCCTGGAGTGTTTTTATCCTGACATGATGCGGACCACCTTCCAGATGACCCTTCAGGAACCTCAAATTCGGAAGAAGACCAGAGAGATGGACACTAGAGTTGCCCAAGCTCCATACGGAGCCCATCTAGCTTTTGCTGACTTTGTGAAAATGTTGAAGACATTGGTTATTATATCCGTGATTTGTAAATTGTTGCATTCAAGATAAAATGTAATATGATTATGTTTAGGTTTTATAGGGTATGGGTACAGAATTTTGCTAGCATTTCTTTTTGTTTTATTGCAAACAGCTGTTTAGTTTATTGGTTGCTTAATGTTTTAACATAAAGCAAAACATTTGAGATTTTATAGATGTGTAAGCATTTTTTTTTAAAGATTTCACAACTTACTTTGGAGCAGTATTTCTCATTTCTGGTCGTCAAGGATCACTGACCTGCATGATTTAGGTATTAACCTTGTGCCACACACCTGACTTGAATAAGTGGGTGATAAACATGACTTGATGGCATGCAGAGTAGGTCATGCAATCACTTGAATCAGGTGACACATCTAAAGTCTTCAGGGCAGTGACCCCTGATACTGAAATTGAGAAAAACTGTTTTAGGATATGCTAACAATTAAGGTGTTTAAAGCATTTGTTTGTTGTGATTAGGACTGGCTCTCCCACCAGAATACTGGCCTTCATCGTGGGAACACCACACAGCTGAGGAACAGGTCAGTCTTAAATTTTTAATTTCTTTTTGTGTGTCTAGCCGGACATTATCCACAATTAACTTTTGGGTGTTGTAAAACAGAATCAGCTGGGTCAAGAACCCTACTATAATGTTTGGATGATACTTTGTCTTTCAGGTTATGTCTGTGAGTTGACATAATTCATGTCTTACTATTGATGTTTTCTGAAAGAGCTAGCCAAATGTTAGCATGTTTGCTTGGTCTTACAAATCAATATTTTGGCTTCTAAAATATTTCAGTGGTCCTGGTTTATCATCCAGTAAGAACATTATCTAAAACATTGTTTTCTGTCATAAACTTGAGTCTTAAATTTGAGTTTGTTTTTTTTTAATGTATTGACTAGCATTCTCTATCCTGGAAATATTCAATAATGCAGGCAAAGCGGACCTGCAGCAGCCAAAACAGTCTCTATTTTACTGTGAACATCTTCCTTTCCTACCGGGTGGTAAAACACTACATTTGGGAAAACCAAACATTTTAGGTAAACAGAACAATGCATTGTGAACTAATTATGTTTTGCCAGGTGTACACATGAAAGTTGTCTAGGAGTTTCACAACTTAATTGTATGGTTTGATACGTCACTGAGGGCATAACTTCAAAACAATCAAGAACAAGAACAGTGAGCTCCTGGTATTTGTTTTGGTTAAGGACCACAGCCACCTGTGAATAGATAAAATCTGCTTGAGATCTCATCTAAAATTGCTTAAATCAATCACCAAAAATACCTTGTTATGCAGTAACATAGAGGAAGCCATCTTGGCACTACTGCAGAAAATCAACATCTACTGTGTTCCTTACCCACTTTTAAGGTCAACAGCCAATCAGTGTCAAGGAAAATGCATTGTTGTGCAATGCATATCGCTCCTGGATTGGTGTGCAAAGTCCAGCCATAGTGTTTCAGTCTCATTTTAGAAATGACTCGATTGGAAGCGTGGTGTTATTTATACCTTGGATCACATCCATTGTTCTTCTACCAGGCTGTTTTTTTTTCTGTTATTGTCCACAAAAGAATCCCAGAAGTTTTGATTTTAATTGGTATGTTTGGTTTTCCTCAGATACCCTGAATGGGATGGAAGGACTCCAGAGTTTTTGAGGTAACTCTGACCTTTCAACTGGGTTGCATTCATAGTTATTTGGGATGCATGATGCATTAATATTGGTGTACATTTGCATGTTGCAGTTTGTGGTGTTGGAGGGGGAGTGAAGGAAACTTTATTTGTGACAAAAAACTTTTTTTCTAGCAGTCAAAACTATGGTGTGTATATATTTAATGTCAAAATTTTAAATAATTCAACAAAAGCATAATTAACGAGCAACAATCGAACAGAAAAAACAAACAAAAAACAACTTCTCTTACATAAAACGACAAAGGAAGCTGTCATAACTTTCATGTAGATGATGGCATCTTGACATAAATTTAGTCAAAACCTCGAGTTTTTAACATCTGAAAACATAGCATAGTTAAATTTCTCATAAAGGATCAAACAATCTCTTTTATCCAAAGTGAGTCTTCATGTTCGTTATCAAGGTAGATTTTACTTATCTTATTGTTTGATTCATAGATCTGTGAGGAGAGAAATTGAAGAGAAATTGTTTTCGGATGTCAATAAACCAAAGTTTGGACCACAATACTTTGATCTTAAGAGGTTAATATTATCATAAAGAATTGCTTGTCAATACATTCATTATTGTGACCCTGTTTTACAACTTTACTGCCAGAGCTGACACTGATATTTAACGTCAGAATTCAGTCTGGTGGTTTTATTTTTATTGAATCAAAAGGGTAGTATTTATTTTCATTTCTTTGCATCCCTCATAATGATGACAGTCTTATTGTGCCGTTTCTAAGGTTTTGCTGTAACTGTACTTTAATCACTTTTTTTTTGTAGAGCTTCAGCTTTAGATTCTCGCCCTGAACATGCAACTTCTGGCCATAACTTGCGGAACCGCCAACAAACGTCATTTCGAGAGAACGTATCGCGTTCGCTAAAGCCTCACCGCCGACGTGAGTCAGAGGGCAGAAAGGAAAAACAGGACAGAAGAGTTAGCCCTGCAAGATCTCAGAGTCCACATCGTCATTATGGCTCCGAAAGTAGAAGAGAGAGACGAAGAAGCAGATCACGGTCGCCACACATCTCCAAACACAGTCGCAGGTGTGGAAAAATACTTCTTTACTAGATGCAAAGAGAATTTTATGGTGTTAAAATGTTTTAATTCCTTCTTTTAGGCCCCACTCTGATTCTTATGATCGCCAAACTTCGTCACTCTACCGCTCACGTTCAAGAAGTTGCGACCGACTTTCCTCTCCCAGGAGGAGGGAAACCAAATGGCCGTCACCGAGGAGAAGCTATGAGCGCCGATCATCTCCAAGAAGAAGCGACGAGAGACGCTCGTCACCGAGGAGAAGCCATGAAAGGCGGTCATCAGGAGAGAGATCAGTGTCTCAGCATCGGAGGTCGAGAAGTGCTGACAGATTGGCTAAAAGAATCCTGGGAAAAAAAGGTTTGAGTATCAAAGATTTTGAATCGTTAGCATTTAAAGAAGTTGGTAAACTCCTACTTTTCATTGACAAAATGTCTTTGTCTTCTAGCTGTTCAGTCTCTGTCCAAACAGTCCGACCTGGAGGCCATGGTTAAAACTCTGGCTCCCGTTTTACTGGCTGAGCTGGTGCATTTAAAATCCTCCGCTGCCTCGTCATCCTCAAAGACGGAGAAGAAGATCTCTTCTCAAAAATCATCCAAGGCCACATCCAGCCGCCCAAAGAGCGGCACAAGCTCTTCAACAAAACCCGCGGTTGGTTTCGTTTAGCAAATATGGATGCTGTTTTTTAATCTGTTAAGCAGTTTATTAATTTATTTTATTTGTCCTCTCTGGGTTCAGGCTGGTAGAACGACGTCACCCTGCATGGTGATGTTTTCTGATGTTTTTCATTCTCTTTCATACACCGACTTGCTCGAATCCATGGAGACATTTGGCAAAGTAAAATCTCTACTTATGTACAGATTAACAAAGAAGGTAAGTTATTTTTATTTTATTCTTTACATACTGTGGATTTAAAAAGTATGTTTTTTATTTTGCATTGAAAAATCAATTGGGATTAACAAAATAAGTATTTTTGACAAGAAAAATGTACAGAAATTCCTTCTCAATGTCAAATTAAAAACATATTTCTACAAAATGACAAACAAAAATACTTAACCTAAATTGACAGAGTTATTCCCCTCAAGTCAGAATTTATTAGATGCCTTTTTGGTTGTAGTTCCACTATAGAGCTATGTTCAAGCTCAGTCTCTACCTATGAGGTCTGGGCTTTGACTGGGCCATTCCAGAACATCCATCCGGCTTGGTGTGGCTGTACATTTTATTTGATTGTTTTCTCTTCTAGGCGCGTGTGATTTTTGAGAAAGCAGAGGACGCAAAGAAATTGCAGTGCTTGACGAGATGCAACGTGAAGGGATTGCCCATCTCTGTTGACAGGCCATCGGTACTTCACTTTGTCCACACCTACACTAATGTTACACCTTCAACAGCTCACTTACAATGTGTTATTTATTTACAGGACACCACTCTGAAGAAGTCTCTGCAGAAAACAGCTCCACAGAAGTAAGTTATGCCTCAGGATATTCAGTTTGAAGTGCTAAAAAAAAGCCAGATTATGAGAAAAAATGTTGATGTTTTGAACTTAAACAGTTTGCTACGGTGCTTCATTTCCATTTCCTCTCCTTGTTGACTTTCTTTTTCACAGAAAATCTGGTGTCTCAAGTTCTGAAACTACTAAATCCCATGACACTAGGAACGTTAAAAAGCCTGCATTGTGTGGATCTAAAAACACCACAGTAGGCAAATTTGTCTCTAAAGCAAAAGTCTTGGTTTCCAAAGCAAAAGGCATTTCAACGAAGAAGGTTTTTAAAACTGTCAGCAAATCCACGACAAAAGCAAAAAGTACTGGGAAGATGGTTGCAGGGAAAAATGAGGCTTCAGTGGTCCCAAAATCCAAGATTGCAAGAAAGAGACCTCCTGCTGATAAGGCTAAAAAACCGGTGACAAAGTCAAAACCTGTGAGAGATGGCGTTAAATCTGCACCGATTAAAACCTCAGAGGTCAGAAAGAAGCCAAACAAAACACCAACTTCTAAACCAAAAACCTCCGTCACAGCTGAAGTGAAATCTGCAAAAGCTGAAGAAATATCTGTAAAAACTTTATCAGAAAAGCAGAAAAGTACAGCGACTTCCACTTCTGTGGAAGATATGAAAACCAAAACTGAAGCTGTGGAAAAGCAAAAATGTTCTCTAAGGAAGACAGATACACAGCGAGGTTAGTTTCTACTGAAAAAAACAAAATCATTTCTTTGTTTTTCTATAACATTTTGTGTGGATCAGACTCAGTTAGGTTCTTGATAATATTTTGTTTTGATTTTTGTTCTTCAGTTCCTCAAACACCAGCAAAAGCTTCTGCTGAATCCTCCACCATAACATCTGTCAGTGATCTGGGTATAAATGCTGCTGAACTTCCTCATGTGGATGATAACAGCTTTAAGGCTTTGACAACAGCAATTAACAAAACGACTAAAGGAGCCACATCTGAAAGCAAGAACAAAGAGGTAATGGTGGCTTTATTTATACTTTCAAAATAAATAAATAATGATTTTCTATCAAGTGTTAAAGATGGTGAATAAATACTTTTACTCAGAGCTTGACTGACGCTGTTAAACTCAGTTAAGTTGCTATTTAATCAGGAAAAATTACTTTTCGTTTTGCAGAGCACGACTGTAAGCAAAACAACTCCTGAGGATGCAAAGCAGAAAAACCCACCACATACAAAAGTAAATGTAAGTTTTTTTTCCTCCCCTTTTAGTTTGTTTTGTACATAAGAACAATTTACTTGCATTTTGATTACAAAATTTACATATAGTTTTAAAGTTTGACATTTTATCTCCACCCAGGACATTAATTCATTAGGAGAATTTGATGAGCTTGAGTTTTACTCTGGAGATTTTGTAACCGTTGATGAAATTAATGAAGACGTTGAAGACATGGTTGTAGAAGTTCAGCCTTCCTCATGCAAGCCAACATCCAGAGAGACAAAAGACAAGCAGAGTTCAGCTTCCAGAAAGACGCCAACAAAGTCGTCCGCTTCGTCATCTAAGTTTTCAAAAGGCAACTCATCCTCTCCATCGACATCTTCATCAGCAAACAACCACAAAAGCATCCATGAGTCCAAGAAATCTCAAACCAAAACTACTTCTGCCAGGGGAACTGAAAGTTCCTCCTCACTTTCAAAGTCTGTGAAAACTTCGCCTTCCTCTGGTCAGAAATCTCAGTTAAACCAGAATAAGTCATCAAAACCCTCATACTCGGCCGGAGGCGTCCGTTCACCAGCGGCAGCCACTAAAACCTCTGTAAAAACTCAGGCAGCACATAAAAAGGATGTAAAACCTGCACAGGGTGCAGTTGCAAAGTCTGATCACCATGTGTCAGCAGAGAGCAGTTCTGCAAAGAAAGATGAATCCAATGAGATAAAGAAAATCCAAGCAAAGGATAAGAAAAATGGCCAAAGCACAGAGGAGAAGACAGACGATAAGAATAAAGAAGTCCTTGATTCAATCAATGAAAAATGTAATGAACAGAAAAACAAGGAGAACCAAGACAGAAGAACTGAAATTCAAATGCCTGGACCTGAGCAGGACCATGTTATTCAGCAGGGAGCTGATAATGACAACGGCCGATCAGATGAATGCCAGAAAATGGAAGTAGAGGAGTCTACCAAGCTGCAGGACGGCGCAATTAAAGATCAGTCCGCGACAGCTGATGATGGAGAAGAAGTTCCCACATTGATGCAGGTTTTTGAAAATGTTGATGCTAAAGAAGCCCAGACTTCTGATGGATCATCGGACAGAGATACATGTGATAAAAACCAAGTGACAAGTGAAGAAACCAACCAGACTCCAAATAGCAGTAGTGAAAAACAGAAAGATGGCATCCTTTTCTCAGAGAGCGTCTGTGAAACCTCCAAAGAGATTGGTCAAACCGCTAATGAAGAAGACCACGATGGCAGCAAAGACACTTTGAAAGACCAGACACTTGTAGTTCCCACTGACCTGCTGTCTAAAGCAGAGGATAAACCCACGGATGAAGAGACTTATGAGGTCATAGATTCATTTGAAGATCAACCAGCAACAACAGAGGTGGAATCAGAACGAGCAACAAAAGACACTGAAATTGTCTCTAAAGATCTCAAACCAACTGTGATTTGTTCTGCAGTAAGAACAAAAAACAAGACAGAAAAAGAAGAAGAGAGTCTTGAGGATTTCAAGGAAATGGTCTATGAAGTTGTGGACTCCATAGAAGACGATTCTGTTCAAGAGCCCTCAACGACAGGGAGTTCTAGTAGGAGACGAACACCAAGAGGAAACAAAAAAGATGAAAAGACATCACCTCCTGTAGAAGAACCTAAAAAATCTGATGACGAAGAGGAGGAAGTGTTCACAGTTTTAGACTCTGTGGAAGAAGAAAGTCCCACTGACAAACCAGTGGTGGCGAGATCGACTAGAGGAAGAAGACAAAACATAGCAAAGAAAGTTGAAGAAAATGCTAAAACGAAACAAGACAGGACCCCCACAAGAAGAAGATGCACACCAGTCAGAGATTCTAAGGAGAAAGATGGTGAGAAAACTCAAAAAAAAGATGATCCTTTAGAGGAAAGTGCAGCAACAAAGACAAATTACACTGGGGAGGCAAACGCCACTCATCAAGAACTGGACAGTGTCGAGTATGATCAACCAAGTCCACAGAAACCAAGAAGAGGAAGACGAAAGAAGGACAGTACAACTAGTAGAAAACAAATTAAGGAAGAAAAAGAAGAGCCTGTTTATCTGAAAATTGAAATGGCTGCTAATGACAATACAGTTTCCTCACAGATAAAAGATCCACAGCAGGCTATTGGATGGGAGGATGATGAAACGGCTAAAGAGGACCAACTTGCAGAAAAACAGAGGAGTACATCAAAAATAGACTTTAAGAAAGAAGAGAAGATGAAGGAGTCACCGAAAACAAATGACTTAACATCAACAGATGTTTTATTGAACCTCAGCGCAGAGGAGGAGGATGGAGTGAGAGGGAAAACGGCGAGCGATGAAACAAAGAATCACGAGGAAGATGTAGAGAAGATGGAAGTAGCTTCTGATGAATCAGTGATTCTACCTGAGAGAGGAGAGAAAGGCGTGTCGGATGCTGCGACTTACAACAGAGAGATTACAGAGGAAGAAACCCGGGAGGTTGTTGCTCCTAAAGAGGTAAAAGAGGAACGACTGGAAACGGAGGGAGCTCAGGAGCAATCAGTGGGCCGTCGAAAGCCGCAGGTACAAACATATTCAAGAAAACAAAAAAACAAGCAGCTCGGTTGATTTCTTTAAGCTCCATTAATCCACCATGTTTCATTTTAGAATTCGACTTCAGATGAAGCTGGTAAAAATGACGAGAAAGAAGTTAAGGAGGAAAACGTCCAAACTTCAAACTCTTCTAAACGTAAACATGATGACAACACAGGTTTGTTTCTTTCAACAGGTAGTTTTGCAGGCCGCTAGTCCACACAAACCAGCTGGATCTTGGTATTTATAAATCACAAGGGGGGATTATTGGATCTTAACAGTTTGCATTAAAATCCAAGCCAGCTTCTAAGAAATGTTCATTAAAATTTGTATTAATGTTCGTTTCAGACAAAACCTAAGTAGGTTAAGTAGAACTATGATTTGGATATCCCAGCTGTGGCGTTTCATTTACTTGCTGTATTCATTATGTCTAAAATCGGAAAACTCAAGAAACGGGAAGGATTTTAGCACAGATTTATTTGCAAAGTTGTTCATTGAAAGTTGTAAGATGTTTTTACGAGTTTTTGTTCTTCTTCAGTTGTTGTTAAACGGGAGAAAGAGCTTGATGAACCCGAAGCAAAGCGATCCGGTTCTCAGTCTCCAAATGTTCCTGAGGACTTCCAGCTGCCGCCGTTTCATCCCAGCAACCCTCTGGGTGAGAAATTCACACATTTAAAGAAAAAATATAAAAGAGAGATAGATTGAAATTCATAGTTATGTTTTGTTCCTGTTTGTTTCCAGGTGAGGAATTTGTGGTTCCCAAGAGTGGATTTTTCTGTAACTTGTGCTCCATTTTTTATTTCAATGAAACCACAGCTAAGAAAATCCACTGCAGCAGCCAGAAACATTACAACAACCTCCAAGTACGCACAATCACCTTAATGAAAAAAAGACTTAAAAAACTAATTATTGGCTCATTTTTGGTTTTCTTTTTCCTTCTCTCTCAGAAACATTACCAGAAGCTAAAACTGAAAACTTCATGAATGACGGCTCAACGTGTCAGAGTCTTTCTTCCGGCTGATCCATTTACATCTGCAGTTCATTTTTCTACAAGAAGTTAAACCAGAGACTTTCAAACATTTTATGTGTTCATCATCAACCATGATGGTATCAGTCAGAACATTTCTTTAATATTTTAATTTTTTTGTGCTTTCTTTGGTTTTAGGTGCAAACACTGAAGTTTACATACGCTAAAGTTTAAGTTAAGAAAAAAAGAAACAAACATAGTTCCTTTCCGTTCTGGGAAAGTATGGAGAAGTCTTTATATAATTAATATTTTATAGCCCTTTTTTGTAAAAGTAATGTCTTTCCTTCTTCCTGCATTACTCCCTTATTACTTTGCTTTTTCGTAACCTTCTCTGTCGTTTGTCTTTGGTTCTGCTGTATGTTTCTTTTTTCCTTCCTTTTCCTCCCTGTGCCCTATTTTTTATTTTTTTGTCTTTTCTTTCTTCCATTGGCATCTTTCTTGTTTTTTCCTTTCTTCTATGCATCCTATTTTCTGTCCATCATTCCTTCTGTCTCTCCTTCCTGTCTTTTCTTGTTTCCTGGCTTCTGTATTAATTGGTACAGAAGCTACTAGCTAGTAGTAACTAGTAGCTCTTTTTGGATCTAGTGCTTGTTTGATGCCTGTACCAACTGGAACTTACTAGCTACTAGTTGGAACTAGCTTCTAGTTGCAACTAGAAGCTAGTTTCAACTAGCTACTAGTTGCAACTAGAAGCTAGTTTCAACTAGCTACTAGTTGGAACTAGAAGCTAGTTTCAACTAGCTTCAAACAAGCTAGTACCTAGTAGATGCTTGTTGGCTACTAGCTTCCTTGATACTGTAGTTTCTAGATGGTACTAACATTAAACAAATTAGCACTAGATTCAAACAATCTAGTAGCTAGTAAAAGCTACTGTCTAGAAACTATCTCTAGAAGCTAGAGGCTACTACTCGCTAGTTGCTAGTGGTTTGTAACTTCTGGTAGCTACTAGCCAGTTGTGTCTGAACTCTCTCCTGTTTTTCCTAAATTCTTGTTCTTTTCATCCATTTTTTTTAAATCTCCTTCGTTTCCTTTTAGTTTCTTTTCAGGTTCTATATTTAAACCCTGTTCATTCCAAAAATGTCATCTATATATTTATAGAAAAGTTTGTTTCACAACTTAACTTGAAAATAAAAAAATTAAAACGAAGACTGATGTAATTATGTGTTTATTTTAAGAAAGTTACCATCCATGTTTTCACATGAATTTTCATAATGACTCATGAAAACCTGCCTGATAAATAGCAACTGCTCTGATCCTGATAGTTTTATCTCTTGATAATTCTTTTATTAGTTTTTATGGAAGCACATTGAAGTAGTTATTGTCGTTATTGACTGGAAGTCACTATAATGACTATGGAGGAAGTCAGTAGTGCAGAAATCTAATATTGGGTATGTTAATGTTACACAAAGCTCTGACTGTACCTGCACTATGCCTCTACTGAAAGGCATAAAGGTGGGAGGTTTGTTCTGCAGGGATGTTTTTCTGTGGAAGCAACTTGTTGGCTGTTTTGCATAGAGCGTTGTATAACAGTAGGCAAATGCAGATTATAATGATTCAAGAAAACATCCCATTAAAGACCTAAAAATGGCTCTTATTGGACTCATCTACCCTGACTGACCGTATCAAATTTCATGAGATTAATTCATTACACGTTTGCCAGTAAGTACGGGGATTCTGTGTTTATCACATTTTTATAATATGCTTTCTCCACTTTGAATATTTCGACACGAATACCCTTGTGAGGAACATTTCCTCATGCAAAGTATCTTCCTGGATCATTATGTAAATGCTCACTGGATTTCTAAATTCAGCTGACTTATTTCTCAGTGTTTGTGTAGAGCCGCTCACTCTGCCACCATGTTCCTCTTTGTGCTGTCGCTGCTGGTCAGCGGTTCACAAGCCTCACATTTTCTTGGCACTATGATGACTTACTACCCCGGAGAAACTCAAACTAACGGATATGTATCAGTAAGTGGACACTGTTTGTAACGTATGGCTGCCTTTAATGCTACTTAACCTCTTTGTAATCCACAGGTGATCCTTCGCTACAAGCAGAACTTTGTTGCATGCTCACACAATGACACCTGGGACTGCGATGGCAACTGTGGGTCTTGGACTCAGACGCTTTCAATGGCCAAAGTGGAGGAAGTTAGCAGTGAGTGGTGTCAGACAGAAGGAATCATAATTCATCAGCTTCCCAACAACACTGGATTTCAGACTAAGTGAGTCCATTTTAATGACTTAACAAATGTAGTGTGACTGACTTAGTGTTGAACTTACCTGTATAATTTGCATTATTACATTTTGGACTTTAAATGTCATTATATAAACTGTAGTGGACACCTATGTATTTGTGGATTCACCGATTCTTAGGGACAAATAATTAGAAGAAATATAGAGCTTATCTAAAATATTTGAAACAAAATACAACTTGGGAAGCTGAAATATGTCATGGGCAATGATGGTAGGAGTTTGATGGCTATAATGTCAGGAGCTTCCCATCATCATAGTGTGGATGTTTGCATGAAGCACTTTGGGGTTCTCTAGACTTGATTAAATGCAATAAAAATATGGCGCTTCAGTGTATATGTGGTGGAGAACATTCTGCACCTGCATCACCCTGCTTGGAGCATGGCTCTGCAGAAGGCTGTGGGGAGCAGCCTTCCTCCACCTCGGACCTCTGCACAGCACGATGCAGGAAGTGGCGCTCCTTCCTCATCATGAAGGGCTCCACCCAGCTGCTCCCGTCAGGCAGGAGGCTTAGGAGCAAAACCACCAGGCTGAGGGGCAGTTTCTACCCTTCAGCCTCCAGACTGCTGAACTCAAGCTGCACCTAATTCAGCTTCATCTTACTTTTTAGTAATTTATTTGTTTACACACATTTGTGGTATAGAGTACTGCAAGAGCGCCTGTAGGATATTATCACCTCCAATGCGCATCAATTAAAAGTGAACCGGGGAAAGTAACTTTATGTCCCCGGTTTATCAGATCCCGATCCTTTTCTTGTTGGGCCTAACAAATGTGGAAACACACACGACATCAAACAATTTGTGAAGTTTGAATACTTGTATCCAGACTGGATGGTGGAGGATGGATAAACAACATTTTGAATGGTGTTGGAAACTGGAGAGCTGTGGCTGCTGTTGAACTGAGGAACCGGTCCGACATTGGCAAACCCAACACATCGCCACAGACCACCATCCTCCCAGCTTTAAGGTAGCTAGCTCTGTTAGCATTAGCATCTTTGTCATGTTATAATCGAGCCAAATTTCAAACTTCAGCGTTTTATTGAATTTAATTAAATACAGCTTTCCGTACCCCTCTGGGTTCAGCTATGGCTGTAATGCTTTTTTATGTTCTCTTAGAGTTCCAGTAAACTGCCCAAGAACTATTAACTTGTTGACCTTTGACCCTGATGGAGATGAGGTTAAATGCAGATATGGAAACACAACAGATTCAGAGTGTAACCCCTGTAACCCTCCGCCTGTCCTCAACGTCTCATCAGTAAGTATGAAATGTTGGTGTAATTAATAAATTATGCAGTTACTGAAATGTTTCACTGGTGTCTTTAAATCTGTTTTTCTCATCTAAATATAGATAGATGGATTGTTAGGTTGTCATTAATTGTGCTAAATCTACTTCTACCATCACAAGTTTTATTTCAGTTCTACATTTTAATCTATAAATAAACAGCATAAGTGTAATTTATAAGGGTGGATGTAAATTAAATCAGGTATTTATCTTTCTGCCATTTAATTTTGAATATTTTGGTCTCTTTCTCTCCGCAGTCCTGTTCTCTGACTTTCAGCTCCCCTGTAAGCAGCACCAGTTCTGAACTTCGATATGCAGTCCAGCTGGTGATAGAAGATTTTCCCAGACAGACCATTTCTCTGACTGGAACCGGCGGCTCACAGGAAGTGAAAACTCCCAGCGACGCCATCAGCAAGATACCGTTACAGTTTGTCTTGAAAGGTACAAAAGAGCTTTGATTGATTTAAAAAAAGTCAATTTCTGGTCTTTGATTACCTGAATTCTCTCTGTCCATTGCTTTGTCTAAATAAACACACAAACAGCATAAATTTTCATTCTGAACCAAGACATTCAGAAAAACTGGAGTCAAACTGTTGGACCTCATAACTGCTGAGAGATTTTAGAGTCACAAATTTGGTTTTCAAATGGTCAAAAATACACAATATAGCATATTTATAGCTAAATGTAACAATTATATTCCCCATATGGCAGCCATTTTGAAAATGGTGGCCATCTGGGATCTAAGGCTTGTATCACCATTTGAAAGATTCTTCTAAAGTTTTTTTTTTTTTATCTGGTGCACTAATTGATTTCATGTCTTCAGTGATTCCTGAGGTGCCGTCCTGTACAGAAGGATCTTATGTGGCCAGATTTGTGCCTCCAACTCCAGACAACAGAGCTCAGAAGTTCATCCAAGTCAATAAGGTGCTGGAAATCAACATCAGTGCAGAAGCAACTCACTCCAAGTAAGTGAGGGAATCCATATCACAGGTTTCAAACTTTGACCTTTACTGCAGAGATGCATTACTTCAGGAAACAGAAACATTAAAAACCCAAGCTATAAACTTTGTAACAGAAAATACATTTATTTTTAAGCTTTTTTTTTTTACTGCTGTATGTGCTGAATAATGGCTGCTGGAAAAGACGAGTGTTTTGTTGTTGACTCACCACCCAGAAACCACTTGCTACATTCTTGTTGGCTGTGCAGAAGGCTCCACGTCTGCTTTTCAAAGATGTATGGTTGTATAATTGCGCAGCAGTTGATATTTGCATGAAAACTACAATATCTGTTTCCTGCTGAAGCATCACTGGACTCCTGTTCAGCGGGCCTCACAATGTATCCAAGAGTTCATCCGGAGCAGGAAGCTTCACCCTGAGATGGACACCATCCGCAAGAGAAAGTGGACAGAGCCACCCCATCTGTTTTGTTGTCGAGACAAGGTTAGTGCTATTATAGTGCCTTGGTTTTATGCTTTTAAAATCCCCATAAATAATCAGAAATAGCCAAGACTGGACAGTGTGTTTAAATGTCCATCTAGGAATTGGACAGAAAGAAATTCATGGTTTGGCTCTTTTAAAACCTTGTAAGGCTACATCTGAACATGTGATTTAATTTTCTGTATTGGTTCATTTCCACAGTTTCAACAATACTGTCTACCACTCTGACCTCCGATGTGTTACTGTGACCATCGGAAACTGTGAGTTCATTTTGTTTCTCTTTTAAATAGTTTGTTGGTTATTAGCTGATTAGCTGGAATTGTACCCATGTTGTCTAAAACAGCCACAAAGGATTCAAACAATAAAACCAACCAATCCCCGACAGCCATCAAGTTCCAGTGACGTAAACCAGCACCACCAGTTTCATTATCCATGACCACAACCAACCAAAAATGAAAAACTAACTCCACCCATGATGTTAAATTACTTGAACCTGCCCATTTTACTGAATTTACTCTGATATGCATTAATGCACACAATGGAAACGGCTTTAGCTCTTCTTCCTGTTCACTGTTGGGGTTCAGCCAATCAGCAATGAGGAAAGTTGTTGCTGATTGGCTGATTTGAATGCTAGTCAGTAGTGAGTGAAGTAGCATTGCAGCTACCAAGACTGCATGTTTTTAAATTGTAGACTTGGCACTACAAGTCCACTGTAAACCAAGAAATTTCAAGTTAAAAATATAATAATTCAAGTTATGTAGTAAGTTCAACATTTTAGTTAAGAATCCACTCGACTCGTAATTAAACTCCCAGCAGCATTTAAACCAACTCAACCTTCCCACAGCTCCTCTGTGACTACGACTCAAACTTTTGTTTCCAGATTACGTTGTGGCCCTCAGAGGAAAAATCTCCACTACTTTATCACTAGAGAACGATTACGACGCTCTTGTCAAACAGGTCAGTGTTGATTCTGCTGGTTTTAACAGTTTTTCCTTCCTTTGGTTCAACTCAGATTTTAGTTTACTTCTGTTTCTAATGTCTGAGGACAAACACTGATCATTTTCTTCTTTATGTGGAACTGATGATGCTATTTGTTTTTTGTTTTCATCACCAGATTAAGGATGAACTGATTAGACGAGGGCTGCACACAGGCATAAATGTACGGCTCCGCAGGACGGGTTGATTTCAATTTGGGACAAACTCTTCGTACCTATACTTCTGCTGAGCTATGCGTTTCCTGAAATTGAGATCAATCGCTCTTTATTACATATTACGTTAATGATCACAGATATTTTAGCTGATATATTTCTGTTGATATCTACTGGAGAAGGATCAAATTTCCTTCCTGACGGTTTAAAAATAATCTGGAATAGACCATGAATGGATGGACAGGTTGTTGAACGATTTCTTTATCACAATTATTTTGTCTCTGTTTTAGTTCTTGTAACTTTCTTCTATATAAAATAAACAATTTTAATGTTACTCATCATCTGCATTCATTTTGTAGCTTCAGATGATTAATTTCATCATATTTTTTTTATGAAAACACTGCAGCTTTAATGAATTAAATGTTAGTACAATCAACATATTGAAGTGGCACAATTCAGATTTTATTTGGCTGAAATGATTGGAATTGCACCGTCTAAAAGTCAGTCTGGGTTGCATTTGCCTGCGGTGTGAAAGTAGCATGAGAAATTAACACAATGAATCAGTGGACTAACATGAAAAGACCCTAATGACAACTATAAACAATAGAGCATTAGCAGAGTATGGCAAGACCATGAACAGAAAGAAAACACAAACAGGTGTGGATCATGACACACAGTTTGATGGTAACTCATGAGTCTAGCATAGCAGGGAGAAACGGCTTGTGGGGAAATCCTACAACCGCCTCTCCATTGTGGTTGCATGCTGTTCACCCTGCACACCAAATCCAACTGAGTCTACGGGACGATCGAGTGTGAAAACTCCCTGATTTGTTTGAACATGGGGTTCAAACAAATCAGGGAGTTTAAGCAGGTCTGCAAAAACACAGAAGAACCACAACATTAAACCCAGGTCTCAGATTAGTAACTTGGTTTATGCATTCATAGTCACTCATATTGATTTCTGACTGGACATTATAGTCGTCTTTTTATTATTCAAAGTTAGCTGTTAACATAAACACTGTGTGCCACGGATGACAACAATTTAGCCACGAAATTATTATTACAATTTACGGTATATTATAAGAGTTCCCCTTCATTTTATTCCCTGCTACTACAGTGGTAAAATTACCGTAATAACTCGATAATGACTGAAAAGTGCAAAGTTTCCCCTTACAGAAACTCTTGAAATTTTTCTGATTTTTCAGAAGTGTGGTATAATTACGGTACTTTAACGTTGCAAATGTGGCTTGATAAAAAGGGGTCCTGGTCTCGCTCCCGAGAATCTATAAACATTTCTAGCTGGTTAAGTTTTAAGTTAAAGTTGTGGGATCCAGCCGATCACAAGCACACGAACATAGAAATGAGTTTATGAATGAAAGCGCCGCTGCGCTACAGAGGAACGATCGATGACTACAGAATGCAAAGTTGTTTGTGGAAAAGGTGTGTGACAAAGAAGCATGTTTATTGATGAACTTATTTGACAGTGAAGGGATCTGTGTGGTCATTAACAATGTCTGACCCTGAAACTCCGCCTGCGTCTCCGTACATGAAGTTACTGACCTGCTTCACAATGGTCCCATAATCATTTTCCAGTGACAAACTGGTGGAGATTTTGCCATTCAGAGCCACAACATAATCTAGAAGGAAAGAGATATTTTTATTCTGAACAGCAAATGAAAACCAGTTTTATTCCTATTCTTAGCTTTATGGTGGACAAAACATGAACTTTAGCCATTTACACGGCCCTGAAGCAGATGTTGAATTTGTAGGTAGTGATGTAAGTGTAGATGGGGATTTGGTTTTAGTAGTCGGTATAGGGCTTCTTGTAGCTGATTTTGTAACTGTCTTTATGTGTCTCTGAAGGTTCAGGTCAGACTTATCATTATGAAATTATCTGTATTGTATAAAGTTTTTCACACAGATATAAAAATCCACTGAACTATTTCTGTTTACTGTCATCACTAAGTTTAGTCTGACAACCGTTGAGATTTTTCTGCTGTTGCTCGTCGTCTCTTCTCGTCTCTCCAGGTCTCTAGATGCCGAACGTTAAAGTGACAACAATCACAGATCAATCAATATTTTATTCAATCAATCAAAAGCATGAAATCACAGCAACATCCCAACATGATTATTGATTATCACAAACAAAAGGAAACATTGAGTAATCAGAGTAATGTTTTATCATTAGTGATTTATAGTCAAATAATCAATAAATTCAGCTTAATTATCTTTGATCATTTTCTAAACTGACACCAACATTTATTACTCACTGATGAGACACTGAGGACAGACGGTGCTGAGCAGTTGTAACACTCATATTCACTGGGATTAGATCCATATCTGCATTGAACGTTATCTCCATCAGGGTCAAAGGTCAACAAGTTGATATCCCTCTGACAGTTTGAGGAACTCTGAGAGAAACAGAAAACATCACAAAGTCACCTGACAACAAACAATCTGCTCAAATTATCTTATTCACATGATGAATCTTTAATATCTTGACTGATTTGTATTTCAGTTTTTATTCTTTATGTTTTAGTTTATTTTGTTTCTCTTTGGTTTCTTTTAAAGATAAAATCTATTCACAGCATTTGGATATTAATTGTAAACTATTTCTAATTATTAAAGCTCTATGGTTCGGCTTTACAAGAAATAAAAAGAAAACAGGACAAAATACCAACAAACTAAACCTATAGTTTATGATCAACAAAAGACACCAAAAATATTTATTAACATAAATAAAAAAACTACATGAATTACCTGATAAGAGGGATGATGCTGGTCTGTGGTGATGAGTTCGGTCTGTTGATGTCGGATCGTTTTCTCAGCTCAAATGTGATCCGAAATCGCCCAAATGAAACACCGTTTCTGTTATTTACCCAGGTTGGAGGAGTCCACCTTTAATAGAAGATATTTAATCTTAATATAAGATTCTGATGTCACTCAGAGTTTCAGAAACACAGAAAACTTTACAGACCAGGAGACCAGAAAACTGACAAGAGATTTAATTCAGTAGGAATTTTAGATTTAGTTACTTCTTGGGAACAACTGAAAAATATTGGATATTTTTTATGATGTTGAAATTCAGTTACCCGTCCTGGCGATAGCTTAAACTCCAACTGTACGTCTGAGTACTCTCTTTCAGACACCATTCTCCGCTGCTTTCATCAATCTTATTAGTGTTACTCCACCATGACTCAACCTCTGTACATGAGCTGAATCTCAACTTAAAGCGACGCACAACCTGCAGAGTTAAGGTGAAGAACTGTTGGATAAAATCTGATTCTCTTAAAAAGCAAAATGAAATAAACTTCAAAATGTCTGAACTTACTGTACATGCTTGTCCTTGTACATCTTTAGTGGTGTGAGAAAGCACAATGCCATGATAACCAGCTTCTGTCCAGCCAATTATCGCTACCAGAGCAAAGAGCAACATGGTGAACGACTCGGTTCTGCTGAACAAAGATTGGATCATCAGGTAACCTTTGCTGCGACCTCTGTCATGAAGCGCTTTGTTTATGCAAATGAAAACAGGAAAACAGGGGAGCTCTTCTGTTTGTTTCTTGCTGCAGAGATTTAGATCAAGTGACAGCAATTCTTTTTTCTTATTGATGAAGGTCAGAATTACTGTAGAAAGGAGATAAAAGCACTAAAATCTAATCTCTTATCTGCTTGATGTGAATGTCTGCATGTAAATTAAAATGTGGTTTTAGGATTAATTACCTGATGTGAACTAACTTTGTGCACACCAACTTTGTGTTTATTTAAACTATTGATGCAAATGTTGAGCATTGTGGTAGCTCCCATTGTTTGCTTTGCAAATAGACAATTAGCATACTGGTATCCTCAAGGTCATACTGAGTTACATCTTACATGTGACAATGTTGGGTTTATTCCAGTTTCAGTTTCCTTAGGATTCTGCTAACATTGATATCAGTCACATCTAAATTGCTGCTGATTTCATTTTCTTGAATAACTAACTGACTCATTAATCCTGATAAGTGAAATATGTTTGACTAATCGAGCACCAAGAACATGATGTGCAATATATCTAGGTCAGTGGTGAGCAAACCTTTTGTAATGTGAAATAAAACTTTTCAGAAGTGGGGGCCACAAATAATCTGTTCATATATAGATTATTATATAGATAGAAACATCTACCTCTCTCTGTCTAGATATAGATAGATAGATAGATAGATAGATAGATAGATAGATAGATAGATAGATAGATAGATAGATAGATAGATAGATAGATAGATAGATAGATAGATAGATAGATAGATAGATAGATAGATAGATAGATAGATAGATAGATAGATAGATAGATAGATAGATAGATAGATAGATAGATAGATAGATAGATAGATAGATAGATAGATAGATAGATAGATAGATATCTCTTTATATATGGAAATCCCTTTTTTGTCGTGTTTTTAACCAAAGGCAAATTTCCACATATTTGCAAACAATAAAGATTATTTTTGTTATGATTATTAATGTTTATAATTTAAAAGTTGCAGAATTTTTCAGATAGACAAACCACAAAACCCACAAATATTTAACGGGCTTCAAAATGAGGCCATTTTTCTTGCATGATAATCATGTTGAATGAACATTTCAGGTTAAACTTCCCCATCAGAGTCGAACATCCGGGGCGTCAGTAGAAACTGAGGGGAGGAGGATGAGAGGAGAAGCTGTGGGAGGATAAAACCTCCTGATCTCAGTTTTCCTGGAGAGTCAGGTTGCTGCAACATGTTGCTGCTCTCTGTGCTGCTGCTGCTGCTGCTGGTCAGCGGAGCTCAATCCTCTCATTATCGTGGCACTTTGATGACTTACTGTCCAAAAGAAACTAAGTCAGACGGATCCGTCTCTGTAAGTAGATTATTTATTCATTCTCCTGTTTTTAAGTGTTTTAAAACTTGATCTCTCTTCTTAAAAACCAACAGGTGATCCTTCGCTTTAAGTTTAACCACCAATCCTGCTCTGATGGTACTTATGCTTGTACTGGAAACTGTGGTAATGAAACTATGATTCTTGCAAATACCAAGATTGATGAAGCGAGTGGTTCTTGGTGTCAGAGTGAAAAGATCACAACTCGGCTGCTTCCCAACAACTCTCCATTTCAGCTTGCGTGAGTCCACATTTAAATGTTTACTGCAACATTTGACTGTTTAAATCAGGGGAGTCCAAAGTTCGGTCCAGGGGCCATTTGTGGCCATTGGGCTGATTTTGCCCGGCCCCCCACTGCAATTTAAAATTAATACAAATTTGGCCAGATGGAGACGCAAAACAATGTTTCATTTGTAATCAGTAAAAATTACCAACATGACTTTCTTACAAACTACAACACATCTGTCTCTTTATAACCAAGTTTAGGCAAAAGGTAGACATTTTCTTTATATTAATCACAAAACTGAAGAGTTTTTGGTGGAAATTTAATAATTTTATTCTTTCTGCAACGTACATAATAAACCGCCATAAAAATCGCTTTCAAGTTTTGGATCTATAATAAATATCAAACTACTTTAATTTCTTGATTTTAGATGCCTACAGTTTTGGCCCACTTGGTAAAATGTTTGGACCTCCTGGTTTAAATCATCAATATGAAGAGAGATTAGAAACCAAGAAGCTTAATTAGCTCAATTAAATACCAAATCTTTAATGAGAAATCAATGAATCATTGACATTGAGCTGAAGTTGAATAAACTTTCTTTTCTAAACCTATAACGAATGTTGATTTCAGGTTTTCCAGCAGTGGATGGTTTACTAATTTAAATGAGATTGTAGCCTGGAGAGCTGTGAGCGACGTTGAACTGAGGCGGCGATCCGACACCAACAAACCAAATTCATCTCCACAAACCACCATGGTTCCCGCACTGAGGTGCTTCTGCTTGTTTCTAAATCAATTCTTCTTCTAAATGGTAGCATATTATGAGAAACTGTGTGATTATTTCTCATTAGTTGAAATTTGATACACAAAACATGACACACATGTTTACAGTAATTAATGTCTTCATGATTTTGTTCCATCAGGGTACCATCAAACTGTGGAGTAAATATTCCCCTGTTGGCCTTTGACCCCGATGGAGACCAGGTTCAGTGCAGATATGCTAGCCTTTCTTTAACAGAATGTGCATCGCCCTGCACGCCTCCACCTGTCCTCAGCCTCCTCTCTGTAAGTAACACAAATTAATTTCATGTTAGAAAATACATTTTCTGTTTGGTTATTTTTACTTGAAGGCAGACTTCCCAGTTAGCAGTCATATCCTGAGCATCTCCTCTGTTCTTCCTTCAGGTCTTAAAATTGTGAAAATTGGAATTATGGGTAACTTTTACAATATACAGTAAATTCTGAAAATAGAAGATGATTTAGTAGCTAAATTGTTCACACAATGCTGATGTTAACATCTAACTTTGAATAATAAAAAGACGACTATAATGTCCAGTCAGAAATCAATATGAGTGACTATGAATGCATAATCCAAGTTTCTAATCTGAAACCTGGGTTTAATGTTGTGGTTCTTCTGTGTTTTTGCAGACCTGCATCCTGTCGTTCAGGGCAACGTCCAGCAGTGCTGAAGGCTGGTACGCCGTCCAGATGGTGATGGAGGATTTTCCCCCACAATCCATCACTCTGACTCAGACCGACGGGTCACAGGTCGCAAAAACCACCAGCGACGCCATCAGCAAGATACCGATCCAGTTCCCCTTTCAAGGTAAAGGCAGTCAACTGATCACCTGATTATTTTAGTAACAACGATGAAGAGGAAAAATTGATTTAAGAAATAAAATGTTATTACCAGAGTGTTTTTTTTCTGAATAGGAGTTTGTCCATAAAGTGAACAATATATGATTTTGCATGAATTACTGTATTTGTTACGGCCTCTAATGTCCTGCAGGCAATAACTGCACCCTCTGTTACTCATGTGTCAAACTCAAGGTCTGGGGGCCAAATCTGGCCCGCCGTAGCTTTTTATGTGGCCCTTGAGGTGGCAAATTACATCAATAAGTCCCAAATCCACAAAATTCACACAAAATCAACAGATCCCTACATTTTGTTTCTGAACTTTACAGCAATTATTTTTCTCAAAATTGGCCAAAAATATGACTTGATGTCAAGTTATGGTCCATGACCAACATGGCGATTAATAAAAAAATAATATTTGACATCTTATGTTAGGGTAAATATTGTAAATAGTTCTTACAAATATTTCTAAATTAGCACCACAAAATCTGTGATTTTGATAAAAAAAAAAAAAACTAAACACAAAGGCAATCATGAAATCCTGTATGGACTGACCAGTGTGAAAAGATGTTATTTAATAGCTTATATTAGATAAGAAACGTCTATTAATTTATTTTAACAGTTTAATGAGTTTCATCAATACATTTTGGCACAACCGGCCCTTTAAAAACACACAAGCTGCGTTTCTGTTACAAATGTCTGAAAAACTTTGTCTGTTTTCCACTAATGTCAAATATACTGTATTTTCCAGTTGCGATGTTTCCATTAAATAGTAAAAGCGATTAAAATCACACAGATGTCCTTTATGGTGGTGCGTTTCACAGGAACCAGGATGTTGGCAAAATGAATAAAGAAACTTGAAACCAAAACAAAAAAATCACAATTTCAGCTGCTAAACCATTTTATACACAGAAGTGATTTAATATTTTCAGTCCAGGATGTCTGACGTTGTTTCTCTGCTGACGTTTCCCAGTGGATCCTGCAGCATCTTCCTGCACAGACGGATATTATCGGCCGAGATTTGTGAGTCCGACTCCAGAACATGGAGCTCAGCTTTCCATTTTCACCAATCAGGCTGTGGAGATCAACATACAGGCAGAGGCGACTTATTCTGTGTAAGGAAATGCAAAACACATGAAAAATAGAGTCAGCAGAAAGAAAACAGGAGGTGGTGCACACACATGTTCCTTGATTTGACTCAGGTTGTTTTTGGCTACATTTGACTGCAGCTGGAATTGGACCCAATCTTTTATCCTGGTGAAAAAATGTACAGATATTATGTGAAACAAATGTTGAAAAAATAATTTCTGTTCTGATAGTTTCAGTTTTTTTGAATGAAATAACAATTCAGTGGAATTATTCCACTTTTTAAATTAAAATATATATAAAAATCCATTAAAATGTTCAAGAAACTGAAGCTGATGTGTTGATGGCATTTGAAACACGTCTGTATATTTTATTATGGATAAAGGATCAATGAGCTGCTGTTCAGTGGGCCGAACAACGTGGCCAAGATTTCATCAGGATCAGGAAGTTTCACTCTGACGTGGAAACCAGCTGCAAGCGACGGAGGACAGAATCACCCCGTCTGTTTCGTTGTCCAGGCAAAGTCAGTATATTACAAAAACAATCCATTACAAAAATACTGAAATAAAGAACGACTGTGCTCCCTGCTGGTGAAAATAGGTAAAAATAACTAGACTTTTGAAGCGGCGTTAGTTGTATATGTAAGTTTATGTATATTATTTTTATGAGGTGCTGTTTGTAAAGTTAAATAGTAAAAACATAACATCAATGTTTTGGTTTATTTGGTTTGTCAAAGAAATAAATATGTGAGTTTTCTTGAGATACAGACAAAATGTTTAATTCACAAGCTAAATATTTAGTTTGCAAAATATATATTTAACGCTCACATTAAATATTTACATAGAAAGCCAACTATTCAGTTGGTAATATTTAGTTAAGATGCTAAATATGTGGCTTGTAAATGTTAAATTTATCTCAGAGGCTAAATATTCAGCTTTCTAAATATTTTGCAAAACAGCTAAATATTTAGTTTGCTGGAAATGAGCACCAGCCCTCCTGGTGACCCAACTAGAGATAAGCATGCAAGTTGATATGATGGACTGACTTACTGTGTAGTTTTCAAATGTTTGGTTCAAAACTAAATATTTAAATCTTTAAAAATTTACCTCCACAGTGTCGACGCTTCTGTGTTTCAGTCTGTGCTTCGATGCCTTGTTGTGAAGGTTAAAGGTAAGTCTGATTTTCTGCAGTTCTTCTTGTTTACATTTATTTATTTATTGTTTCGTGAGCTGATGGTGTTCCTGCAGTTCTGCTGTTTCATTCTCAGAACCACCCGTGACGTATATTCGCGTCCTGAGGATGAAGATCTCCACCTCGCTCTCGCTGAAGGACAATAAAAAGGCCATCCAAGATTCAGTCAGTAACGATGCTGAGAATAATGTCAAAAAGTAGCAGATTAAATGAACCACTTTAGATTTTTATCTGTTCATTTTAAATCCGGTGGATTAATCCAGATTATGCATCTGGATTATTATTTTTGGTTCAGTTGTGATTACATCCTAACTGAAAACTGCATTTCCTTCTGCAGCTGAAAGAAGAACTGATAAGGAACCGAGGCTTTCCGCCCTTCATAGCTGTGCGCCTCCTGAGCGACGGGTCAGCGGTGACAGCGCAATAGGCGCCCCCTACAGGCCGACTGTGAGAATACGAACCTTTTGTGGAGCCACTTTCTCTGCACGTCACCGCCTGTTATTGACGTTAAACCCGAACTTCAGCAGCTTCAAGCAATATATTTGCAGTTGAATATGTTTTGACTATAATCTGTGAGAATCGTACATCTTTTCTATCTGATGTTGATTTATTTTCTCAAATATTCTCACTTTTAAATAATTTCTTAATGACAGACTCTTAGATGTTATTAAAGGAATATTTTGTCTTCTGTGTTTAAATAGAGAAAGTGCTTCACATTTTTTAAAACTTGTAAGAAATATGATTCGTTTTTTGCTCAATTTGCTTTTATGAGTGTTTACATGTTTTTATTTTGCACAAAGGAATATGAGAACCATGCTAATAAAAATAATTACAGTATCATAAAATTATGAGAATCATCAAATGGATGACAAAGTCATTATATAAAAGAATAAAGTTGCAATAACATGAGAATAAAGTCAATATTTTGAGAATAAAGTAATGAAGTCATATAAAGTGGTAATATTTCATTGTGATTTTAATTTATTTATAATTTTCTTAGCATGGCACTGAAACCCCGTTGTAGTTTTGAAAGGTTTAAACATAAAAATCAATTGTGTTAATTAAAATAAAACTTTTACCGAATTGCTCTGCAGTTTTTGTACAATTATTTTCACCTTTGACTCTTTGTGATTTGATTACAGGATCACTAAACCATCAGAGTTTCTATCTGCAGTATCAACAGTTTAGATTTTTCCTTCTTTGTTTGTTTTTTCTTCTTAACATTAAAAGAAAACAAGAAAATGTTGATATAACGTTGTCATCTGTTATGCACTTACACAGGTTTGCCAGCAGGTGGCAGTAAACATAGAAAATGGACAATGTGGCTCCTTGCAGTTTTAACTTGGGACATTTAACACTTTGACCTCCCAGAGACATTTTAATGGAGCAAAACACTTTTTAAATGTTTATATTGACACTGAAAATACATGAACACATTGTTTGTTTGTCCTGTTTTATTTTCCTAAGATTTATAATATTTTCACAAACACTAAAGGCGAAATAGAAACAGAAATAGTTACATTTACATTTAGTATATTGTACTATTTATTTTTACCCAGGTATTGTTACTTTAAAGTACTCCTGCACTTGAGCACAATATTTGAAAAATTATTTTCTCTACCGTGTAAAATTAGAACGAAAATAATCAGTGATTAAATTAATCAAAGGTGCAGTGTGAAACTTTTTTTGCCTTTTTGTTGAAACTGTCATCGTGTTGTTAAAGTGCAATATGAGACAAATAATCTGTGAAAAAATCAAGCTCCTTCATTTTCTCCAGGTGAAACAACCAATCAGAGCAAGGAGGCGGGTTGATGCTGTCAATCAAGCTTGTGTGTGTGTCGCTCCACCTTTCTGCTTCTTCCTGATAAGAGGCAGCCTAGTTGGCATAAACAGTTTGCTGTTCCTAACAACAATGCAAATCAACCTCAGAGCAGAGCCAAACTTTAAATAGGCCAAAAATAAATGCATCAAAAATAGCCAATGGCAAACACAAGATAGTGTTTTCATGGATTCCTGTGAAACGGCCTCACCTGTGTTAAAACTGACATCCACATATTTGCATGAAACCTGATGATATCCAAACTTGGATGTGGATGTAAAACAAAAATATGTAAATTTAAAGTTGTTAAAATGTTAGAATTCAGGAGCTGCTGAAGGAAAACAGATTAATCTTATGATCAGATACCTGCGTTCAGGTGTTTGAACCCTGAACGCAGGTATCTGACTCAATCAATTTCAGTGTTTAAAAAAAAAACTGTGAATTTATAGGTTTATTGAAAAATATTTTTTGTTTACCTTTCAGTTTTATGTAAAAATGTGTCGCCTGGTTATTTAAAATTGAAGAATAGATACAAATGAGTGATTTAAAGCTGGATAAATCCCTCAAATAAAAAATAACCACATATTTTTAGACTCAGCAATACAAAAGCCTCTCCTTTCATAACGTTGTAAACATTTGAATATTATTCATATTTACCACATCGGGACTCCACCTGCGAGGCCAGGATGTTTTTGGAACAGAACCTCATTCTGGGTTCAAAAGAGGAAGTTAAACAGAAATTTGCAAATTGACCTCAGTTTACTTCCTGCATTTCTTGATTTTTCAGTATGGCATCGTTTTTTTTCTCTTTTTTTCTTGCATGATAATCATGTTGAATGAACATTTCAGGTTAAACTTCCCCATCAGAGTCGAACATCCGGGGCGTCAGTAGAAACTGAGGGGAGGAGGATGAGAGGAGAAGCTGTGGGAGGATAAAACCTCCTGATCTCAGTTTTCCTGGAGAGTCAGGTTGCTGCAACATGTTGCTGCTCTCTGTGCTGCTGCTGCTGCTGCTGCTGGTCAGCGGAGCTCAATCCTCTCATTATCGTGGCACTTTGATGACTTACTGTCCAAAAGAAACTAACTCAGACGGATCCGTCTCTGTAAGTAGATTATTTATTCATTCTCCTGTTTTTAAGTGTTTTAAAACTTGATCTCTCTTCTTAAAAACCAACAGGTGATCCTTCGCTTTAAGTTTAACTTCGATTCTTGCCAAGATGGAATATTTCAGTGCACATCTGGAAACTGTGGTGTTGAAAGTACGATTCTTGTAAATACCAAGATTGATGAAGCGAGTGGTTCTTGGTGTCAGAGTGAAAAGATCACAACTCGGCTGCTTCCCAACAACTCTCCATTGCAGCTTGCGTGAGTCCACATTTAAATGTTTACTGCAACGTTTGACTGTTTAAATCATCAATGTGAGCAAAATTAGAAACTCAGAAGCTCATTTATACAATAAATAACATAATTTATGGATTATAATCATTGCTTTTCTCTTCTTTTCTCTTTTTCCTGCATTATTCTTCCTTTTTCATCCCATGTATTTCCTGTGTACAACAAACTCCTCCTAGTGGAAATAATTTATAAAATCTATTAAATGATCCATTGTATGTCTGAGATAATTGATTTAGAATTATCATTTTCATTATTATTTCTTTCAATTGCACCACACATTGATAATGTCATTCAGATCACCATTACTGCACACACACACACACACACACACACACACACACACACACACACACACACACACACACACACACACCACACACACACACACACACACACACACACACACACACACACGTTATTAATTCATTCATGCACAATATTTTCTTTTTGTTTGTTTATTTTGTGTTTCTCCACTAATGTACCGCATCATGTAAAATAAATTTCTATATTTTAAAATGAATAAAGAAATTCAGAAGCTTTATTTTCGCAACAAAATCCAATATTTTTAGTAAATTATAACATTACAAACTTTCTTTATCGCATGTTTCATCATTGACTGGGAAGTTTGGTTATTTATTGAGACAGACCTGAAATTACAGGAGAAGTTTTTGTCTCCATCTGAAAACCTTTTCTGAATGTCTAATCCAGGTTTACTAGTTCAGCTTGGTTAAGTAATAAAAATGGCATTGGATCCTGGAAAGCAGTGACAGATGTTGAACTGAGGGACCGGTCCGACACCAACAGACCCAACGCATCACCACAAACCACCATCTTTCCAGTTCTGAGGTGATTCTGCTGCCATCTGGATCACAAGTTATGAAATTCATGAAAAGAAAATATTTAGATGAGTTATCTGTCGGCAGCAGGTTGGGCATCGGATAAACTTTTTATATATAAGGAGTAAAATCAGACGTTTTGGAAAAAGTAAATACTTTAATTTTAAGTGTTAAGTGATCTTGCAAAACTTAACTGAAACAATTGTGAGCTGAAGTTTTAGTATTTAGATGTTATTTTTTATAGAATTATTTTCTTATTTTAAATCCATTCCTCCGTCCTTCCCTAATCGTGTTCCACAGTAATGGATCTTTTTGCTCCCTAAGAGTTCCTTCAAACTGCCAGAGAAATATTAGCCTGTTGGCCTTTGACCCCGATGGAGACCAGGTCAAATGCAGATATGCCAACCAATTCCAGTCAGAGTGCGAGTCGCCCTGCACGCCTCCGTCTGTCCTCAGCCTCTCACCTGTGAGTAACGAGGAGATTCATTCCTACAACACATTCAGTTCAAAATGCTGCATAATTAAAAGTTACAACAATAATATACGCATTAATTAAAAGTCCTTCAGCTGGTACGGATTCTATATTTAGCAGAGTCAGTCAAAGTGACTTTGGCAGATTTTTCACTCATCACATCAAGCCTCTAATGTAAAATAGCTGCATCTTTGTCCCTAGAATAGTTTTGGGGTGATATGCATCCCTACAATGCTTAGAATACTAATGGTGAGTTCACACCAAACGCATTTTGAGCGTCAGGCACTAAACATTCAAAGTCTCTGATGCGTCATGCGCATCCAATGCGTCCGACAAAAAGCAGGCAAAGGAAAACAGCAGCTAGAGCGATTCTGACGCTCCTCCACACAGACTGTGAATGCAAACCAGAGACGTGAAACGTGAGAACGCAGCATCGTCTGGTTTCACACGTGTTGAACTCGAGGCGTCAGACGAGTTTTTAACTGTAAGATTAATTTAAATACAAAATGATCTGACCTGCCTGCTTCCTTTAAATTGTCCTGCTTTTGCAGACCTGCATCCTGTCATTCGGGGCAACGTCCAGCAGTAATGAAGGTAACTACGCCGTCCAGATGGTGATGGAGGATTTTCCCCAACAATCCATCACTCTGACTCACACTAACGGAGCAAAGGAGGCACAAGCTGCCAACGAGCGAATCAGTATGATTCCTGTCCAGTTTGCTTTGCAAGGTACAGTCAACTGATCACCTGGTCACCAAAGTAACAACAAGGAGCAAAACTACAGGGAATAATTTCAGGTGTTTCACTTGTCTAATGGGATTGTCACTGAAATAATTGTAATAATATGCTGATGTAATAAACACGTTGATATTGTGGGTTCAGGCTGATGCTGTTTCTGTCTTGCTGTGTTCCAGTGGATTCTGCTGCTCCGTCCTGCACTGACGGCGTTTATCTGCCCAGATTTGTGTCTCCAACTCCAGAACATGGAGCTCGGTTCTACAGCCCCGTCAGTCAGACTCTAGAGATCAAAGTCAGAGCAGAAGCAGATCAGTCGACGTGAGGAAACACATGAACAATAAATCCAGTAGAAATGAACCCAAATGTGATAAATAGAGCTGTCGCTTTGTTTAAATCAGGTTGTGTTTGGTTACATTTGGCCCAAAGCTGCAGTTTGTAACTTTGATTTTATACAAAATGTTTTTTATTAACACATTTATTATGAGACAAATAATCTGAAAACATTCATGTTTTTATAATCGATAAAGGATCAATGAGATTCTGTTCAGCGGGCCGAACAACGTGAACAAGAGTTCGTCAGGATCGGGGAGCTTCACCCTGAAGTGGACGCCATCTGCAAGTGAAGCTGGACAGAGCCTCCCCATCTGCTTCATAGTCCAAGCAAGGTCAGTATTTGCACAGTCATAGTGACGAGAATTAATGGAGGGCGCAGTAGCATTTCAATGAGGCAACATGAAGCATTTCGACTCAAAGCAAAACTGTATTGATTCTGTATTGATACTGAATACTGCCACCTGCTGGACATTATAAATCCCTACAGGCAACACAGTTGACAGACTGATTTGATGACCTGGTCTAAACAACAAGATTTCAGTCATATATTGTATATTGTATTATTTTATATCTACAGTTGAATTCTCAATATATTTAACATTCTTAGATACAGTCAATAAATAACGTGAACATGAACCATAAAGTGAAAATTTAGGACCCAATAATTTTACTCAAGCAAGATTTAAAAAGGTATTTGGTGAAAAGTTCACTCAAATAACTGATCAAATTATCAATCATGTTTAAGATTTAAGAATTACATCATCATACAGACCAAAACACTTGTGGAAAATAAAATAAAGTGGACATTTTGGTATTTTATGTATCAAAATGACAATAATTCAAGAAACAAAAATGAACAAAATCAGGCAAATAAAAATAAAAAAAAATTAGAAAAAAATGAAAAGTTTCCAAATCAGTTTTTAAAACTCATGAAACTTCAACAGAAACTGCAGGTGTGTGTCTGGTAAATTTTGGGTTAAAACATGTTTGATTTTGATTTTGTGGGTAGAAAATCCAGATAAGAACAGAAATATTTCAAAATAAAATTACTCAAGTAAAAGTAAAAATTCTCCTAAAAGGAACTTTTCTCCAAAAACGTTTCTCAAGTAAATGTAACCAGTTGATACCCAACTCTGTATTTAACATATTAAATGTCTTTTTGCACTGAATTATCTCCCCAGTGCCTCCAGTTTTGTCTACCAGTCTGAGCTTCGATGCGTCATTGTGACGGTTGGAGATGGTGAGTCATTTATTTCTTCTTGATCATTAATTTATCTTTTATTTCTTGAACTCATGATGTTTCTGCTGCTCTTATCCCAATACCCTCCATAGCGACTCCTCCTAAAACATGTAAGTAGGATGAAAACAGGACTGAAAGTAACAGGAAGTTGTTCTTTACTCCATGTTGATCTCTTGCTCTTCCAGCTCATGTTAAGGTTGTGAAGCTGAAGATCAAGACTTCGATGTCACTGAAAGACAAACAAGATGAAATGGAGAAAGCGGTCAGTGACGTCCTGGACTTTAACACAAACCATCACAAACTGAGTTTAATCCTAATTAATTTATCCCAAATGTTATTTCATAACTTAAACTAATCAGTAAAGTAACAAAGAATTAACTTCCATGCTATAAATATGAACCAGTTAAAAATATATTTTAGTAAACTTCACTAAATAAAGCAAAAGTTTATAAAGAATGAGTGATCCAGATCTTGTTGCTGAGAAAAAACACAAAAATCCAAAGAGAATAAAAACTATCAACATTTAATATTTAGTTTGTAGAGTTTTTAAATGATAAAAAACCTGCTAGATTTTATGTTTCATATCTACAATAATTTAAAGTTCCTCTTCTGTGTAAATCTTTATTTTATTAAAATATTGAGTTGTGATGGTTAAATTCAACTCTTGACTTTTTTCCATTTTTAACTAGAAGATTTTAAATGACTGTATCTAACATAGATTTCATGTTTTCTTCTGCAGATTCAAGATCAACTGATTACAGGAGGGCTGCCTGCAGACATAAAGGTTCACCTGCTAAGCTTCGGTATAGCTAATAAAACAGCTGCCCCCTAGTGGCCAAACAGGAGAATGAATCTGATCCCTGCAGGAAATTTGATTTAATCTTCCTGTATATTATAAATAATTCAGGGAGTTATGGTTGTTTTCAGTAATTTAGTCTGACAATAGTTTTTTTTGTTTTTTTAATTATAAATTAGGTAAACTTTTACAAATTATTATAGGTTATTAATATAAGGTGAATAAGGTCAATATTTGGCATCATGTTTTTATTAAAGCTGATATTTACAGAGGGATTGCTACTCTGTGTTCATGTGCAGCATTTCTATCTCTGGGATTTTTATTCATCTTAAAATCTTAAATGCACTGTAAAACATTTGAGCTGCATTTAGTTGTGTCTACTATCTTCTACTCTATAAGTCAAATAAATTTAGGCAGTTTTAGATTTTCAACCTAAATGTTTGAGTTTGTAAAAGATAAACTTATAGTAGTAAGTTGTGTTAACTTTTTATTAATTTTGTCAAACCTCCAAAAGTTGAATAAACTAGAGTTTTAGTGTACATAAGTTAGCACTTAAAAAAACTGAAAGAAAATAAAAGCAGGAGTGGGAACTATTTCCCAGAATGCTTAGCGGCGTGTCTCCGTGTCTTGAGATGGAAGTGTGTTATATTGATCTGACTCTTGTGTTTCATTAAGACAAATGTTTATTTTAATGTCCTGTTCCTACTAAATGTTTCTGAGCTGAATTCATTTTGACGTTCAATAAAATTCATAGTTAGATCAGAAACTTTATTCCTGCAATTTGAGACAAGAATTAAAATTATTCTGAGTATATATTATAACTTGATATTCTAAGATAATAGAGAACTTAAATGTGCTGAATGCAGGTTTTTTCCTGCATATTGTAAAATAATTGGTTTAAATTGCAGTATTAAGTTAAAACTCACAATTCAAGGTTAACAAACTTAAAAAAAAACTATTTTGGACAACTTGTCTGTTATTGTTAAATCAACTTAATAAACTTTAATCTCTGAGTTAAAACCCAAACCATTGTTTTGTTCACTTAAATCAGGTGGATTCAATTTTCAAGTTACACCACCTTCAAATGTTTTACAGTGTAGTTGAGTAAATATTGAATAAATACTTTAAAAAACTGAAACATTCACCCTAAAATCTACATTAATACTTCATTGTATTAATAAGAAATCAAAAATTTCAAAGTGGGTGAAACCAGAAACATATATTTTTATTTATGTATAAATAAAAAGTATGAAATATTAACTGTGTGGTTGATGATAGCTTGAAGTTTCCTGTTCAGTTGTCAGTCAAACAGTGGAAAACACCGTCAGCGGTTCTGCCCGGTCCACATATTCTGATCAAAACTCGTTTCAAAGATTAAATCTTTAGAGAGGAAGAAGCATCCAGAACTGAATCTGGTTGGACCAGTTTTTTTTTTCCTTCATGGCATCGACTCTAAAATTTGATCTTATCTGTTGTTTCATAAACTGATTAGTGAAAATAATTAGAAGGCCAGAAATGAAGAATAAATCAGTTGAAATGTTAAGAAGACTGTTTGGTGGTGAGGAAGTTACGTTTTGTCTCAAATGGGCGTCTTAATTTGATGCATTATTAATTTTTTTCCTAATCCAATCAGACAAGTCTTTTAATTTTTTGTTTTATATTTGTTTTCAACAATTTTTGAATAAAAATAATCTGATTAACTGATTGGTTTCTTGATGCTTTTCTTTTAACTTTTTTCTTTATCCTTTTACTTCATTTTATTTTTATTTTAGTGTTTTATTATAAAACACTTTTCCGTGTGTGTGAATGACGCCAAAGAGCAAAAACTGCTTTATGTTTCACATTAAAAGCTCAGTACACATGAGGAATATTTTATATGTTAGCATAAACAATCTGCAAACAAAATAAATATCTGAATCAGTTCCACCAACAAGTTTTCTCTCAAACTCTTCAAATGATAATCAAGATATTTTTGTATTTTTCTCTTTTTCTTTGGGTTTTGAAGTCTTGGTGACAGTGAAATGTGTTCTGCTATTAAAGTTGTTTTCCTGTTTTTCAAGTGTTGCTGGAGTCTTGGCAGGGAGTTTCTTCCTTGTTCCTGGTGTGAATCATTCCACAGTCACTCGATGGTTTTCTCCTGTTTCTGCGAACCGTTTGCAAAGACTGCAGCTTTGTTACTGCTTACAATTATACCTGAAAGCTGCAGGCACGCTAATTATTCTAACAAAGCGTTTATTGTGCACTGAGACGTCGGATTCTTTATTGTCTGAGCAAAAGTGACAAAGCGGTTGATGTTAAATGAAGGTAATGAGTTGTGAAGATGTGTAACCCTGAGAAAACAAAGTATGTATTCAGGTCTGCATGAAGCGAATCTGATTATCAAAAATCACAGTTCAAGTTGGTCTAATGTGGGAAAAACATATTTTATCTTGTCTGTCTAGATATATGTATTTTTAGACTAGTTGTATTTATTTATTTTTTCTAATGCAATTTTATCAGAAAAATTATTTGTACTTATATATTTTTTTATCAATAAAATCATAGATGAAGTGATTAAACTGACAGTTTGTGGCTAAAAACAACAATATTTTTGGATCCATTCAAAGGAATTAGTTAAGGATTTAAGTTTTTTTGGTTTATAGATATGTTCTTGTCAAAAATGATTGTTGGAATTTTATAAATACACATAAATATTTATGGCCTGTGTGATGGTGACGCTGCAGCATTTTGCAGGTTCTCTCATTGCATAGTTGGATTCTCGGTCCAAAAACGTGACTGTTACTTTGTTGATTGGTCTCTATAATTTCATATTATTTGTGAATTTATAGTGTGTCTGTGGAAGACTAGATGAATGCTGGAGATAATCACTGGAAATACTGGTGACTATAAATCTTTGTCACTCTGATAACGTCTACAAGAAAGTTGAGCCACAACCGGTCACTGATAAAGAAGATGGCTGCTCACAGATATACATAGATTCACAAATTATACTTAGTGCACATCCTTGTTTTCATTTCACTCACCTTATTTCTGATCATTACCTTTCAGTCAAATAAACGTTCCTCCTGCCAGGTTTCTGTGTGAAGCCAGTCAAACATTTTCATTTCCGGGCCAGTAAACAGTGAGAGGCGTGGATCACATGCTGTCAAACCACGAATCCTCCTGGCTTCTAACAAACTCGGTCTGTGTGTGGAGACACTTTCACAGTCATCATGTTCCTCTCAGTGGTTCTGCTGCTGCCGCTGCTGGTCAGCGATTCCTACGCTTCACATTTCTATGGCGTCATGATGACCTACTACCCAACCGGATCTACTTCTGTAAGTTAAACCTTCGGGGATTTTCAAATCTCCTCTTTTATCATTTGATCGTACTCACCGCCTTCTCACTTTAAATCTGCAGGTTGAGCTTCACTACAAAGTGAGCTATGACCACTTTGTAGTGGACTTGCACTGGAAACTGTGGGACTGAGACCCAGATCCTTCCTTTAACCAAAGTTGATGAACTCAGTGGTGAATGGTGCCAGAGAGAAGCAGTGACGTCTCGGCAGCTGACAGACAACTCTCCACTTACACTTCAGTAAGTCCTTCTGGACACTTTGCCGAATTATATCCTTCCAATATCACTGAGGAAATATTGGATCTAACACGCTACTCTAAAATATCAGTGGCTCAGCTAATCACAAGATTTCTGGAACAAAGCATGGATGTTGGATTCCTCTAATGAAAGGCATAAAACACCAAAATGCATCAGACTTTGTTGTAAATTATCTCTACTTTCATTGTAGATTTGCTAGTGGAAACTGGATAAGTAACGTACAGAATATCATAGGCTGGAAAGCTGTGACTAAAGTTGAACTAAGGACCCGATCTGACATCGGCAAAGCCAACACATCACCGCAGACGACCATCCTCCCAGCTCTGAGGTAATTCTGCTGCATTCTAGATGTTTTTATTTATTTATTTGCCTTTCTGTCCTTTATGCCCCAGAATCAAATCTCCTCTGTGTTGTGTAGAGATTAGGTAAGATTTAAAGTGGCTCTACTTTGTCAAATTAACATTTTGGTTGTAACAGGCAAAGTGCTTCAATAAAACTACCTAGACGTTTTTTTTCGGAAGTAAATTTACTTTTTTTTTGCCACGAAAACAAACTGTTTCAAATGTCACAAATCAGCACAACTAGCAACAGCAGCAGAGCTCCAGAAGAGTTGGTCAGCTGGTTTTATCGCTGTACAATGGCTGCTGGAAAATAGAAGTGTTTTCTCTTGTATGACTTACAATAATAAGTCATATTGTTGTTGACTTACTATCCAGAAACTACTTGCTACATTCTTGTTGGCTGTGCAGGAGACGCCACTTCTGCTTTCCAGAGATTGTTTTCAGACATTTAAACGTGCGAGTGTAAACGTTGATCCATTTCAATGGATGGCCTTTAAATCATTTTAAAATGGATAAAAACCGTATCATCTTTTATTTCTAGTTACATACAAAACAAACAACCTTAAAATAGAAAGAAGTGCATTTTTAAATCTTACCATGAGTGTGAAAGACTCTTTATGAGTTATGTTTATATATATTTTCTATCATAGAGTTCCTTATAACTGTCAGAGAAACATAAGCATGTTGGCCTTTGACCCCGATGGAGACGATGTTAGATGCAGATTTGCCTCCAGTGCCTCGTCAGAGTGCGACACCTGCACGACTCCGTCTGTCCTCAGCGTCTCGTCTGTAAGCATCAACATATTCAGATTTGTATTATGAGCTTGAATATTATTTGGCATAAAAGATTTTCTTTATTTTGACCATTTCCATTTTTCTTCTTGCAGTCCTCTTGTACTTTATCGTTCAGCTCATCTGCCAGCAGCAGCCAAGGTTCATATGTGGTCCAGATGGTGATGGAGGACTTTCCCCTGCAGACCAGATCAGTCTGACCCAAACCAACGGATCTCAGGAGCAGAGAACGACCAGTGATGCCATCAGCAAAATACCCATCCAGTTCATTTTAAAAGGTACAAACGTATATCATTGTTAACATGTTTTTAATGATGGGATGGATTTTCTGGAATATAGTCACATCTGTGTGTAGTAACATCTGGTTGTTACAACTGTAAGTGAAAACTTATAGTTTATAATTGCCAATTTAAGTTGTTAGAATATGTTGTTACAACTTAAAGTTTTTACTATAAATTGTTACGATAATGCATAGCAACAATTTATAGTAACTACTACAGTTGCTACTATAAGTTGTTAGTATGACTTCCTACTTATAGTTGTTACTATATAATGACAGCTATAATATTTCTAAGTTGTAACTATAATGCATAGTAGTAACTACAGATTATTTATAGTAACTAATGAAGCACTTACTATGAGTTACAACAACTTCTAGAGACAACTTATAGTTGTTACTATAGCTTATACTAATAACTGTATAAGCAAATATCATCTTGAGTCACTTTACAAGACGTTTATGATCTGAACTAATACATTTAGATGGTGGACTGTTGCATAAAAAGATGAGTCAGATTGTGAGTTTGTGGTTTCCCTTTATTGTTGCAGTGGTGGCTGCAGCACCGTCCTGCACAGAAGGTCAATATCTGCCCAGATTCCTGAGTCCAACTCCAAACAACAGAGCTCAGCTCTACACACCAGTCAATCAGATACTGGTGATCAACATCAGTTCACAGGCAACTCAAGCCACGTGAGAACGACTAAAATGGTTTAACTGTTAGTAAGTTCAGGAAGCTGATATTAACTGCTATCAACTGCTATTAACTGCTAACAACATGAAAGCAAAGTTTTCATGCCTGAGTTAGATGTCTGTCAACATGTTTAGATTATGAAATCAAGAAAAACAGTTGCTTGAAACTCTGGAAAATATTTTTTAACTACTCTCTGCATTTCCTGTTTGGTAAAGATCGACACAGCTCCTGTACAGCGGGCTGCAGAACGTGGCTAAGAGTTCATTGGGATCAGGAAGCTTCACTCTGACGTGGACACCATCTGTGGCCGAAGATGGAGAAAGTCACCCCATCTGTTTCGTTATCCAGGCAACGTCAGTGTCTAATCTGATAAACATCACACTATTCTGAAATGTTCAGAAACATTTTATTAAGAGACGTTAACTTTTCAATGCTCATGGATAGCATAAAGATGATACATAAAAGTATAACATGCTAAATTATCTAGTGCTTCTATCCCCAGAAATTAAAATGTCTGAGAACTAAATCATTTTTTAAAAATTTACATCTCCATATCAACTTCAATATTTGAAATAAGATGCACAAGTAAACCATTGCCTCTCAACAGTCACATCAAAAGTGTAACTGCACTTCCCTGAGAAAGATTTTAAGGTGATTACAAAGAAAGAGAGTAAAAAAGAGAAACAGAGGGAAAAAAACCCCACAAAAATATAAATTAACTACAAAGTATGGCTATCGTTGGAGAGTGGATTGTTAAGGACGTTCAACAGGCCAACAGATCCGGTCTTTAAAGATAAAATCAGGTCTCTTAGGCTGAACATAGTTCATCCATATCTGCCAGTGATCAAATTGTTCAGTCCTGTGATTGAGAGAAGCTGTTATTTTTTCCATTTTATATATATTAAATGTTATGTCAATCCAGTCATTTAAAGTAGGTTTATCGTGTGATAACCATTTTTTTGTAATGTTTTTCTTACTTGCTGTTAATAATACAGTCATCAAATATTTGCTGCTTTTTGTGGCTTCGTGAGGAATTATTCCACAATACATGAACTTGAACTCCAAGGGAATGTCCTGCTTAAACATATCTAGGCCTTATTAATCTCTTTCCAATATTCTTTTATAATTGGGCATTCCCGGAAGACGTGATATTGGTTTGCGTTTTGATTTCTACATTTTCTCCAACATACAGGAGGATTTCCATCATTTCTGGGCCGGTGTAATAAAAAATCTTACCAGATTCTTCCATCCAAATTCTTGCCATTGCAGTGGTTTATTATATGTCCACTGATATCTCCACATTGTTGTCCATTCCTCCTCTGTCATTGTTAAATTTCTTTGATATGTAAAGTTGAATTTTAAAAAAAATCTATAAGGTTTTCATAGATAAGCGAGATAATTTTCCCTTTAATTTTTGATTTATATGCAATCCATTTTATGACTGCTAAGTCATTTCCTAGTGCATTTCCTTTAACAATAGTTTTCCATGCAACTACAACAACCGAATCCTCAACTTCAACTACTGACTCCATAACTACAACAACCGAATCCCCAACTACAACAACCGAATCCCCAACTACAACAACTGAATCCCCAACTACAACAACTGAATCCCCAACTACAACAACCCAATCCCCAACTACAACTACCCCTATACCGACTACAACAACTCAATCCCTAACAACTACCCCTATACCGACTACAACAACTGAATCCCCAACTACAACTACCCAATCCCCAATTATAACAACCGAATCCCCAACTACAACAACCCAATCACCAACTACAACAACCGAATCCCCAACTACAACAACCGAACCCCAACTACAACTACCCAATCCCCAACTACAACAACCGAATCCCCAACTACAACAACCCCTATACCAACTACAACAACCGAATCCCCAACTTCAACAACTCAATCCCTAACAACTACCCTTATACCGACTACAACAACTGAATTGCCAACTACAACAACCCCTATACCAACTACAACAACCCCTATACCAACTACAACAACCCTATACCGACTACAACAACTGAATCCCCAACTACAACAACCCCTATAACAACTACAACAGCTCAATCCCTAACAACAACTACCCCAACACTGACTACAACAACTGAATTGCCAACTACAACTATCCAATCACCAACTATAACAACCGAATTCCAGACTACAACCGAATCCCCAACTACAACTACCCAATCACCAACTACAACCACTGAATCCCCAACTACTACAACCGGACCCCCAACTACAACAACCAAATCCTCAACTACAACTACTCAGTCACCAACTACAACAACTGAATTCCAGAGTACAACCGAATCCCCGACTACAACTACCCAATCCCCAACTACAACAACCGAATCCCCAACTACAACTACCCCTATACCGACTACAACAACCCAATCACCAACTACAACAACCCCTATACCGACTACAACAACCCCTATACCAACTACAACAACCCCTATACCGACTACAACAACTGAATCCCCAACTACAACAACCCCTATACCAACTACAACAACTGAATCGCCAACTACAACAACCCCTATAACAACTACAACAGCTCAATCCCTAACAACAACTACCCCAACACTGACTACAACAACTGAATTGCCAACTACAACTATCCAATCACCAACTACAACAACCGAATCCCCAACTACAACTACCCCTATACCGACTACAACAACCCAATCACCAACTATGATTACACTTACATCACTACCTACAAATTCAACATCTGCTTCAGGGCCGTGTAAGTGGCTAAAGTTCATGTTTTGTCCACCATAAAGCTATGAATAGAAATAAAACTGGTTTTCATTTAAAGTTCAGAATAAAAATATCTCTTTCCTTCTAGATTATGTTGTGGTGCTGAATGGCAAAATCTCTACCAGTTTGTCAATGGAAAATGATCATGAGACCGTTGTGAAGCAGGTCAGTAACTTCATGAACTCTAATACTCATCATGGTCTGATTTAAATCATGAACCTGATGATGTTTATTCTACTGCCTGTTTTATGTCTTGTTTTTAAAATGTTTTGTCTTGAATTTGAGCAGAAGCAAATCTTCACTTGTTAAAAACAACTTAGTGTAGATCAGAATGACATAAATACAAATTGAGAACAATTCCTAATGTGCCACTGATTGTATCTCCACTGAGCCTTGTGTGTTCCTCTGCAGATTAAAGATGAACTGGTCAGGCGAGGATTGCCACCAACAATGATTGTTCGTCTTCTCAGGGTCGTAACAACAAGTCGCTGAGGCCAATCATGTATTTCATACCTGGATATAACAATATAACGTTCTCTGAAGTTTCAAGTCATTTGTTCTTTCTTTGTTTTTGAATTTCCAAATTTCTGTAGGAATTTGTATTTTTTGCATGTTTTTTACACGTAAAAAAAATAAACAGATGTTATTGCATGTTAGATTAGTTTTTGTGGAAAATGTATTTTTGAAAAGAAAAATCTTGATACAAAAATCTAACAAAAAAGTAGAAGCTGAGATTTTGAAGTAGAAATCTTTCTGTGAAGCCTCCATGGTAACAGTTACACTGTTGCTCCACTAGGTGGCGAGCTGAAGCTGAAAAGGACAAATGCAATAAACTTAACCAGCTAGAAATGTTTATAGATTTGTAAATAATCTACTCTGTGACAGTCACTATGGCTTTAGGTCAAACAGATAAAGATCTCTGGCATTATTTCATAGGAATCAAAATAATAGATCATTATATGTAAAAAAAAAAAAAGGAATGTTATGCATTAGTTTTCAATGTAGATAAGATTTATATAATGAGGTAACTGTTTACCTGAATGACAGCTGCTTATAATTATTGGGCATCACTTCTGGTTTCCCTCAAGGTCGAGTGTTGGGCCTTAAATTATTTATTTTATATATTTAGGATGAATTAAGTTACAAATGTTGACATTTTTACTCTTGTTTTTGTTGTCCTGCTTGCAAATAAATTGAATAATTGATTTGTTTTATTGTCAGACAATAATTTAAATGAAACTAAAATAATTTTATCAGTAAATAAAAAATTAAAATAGTAGGAAAAGATCAACTAAGTGGGACTGTAAATAAAAGATACTTTTTGGGGTCATTAAGGTTGACAAGCTTAGATTAAAAGTCCATAATAATTATTTTAATCCTAGAGCAAAATGAAGCCAAGTACTTAATATACTGTATATTGCTGAATATTGTACAGTTTTCTGGGGCAGTAACTACACATAAGGAACAGACTTAATGTGAAATATTGACATTTCTTGATTTAGTGAAATTTCTAAAAACTCAAATGGTGCTTAGGGCAATAAAGATCATCTACCAATAAATCTGTAAATAAAACTGATTGATCAGAATTGTTACTTCTGCAGCTGCAGAATTTTGATCTTTGGGAAGATGAAAGAAATCATTTCCTATCACATTGATCTGAACTTGGCTTTCTTCATTGGAACTCTCTTCAATTGCTCTCTTTTTTAAAGCAGAATATGTGCTCTCAGACACAACTGTCTCTATTTCAACTACGGACAGATCAAAACCATAAGAATCAAAAACATCGTAGTCAAAAACATCGCAGTCAACTGGGGATGGGTCAAAAAGAAAGGAATCAAAAACATCGTAGACTGAGAAGAAAACCTCCCCAAACGGGGAGGTTTGGTTCTCAACTGGGGTCGAGTTGAAGAGAAATGGGTCAAACACGTCATATTCAGTACTTTGTTCAAAATCTCTTTCAAGGAGAAGTTTGTCAAAAACCCTTTTCATCCCGGTTGTAACTAAATAGCCGAGGCCAAAGCCGAGGGAGAAACACATGCCAACCATCATGTCTGCCATCCTGAAAATCCTTGTGAAAACCAATGCTGAAGTTCGAAGTGCTACTCGGATATGAACTGATGTCTTGAAACACGCATTCATAACCTCAGATGTTCTTTGATCTAGAACCGCATGTCGGATGTAAACAGGTGGTATATTAGTTGGAGGCTGTCTATATGTAGTTGTAAATTCCCACCCGTTTCAGGCTCTTGAATGCAACACGTTGTCACTAGGGACGGGTCAAAAAGATACGAATCAAAAACATCGTATCTTTCTCAAGTGGTGTGGGGTTAAAGAGAAATGCGTCAAACGCGTCATATTCAGTGGAAGTGCTCTCTTCCTCAGAAGTACTTTGTTCAAAATCTCTTTCAGGGCGAAGTTTGTCAAAAACCTTTTTTATCCCGGTTGTAACTAAATAGCCGAGGCCAAAGCCGAGGGGGAAACACATGCCAACCATCATAACAGGCTCTTGAATGCATGACGTTGTCACTCCTGGTTAGCCGGGCTTATTGGCGTATATGGGCACCGGGTGTGAACGCCAAGTTAAGTGTGTGTCAGGTCAATTGTTGTGCACAGTTGGATCATGGCTGGACGAGTTCTGGCGCCATGCTGTTCGGTCCAGGATTTGGATTATGGATAAGGGAGCATTTCAGCAGTTCACTGCTGCATCTGAATGTATTCTGTGAGGGATTATATATACACACACACTCACAGTTGGATCGGCTCCCTGTTCATTGAGTTCTAAATCCAATAAATGAGCCCCTCAACCGTGAAATCACCCATAAAGTACATTTTCAGGCCTTATCTGTGAACTCATTGCTGTGTGAGAAGCAGTGGGCCGAGCACACAACCTTGAGGTTTCCCAGTTATCCATATTGGCTATAAGCTCATATATGAAATGTAAACATGTTAATTCATCATTAATTTAAGTTGCAGGACCAGCGTATCATCATAATGTTAAACTCCCAGCAACCATGCAAAAGGCCTCCTGGTGCTTCATCTGCAGTGAGCTAACGGTGTCATGCAGCTGCTGCGATGCTTCATTGCCGTCAGCACCTGGATGAAAACACTGCAGTAAACTGCCAAGGCAGACAGTATGGCCGACATTTCACCGTCGTCAGGTCTACCGCCTCAGATCAGCAGCTTTTTACCAGGCCACAGTTCGTACACAAACCTACATTCACATTCAGACAGAATCCTCCTCCTCGTGTTTTTCCTGACCGTGTTTTTCCTCAACAGTCTCCAGTTATTCCGATCGGAATAACTGGAGACTGTTGATCTGGAAGGCTGAGTCTGATATGTTGCTGTTATATAAAATCTAAGCATGTTAATTCATCATTAATTTAAGATGCAGACACAACAGTTGTCATGATTTTTGGCTGTTTTGGGTTTTATTTGCCATTTTTTGCCAGGTTTATTTAATTTCTCTGTGTTTATTATTGTTACTAATGTGTTACCATACTAGTTTATTTCTTTTAGTTTAGTTTCTTGGTTTATTTTTGTTTTCTTTCTTGTTCATTTGAATTTGTTTCTCAGATTATTCTCATGTTTTTTTACACTTTTTCTTTTAAATTTACAGAAATGCAGTTTTTCTCTCCATCCATGCTTTGGCTCGGCCTCTTCCTGTTTTATGACATCAGCAAAAAGAAAAAAAAATGAGAAGAAACATTGGTGTACTGTGCTTTCCCTTGTCGAACCAGTTTTTTTTGAATAACTTATTTGAATGTGCCTGGAAATTGATCGTATCTGTCGCTTCCTGCTTTTTACCCATGTCAACATCCATTTGTAAAAAGACCTTTCTCTTTAATTTTACCCTAAAATTTAAAAAATCCAACAGAATTGCACCTGAGTAAGATTTATTTATTCCTGCATATATTTTCAGATGTCTGTAGGTTTTCTGTGCATATTTTTAAACAATTATTCAAAAGTACAAACAACATGTAAATGTCTTTCCTTCATACCAGGAAGATGGCAGGTTTATCAGGATCCTGGATTACTTGTTTTTTTATGCTCTGCTTTTTGTTTTCTGTTTATTTCATCCTTACTTAACTTGGATCAACAGTAGAAATACTTTATAATGAGATTACTCATGTAAAAGTGAAAAGTACAGTATAGTAAAAATACTCTTTAATGTGCATGTTTTCCAAAAAGTTACTTATGTAAATGTAATTGAGTAAATGTGAGTAGTTTCTACCCGACTCTGGTTAAAGGGTGGTGTTACAGTCCTGGGCCTCCTGAGCTGGTCCAGGTGATTTTGGTTTCTGTCTCGTTTTTCTCCTTTACAGGTTCAGCTGATCTGGAGCCCAGAACATTTAATCTGGTCGTCTCCACCTTCCGGGTCGCCTCCTGCGTCGGCTCTGCCTCCTGCTGCCAGGCCTCAGCTCCCTTCCTCTTGCACATTTCAGTTTCTTTGTTTTTGCTCTTCAACACATCCAACCATTTGCTTTACGCCACTGACATTAATGATCATTGTAGGTTTTAATAAATATTCATTTTCTACACCATAACCACTGAATGGTCTCCTGTTTTTGTTATGACCTGGTTTTTGTCATAACAGGAAGACAAAATGATTTTCTCATATTACAGAGATAAAGAATGAAAGACACATTTAAACTCTAAAAACCTAAAAAACATTTTTAAACTAGAATATAATAAATGAGGAGAGAAGTTCAGTTAATAAAATGAAAGTAAAGGACATCAGGTAGGGAATTTCCACACACCTGCAAAAATATGAAAATAACACGGAAGTGTGTATTTATAGATAACACGGAAGTGTGTATTTATAGACATCATGCAAAATAACATTTTGCATGATGTTGTTCTGCTTGTCCATGTTTCGTAGAAGTGTCGAACACCATGTTCATTGAAATGTCTGGACAAAAAAGGAAAAATAACCAAAATTACTGAGTTATATAGTCAGCAGACAGAAGAGCAAATTAAATACATAAATATCTTTAATATTGATTATTTACAGATTCATAGTCAAACATTGACAGCAGAAGGTTTTCCATCAAACTAAGTAGCAGTTTAAAATAAATCTGGAAATATTTCTATAAAAAACAAGCAAACAAAATCATAACATGGATTATATGTCAGATATTATTGGTGTAAACTGCAGAGATAAACTGCTGGTCTGCAGCTATTAAAGTCTGTATCTGGTGAAACCAGTGGTGAACTGGTATTGATCAGCTCTGATCTGTGAACATCTTAAATATTCACTTAAACACAAAAACTGACCAGGAGAGATAAATAATTAACCTGGTAGTGCTGCAGGATTTAGAAAACTGAGATGAAGCAAAAATTATTAGTTTTTAGTTTGAAAATCAAATTTTACAATGTAGGAAATGTTTTTCTGATATGAACCAGGTGTCTGACATTTCCTGGTTCATTATGTAAATACAGTCCATGGAAATTTTCCCATGTTTCCAATAATAAACAGAGAGAATAAGGAGAGACTGTACAAAGTCGTCTGTCTCTGATGATCTTAGTTTAGTAGAACTGAGTCGTTCATCATGTTGCTCTCTGTGCTGCTGCTGCTGATGGTCAGCTGGACAGAAGCTGGTTATACTGGTGTTGTGATCACACACACCACTAAAGATGTACAAGGAAGCAGTTTTACAGTAAGTTCAGATTTTCTGAGGTTTTTATCAAAATTGTTTTGTATTTAACACTTCTTCACCTTAAATCTGCAGTTTGTGCATCGCTTTAAAGTGAGCTTCAGCTCATGTGCAGAGATTGTGTCATACTGGTGTTGTACTAATAAGATTGATGAAAGCAGCGGTGAATGGTGTCTGCATGAGCATACCTGGAAGTACAATGTTTGGAGTTTCGACTATCACTGGGACAGGTAACTGAATCTCAACATCATACAAAAATATCCAACATTTCTCAGTTGTTCCCAAGAAGTAACTAAATCTAAAAATCCTACTGAATTAAATCTCTTGTCAGTTTTCTGGTCTCCTGGTCTGTAAAGTTTTCTGTGTTTCTGAAACTCTGAGTGACATCAGAATCTTATATTAAGATTAAATATCTTCTATTAAAGGTGGGATCCTCCTAAAACCTGGGTAAATAACAGAAACGGTGTTTCATCTTCACGATTTCTGATGACATATGAGCTGAGAAAACGATCCGACATCAACAGACCGAACTCATCACCACAGACCAGCATCATCCCTCTTATCAGGTAATTCATGTAGTTTTTTTTATTTACATTAATAAATATTTTTGGTGTCTTTTGTTGAGCATAAACTATAGGTTTAGTTTGTTGGTATTTTGTCCTGTTTTCTTTTTTATTTCTTGTAAAGCCGAACCATAGAGCTTTAATAATTAGAAATAGTTTACAATTAATATCCAAATGTTGTGAATAGATTTTATCTTTAAAAGAGACCAAAGAGAAACAAAATAAACTAAAACATAATGAATAAAAACTGAAATACAAATCAGTCAATACATTAAAGATTCATCATGTGAATAAGATAATTTGAGCAGATTGTTTGTTGTCAGGTGACTTTGTGATGTTTTCTGTTTCTCTCAGAGTTCCCTCAAACTGTCAGAGGGATATCAACTTGTTGACCTTTGACCCTGATGGAGATAATGTTCAATGCAGATATAGATCTAATCCCATTGACTATGAGTGTTACATTTGCACAGCACCGTCTGTCCTCAGTCTCTCATCAGTGAGTAATAAATGTTGGTGTCAGTTTACAGTAATGCAGTAGAAAATGATCAAAGGTAATTAAGCTGAATTTATTGATTATTGGACTATAAATCACTAATGATGAAACATTACTCTGAAACTTTTTAAATCACAAATATTGTTGTATGAACAAAAACAACATAAATCTATTAAATATAACATTGTTAATATTTCTCTCTCTGTCCTCCTGCAGGCTTGTTCTCTATCATTCAGTCCAACCAGCAGCAGCAATGAAGGTTCATATGCAGTTCAGCTGATGATGGAGGATTTTCCCAGATGGTCAATCACTTTGACTCATTACAATGGTTCAACTTATTCATGGAGCCCCAGCAACTTCATGACCCAAATCTCTGTCCAGTTTGTTTTCAAAGGTTTGATTTCATGCTTCAATCAGTTTGTTTTATGTCACAAAGAGAAAAACTGGTGTAAATACATTTAATATTTAATAATTGTCTGTTTAAAGGTGATCAATAACTACAGATTATTAAAGGACATCAAGCTTTTAAATTCCAGATACAGTAATATAATACAGTAAGAAGAAGATCACTTATTATCAAGACAGATCATTTGACCAAAGTGTAAATTTACTAAATTTATCATTTTAATTAACGGCCCACTTGTCCATTCTAGACAAACCATCTTTAATATGTTTTATTAGTTTCTCTGCATTATTTTTCCCTGCGTTGCTCCAGTGGATCCTGCAGCTCCGTCCTGCACAGCAGGTGAATATCTGCCCAGGTTTCTGCCTCCAACTCCTGAACATGGAGCTCAGTTCTTCATAGACGTTAATAAGATGATAGAAATCAGCATCAGAGCAGAGGCGACTCAGTCTGTGTGAGTAGAAAATAAATATAGTCTCTAATCACAGGGCAATTTTTATATTATTTCATAATATTTTGAAGATACTATTTAATGCAGGTTTGAGGGCATTTTGCTGATATAACCAAACAGACTGATGTGTTTCCTGTGTGTTAAAGGATCACTGGGATCCAGTTCAGTGGACCGTTCAACATGGCCAAGAGTTCATCTGGTTCAGGAAATTTCACCCTGAGATGGACGCCGTCTTTCAGTCAAAATGATGATAATGAAAGTCATCCCATCTGTTTTGCTGTCCAGGCAACGTCAGTATCTGATCTGATCAGAAGTTTTCAAATGTTTCCATTTTCTCCATTTAAGTAGAGGTACAAATACTAGCGACGGATAAAAGTTACAAAGTAGAAAATAAAATTAATTAAAGAAAAGGTTTTGAAATGTACTTATGTACAAAAGTAAATATAATTGTTACCTTCAATGGTTTTAAATAAACCAATTAGTTTATGGTTCATATAAACAGAACTGCAATGTTTGACTCTGAACTCCTGGTTATTGTAGCTTCACAGACTCTTTGTTTACTCCTGTTCTGAGCTGCTAGAGCAACTTGCTTTGCTGCTGTGATATTTGCATTTCACGCCCCGCCCTCCTCCAGGTCACAGAGGCCTCCACTCCACCCCGGTCGGCCATTTCTGTAGTCTGACGGCAACAAAACATCATCTACCGGCAGAGAAACTTTTCATCCCATAGTTAATTAAAAATGTCAGCAATCATCCATACATGTTGGAGTCGGAGTCTGATCCACAGCAGGAGAATGAAGTAAACAAAACCTCAAGATAATTCATGAGTTAGCTAACATTACTGAATGCATTTGGATCATTTGTTCCCCAAGACAAAAACAAGCCAAAGAATCACATCCAAAACATGCAGTACCTCTATATTCCCATAGAGGGCGCTAACAGCTAGCACACAGCGCTAACAGAAGCAAAAGGCTCAATGCTACTAGCAAAACAGGACATCATTATCAAAACATAAAATTCATCTGTAACGTTAGTGTTGTTGTCATTATTTGGAGCTCTTTGCTTTGCTGTGTCCATCATTTCAGCAGAGGAGGAACTGACCCTCAATCAGAAAAATCTGCCTGAAAATCCCTGTGCAGTGGCAGAAGCTGCTGAAGCTCTCTGCTCCCCACAAACCCACTTTTCCACCTGATGGGAACGTTACTGAGAAAAACAAGCTGAGCAGCGATGTAAAGAACCTTCTGTGTTAATAAACCCAAGAACTAAACAATTCAGCATAACTGAACCTGGACCACAAAATCACTGAGGATAAAATGTTGGATTCATAGAACTGGTTGGCTGGAAGTCATGACCTTGTTCAGCAGCTAATGTGGTGAAATCATAGCTAAAGAAATGTTAAAGGCAATAGAGAAAAATTAACAAACTGAAAAATAAAACCTAAAACAAGTATAAAGATATCTACAGAGGACCAGGAGAGAATAAATTTAATTATTTTGCACTCTCAACTCTCAAAGTACTCAAAAAACAACTATTTAAGGACTATAAAAGTAAATTTTACATGATATGTAAAATTGCGACAGACTGGCGACCTGTCCAGGGCGACGCCGCCTCTCGCCCAGAACGCAGCTGGAGAGGCAGCAGCTCCTCCCGACCCGTTAGGGAGAAGGATGAACAGAAAATGGATGGATGTTAATTGTAACATTAATAAATGACCATTTCAAAAAGAGTTTAATATTAATGTTTTGGTGCTAAATTATCTCCCCAGTGCCTCCAGTTCTGTCTACCAGTCTGAGCTTCGATGCGTCATTGTGAGGGTTGGAAACAGTGAGTTTTTCTTGATCATTGATTTATCTTTGATTTCCTGAACTCATGATGTTTCTGCTTCTATTATCCCAGTACCTTTCATAGCGACTCCATCTCCTCCTCCTAAAACATGTAAGTAGGATGAAAACAGGACTGAAAGTAACAGGAAGTTGTTCTTTACTCCATCTTGATCTCTTGCTCTTCCAGCTCATGTTAAGGTTGTGAAGCTGAAGATCAAGACTTCGATGTCACTGAAAGACAAACAAGATGAACTGGAGAAAGCGGTCAGTGACGTCCTGGACTTTAACACAAACCATCACAACCTGAGTTTAATCCTAATTAATTTATCCCAAATGTTATTTCATAACTTAAACTAATCAGTAAAGTAACAAACAATTAACTTCCATGCTATAAATATGAACCAGTTAAAAAATTTATTTTAGCAAACTTCACTAAATAAAGAAAAAGTTTATAAAGAATGAGTGATCCAGATCTTGTTGCTGAAAAAAATACAAAAAGTCCAAAGATAATAAAAACTATCAACATTTAATATTTAGTTTGTAGAGTTTTTAAATGATGAAAAACCTGCTAGATTTTATGTTTCATATCTACAATAATTTAAAGTTCCTCTTCTGTATAAATCTTTATTAAAATATTGTGTTGTGATGTTAAATTCAACTCTTGACTTTTTTCCATTTTTAACTAGAAGATTTTAAATGACTGTATCTAACATAGATTTCATGTTTTCTTCTGCAGATTCAAGATCAACTGATTACAGGAGGGCTGCCTGCAGACATAAAGGTTCACCTGCTAAGCTTCGGTATAGCTAATAAAACAGCTGCCCCCTAGTGGCCAAACAGGAGAATGAATCTGATCCCTGCAGGAAATTTGATTTAATCTTCCTGTATATTATAAATAATTCAGGGAGTTTTGGTTGTTTTCAGTAATTTAGTCTGTCAATGCTTTAAAACAATAGATAAACTTTCACAAATTATTTTTATAGATTATTAATATAAAGTTAATGAGGTCAATATTTGGCATCAAGTTTTTATTAAAGCTGATATTTACTGAGGGATTGCTACTCTGTGTTCATGTGCAGCATTTCTATCTCTGGGATTTTTATTCAGCTTAAAATCTTAAATGCACTGTAAAACATTTGAGCTGCATTTAGTTGTGTCTGCTATCTTTTACTCTATAAGTCATGTTAACCCCTCCACGGCCACTCAGTTCTCTACTGCTTTTCTTCAACTTCATGGATCATCTGACTTCCTCCACTTTGATACTGAAGAGTTCTGCTCCTGGTTCTGTTCCTTCTGTCAAACAATCCTGGACTCGGTTGCTCCATTAAAACTAGGCAACCAAAGATTAACCCTGAGCCTTGGTTTAATGACAGAACTCGTGCTGTAAGGAAGGAATGTCGCCGTGTTAAACGCAGGTGGAAGAAGGATAAACTGCAGGCTACTTTTCAAATTTTAAAAGACTGTTGGCGACTCTAGCAGAGCACAGTTAAAGAGGCAAAAAGGGAATATTTGGCTAATATTATCTCCTCAAACAGACATAACCCACGTGTCTTATTCAACACCATTGACTCTATGCTTAATACTCCACAGAATGCCTGTTTGGAAGCTTCTCCTGACATGTGTGAGAATTTTCTGTGTTTCTTTATTGACAAGGTTGGTAGTGCCAGGCCTCTTACCATAGCTCCTGACTCTGACCCCTCTGTTTCGGTCCCTCGCTCTGCTGCTTTCACTCAGTTTGAGCCTGTGACTGTCTCACTTTTAGAGGATGTGGTTGGCCATATTAAGCCAGCAGGTTCCCCCCGTGATCCTGTCCCTCCACGACGTTTTAAAGATATTTTATCTAGCATAGTGCAGCCTGTTTGTGCAATTATAAATAGCAGTCTGTCCTCAGGTGTGGTCCCTGCTAGTTTTAAACATGCAGTAGTGCAGCCACTGCTTAAAAAACCTGGCATTGATCCTTCTGTTCTGGCAAATTATCGGCCCATCTCGAAGCTGCCTTTTCTTTCTAAGGTTTTAGAAAAATTGTATACCATCAGCTGAAACAGTTTTTAGATGAAGATGGTATTCTGGAGGTTTTCCAGTCAGGTTTTAAAACTCTTCATAGCACAGAATCTGCTTTAATAAGAGTTTTTAATGACATCCTTTTAGCATGTGATTCTGGTAATCATGTTGTTCTGATTTTACTTGACCTCACTGCTGCCTTTGATACAGTCGACCACGACATTTTAATATCGCGATTACAGCATATTGTAGGTATTGGTGACACTGTTCTTAATTGGTTCAGGTCCTACCTGGAGGACAGAACATTTTCAGTAAATATTAGAGACTCTGAATCATCTACTGCTTCAATGTTATATGGTGTACCACAGGGCTCAATTCTGGGCCCACTGCTTTTCTGTCTTTATTTACTGCCTCTGGGTTCTATTCTCAGGAAACATGGGATTTCATTTCATTGTTATGCTGACGATTGCCAGATTTACTTGTCCCTGAAGCAGAAAGATGTCCAGTCAATCAAACATCTCCTGGCATGTCTAGATGATGTTAAAGCTTGGTTGGCTTTGAACTTTTTAAATTTTAACGAAAAGAAAACGGAGGTGATGGTGTTCGGACCCAGTGGCTCCTGTGACCCCTCCTCTGTTGACCTGGGACCCTTGGAGGTTTGTTTTAAACCTGTTATTACAGATCTTGGTTTTAAGGTGGACAGTGATTTTAAATTGGACAGCCAAATTAGAGCTGTGGTTAAGTCCAGTTTTTATCATTTAAGGCGATTGGCATCAGTAAAATCTTTTCTTTCAAGGCAGCATTTTGAAACAGTGATCCACGCTTTTATTTCGACTCGACTGGATTACTGTAACTCTCTATATTTGGGAGTCAGTCAGTCACTGCTCTCACGTCTGCAACTGCTTCAGAATGCGGCTGCAAGACTTTTGACAGGAACTCGAAAGAGAGAGCATGTAACCCCTGTCTTGGCATCACTTCACTGGCTGCCTGTTTATTTTGGATCCGTTTTAAAATTCTTATGTTTGTTTTTAAATCGCTGCACAATCTTGCCCCGGCTTACCTCACTGAGCTTCTTCACCCTTACATACCTTATCGGTCTCTTAGATCTGCAGATCAGTTGCTCTTGGAGGAACCGAGATCTAGAAGGAAGCTCAGAGGGGACAGAGCTTTCTCTGTCGGGGTCCTAAGTTATGGAATGACCTGCAGGTCAAAGAGGCCCCTTCACTGTCCACTTTCAACGCTCGTCTTAAAACCCATTTATTTTACTTGGCTTTCAACTCCAGCGAGATCTAGTTTTATATTGTATGTTTGTTGTTTTAAACTGTATTTTTTTTTATATCTATTTTATGTACAGCACTCTGTTTCAGCTGTGGTTTTTTAAAAGTGCTTTATAAATAAAGTTGGTATGGTATGGTATGTTACTCAGCACTTAGTCTTTCATTTATGAGTTAATCAGTTGTAGTTTAATTAGTCGGGTTTTCATCCATTTAATCTTTTTATTTTGTATTGATCTTAAACTGATTGTCATTCAATTTTCTTTATGAACATTATGGTTTGTGTATCAATTCTTTGTAATCAATCTTCTGTATGACTCTGACATGTGGGGTCACAGAGGGGTCATCGAGGGGTCAAGGAGAGCGCCGTGTGGTCTCAGAAACCAGTCTGAGGCTGTTTAGGACGGCAGGGAGGAGAACTTAGTGGAACGCTCCAGTGAACTGATAAACTCAGTCCCACGTCCTTGAGAAGAATATTCTGTTCAAAATGACTCCTGGATCATCTGTGGGTAGAAAATCATGATGAAGGAGAGCGTCCATCTCCTGCCTGCCAAGGTCAGGACGGCCCAGGTAGAAAAACCCACCTGGACACAGCCAGGTATAAATGTATGTGAGCTACAACAGTTGGTCAGATCACTGGGTGAGACACGGTGCTCTCTGAAGACGCTTCTCTGTATCTATCAAGGTGATTAATGTTTCCTTTTGTTTGTGATCATCAATGATCATGTTGGGATGTTGCTGTGATTTCATGCTTTTGATTGATTGAATAAAATATTGATTGATCTGTGATTGTTGTCACTTTATCGTTCCGCATCTAGAGACCTGGAGAGACGAGAAGAGACGACGAGCAACAGCAGAAAAATCTCAACGGTTGTCAGACTAAACTTAGTGATGACAGTAAACAGAAATAGTCCAGTGGATTTTTATATCTGTGTGAAAAACTTTAGACTTCAGACTTTCATAACGATAAGTCTGACCTGAACCTTCAGAGACACATAAAGATAGTCACAAAATCAGCCTTCTATCTTCTGATATAACGTTCTCTGAAGTTTCAAGTCCTTTGTTCTTTCTGTTTTTGTATTTCCAAATTTCTTTAAGAATTTGTATTTTTTGCATGTTTTTTATGCATAAAAAAAAATAAACAGACGTTATTGCATGTTAGATTAGTTTTTGTAGAAAATATGTTTTTGAAAAGAAAAATCTTGATAGAAAAATCTAACAAAAAAAGTAGCTGAGATTATGAAGTAGAAATCTATCTATCTATCTATCTATCTATCTATCTATCTATCTATCTATCTATCTATCTATCTATCTATCTATCTATCTATCTATCTATCTATCTATCTATCTATCTATCTATCTATCTATCTATCTATCTATCTATCTATCTATCTATCTATCTATCTATCTATCTATCTATCTATCTATATCTATCTATCTATCTATCTATCTATCTATCTATCTATCTATCTATCTATCTATCTATCTATCTATCTATCTATCTATCTATCTATATCTATCTATCTATCTATCTATCTATCTATCTATCTATCTATCTATCTATCTATCTATCTATCTATCTATCTATCTATCTATATCTAGACAGAGAGAGGTAGATGTTTCTATCTATATAATAATCTATATATGAACAGATTATTTGTGGCCCCCACTTCTGAAAAGTTTTATTTCACATTACAAAAGTTTTGCTCACCACTGACCTAGATATATTGCACATCATGTTCTTGGTGCTCGATTAGTCAAACATATTTCACTTATCAGGATTAATGAGTCAGTTATTCAAGAAAATGAAATCAGCAGCAATTTAGATGTGACTGATATCAATGTTAGCAGAATCCTAAGGAAACTGAAACTGGAATAAACCCAACATTGTCACATGTAAGATGTAACTCAGTATGACCTTGAGGATACCAGTATGCTAATGTCTATTTGCAAAGCAAACAATGGGAGCTACCACAATGCTCAACATTTGCATCAATAGTTTAAATAAACACAAAGTTGGTGTGCACAAAGTTAGTTCACATCAGGTAATTAATCCTAAAACCACATTTTCATTTACATGCAGACATTCACATCAAGCAGATAAGAGATTAGATTTTAGTGCTTTTATCTCCTTTCTACAGTAATTCTGACCTTCATCAATAAGAAAAAAGAATTGCTGTCACTTGATCTAAATCTCTGCAGCAAGAAACAAACAGAAGAGCTCCCCTGTTTTCCTGTTTTCATTTCTTTAAACTGGTTCATTTTAAAGTCTTGACTAACTTTCAAATTTGTACATGTGAGAATATTATATGGTGAAAGAAATTATACCAAAAGAGGTTAAAAAAAGAGTTTTTAATGAAAAGTAAAAAAAAAAACAAACAAAGAGAAAGTATTTTTTAAACTTTTAATTATGTTTTGATTTTTAAATTTTAAAGGACATGATGGTTTTTATTTTTATTTCCTGCGAAAGAAATCATCTGAATTACGTTTACTTATTTTCTTACCAACTGCTGCTGTGCAAACATACTATGAACTAATTGAAAATGAAAGCTGAATCTATCTTTTCTAATTATATGCTGATGATGGATGACGTTCCTGGAGAGAACTTCATTCTCACTGACGGTTCTGGTTCAACAAATTTACGCAGCGCCAGAAAAGCAATGAGCAAAATCCCTGTCCAGTTTCTTTTCTAAGGTGTGATTAAATGTTTCAGTTAACTTATTCTAACTCACATCAGTATCAATTCTTTAAATTTGGTGTTCCTTATTTAACTGTCAATATTAAACAAAAACTAAAGATTACTGAAGGACCTTTGACTTTTTAGTGTCTGAATACAGACATGTAACAAAACAAAATCTGCTTCTTATAAGAACAGCTGAGATATGCAACTGTTTAACTTCACTGAATTCAGCTGCAGAGTTTTTTGCAGTAAATAAACCATATTTCATCAACCTATTTCTCTAAATTTGTTCCTTCTTCTTTTGTTCCAGTGGTCCTGCAGCTCCGTCCTGCACAGCGAAAATCTGCCCAATTTGAAAAGGTTCATGGCAACAATCTGAAATTGGATATTGTAGTGTTGTGATAAAATAACACATTAAGGTCCAACCTATAAAAACAATGTAAACACCTGCATGGATAAACAAAGCAGAATTTGACAGTCAAATTGGAAAAAACCCAACACAGTGTGAGCTAAAGGCTACCAGTATGCTAATCAGACATTTGCAAAGCAAACAATGGGAGCTACCACAATGCTCAACATTTACGTCAATAATTTAAATAAACACATGGGTGGTGTGCACAAAGTTAGTTCACATCACATAATTAATCATCAAAGCACATTATAACTTAGATTCTGTTACATACAGACATTGACAACCAAACAGGTAAGACATTTTAGGTTTTAGAGCCTTTATCTTCTGAGGTAAATCTGACATTCATCAATAAAAATATTTTTCTCTGTCACTTGATCTAAATTTCTGCAGCAAGACACTAAAGAGAAACAAAGAGAAGAGCTCTCATATTTTTCTGTTTTCAGTTCTTTGAACTGGTTCATTTTAAATTGAAAGTAAATAAACCAAATGACAAAAGTTTACCTTCCACAATAAAATAAAAAGGAGAAAACTAAAATAGCAGCTCATTCCTAGAAACTCCTTTGAATACTTAGAAAGCATCATGTTGTCGTCTCCGGTCTTCAGACATTTGCATAAACAAAGCGCTTCATGACAGCAGTCGCAGCAAAGGTTACCTGATGATCCAATCTTTGTTCAGCAGAACCGAGTCGTTCACCATGTTGCTCTTTGCTCTGGTAGCGATAATTGGCTGGACAGAAGCTGGTTATCATGGCATTGTGCTTTCTCACCACTAAAGATGTACAAGGACAAGCATTTACAGTAAGTTCAGATATTTTGAAGTTTATTTCATTTTCTTTATTAAAAGAATCATATTTTATCCAACAGTTTATCACCTTAAATCTGCAGATTGTGCGTCGCTTTAAGTTGAGCTTCACCTCATGTGCAGAGATTGTGTCATGGTGGTGCTGTACTAATAAAATTGATGAAATCAGCGGGGAATGGTGTCTGCATGAGCATACCCAGCAGTTCACTGATTGGAGGTTCCACTATTACCAGCACAAGTAACTGAATTTCAACATCATAAAAAATATCCAATATTTTTCAGTTGTTCCCAAGAAGTAACTAAATCTAAAATTCCTACTGAATTAAATCTCTTGTCAGTTTTCTGGTCTCCTGGTCTGTAAAGTTTTCTGTGGGTCTGAAACTCTGAGTGACATCAGAAATCTTCCCAATATCTTCTATTAAAGGTGGAATCCTAAAGCCTGGATAAATAACAGAAACAGTGTTTCAATCGCGCGATATCTGATGACATATGAGCTGAGAAAACGATCCGACATCAACAGACCGAACTCATCACCACAGACCAGCATCATCCCTCTTATCAGGTAATTCATGTAGTTTTTTTAGTTACATTAATTAATATTTTTGGTGTCTTTTGTTGAGCATAAACTATAGGATTAGTTTGTTGGTATTTTGTCCTGTTTTCTTTTTTTTTCTTGTAAAGCCAAACCATAGAGCTTTAATAATTAGAAATAGTTTCCAATTAATATCCAAATGTTGTGAATAGATTTTATTTTAAAAGAGACCAAAGAGAAACAAAATAAACTAAAACATTAAGAATAAAAACTGAAATACAAATCAGTCAATATATTAAAGATTCATCATGTGAATAAGATAATTTGAGCAGATTGTTTGTTGTCAGGTGACTTTGTGATGTTTTCTGTTTCTCTCAGAGTTCCCTCAAACTGTCAGAGGGATATCAACTTGTTGACCTTTGACCCTGATGGAGATAATGTTCAATGCAGATATGGATCCAATCCCAGTGACTATGAGTGCTACACCTGCACAGCACCGTCTGTCCTCAGTGTCTCATCAGTGAGTAATAAATGTTGGTGTCAGTTTAGAAAATGATCAAAGATAATTAAGCTGAATTTATTGATTATTGGACTATAAATCACTAATGATGAAACATTACTCTGAAACTTTTTAAATCACAAATATTGTATGAACAAAAACAACATAAATCTATTAAATATAACATTGTTAATATTTCTCTCTCTGTCCTCCTGCAGGCTTGTTCTCTATCATTCAGTCCAACTAACAGCAGCAATGAAGGTTCATATGCAGTTCAGCTGATGATGGAGGATTTTCCCAGATGGTCAATCACTTTGACTCATTATAATGGTTCAACTTATTCATGGAGCCCCAGCAACTTCATGAGCCAAATCTCTGTCCAGTTTGTTTTCAAAGGTTTGATTTTATGTTTCAGTTTGTTTTATGTCACAAAGAGAAACACTGGTGTAAATACATTTAATATTTAATAATTGTCTGTTTAAAGATGATCAATAACTACAGATTATTAAAGCACATCAAGTTTTTAAATTCCAAATACAGGAATATAATACAGTAAGAAGAAGATCACTTATTATCAAGACAGATTATTTGACCAAAGTGTAAATTTACTAAATTTATCATTTTAATTAACGGCCCACTTGTCCATTCTAGACAAACCATCTTTAATATGTTTCATTAGTTTCTCTGCATTATTTTTCCCTGTGTTGCTCCAGTGGATCCTGCAGCTCCGTCCTGCACAGCAGGTGAATATCTGCCCAGGTTTCTGCCTCCAACTCCTGAACATGGAGCTCAGTTCTTCATAGACCTTGATGAGACGATAGAAATCAGCATCAGAGCAGAGGCGACTCAGTCTGTGTGAGTAGAAAATAAATATAGTCTCTAATCACAGGGCAATTTTTATATTATTTAATAATATTTTGAAGATATTATTTAATGCAGGTTTGAGGGCATTTTGCTCACATAACCAAACAGACTGATGTGTTTCCTGTGTGTTAAAGGATCACTGGGATCCAGTTCAATGGACCGCTCAACATGGCCAAGAGTTCATCTGGTTCAGGAAATTTCACCCTGAGATGGACGCCGTCTTTCAGTCAAAATGATGATAATGAAAGTCATCCCATCTGTTTTGCTGTCCAGGCAACGTCAGTATCTGATCTGATCAGAAGTTTTCAAATGTTTTCATTTTCTCTTCTTAAGTAGAGGTACAAATACTAGCGACGGATAAAAGTAACAAAGTAGAAAATAAAATTAATTAAAGAAAAGGTTTTGAAATGTACTTATGTTCAAAAGTAAATATAATTGTTACCTTCAATGGTTTTAAATAAACCAATTAGTTTATGGTTCATATAAACAGAACTGCAATGTTTGACTCTGAACTCCTGGTTATTGTAGCTTCACAGACTCTTTGTTTACTCTTGTTCTGAGCTGCTAGAGCAACTTGCTTTGCTGCTGTGATATTTGCATTTCAAGCCCCGCCCTCCTCCACGTCACAGAGGCCTCCACTCCACCCCGGTCGGCCATTTCTGTAGTCTGACGGCAACAACACATCATCTACCGGGAGAGAAACTTTTCATCCCATAGTTAATTAAAAATGTCAGCAATCATCCATACATGTTGGAGTCGGAGTCTGATCCACAGCAGAAAAATGAAGTAAACAAAACCTCAAGATAATTCATGAGTTAGCTAACATCACTGAATGCATTTGGATCATTTGTTCCCCAAGACAAAAACAAGCCAAAGAATCACATCCAAAACATGCAGTACCATCATATTCTCATAGAGGGCGCTAATAGCTAGCACACAGCGCTAACAGAAGCAAAAGGCTCAATGCTACTAGCAAAACAGGACATCATTATCAAAACATAAAATTCATCTGTAAAGTTAGTGTTGTCATTATTTGGAGCTCTTTGCTTTGCTGTGTCCATCATTTCAGCAGAGGAGGAACTGACCCTCAATCAGAAAAATCTGCCTGAAAATCCCTGTGCAGTGGCAGAAGCTGCTGAAGCTCTCTGCTCCCCACAAACCCACTTTTCCACCTGATGGGAACGTTACTGAGAAAAACAAGCTGAGCAGCGATGTAAAGAACCTTCTGTGTTAATAAACCCAAGAACTAAACAATTCAGCATAACTGAACCTGGACCACAAAATCACTGAGGACAAAATGTTGGATTCATAGAACTGGTTGGCTGGAAGTCATGACCTTGTTCAGCAGCTAATGTGGTGAAATCATAGCTAAGGAAATGTTAAAGGCAATAGAGAAAAATTAACAAACTGAAAAAAAAAACCTAAAACAAGTATAAAGATATCTACAGAGGACCAGGAGAGAATAAATTTAATTATTTTGCACTCTCAACTCTCAAAGTACTCAAAAAACAACTATTTAAGGACTATAAAAGTAAATTTTACATGACATGTAAAAGTGCGACAGACTGGCGACCTGTCCAGACCTGAGTGAAGTTGGCCACCACAATTTCTTCAAATCAGACAAAATTGGTGTTAAACGTTTGTGCTATATTTGTGCAGCAATAATTTTTATTTGTGCTGCTTTGGCTTTGACAATATTAATGAAAGGTTAAAGGTCAAAAGGTCAACCAGACCCCCCACTTTTATTAAATCAGATGAAATTGGTATCAAACATTTGCACAAACCAGCACAAATGTAGTCGAGTTAATTGACTCTCATTTTGTCTGATTTGAAGAAGGTGGTGGGGTTGATTGACCTTTGATGTCTGTGAAATGATAGTGGCAAAAACAAAACTTTTTGCTGCACAAACCACCACAAACGTTTGACTAAAACACTGCAATTTGCATAATATATCTCCTTTATGGTTATTTTGAACATTAATAAATGACCATTTCAAAAAGAGTTTAATATTAATGTTGTGGTGCTAAATTATCTCCCCAGTGCCTCCAGTTCTGTCTACCAGTCTGAGCTTCGATGCGTCATTGTGAGGGTTGGAAACAGTGAGTTTTTCTTCTTGATCATTGATTTATCTTTTATTTCCTGAACTCATGATGTTTCTGCTGCTCTTATCCCAGTACCTTTCATAGCGACTCCATCTCCTCCTCCTAAAACATGTAAGTGGGATGAAAACTGGACTGAAAGTAACAGGAAGTTGTTCTTTACTCCATGTTGATCTCTTGCTCTTCCAGCTCATGTTAAGGTTGTGAAGCTGAAGATCAAGACTTCGATGTCACTGAAAGACAAACAAGATGAACTGGAGAAAGCGGTCAGTGACGTCCTGGACTTTAACACAAACCATCACAACCTGAGTTTAATCCTAATTAATTTATCCCAAATGTTATTTCATAACTTAAATTAATATGTAAAGTAACAAACAATTAACTTCCATGCTATAAATATGAACCAGTTAAAAATATATTTTAGTAAACTTCACTAAATAAAGCAAAAGTTTATAAAGAATGAGTGATCCAGATCTTGTTGCTGAAAAAACACAAAAAATCCAAAGATAATAAAAACTATCAACATTTAATATTTAGTTTGTAGAATTTTTAAATGAGAAAAACCTGCTAGATTTTATGTTTCATATCTACAATAATTTAAAGTTCCTCTTCTGTATAAATCTTTATTTTATTAAAATATTGTGTTGTGATGTTAAATTCAACTCTTGACTTTTTTCCATTTTTAACTAGAAGATTTTAAATGACTGTATCTAACATAGATTTCATGTTTTCTTCTGCAGATTCAAGATCAACTGATTACAGGAGGGCTGCCTGCAGACATAAAGGTTCACCTGCTAAGCTTCGGTATAGCTAATAAAACAGCTGCCCCCTAGTGGCCAAACAGGAGAATGAATCTGATCCCTGCAGGAAATTTGATTTAATCTTCTTGTATATTTTAAATACTTCAGGGAGTTTTGGTTGTTTTCAGTAATTTAGTCTGTCAATAGTTTTTTTTTATAAATTAGGGAAACTTTCAAAAATTATTATAGGTTATTAATATAAGGTGAATAAGGTCAATATTTGGCATCATGTTTTTATTAAAGCTGATATTTACAGAGGGATTGCTACTCTGTGTTCATGTGCAGCATTTCTATCTCTGGGATTTTTATTCATCTTAAAATCTTAAATGCACTGTAAAACATTTGAGCTGCATTTAGTTTGTGTCTACTATCTTCTACTCTATAAGTCATGTTACTCAGCACTTAGTCTTTCATTTATGGGTTAATCAGTTGTAGTTTAATTAGTCGGGTTTTCATCTATTTAATCTTTTTATTTTGTATTGATCTTAAACTGATTGTCATTCAATTTTCTTTATGAACATTATATGGTATGTGTATCAATTCTTTGTAATCAATCTTCTGTTTATCTCTAACATGTGGGGTCACAGAGGGGTCATTGAGGGGTCAAGGAGAGCGCCGTGTGGTCTCAGAAACCAGTCTGAGGCTGTTTAGGACGGCAGGGAGGAGAACTTAGTGGAACGCTCCAGTGAACTGATAAACTCAGTCCCACGTCCTTGAGAAGAATATTCTGTTCAAAATGACTCCTGGATTATCTGTGGGTAGAAAATCATGATGAAGGAGAGCGTCCATCTCCTGCCTGCCAAGGTCAGGACGGCCCAGGTAGAAAACCCACCTGGACACAGCCAGGTATAAATGAATGTGAGCTACAACAGTTGGTCAGATCACTGGGTGAGACATGGTGCTCTCTGAAGACGCTTCTCTGTATCTATTAAGGTGATCAATGTTTCCTTTTGTTTGTGATCATCAATGATCATGTTGGGATGTTGCTGTGATTTCATGCTTTTGATTGATTGAATAAAATATTGATTGATCTGTGATTGTTGTCAGTTTAACGTTCGGCATCTAGAGACCTGGAGAGACGAGAAGAGACGAGCAACAGCAGAAAAATCTCAACGGTTGTCAGACTAAACTTAGTGATGACAGTAAACAGAAATAGTTCAGTGGATTTTTATATCTGTGTGATAAACTTTATTTAATACAGATAATTTCATAACGATAAGTCTGACCTGAACCTTCAGAGACACATAAAGACAGTTACAAAATCAGCCTTCTATCTTCTGAAGAACATTTTCAGGATCAGAGGACTAATGAGATCTAGAGAAACTCATTAATGTGTTCATCTTTAGTCTCACTGATTAATGCAACAGCATCTTCACAAGTCGGCCTAAAAGATCCAAAATGCTGCTGCTGGGATTCTGACTAAAACCAGGAAATTAGATCTCATCACCCGGTTCTACAGTCCCTTCACTGGCTCCCTGAAGCTCAGACGTTAAAATACCACAACACAATAAAGATCTGCTTTTGTCATAGCAACCTTCCAGAGCTCTCAGGTCTTTTTTCCAGTAGATCTGGTTGTGATCTTGCAGAGCTCCTGCTATTCCTGCCTCCAACACTAAACCACAGAGCTCAGTTCTACCTGCATCATTCAGGCTATTTTTTTTATCACCGTCAGAACAGAAGCTAATCCGTCTGAATAGGTAAAACATATTTAAAATAGCAGCCAAACAAATGATGATGCTCACTACAGCTGTTTGTTAGACCCACGTTTTAAAAATAGGTTTCATTAGAATCTGCCTGATCCGTCCATGAAAGACCTTCATGTGAGTTTATTCAAAACATGGATTCACTGGAAACCTGATATTCAAATCCACAGTTTCAGAGAATGGATGACCTGACAACCACTCAGCTAAAATATTTGATGTTTATTGAAATGTCTGGACAAAAAAGGACTAAAATTACTGAGTTGTATAGTCAGCAGGCAGAAGAACAAATTAAAACATATCTTTAAATAATAATATGTCAGATATTATTGGTGTAAACTGCAGAGATAAACTGCTGGTCTGCAGCTATTAAAGTCTGTATCTGGTGAAACCAGTGGTGAACTGGTATTGATCAGCTCTGATCTGTGAACATCTCAAATATTCACTGAAACACAAAAACTGACTAGGAGAGATAAATAATTAACCTGGTAGTGCTGCAGGATTTAGAAAACTGAGATGAAACAAAAATAGATTTATTATTTTTCAGTTTGGAAAACTAATTTTACAATGTAGGAAATGTTTTTCTGATATGAACCAGGTGTCTGACATTTCCTGGTTCATTATGTAAATACAGTCTATTAAAAGATTTTCCCAAGTTTCCAATAATAAACAGAGAGAATAAGGAGAGACTGTACAAAGTCGTCTGTCTCTGATGATCTTAGTTTAGTAGAACTGAGTCGTTCATCATGTTGCTCTCTGTGCTGCTGCTGCTGATGGTCAGCTGGACAGAAGCTGGTTATACTGGTGGTGTATTAACACACACCTCTAAACGTGTACAAGGAAGCAATTTTACAGTAAGTGCAGATTTTCTGAAGTTTCTTTTATTTTACCTTTTAAAAAAATATTGTCTTGTATCTAAAGCCTCTTCACTTTAAATCTGCAGACTGCGCGTCGCTTTAAGTTTAGCTTCAGCTCTTGTGCAGAGCTTCAGTCATGGCTTTGTTCTGGCTGTACTACGAAGATTGATGAAAGAATCAGTGAATGGTGTCTGAGAGAGTATACCTGGACGGGACAATAAAGATTTTCAGTAATACTACGACGGGTAACTGAATCACAACACGCAAAAATATATCTAATAATATTTTGTTTCTTCCAAGAAGACTAAAATTCCTCCTGTCAGTTTTCTGATCTGCTGTTCTGTAAAGTTTTCTGTGTTTTAGAAACTTAGTAACATCAGAAATCTTTCCAATGTCAGGAATACTCCTCCAACCTGGACAAGCAACAGAAATGGCATTTCATCTGGCCTCATTAAGATGTTTATGGAAGAGAGAAACGTTCTGACATTAACAGACCGAATTCATCACCACAAACCGGAATCCTTCCTGTTATGAGGTAATTCAGATTTTATATCATGTTAATAATAAATACCTGAAACTTTTGATGCTTTTGCTGGAGTATAAACTGTATTTTGATTCTTATTTTGTTCCTTTCTCTTTTAAAGAAAAATAAGATCCAAACTTTGTGAATCAATTTACCAGAGACGAAAAAGTTACATGGAAACAAAACCAAATTTTGTAATTCAGAAAAATTACTTACTTTGGTGAGGGATGCTCTCAGGCTGAAGAAAGAGTCCTATCGGGCCTTTTTGGCCTCTGGGACTCCAGAAGCAGCTGACGCGTACTGGCGGGTGAAGTAGCATGCAGCTCGTGTGGTTGCTGAGGCAAAAACTTGGGTGTGGGAGGAGTTTGGAGAGGCCATGGAAAAAAGGCTTCCTCACGGCTTCGAGGCGATTATATAGTGGGATGGATGGTGTGCTGCTGACCTCTACTCGGGACGTTTTGGGCCGGTGGGCAGAATACTTCTAAGACCTCCTCAATCCCACCAACATGCCTTCCATTGAGGAAGCTGAGTCTGGGGATGCTGGGTCGGGCTCTCCAATCTCTGGGGACGAGGTCGGTGAGGTGGTTAAAAAGCTCCTCGGTGGCAGCGCCCCGGGGGTGGATGAGATTCGCCCAGAGTTTCTTAAGGCTCTGAATGTTGTAGGATTGTGTTAGTCGATGCGACTCTGTAGTCACATGGACATCGGGGAAAGTTCCCCTGGATTGGCAGACTGGGTGGTGGTCCCCCTGTTTAAAAAGGGGGGAAGGAGGGTGTGCTCCGATTATAGGGGGGTCACACTCTTAAGCCTCCCTGGCAAGGTGTATTCAAGGGTCCTGGAGAGAAAGGTCTGTCAGATAGTCGAACCTTGGATTAAGGAAGAGCAGTGTGGTTTTTTGTCCTGGTCGTGGAACACTGGACCAGCTCTACACCCTCAGCAGGGTGCTGGAGGGTGCATGGGAGTTCGCCCAACTGGTCCACATGTGTTTTATGATCTTGGAAAAGGCGTTCGACCATGTCCTTCAGGAAGCCCTGTTGGGGGTTCTCCTGGAGTATGATACGGGCTGTCAGGTCCCTGTATGATCAGTGTCAACTACACCGATTGGCTTCATTGGGACATGATCTGCAGCTCTCGCTGGAGAGGTTCGCAGCCGAGTGTGAAGCGGCCGGGATGAGGATCAGTGCCTCCAAGTCCGATGCCATGTTACTCAGCCGGAAAAGGGTAGAGTGCCTTCTCCAGGTCGAGGAGGATGTTCTGTCTCAAGTGGAGCAGTTCAAGTATCTCGGGATCTTGTTCATGAATGAGGGAAGAAGGGAGCGGGAGATCGACAGGCGGATTAGCGCAGCATCTGCAGTGAAGCGGGCGCTGTACCGTCCGTCGTGGTGAAGAGAGAGCTGAGTCAAAAAGCAAAGCTCTCGATTTACTGGTTGATCTATGTTCCTGCCCTCATCTATAGTCATGAGCTTTGGGTCATGACCGAAAAACGAGATTGTGCATACAAAACAGCCGAAACGGGTTTTCTCCGTAGAGTGGCTGGGCTCTCCCTTAGAGATAGGGTGAGAAGCTCGATCATCCGGGAGGGACTCAGAGTAGAGCCGCTGCTCCTTCACATCGAGAGGAGCCAGTTCAGGCTCCGGCATCTGGTCAGGATGCCTCCTGGACGCCTCCCTGGTGAGGTGATATCGGCACGTCCCACTGGGAGGAGAGGAAGACCCAGGAAGCGCTGGAGGGACTATGTCTCCGGCTGGCCTGGGAACGCCTTGGGGTTCCCCTGGAAGAGCTGGAAGAAGTGGCTGGGAGATGGAAGTCTGGGCCTCCCTTCTGAAGCTGCAACCCCCGCGACCAACCTTGGATTAGCGGAAGAAAATGGATGGATGGATACTTACAGATAATATTTCTCCTTAAAAATTTGAATTGTGAAATACAGATTAAATTAGACAAACTAAATATAGGAACCATTTGGTAATTTCTCAAGGAAACAAGAATTTATAACTAAAAAATGATGGTAGAAAACACTAAAGTATAAATCACTCAATATATTGAAGCTCCTCTGGATAAATGAAAACATTTCAATAGATTATTTGTTCCCAAGAGTTCAGGTATAATTATGTGATGTTTGTTTTGTGTTTTCTCTCAGAGTTCCCTCAAACTGTCAGAGAAATATCAGCTTGTTGACCTTTGACCTTGATGGAGACCATATTCAATGCAGACATGGATCCACGCCCAGTAACTATGAGTGCTACACCTGCACACCTCCGTCTGTCCTCAGCCTCTCACCAGTAAGTAATAACTGTGGATATGAAGTTACAGTGAAAGGAAAATGTGAGGTTCACATGTAGAAGAGAGTAGCTAAATATCCTTCAGTCAAACTGTCACACACAGGTGGGAGAAAAAAGCACAAGGAGAGTGACCTCACAGCTGACAATAAAAGACACGGTTAGTTTTGTGACTGAGTGGTCAGCCACCAGCTCCCACTTAGAGGGTCATATTTTTCCAGCCCAATCAACGAGAAAACTTTACAAATTATATTTGTAGATGTTAGATGTTATTACAGTATTTTATTATTGCTGAACTAGAAAAATATGAGCCTAAGTAAAGAAAAGTAGTGGAGAGCTGCTTCACTCGCACCATGAGAGCATCTGAAGGAACCGTTACATGCAGTTCCGCATCACACCACCAGGTGGCTCTAAACATATTCATAAGTCTCATTATAAATACATACTATTATTATTATTTTAGGTAAAATTCACATAGGCCTACACATAAATACACACTTTTCTGTGTAACATGAGCTACAATTTAGCTACAGCCTAACAAAAGGTTGATTGAAACTCAAAGTTTGAAAAGAGTCGAACTATCATATTGCCGAAATGATAGCGGCAATATTTGAAGTTCCACAAAATATTTTATATTGCAAATTAACTGCGCTGTGCTCTCTGCATGAACTCTCACTTGATGTGCTTAGAACCATAAATCTGCAACTTGAGATAAACAGAAATGAATATTGTCACTATAAAACACAAATAAAACTCACAATGAAATACAGTAAATAAAACATTGTTAAACTTGATTTATAATCTTTTATTTCTCTCTTGCAGGCTTGTTCTCTATCATTCAGTCCAACCAGCAGCAGTTATGAAGGTTCATATGCAGTTCAGCTGATGATGGAGGATTTTCCCAGACAGACAATCAATCTGACTGATAGCAAAGATGCAACAGAGTCGAGAAACTCCAGCATTTCTATGACCAGAATGCCTGTCCAGTTTGTTTTCAAAGGTTTGATTTAATATTTCAATCATGTTGCTTCACTGCAAAGAGAAACACTGGAGTCACTAAATTTAACATTCAATAATTATCAGTTGAAAGTTGATCAATAATAATAAATTACTTTTACATTTCTTAATACAAGAATTTAACACAAGAAAATCCTATTTTTATTAGAACAACGCAGATGGATAAATGTGTAACTTTACTGGATTAATCTTCAAACTGACAGAAGAGTTGCTAGTTTAACTCTGTTGTTTTGTGACCTGCATTATTTTTCCCTGTGTTGCTCCAGTGGATCCTGCAGCTCCGTCCTGCACAGCAGGTGAATATCTGCCCAGCTTTCTGCCTCCAACTCCTGAACATGGAGCTCAGTTCTTCATAGACGTTAATGAGATGATAGAAATCAGCATCAGAGCAGAGGCGACTCAGTCTGTGTGAGTAGAAAATAAATATAGTCTCTAATCAGAGTTCAGCTTCTAAATAATTCATGGTGAAAATCTGAAACTTGATCTTTATTGTGTTAAAATAACACAATGACTCCAACTGGTACCAAACACATAAAATCTGAACATTAATTATTTTTAGCTGTCAGATCATTTTGATCATTAGTTCATAAAAATGTTTCCAGGGCATTTTGCTGATATAACCAAACAGACTGATGTGTTTCCTGTGTGTTAAAGGATCACTGAGCTCCTGTTCAGTGGACCGTTCAACATGGCCAAGAGTTCATCTGGTTCAGGATATTTCACCCTGAGATGGACGCCGTCTGACATTGATGATGAAGAAAGTCATCCCATCTGTTTTTGCTGTCCAGGCAAAGTCAGTATCTGATCTGATCAGAAGTTTTCAAATGTTTTCATTTTCTCTATTTAAGTAAAAACACATAATGTATCTGAAAAAGACTGATAACATGACTAGTTTACTTTAGTTAAAGGAAAAGGTTCAGTGATACAAAATGTCTTGATGAAAATCCCCTCCTGATTCTGACAGGTTGCTGAAGCAGAGATCCATAAGATCTCCAAAATGAGAGATTCCTTAAAAAATAAAATCTGACCAGATCCTTGTAAAGAGGCTCTGATTTTGGGAGGCGATGTAAGAAATCCTCTGCATTAATAAACCCTAGAACCAAATGTTTTGACTTGTTTACTTCAAACTTTGCACAACTGAACTTGGACCATTAAATCGTTGAGGGAAAAAATGGCGGATTCTCAAAACTGACCAGCTGGAGGTCATGACCTCCTTTATCAGTTCCACAGAAAACGTGGCGACATCATAACAGAGATAATGTTATAACAAATAGAGAAACATGAACAGAATGAAAAATGATGTCTATGCAGCATCAGGAGAGAATAAAGTTACATTTTATTTTATTACAATATAAAGAAATAATATAAGTACTAAAACACTGGATTTTGCATAATATGTCTCCTTTATGGTTATTTTGAACATTAATAAATGAAAAAGAATTAATATTAATGTTGTGGTGCTAAATTATCTCCCCAGTGCCTCCAGTACTGTCTACCAGTCTGAGCTTCGATGCGTCATTGTGACGGTTTCAAACAGTGAGTTTTTCTTCTTGATTATTGATTTATCTTTTATTTCCTGAACTCATGATTTTTCTGCTGCTCTTATCCCAGTACCTTTCATAGTGACTCCATCTCCTCCTCCTAAAACATGTAAGTAGGATGAAACAGGACTGAAAGTAACAGGAAGTTGTTCTTTACTCCATGTTGATCTCTTGCTCTTCCAGCTCATGTTAAGGTTGTGAAGCTGAAGATCAAGACTTCGATGTCACTGAAAGACAACAAGATGAAACTGGAGAAAGCGGTCAGTGACGTCCTGGACTTTAACACAAACCATCACAACCTGAGTTTAATCCTAATTAATTCATCCCAATGTTATTTCATAACTTAAACTAATCAGTAAAGTAACAAACACTTAACTTCCATGCTATAAATATGAACCAGTTAAAAATATATTTTAGTAAACTTCACTAAATAAAGCAAAAGTTTATGAAGAATGAGTGATCCAGATCTTGTTGCTGAAAAAAATACAAAAAATCCAAAGATAATAAAAACTATCAACATTTAATATTTAGTTTGTAGAGTTTTTAAATGATGAAAAACCTGCTAGATTTTATGTTTCATATCTACAATAATTTAAAGTTCCTCTTCTGTATAAATCTTTATTTTATTAAAATATTGAGTTGTGATGGTTAAATTCAACTCTTGACTTTTTTCCATTTTTAACTAGAAGATTTTAAATGACTGTATCTAACATAGATTTCATGTTTTCTTCTGAAGATTCGAGATCAACTGATTACAGGAGGGCTGCCTGCAGACATAAAGGTTCACCTGCTAAGCTTCGGTATAGCTAATAAAACAGCTGCCCCCTAGTGGCCAACAGGAGAATGAATCTGATCCCTGCAGGAAATTTGATTAAGCTTCTTGTATATTTTAAATACTTCAGGGAGTTTTGGTTGTTTTCAGTAATTTAGTCTGTCAATAGTTTTTTTTTATAAATTAGGGAAACTTTCAAAAATTATTACAGATTATTAATACAAAGTAAATAAGTTCAATATTTGGCATCATGTTTTTATTAAAGCGGATATTTACAGAGGGATTGCTACTCTGTGTTCATGTGCAGCATTTCTATCTCTGGGATTTTTATTCAGCTTAAAATCTTAAATGCACTGTAAAACATTTGAGCTGCATTTAGTTGTGTCTACTATCTTCTACTCTATAAGTCATGTTACTCAGCACTTAGTCTTTCATTTATGGGTTAATCAGTTGTAGTTTAATTAGTCGGGTTTTCATCTATTTAATCTTTATATTTTGTATTGATCTTAAACTGATTGTCATTCAATTTTCTTTATGAACATTATATTTTATGTGTATCAATTCTTTGTAATCAATCTTCTGTTTAACTCTGACATGTGGGGTCACAGAGGGGTCATTGAGGGGTCAAGGAGAGCACCGTGTGGTCTCAGAAACCAGTCTGAGGCTGTTTAGGACGGCAGGGAGGAGAACTTAGTGGAACGCTCCAGTGATCTGATAAACTCAGTCCCACGTCCTTGAGAAGAACATTCTGTTCAAAATGACTCCTGGATCATCTGTGGGTAGAAAATCATGATGAAGGAGAGCGTCCATCTCCTGCCTGCCAAGGTCAGGCCGGCCCACGTAGAAAACCCACCTGGACACAGCCAGGTATAAATGAATGTGAGCTACAACAGTTGGTCAGATCACTGGGTGAGACATGGTGCTCTCTGAAGACGCTTCTCTGTATCTATCAAGGTGATCAATGTTTCCTTTTGTTTGTGATCATCAATGATCATGTTGGGATGTTGCTGTGATTTCATGCTTTTGATTGATTGAATAAAATATTGATTGATCTGTGATTGTTGTCAGTTTAACGTTCGGCATCTAGAGACCTGGAGAGACGAGAAGAGACGACGAGCAACAGCAGAAAAATCTCAACGGTTGTCAGACTAAACTTAGTGATGACAGTAAACAGAAATAGTCCAGTCGGTTTTTATATATGTGTGAAAAACTTTATACAATACGATAATTTTATAATGATAAGTCTGACCTGAACCTTCAGAGACATAAAGACAGTTACAAAATCAGCCTTCTATCTTCTGAAGAACATTTTCAGGATGAGAGGACTAATGAGATCTAGAGAAACTCATTAATGTGTTCATCTTTAGTCACACTGATTAATGCAACAGTATCTTCACACGTCGGCCTAAAAGATCCAAAATGCTTCTGCTGGGATTCTGACTAAAACCAGGAAGTTAGAGCTCATCACCCGGTTCTACAGTCCCGTCACTGGCTCCCTGAAGCTCAGACGTTAAAATACCACAACACAATAAAATGGTTTAACTGTTAGTAAGGTCAGGAATCTGATCTTAACTGCTATCAACATGAAAGTAAAGTTTTCATGCCTGAGTTATTTGTCTGTCAACATGTTTAGATCATGATGTCAAGAAAAACAGCTGCTTGAAACTTTGGAAAACATTTTCAACTACTCTGTATTTTCTGTTTGGTAAAGATAGACAGAGCTCCTGTAAAGCGGACCGCACAACGTAACTAAGAGTTCATTGGGATCAGGAAGGTTCACTCAACAACAACCAAATCCCGAACTACAACTACAGTTACATCACTACCTACAAATTCAACACCTGCTTCAGGGCCGTGTAAATGGCTAAAGTTCATGTTTTGTCCACATAATGCTATGAATAGGAATAAAACTGGTTTTCATTTACTGTTCAGAATAAAAATATCTCTTTCCTTCTAGATTATGTTGTGGCTCTGAATGGCAAAATCTCCACCAGTTTGTCACTGGAAAATGATTATGGGACCATTGTGAAGCAGGTCAGTAACTTCATGTACGGAGACGCAGGCGGAGTTTCAGGGTCAGACATTGTTAATGACCACACAGATCCCTTCACTGTCAAATAAGTTCATCAATAAATATCCTTTTTTGTCACAGTCCTTTTCCACAAACAACTTTGCATTCTGTAGTCATCGATCGTTCCTCTGTAGCGCAGCGGCGCTTTCATTCATAAACTCAATCATTCATAAACTCATTTCTATGTTCGTGTGCTTGTGATCGGCTGGATCCCACAACTTTGTGCTTTTCTTCAAGTCATCAGTAAAGTTTTTGTACTTAAGGCTACTCTTGCAGAATAACCACTTTTCAAAAATCAAAACCTGCCAGAGTAGTTTCAAGAAAGAGGTTTCGACTCACCCAAAACAAAAAGCACTTGTGGAGAGTTTTCAAGTTTCAAAATTGTGTTTTCTTTACTTCTAAAAATAACAGAAATATTCTCCGAGTTGTCTTACAAAAAATTTAAATATAAACGTTAATTGGCACGGTAGAAAAACTGCATCACTCCTTTGCCAAACAATTAGATCAAACACTGCAGCTGCTTCTGCTTTTTAATCACAGGAGGTTGACTGATAAGGAGGCGGGTCTAAGCAAAACAAACAATAAATAAATAAACAACAATAGATCTACCATTCACATAACCTTAGATCTGTAGCATCAATAACTCTGCAAAAATAAATTAATTTAAATCTTGACAGGCTCCAACAATTCTAATGCTCATCATGGTCTGATTTAAATCATGAACCTGATGATGTTTATTCTACTGCCTGTTTTATGTCTTGTTTAAAATGTCTTGTCTTGAATTATAGCAGAAGCAAATCATCACTTGTTAAAAACAACTTAGTGTAGATCAGAATGACATAAATACAAATTGAGAACAATTCCTAATGTGCCACTGATTGTATCTCCACTGAGCCTTGTGTGTTCCTCTGCAGATTAAAGATGAACTGGTCAGGCGAGGATTGCACCAACAATGATTGTTCATCTTCTCAGGGCCGTGACAAAAAGTCGCTGAGGCCAATCATGTATTTCATACCTGGATATAACAATATAACGTTCTCTGAAGTTTCAAGTCATTTGTTCTTTCTTTGTTTTTGAATTTCCAAATTTCTGTAGGAATTTGTATTTTTTGCATGTTTTTTATGCATAAAAAAATAAACAGATGTTATTGCATGTTAGATTAGTTTTTGTGGAAAATGTATTTTTGAAAAGAAAAATCTTGATACAAAAATCTAACAAAAAAAGTAAAAGCTGAGATTTTGAAGTAGAAATCTTTCTGTGAAGCCTCCATGGTAACAGTTACACTGTTGCTCCACTAGGTGGCGAGCTGAAGCTGAAAAGGACAAATGCAATAAACTTAACCAACTAGAAATGTTTATAGATTTGTAAATAATCTACTCTGTGACAGTCACTATGGCTTCAGGTCAAGCAGATAAAGATCTCTGGCATTATTTCATAGGAATTAAAATAATAGATCATTATATGTTTAAAAAAAGAATGTTATGCATTAGTTTTAAATGTAGAAAAGATTTATATAATGAGGTAACTGTTTACCTGAATGACAGCTGCTTATAATTATTGGGCATCACTTCTGGTTTCCCTCAAAGTCGAGGGAAACCAGAAGGAGGAACAGACTTAATGTGAAATATTGACATTTCTTGATTTTGTAAAATTTCTAAAAACTCAAATGGTGCTTAGGGCAATAAAGATCATCTACCAATAAATCAGTAAATAAAACTGATTGATCAGAATTGTTATTGAAATATTTGTAATCAATATTACAAATATTTCTGCAGCAGCAGAATTTTGATCTTTGGGAAGATGAGAGAAATCATTTCCTACCACATTGATCTGAACTTGGCTTTCTTCATTGGAACTCTCTTCAATTACTCTCTTTTTTTAAAGCAGAAATGTGCTCTCAGACAAACTGTCTCTATTTCAAACTACGGACAGATCAAAACCATAAGATTCAAAAACATCGTGGTCAACTGGGGACGGGTCAAAAAAGATACGAATCAAAAACATCGTAGACTAAAAAGCAAACCTCCCCAGTTGGGGAGGTTTGGTTCTCAACTGGGGTCGAGTTAAAGAGAAATGCGTCAAACGCGTCATATTCAGTGGAAGTGCTCTCTTCCTCAGCAGTACTTTGTTCAAAATCTCTTTCAGGGAGAAGTTTGTCAAAAACTTTTTTTATCCCGGTCGTAACTAAATAGCCGAGGCCAAAGCCGAGGGGGAAACACATGCCAACCATCATGTCTTGAATATCCTTGTGAAAACCAATGCTGAAGTTCGAAGTGCTACTCGGATATGAACTGATGTCTTGAAACATGCATTCATAACCTCAGATGTTCTTTGATCTAGAACTGCATGCCATAGATGAGACCATAACTACAATGAGGGAATGTCTTGTTTCTGCTTCTTGCTATTGAAACAATCAGGTCAGTTCTGCATAAACCAAATTATTGACCCTTTGCGACGGCATCATTTAATCATTCTAGGTGCCACGACACGAAGTGAGGAACGGGAGAACAGAACTGAGCGACTGAAGTTGTTTTCCAATGTTGTTTGGAGTCTGTGTTTTTTTATTTAACAGAAATATATTAATAAACTTCTTTTTAAAATCAGGACTGCAAGCTCCTCTTCTGGCTCTCTCTCTTTATATCCATATTTATATCGCCCTCTCTCTCTCTATATATAAGGACCCAGACTGGATTCAAACCCCACCCTCTCAAATGATATACTGATGCCTTATCTATTGAGCTATCCAGCCAGTCAGAAGGGGTCTCACTCCCACAAGGAACAATAGCAGACATAGAGGACAGTTACAAGTACCTAGGTATACCACAAGCAAATGTGGTATACCTGGAATAATTAGCTGGCCAAAGGAGGAGATAAAAGCCACAGATATTAAGACCAGAAAACTACTAACCATGCATGGAGGGTTTCATCCCAAATCCAGCACCCTGAAACTGTACACGAGCCGCAAGGAAGGAGGCAGAGGACTAGTGAGTGTGAGAACCACTGTCCAGGACGAAACAACTAAGATCCATAAATACATCAGGGACAAAGCCTCAACAGACAATGTGCTCAGTGAATGTCTCAGACAACAGGGAACGGAGGTTGAGGTGCCAGAGATACCATCATGGGAGGACAAGCCCCTACATGGGATGTACCACCAGCAAATAACCCAAGTGGCTGATATCAGTAAATACCAATGGCTGGAAAAAGCTGGACTCAAGGATAGCACAGAGGCCCTCATCCTGGCCGCCCAGGAACAGGCCCTAAACACCAGAGCAATAGAGGCCCAGATCTACCACACCAGACAAGACCCAAGGTGTAGGTTGTGCAAGGAGGCCCTGAGACAGTCCAGCACATCACAGCAGGGTGCAAGATACTGGCAGGGAAAGCATACATGGAGCGACATAACCAAGTGGCAGGCATAGTGTACAGAAACATCTGTGCAGAATATGGACTGGAAACCCCGAGATCAAAGAGGGAAACACCCCCAAAGGTGGTGGAGAACGCCAGAGCTAAGATCCTGTGGGACTTCCAGATCCAGACAGACAAAATGGTAATGGCGAACCAACCAGACATTGTCGTAGTGGATAAACATCAGAGGAAAGCCGTTGTGGTAGATGTAGCAATACCAAGTGATTGCAACATCAGGAAAAAGGAGAAACTGGAGAAACCAGGGCCTCAGGGAAGAACTGGAGAGGGCCTGGAAGGTGAAGACCACAGTGGTGCCTGTGGTCATCGGGGCCCTCGGGGCAGTAACCCCCAAACTGGAGCAGTGGCTACAACAGATCCCAGGAACAACATCAGACATCTCAGTCCAGAAATTTGCAGTCCTTGGCATAGCGAAGATACTGCAGGACCCTCAAGCTCCCAGGCCTCTGGTAGAGGACCCAGGAAATTTAACATTCAGATTAATTTTTTATGTCCTTTTTCTGTTTTAGCTGTTCAGAAATGTTAAATGTTAAATATTGAGCATCTTTTTAAATGCCCCTTTTCACAATACAAACATTAAGTACAGTCTTTGTGTTACGATGAAAGATTATGTCTCCTGAAAGCAGCCTGACATCTTGGACAGAGATACTCTAGGCTACGATTTTGGGCTGAACTTGTGCTAAGCTAAAATATGAAATGTAAACATGTTAATTCATCATTAATTATATCAATAATTAACTGATGCCTTATCTATTGTCAACATCCACCACTAGGTGGATGTTGACAAAAACTAACTAGATAAATAAGTAATGAAAAATTACCCACTAAGCCTCTGTCTAAAAGTGACATTCATGCATGAATGTTCTAAGAACTACAGATATGGAGTTCAGCTAAAATCCTGTTTTGTGTTTTTAAATGCTGAATGTATTTGTTTCCATCAGGCTGCAGGGATTGCTGCATCATCTGCTGAAGTTTTATTAATGCTTGGTGTTTGTAATCTGAAAATGACATTTGGTGTTAATCTCCCTTTCAATCCACACCTGGATGAGAAGATGTGTTGTATTGTGATGTCAAGAAGGAAAAATATCAAATGAAAAACTATTGAATTGGCTTTATTTATGTGTTGATGTGCCATCAGTTTGTCCAACTGAATAGAAACAAAATTGAAGTTATCTTTGAACCTAAAGTGGAACAATCTACGCACAGCTTCAGTTATTTAAGGTGTATTCAGACCTGAACCTACAGAGCAACATAAAGACGGTTACAAAGTCGGTCTTCTATCACCTGAAGAGCATTTCCAGGATTAGAGGACTAATGCACAACAAAATGTAGAGAAACTCATCCATGTGTTTATCTTATCGCATCAATTACTGTAACAGTATTTTCAGAGGTTTGACTAAAAGATCAACCAGATCCAGAATCCTGCTGCTGGAGTTCTGACTGAAACCAGAATATCACCCAGTTCTAAAGTCTTTACACTGGCTTCCTGTAGCTCAGAGAATGGATTTTAAAATAATGTTGTGAGTTTATAAATTACTAAACAGTTTAACACCACAAAACATCTGCTGTTGTCGTAGCAACCTTCCACGATTTCTAAGGTCATCTGGTTCTGGTCTGTTCTGCATCACCAGACCAGAACCAAACCTGGAGAAGCAACACTCAGCTTCTATGCACCATAAATCTGGAACAAACTTCCAGAAAACTGCAAAACAGCCAAAACACCGAGTCCCTATCTGAACTAAAAACCCACCTGATTAGAGCTGATTTTGAAACATAATTAATGAAACACTGATCAACATTTTTCTATGACAGCATTTCCTGACATATGACACACAGGTTCAACTGCTTAATGAGTTTCCTGGAATGGAAAACTAACTGCAGTTCTTCAAAAACTGGTGGTACACTTGGGGTTCTTCACCATCCTCAGTTTCACCGATTGTCATCCCCTCCATCATCATTACGGCACGGTGGGCTTGTCCATCGAATTCTTCACCTGCCATTTCACTGCACCTTAGATAGTGGAACAGCTTAATGAGATCTTGCTTCCCCAAGGTCCATATTGTTGCAACTTTTAGGTCTTATTCTTAACATGTGAAACTGGAAAATACCTATTGAACATGTTGAGCATAGGAACCATTCAGTAATTCTCAATGAAACGATGCTTGAACAGTTTAAAAGCAGAGAAAAAAGCTTGGAAGTAAAACACTGAAATACAAATCAGTCAAAACTCAGAAACTTTGCAATTTAAATCAAAGCAAATTGTTTGTTCTCAGGCGTGACTTTGTGATGTTTGCTTTTGAGTTCTCAGAGAAAGGTTTTGCCTGAATAATGGGTGTCTAAAGTGTGGCGTGAGGCTCATCTGTGGCCTCTGAACAGATTATTTGTGGCCCCCACTTCTGAAAAGTTTTATTTCACATTACAAAAGGTTTGCTCACCACTGACCTAGATATATTGCACATCATGTTCTTGGTGCTCGATTAGTCAAACATATTTCACTTATCAGGATTAATGAGTCAGTTATTCAAGAAAATGAAATCAGCAGCAATTTAGATGTGACTGATATCAATGTTAGCAGAAACCTAATGACGCTGAAACTGGAATAAACCCAACATTGTCACATGTAAGATGTAACTCAATATGAGCTAAAGGCTACCAGTATGCTAATTGTCTATTTGCAAAGCAAACAATGGGAGCTACCACAATGCTCAACATTTGCATCAATAATTTAAATAAACACAAAGTTGGTTTGCGCAAAGTTATCTAACATCACATAATTAATCATCAAAGCACATTATAACTTAGATTCTGTTACATACAGACATTGACATCCGAACAGGTAAGACATTTTAGGTTTTAGAGCCTTTATCTTCTGTCTAAGGTAAATCTGACATTCATCAATAAAAAATGTAAAAAATGTATCTAAATTTCTAAAGAGAAACAAAGAGAAGAGCTCTCATATTTTTCTGTTTTCAGTTCTTTGAACAGGTTCATTTTAAATTGAAAGTAAATAAACCAAATGACAAAAGTTTACCTTCCACAATAAAATAAAAAGGAGAAAACTAAAATAGCAGCTCATTCCTAGAAACTCCTTTGAATACTTAGAAAGCTTAACGTTGTCGTCTCCGGTCTTCAGACATTTGCATAATCAAAGCGCCTTACTTTGATTATGCCAAGGTTACCTGATGATCCAATCTTTGTTCAGCAGAACCGAGTCGTTCACCATGTTGCTCTTTGCTCTGGTAGCGATAATTGGCTGGACAGAAGCTGGTTATTATGGCACTGTGTTTTCTCACACCACTAAAGATGTACAAGGAAACACATTTACAGTAAGTTCAGACTTCTTGAAGTTTTTTCAATTTTCTTTTTTAAAAGAATCATATTTTATCCAACAGTTCTTCACCTTAAATCTGCAGGTAGTGCGTCGCGTTAAGTTGACCTGCAGCTCATGTGCAGAGATTGAGTCATGGTGGAGTTCCACTGATAAGATTGAAGAAATCAGCGGTGAATGGTGTCTGAAAGAGCGTACCCAGAAGTTCACTGGTTGGAGTTTCAACTATTACTCGAACAGGTAACTGAATTTCAACATCATAAAAAATATCCAATATTTTTCAGTTGTTCCCAAGAAGTAACTAAATCTAAAATTCCTACTGAATTAAATCTCTTGTCAGTTTTCTGGTCTCCTGGTCTGTAAAGTTTTCTGTGTTTCTAAAACTCTGAGTGACATCAGAAATCTTCCCAATATCTTCTATTAAAGGTGGGATACTCCAGCCTGGATAAATAACAGAAACGGTGTTTCATCTGGCCGATTTCGGATCACATATGAGCTGAGAAAACGATCCGACATCAACAGACCGAACTCATCACCACAGACCGGCATCATTCCTCTTATCAGGTAATTCAGTTTTTACATCATGAAAATAAATACCTGAAACAATTAGTGTCTTTAGCTGAACATGAAGAATAGTTTGATTTGTTAATATTTTTATTTTTTTTTCTTGTAAAGCCAAACCATAGAGCTTTAATAATTAGAAATATTTTCCAATTAATATCCAAATGTTGTGAATAGATTTTCTTTAAAAGAGACCAAAGAGAAACAAAATAAACTAAAACATAATGAATAAAAACTGAAATACAAATCAGTCAAGATATTAAAGATTCATCATGTGAATAAGATAATTTGAGCAGATTGTTTGTTGTCAGGTGACTTTGTGATGTTTTCTGTTTCTCTCAGAGTTCCCTCAAACTGTCAGAGGGATATCAACTTGTTGACCTTTGACCCTGATGGAGATAACGTTCAATGCAGATATGGATCCAATCCCAGTGAATATGAGTGTTACAACTGCACAGCACCGTCTGTCCTCAGTCTCTCATCAGTGAGTAATAAATGTTGGTGTCAGTTTACAATAATGCAGTAGAAAATAATCAAAGATAATTAAACTGAATTTATTGATTATTGGACTATAAATCACTAATGATGAAACATTACTCTGAAACTTTTTAAATCACAAATATTGTATGAACAAAAACAACATAAATCTATTAAATATAACATTGTTAATATTTCTCTCTCTGTCCTCCTGCAGGCTTGTTCTCTATCATTCAGTCCAACTAACAGCAGTAATGAAGGTTCATATGCAGTTCAGCTGATGATGGAGGATTTTCCCAGATGGTCAATCACTTTGACTCATTACAATGGTTCAACTTATTCATGGAGGCCCAGCAACTTCATGAGCCGAATCCCTGTCCAGTTTGTTTTCAAAGGTTTGATTTCATGTTTCAATCAGTTTGTTTTATGTCACAAAGAGAAAAACTGGTGTAAATACATTTAATATTTAATAATTGTCTGTTTAAAGGTGATCAATAACTACAGATTATTAAAGGACATCAGGCTTAACAATTTCCAAGTTCAGTTAATCAACTCAATAGTTCAATCCAGATTGCCCAGTGAATTTTACAGATAAGGAAATATTTAATCTTTCAGTTTTTCTATTCACTTTCTCCAAAGTACTCAAAAAATAACTATTTAAAACTATAATATGGGCATAGACATATTTCCAAACATTTACATACATTGTCAGCTCTGTTTACACCCGTATTTCAGTGTAGACTCCCTATACTAGAGGCAGCCTGTTGATTGATTTGAACACTGCTGCCACCTAGTGACTGGAGGCTTGTTTATCACTCAGGCATGAATAAAAAGGACAATTATTAGGACTTGATTCTGGCACCGATATATATGATACTCATGAACCCCCTGCACCTCACTCTTTCAAAAGTACTGTTTTAAACTAACTGCACACTTATTTGTTCTTGTTTTTTCCCTGCGTTGCTCCAGTGGATCCTGCAGCTCCGTCCTGCACAGCAGGTGAATATCTGCCCAGGTTTCTGCCTCCAACTCCTGAACATGGAGCTCAGTTCTTCATAGACCTTAATGAGAAGATAGAAATCAGCATCAGAGCAGAGGCGACTCAGTCTGTGTGAGTAGAAAATAAATATAGTTTCAACATAATTTATGGTAAAATTCTGAAATGTGATATTTACTGTTGTGCTAAAATAAAAGAATGATGCTAAATGGTACAAAAACACATAAAACCTGGACACAATTTTTCTCTTTAGCTGTAATTTTTGTAATTAATTCATAAATATGTTTCCAGGATATTTTTCACATATAACCAAACAGACTGATGTGTTTCCTGTGTGTTAAAGGATCACTGGGATCCAGTTCAGCGGACCGTTCAACATGGCCAAGAGTTCATCTGGTTCAGAATATTTCACCCTGAGATGGACGCCGTCTGTCATTGATGATGAAGAAAGTCATCCCATCTGTTTTGCTGTCCAGGCAACGTCAGTATCTGATCTGATCAGAAGTTTTCAAATGTTTTCATTTTCTCTATTTAAGTAGAAACACAGATACACCTGAGTGAAGTTGGCCACCCCAATTTCTTCAAATCAGACAAAATTGGTGTTAAACGTTTGTGCTATATTTGTGCAGCAATAATTTTCATTTGTGCTGCTTTGGCTTTGACAATATTAATGAAAGGTTAAAGGTCAAAAGGTCAACCAGACCCCCCACTTTTATTAAATCAGACAAAATTGGTATCAAACATTTTCACAAACCAGCACAAATGTAGTCGAGTTAATTGACTCTCATTTTGTCTGATTTGAAGAAGGTGGGGGTGAAATGATAGCGGCAAAAACAAAACTTTTTGCTGCACAAACCACCACAAACGTTTAACTAAAACACTGCATTTTGCATAATATATCTCCTTTATGGTTATTTTGAACATTAATAAATGACCATTTCAATAAGAGTTTTTGGTGCTAAATTATCTCCCCAGTGCCTCCAGTTCTGTCTACCAGTCTGAGCTTCGATGCGTCATTGTGACGGTTTCAAACAGTGAGTTTTTCTTCTTGATCATTAATTTATCTTTTATTTCCTGAACTCATGATGTTTCTGCTGCTCTTATCCCAGTACCTTTCATAGCGACTACAACTACTCCTCCTAAAACATGTAAGTGGGATGAAAACAGGACTGAAAGTAACAGTAAGTTGTTCTTTACTCCATGTTGATCTCTTGCTCTTCCAGCTCATGTTAAGGTTGTGAAGCTGAAGATCAAGACTTCCATGTCACTGAAAGACAAACAAGATGAACTGGAGAAAGCGGTCAGTGACGTCCTGGACTTTAACACAAACCATCACAACCTGAGTTTAATCCTAATTAATTTATCCCAAATGTTATTTCATAACTTAAGTTAATATGTAAAGTAAGAAACAATTAACTTCCATGCTATAAATATGAACCAATTAAAAATATATTTTAGCAAACTTCACTAAATAAAGCAAAAGTTTATAAAGAATGAGTGATCCAGATCTTGTTGCTGACAAAAATACAAAAAGTCCAAAGATAATAAAAACTATCAACATTTAATATTTAGTTTGTAGAGTTTTTAAATGATGAAAAACCTGCTAGATTTTATGTTTCATATCTACAATAATTTAAAGTTCCTCTTCTGTATAAATCTTTATTTTATTAAAATATTGTGTTGTGATGTTAAATTCAACTCTTGACTTTTTTCCATTTTTAACTAGAAGATTTTAAATGACTGTATCTAACATAGATTTCATGTTTTCTTCTGCAGATTCAAGATCAACTGATTACAGGAGGGCTGCCTGCAGACATAAAGGTTCACCTGCTAAGCTTCGGTATAGCTAATAAAACCGCTGCCCCCTAGTGGCCAAACAGGAGAATGAATCTGATCCCTGCAGGAAATTTGATTTAAGCTTCTTGTATATTATAAATACTTCAGGGAGTTTTGGTTGTTTTCAGTAATTTAGTCTGTCAATGCTTTAAAAAAAATAGATAAACTTTCACAAATTATTATTATAGATTATTAATACAAAGTAAATAAGGTCAATATTTGGCATCATGTTTTCATTAAAGCGGATATTTACAGAGGGATTGCTACTCTGTGTTCATGTGCAGCATTTCTATCTCTGGGATTTTTATTCAGCTTAAAATCTTAAATGCACTGTAAAACATTTGAGCTGCATTTAGTTGTGTCTACTATCTTCTACTCTATAAGTCATGTTACTCAGCACTTAGTCTTTCATTTATGGGTTAATCAGTTGTAGTTTAATTAGTCGGGTTTTCATCTATTTAATCTTTATATTTTGTATTGATCTTAAACTGATTGTCATTCAATTTTCTTTATGAACATTATATTTTATGTGTATCAATTCTTTGTAATCAATCTTCTGTATAACTCTGACATGTGGGGTCACAGAGGGGTCATCGAGGGGTCAAGGAGAGCGCCGTGTGGTCTCAGAAACCAGTCTGAGGCTGTTTAGGACGGCAGGGAGGAGAACTTAGTGGAACGCTCCAGTGAACTGATAAACTCAGTCCCACGTCCTGGAGAAGAATATTCTGTTCAAAATGACTCCTGGATTATCTGTGGGTAGAAAATCATGATGAAGGAGAGCGTCCATCTCCTGCCTGCCAAGGTCAGGACGGCCCAGGTAGAAAACCCACCTGGACACAGCCAGGTATAAATGTATGTGAGCTACAACAGTTGGTCAAATCACTGGGTGAGACACGGTGCTCTCTGAAGACGCTTCTCTGTATCTATTAAGGTGATCAATGGTTCCTTTTGTTTGTGATAATCAATAATCATGTTGGGATGTTGCTGTGATTTCATGCTTTTGATTGATTGAATAAAATATTGATTGATCTGTGATTGTTGTCACTTTATCGTTCGGCATCTAGAGACCTGGAGAGACGAGAAGAGACGACGAGCAACAGCAGAAAAATCTCAACGGTTGTCAGACTAAACTTAGTGATGACAGTAAACAGAAATAGTTCAGTGGATTTTTATATCTGTGTGATAAACTTTATTTAATACAGATAATTTCATAACGATAAGTCTGACCTGAACCTTCAGAGACACATAAAGACAGTTACAAAATCAGCCTTCTATCTTCTGATATAATGTTCTCTGAAGTTTCAAGTACTTTGTTCTTTCTGTTTTTGTATTTCCAAATTTCTTTAAGAATTTGTATTTTTTGCATGTTTTTTATGCATAAAAAAATAAACAGATGTTATTGCATGTTAGATTAGTTTTTGTAGAAAATATGTTTTTGAAAAGAAAAATCTTGATGCAAAAATCTGTAACAAGATTATGGTTTTGGAGCCTGACGAAGCACAACGACCCCAGAGCTTAACAGTAGAGCGGCTCTGGTGTCTCAGTTCTAGTTCAGCTGACTGTTCAGGTTCAGAGTAGTTACTTTTAGAAAAATATGGCTGTGTCACTTAAGGTCTCTGTTTTGTTTTGCATGCTTCTTGTGAAGGGCTCATTAGGACGGCGTTTACAGCGGTGTTCACAGGCGGATCAGTTGCTCGGCTGTTCGGCTCTGATCTCTTGTTCCCATACACTCGCTGTTTCAGGCTGAATACAGACGCGATTCATTGGAAATAACACAGGACAACTTTTTTTCCCTTCGTCTTTAGGCTGAAGAAGCTGATCCGGCATGAAGTGAAAGCTACAAAATTTGTTGTGAGGCGTTACCTTTAACTGGTAGTGATGAATATTTACAAGCTGTCTTAATTCAGGATCGCTTGGAAATCCATGAAAACTTAAAGTGCATAGTATTGTTTTATTTGTGTCTTAAGTACGACTTTGTCTTTTATATCAGTCATAGTAACTGAAAGCGGAAAGAGAGCTGCATTTGCACATGAGGTTGTGAAGTAAGCGTGGCAGGTGCAAGGAGCCCATAAACTGTTAACAAGCCAGAAAATGTCTAGAAACATCTATATTCTTTGACAGAGCACCTCTGATTTCCATATATTAAGAGAGAGAGAGATATCTATTTCTATAGATATAGGTTGTTAGAACCAGAGGAATAGCTTCACTTTGCTTGTTAATTTTCGTCTAGTTTCCCAGATCCAAAAGTCTCCGCACGCGCAGTGGGAATAATAAAGAACAACCATACGACATCAGATATATCGAGTGCTTTATCCAGAGAATTCAATGCATACAGAATGTTACATCAGCATTACACTCAGATCATCAAGAAGTCCAACACATGACAAAACATAGCATTACTTGCAACGAGTTGAAAAGGAAAGACAAAAATGCATTTTTGGGAACTGCTCACTCGGGCACAAAGCAGTTCGATCTTCTGCTGTAAAACAAACCTTTTTATAAGAATGTGTATTCCCTTAATTTAAATAAATGCATTAGAAGGTGTGTCCTCCCCTTGTAGGGCTGTTTAATGTTAATTTTATTACCTGGCTTGAGACCTGCTAAAATCCAAAGACAAATATATGGAGAGAACAAAAGTCATCCTGAACCAAGATCTTCTCGTACCAGTCAGAGGAAATAGTCTCCCTCCTTTTTACATTCCAGACCAGAATTTATGACCTGCAGCTAGGCCTAGTGGTTTTCTGCCTCAGTGATTCAACAAGAAACAGATTTCTATTTTAAACAAACTGGCACAAAAATGTAATGCCAAATAATAACTATGAGTTTGGATCTAAAACCCGCAGGGTTGTCTACTTTTAGAAAAGCTCTTTTAGAATACCTGAAATATTTTAGAAGTGAAATAGTTTCCTAATCCTATTCTATTTCAGTAATGTAAAATGCATGCAAATAGTATGATTAGAGACTAACTAATTCAGAACATGCTGTTAATGCTTATAGGAAATTTCTTAATACATTTGATTATACTTCTAGCAGAATTGTTTTTAAAGGTTTTAGTGTTTTACTGAACTCTTGAACAAACACCAGAGAATTTACTCATCCTGATAACAGACAGACTGCCTGTCTGAAAACCCCTTAAGGGAGTACAACACTGCCTGTCTGAAAAACCCTCCTTAGAAATGTATGCAAGTTCAGAGCGTTACCAGTTGTTTTAGTTTGGATCTTTATCTAAATTTACCTTAATGTAAAGTCTACTCCAAATGTTCATGCTACATCTAATATTTCATATGCATAAAGGTTGACTGTCTCTACAGTTATGCTAACCAGACTTAGATTCTCAACAAGGTCTATCTATCTATATGTGGACGTGGTTGAGGGATATAAACACCTCGGTGTTCATCTGGACAACAGACTGGACTGGAGGAGCGTCAGAGCCAGAGACCTAAAAACGCTCAACACCTTGGTAAAGAAGACTGGTTCTGTTCTGGTTCTGTTCTGGGAAACTTCTGGAGAGGATCATGCAGAGAAGGATTCTTCATAGGATCAAGAAAATTAGGGACAATCCTGTCCATCCTCTTCGTCCGATTGTCTTGTCTTAAATGGCTCTTTGAAGAATCTTGATGAACATTCAATTTTCTGTGGGATCAATAAAGTATTTTTAAGTAAAAACAGGATATTTAATTACTACTGGTAAAAAAACATTGTCAGTTGGAATAAAATTTAAACCTAAACATCCAATGCTTCCCATGATGTTGAACACACAATAGAAACTACAAAAACAGAAATTACAAATAATGCAAACATGTGCAAATCACAAAAAAAAACAAAACAACAATGACAAGAATGGAAAGTACACAGAAAATTAACAGCAATGGCTCCCATCCATGTATATTATTATGTATATTTTCTCTTACATATATATTGTTTAGGGAATTAAATTCATTTTCTTTCTCTATCAAGATTGTTCCTCCTCCTCCCTCTACAACGGTTTCTGTCATTCTTCAGATACATCCATTAAAGATTTTTGCTTCAACCAACCACCTTTGGAAGGATTAGAAAACGTACAGAAATTGCAAATGTCGCTTTCTTCGTTTCTGCTGACTTGGTTCTTGACATCTATGGTTTCAGTGAGCACTTTCTCAACCACAGTCCAAATGTCCCCAGCCGAGGACATTGGTTCTATTGAGAGATTGGGGAAATCATTCTTGAGGACAACGTTGTCTTCCTGGGGACTCTCTTTAAACGCTAACGTCAAATCCAAACTTGCCATTTCAAAGCAAACTTCTGCAGCCGCAGAATTTTGATCTTTGGGAAGATGAGAGAAATCATTCTTTATCACATTGATCTGAACTTGGCTTTCTTCATTGGAACTCTCATCAATTGCTCTCTTTTTTTAAAGCAGAATATGTGCTCTCAGACACAACTGTCTGCATTTCACAGCAAACCATAACAATCAAAAACATCGTGGTCAACTGGGGACGGGTCAAAAAGATACGAATCAAAAACATCGTAGACTGAAAAGCAAACCTCCCCAGTTGGGGAGGTTTGGTTCTCAACTGGGGTCGAGTTGAAGAGAAATGCGTCAAACGCGTCATATTCAGTACTTTGTTCAAAATCTCTTTCAAGGAGAAGTTTGTCAAAAACCCTTTTCATCCCGGTTGTAACTAAATAGCCGAGGCCAAAGCCGAGGGGGAAACACATGCTAACCATCATGTCTTGAATATCCTTTTGAAAACCAATGCTGAAGTTCGAAGTGCTACTCGGATATGAACTGATGTCTTGAAACACGCATTCATAACCTCAGATGTTCTTTGATCTAGAACCGCATTCAAAGCAAACTTCTACAGAGAAATCATTCTGTTCCACATTGATCTGAACATGGCTCTCTTTACTCTCTTCAAATGCTGTCTTCTTTAAAGCAGAAGTTGCGCTCTCAGACACAACTGTCTGCATTTCAAATGGGGACAGATCAAAACCATAAGAATCAAAAACATTGTGATCAAAAACATCGTAGTCAACTGGGGATGGGACAAAAACATCGTAGTCTGAGAAGCAAACCTCCCCAGCTGGGCAGTTATCCATATTGGGCTGAAGGTATTTTTTTTTAATCTGGGAATTTAAAATTCTGATTAATTTTTTATGTTGTTTTTTTGTAATAGGTGTTGTGATATGTAAAATTTTAAATATTGAGCATCTTTTTAAATGGCTCTTTTCACAATACACACATTGAGCACAGTCTTTGTGTTATGGTGAAAGATCAGGATGCTTTCAGGAGAAAGATACTCAAGATACAGAGATACTCAAGGCTACTACTTTGGGCTGAACTTGTGCTAAGCTAATAAACGAAACATAAATTATTAATTTAAGATGCAGAAACAACAGATGTTATGATTTATTGACATGGGTTTTGATTTTTTTTTGTCATATATTGCCAGGTACTAAGCTGTTGCAATATAATCACTTTTAGTTTAGTTTCTTGGTTTATTTGTTTTCTTCCCTTTGCATTTGCATTTGTTTCTCAGACTTTTCACACTTTCTTTTAAACCTACAAAAATGAATTTTTCATGCCATCTTTAGCTTGCCCTCTGCCTGTCATGTGGTGGTGTAGAGGAGGCGGTGAGGCAGACGCTGGAGGCCCAGGTAAGGCGAGTGGTAAAAATTTAAGAACAAAAATTGCCCAGAAAACACAGTCAAACAGACAAGTAAGTTCGCGGGCAGGCAGCACAGCTGAGCGGAAGCCAGGGCTCACACCGATAGCAATGGTTCAAACAGGCGGAGAGCAAAACAAACGACGTCGACAGACAGCAACGTATGACAACAACGACAAGGACCCGACGAGGAACAAAGGACACAGGAGGGATTAAATACACTGAGGGCACTCAAGGGAACAAGACACACCTGGGAACAATCAAGGGGAAGACAGGACAACGAGGAGACTTAGGACACAGAAAACTCAAAATCAAACACAGAAAAACATGGAACATGACACTGCCTGTTTCGTGACAGCAAAAGAAAACAAAAAGAAAAACAATCCAATGTATTGTGCTTTTTATTGTTGGACCAGTTTTTCTAGTTTTAAAAAATGATTTGAATGTACGTGGAACGTGATCGTATCTGTTGTTTTGGTTAAAATATGTTTTTCATTCAGAGGGTATAGAATCCAGAAACTTTACTCAAGTAAAAGTAGAAATACTTTATGAAACATTATTCAAGTACAACATAGGAAAATACTCCTAAAAGTACATGTTTTCAAAAAAGTTACTTATGTAAATGTAATTGAGTAAATGTACATTCTTTGTGTTTTTGTCTATTTCCACACCGTAACCACTGATTGGTCTCCTGTTTTTGTTATGACCTGGTTTTTGTCATAACAGGAAGACAAAATGATTTTCTCATATTACAGAGATAAAGAATGAAAGACTCATTTAAACTCTAAAAACCTAAACATTTTCCAACTAGAACATAGTAAATAAGAGAAGTTCAACTGAGGACATCAGTTAGGTGATTTTCACACACCTCCAAAAACATGTAAATAAAAATGATGTGTATATTTATAATATTTTGCATGATGTTGTTCTCCCTGTCCATATTTTGTAGAAGTGTCGAACACCATGTTCATTGAAATGTCTGGACAAAAAAGAAAAAATAACCAAAATTACTGCGTTACATAGCAGACAGAAGAGCAAATTAAATACATAAATATCTTTAATATTGATTATTTACAGATTCATAGTCAAACATTGACAGCAGAAGGTTTTCCACCAAACTAAGTAGCAGTTTAAAATGTATCTGTAAATATTGGTGTAAAAACAAGCAAACAAAACCATAACATGGATTATATGTCAGATAATATTGGTGTAAACTGCAGCGATAAACTGCTGGTCTGCAGCTATTAAAGTCTGTATCTGGTGAAACCAGTGGTGAACTGGTATTGATCAGCTCTGATCTGTGAACATCTTAAATATTCACTGAAACACAAAAACTGACCAGGAGAGATAAATAATTAACCTGGTAGTGCTGCAGGGTTTAGAAAACTGAGATGAAGCAAAAATTAGTTTTTAGTTTGCAAAACAAATTTTACAATGTAGGAAATGTTTTTCTAATCGTTCTGACTCAGGTGTCCGACATTTGCTGGTTCATGATGTCAATACAGTCCAGAGAACGAGTTTTACATGTTTCCAATAATAAACAGAGAGAATAAGGAGAGACTGTATAAAGTCGTCTGTCTCTGATGATCTTAGTTTAGTAGAACTGAGTCGTTCATCATGTTGCTCTCTGTGCTGCTGCTGCTGCTGATGGTCAGCTGGACAGAAGCTGGTTATACTGGTACTGTGTTTTCCCACACCACTAAAGATGTACAAGGAAACGCTCATGCAGTAAGTTGAGATTTTCTTAAGTTTCTTTTATTTTCCCTTTTGAAAAAAATATTGTCTTGTATCTAAAGTCTCTTCACTTTAAATCTACAGACTGTGTTTCGCTTGAAGTTTGGCTACAGCTCATGTGAAGAGCTTGAGACATGGCTGTGTGATGGCTGTAGCAAGAAGATTGATGAAAGCAGCGGTGAATGGTGTCTGAGAGAGTATACCTTTAAGTTCAGTCGGAGTTTCCACAGTTCCTCCCTTGGGTAACTGAATCTCAACATCATGCAAAAATATATCTAATAATTTTCTGCTTTTCCAAGAAGTCTAAAATTCTTCCTGTCAGTTTTCTGATCTGCTGTTTTGTAAAATTTTCTGTGTATTAAAAACTTAGTAACATCAGAAATATCCTAAATATCTTCTATTAAAGGTGGAATATGTATATATATTGGATAAACAATAGAAACAGCATTTATTCTGGCGTTGCTATAATGTTTCTTGAAGAGAGACAACGATCTGACCTCAACAGATCGAATTCATCACCACTAACCGGCATCCTTCCTGTTATGAGGTAATTCAGATTTTATATCATGTTAATAACAAATACCTGAAACTTTTTGTGCTTTTGATGGAGCATAAACTGTATTTTGAGTCTGATGGTTTTTTGTTCTTTTTTCTTTCAAAGAAAAGTTAGATCCAAAAACTGAATCAATTCTATCTGTAACAAAGAGTCACATGCAAAAAAAGCAGATTTAGTAATTAATTTAAAATTACTTAAAAATAATATTTCTCCTTAAACATTTTAATCTGTCAGGTTTAACACCTATTAAACAAACACAGGAAAGACAAGAGAGTTAGATTCTTTCTGACTCGCGAGGAGAACAGACAGAGATGTGCTTTCAGTTACAATCTCCTACCGTCTGAAACCACATTTGTCTGCTCCTCTCTTTTTTTTATTGAATCCTGATGTCTGCTTTTCTTCTGATTCCTTTCCTTCTGAGAAAGGAATCAGAGTAATTCAACAATACAGAAACATTCTTAATGCTAAGATGAAATTAAACAATAAAAGCACATAAGAAAAGATACATTATAAAGTTACATGAGAATAACAAATATTTGATTAATAACATCACAATTTATCCAACACTGAGAAATACAGATTAGACATATTAAATATTGGATCCATTTGGTAATTTCTCAAAGCAACAAAACTCAAACAAAAGTTCAAAACTAAAAAATGAAAAACACTGAAGTATAAATCAGTCAATATATTGAAGCTCCTCTGTAAATGAAAACATTTAAACAGATTATTTGTTCTCAGGAGTTCTCTTGTAATTATGTGATGTTTGTTTTCTGTTTCTCTCAGAGTTCCCTCTAACTGTCAGAGAAACATCAACTTGTTGACCTTTGACCCTGACGGAGACCATGTTCAATGCAGATTTGCATCCAATATCTATGAGTGCTACACCTGCACACCTCCGTCTGTCCTCAGCCTCTCACCAGTAAGTAATAAATGATATCAGGTTACAGGAAAGGAAGATGTGAGGTTCACAGGCAGAAGAGAGGAGGGAAATATCCTTCAGCCAAACTCACTCACAGGTGGGAGAAAAAGCACAAGGAGAAATGTTTTTCATCAGAACATTTCTGTTCTGATAAGATTTCCACAGTATTAGAGCAGCATATTATGTGACTATATAAAATAAAACATTTGCTGACTTTTAAATTATGATTTAACTGCAGCAAGCTAAAGTCATTCATTCATACATGCTAGTAGCCTACCTACATAATAATTATTTTTTCATGTCGTCAAGATCTTGTAATTTCTGCCTTAGAAATAGCAGAAATGCATAGCGTGCAGAAAAGTAAAACATTGATACGTGTTTATTTGAGTTTGGACTTTCCTTTGTAAAATACACAAAGAGTTAGAGAGAGAACAAAAATTCATTTATGTTTTTTAGTCATTGTACCACCAAGAATTCAAAGCTACTTTCCCCCTGTATGAAACACATTATGAGTGTAGCCTTCACTCATCATCCAACTCATGGTACCAGTATAACCAGTATATTCTAACTGCATGCAAATGGCCCCACCAGCATTCCTCACAATCCTTTATTTTTCCATTGTTCTTTAGATGTGATCGTATGTTTAAAATACACATAAACACACACTTTTCTATGTAACATGAGACACAATTTAGCTACAGCCTAACAAAAGGTTGATGAAAGTCAAACGTGTGAACACTGCCCCCAGTGGACAAAATGGTAAAGCAAACTGGTGGTGGAGTCGTAAAATACAGAAATTTGTAGTTCGTTGGAATCTCAGACTTTTTTAGATAGTCAAAGTAGTTTTTAATAGTTTCATAAACTATTAAGAAATGTTTATTAATTAGTTCACTGCATTTTAATACATTCAATAAGTTCACCTATCAGCATTGTATGTTTAAGTACTTGAACTAAGTACTTGAACTAAGTACTTGAACTAAGTACTTGAATGTGTAATGATTTTTGTCACTGACAAAAAATCTATAAAAATAATTGTTTTCATTCTCAGATTTGATATTTATATTTACCTTTGACCCCAGGGGTTTGAAAAGATTCCAACTCATTGGAAACATATTTGGTTAATTTACAAAATACCTTATTTTGTAAATTAACTGCTTTGTGCTCTCAGCATGAACTCTCAATTGAAGTGCTTACAGCCATAAATCTGCAGCTTAAGTTAAAAATAAATTAATACTGTCAGTACAAACAAACACAAATAGAACCCACAATGAAATATATATAAATATATTATTAAACTTGATTTATAATCTGTTATTTCTCCCTCTGTCCTCTTGCAGGCTTGTTCTCTATCATTCAGTCCAACCAGCAGCAATAATGAAGGTTTATATGCAGTTCAGCTGATGATGGACGATTTTCCCAGACAGACAATCAATCTGACTGATAACATTGGTGCAACAGAGTCGAGAAACTCCAGCATTTCTATGAGCAGAGTCCCTGTCCAGTTTGTTTTCAAAGGTTTGAGTTTATATTTCAATCATGTTGCTTCACTTCAAAGAGAAACACTGATGTGAATAAATTTAATATTCAATCATTATCAGTTGAAATAATACTAAATTACTTTTACATTTCTTAATACAAGAAAATCCCATAGTATTAGAACAACTCAGATGGACAAATGTGTAACTTTACTGAATTAATCTTTAAACTGACAGAAGAGTTGCTAGTTTAGTAGACGAGAGTTTCATAAGTGCAGTGCTTTCTGGTATCTAAAGCTAGATTTAGCGCTCTGGGTTCTCGTTATTTAATGTTACGCCCCAAGAAACTGGTTTCACTACACTTCCCATGAACCACCAGGTACTGATTTGTCATAAGGAATAAAACTCAACTGAACTGCCTAAGTCTGACCCATAAAGAATGAGACTTTATAACAGTGAAGAAGTTATTTACCAAACTTCAGAATGAAAAGTAAAGTAGACACACTGAATATGGTCACCAGTTGACCTTATGTCTGGTTGAATGAGTAGAACTTAAAAGCCAAGTTCTTTAACCTTCAAATAACCAGAAAAATAAAACAAATATGTAAAAATACAACAGCCTTTATCAACCACCTGGTTTATAAATAGGGACTTTCCCTTTCTTTTAAATGTTCCTGGAGTTCTAAATGAAATTATTTTGAACAGTCCGAACACATCAGAGTCTTTGAGTCTGAACCCAATACACAGAAAATAACTGACAGTTTTTAATTAGTGTGCCCACCAAAATATAAAACAAATAAAAGCAATATAGTCAACTTCAACTGCTTATCTTTTTTAAATGAACTCTTACCCATTTAAAACTCCTACCAAAATACTTGGAAATTATTATATCTTATTTTAACATGATAAGCTGCATAAATTATATTTGTTCTTTTTAAAAAGAACATTTACATGTATATTCCTGGGAACCCAGGGGGTTTCATAAGTTTCTCTGTATTTGTTTTTTCCCTGCGTTGCTCCAGTGGATCCTGCAGCTCCGTCCTGCACAGCAGGTGAATATCTGCCCAGGTTTCTGCCTCCAACTCCTGAACATGGAGCTCAGTTCTTCATAGACCTTAATGAGACGATAGAAATCAGCATCAGAGCAGAGGCGACTCAGTCTGTGTGAGTAGAAAATAAATATAGTCTCTAATTAGAGTTCAGCTTCTAAATAATTCATGGTGAAAATCTGAAACTTGATCTTTATTGTGTTAAAATAACACAATGACTCCAACTGGTACCAAACACATAAAATCTGAACATTAATTATTTTTAGCTGTCAGATCATTTTGATCATTAGTTCATAAAAATGTTTCCAGGGCATTTTGCTGATATAACCAAACAGACTGATGCTTTTCCTGTGTGTTAAAGGATCACTGAGCTCCTGTTCAGTGGACCCTTCAACATGACCAAGAGTTCATCTGGTTCAGGAAATTTCACCCTGAGATGGACGCCGTCTGTCATTGATGATGATGAAAGTCATCCCGTCTGTTTTGCTGTCCAGGCAACGTTAGTATCTGATCTGATTAGAAGTTTTGAAACTTTGTAGAAATACTTATCTGAAAAAGACCGATAAATGTAACTAGTTTACTTTAGTAAAAGGGATAGAAATGTGCTTAAGTAGACAAGTAATTTAAATAATGTTCACCTTCAGTGATACAATGATGTGGGTACAATTATGAGAAAAGTCAAATTTAAGCAGAGACTTTAAAGACTATTCACAGAAAACTAAAAACATTTATGCAAAAACAAAAAAAAATAAATTTTGCATCATATGGTTATTTTGAGAAATAGTTTAATATTAATGTTGTGGTGCTAAATTATCTCCCCAGTGTGAACAGTTCTGTCTACCAGTCTGAGCTTCGATGCGTCATTGTGAGGGTTGGAAACAGTGAGTCAATTATTCCTTTTTGGTCATTGATTTGTCTTACGTTTTATTTTCTGAACTCATGATGTTTCTGCTGTTGTTATCCCAGTACCCTCCATAGCACCTACTAATCCTCCTCCTAAAACATGTAAGTAGGATGAAAACAGGACTGAAAGTAACAGGAAGTTGTTCTTTACTCCATGTTGATCTCTTGCTCTTCCAGCTCATATTACGGTTCTGAAGCTGAAGATCAAGACTTCGCTGTCACTGAAAGACAACAAGGATGAAATCGAGAAAGCGGTCAGTGACGTCCTGGACTTTAACACAAACCATCACAACCTGAGTTTAACACAAACACATTTCACTCAAATGTCAAATCATGACCTGAAGTTTAACTGCAGTGTTAATCAGATTATATTTTATAAATCAGCACTGACTGTGTCTCATATTTATCTAATATTTTCTTCTGCAGATTAAAGATGAACTGATCAGACGAGGGCTGCCTGCAGACATAAATGTCCGTCTGAAGAGCGACGGTTCAGTTTAGGTTAAAGAAAAAGCTGCCCCCTAGTGGCTAAAAATGAAAATTACTGGGTTTATCTGTTTTAAATTTAGAAATTTATGGTTGTCTTAGGTAATGGGGCTAAACTTAGTTTTTACAGTAATCAGAAAAAGCAGGGTTTGGTATTTCTTTATTACCATATAATATGGCTATGTATAACATGGGGTTTTTATTGACCTTAATATCATATAATTTCTTACACTTATTGAAGAAATAAGTGTAAGAAAGTGTGAATAAGTGTATTTTTATTATGTATAACAGGGAATATTTCTTGCTTTTGTTTCTTTTATCTGTAAAGTTTGGGAAAGAAACCAGCAACTTCTTTATTCTGGTTGATTTCCATGCAAGAAAACATGGTTTGATATTTAAAATATTCTTCAATCTCTCATCGTCCTGTTAAGTCAGAAAGCTCTGTTTCATATTATTTATGGTTTGTTTATCAATGAATGAAAACAGAATAAAATGACATGATGCCAATTAGTAGCATCAACTCTTCTATGAGACAGTTTTGGATAAAATTTTGGGGATGTAGCCAAACATATTTCAAGTAATTTTAAGTCCCTAAATCCCTGAGAAAATAAAGTTTTTCTGCTCTTCTTAGAATTATGTCAAAAACTTTTTCTTCTTTGGTTCTTGATGACATTAACTGCAAGTTTTTCCTTTTTATTTGGATGCAAATAAAGGCTGGAGAAAATAAAGGTTTCCATGTAATCCATTTTCACCTGTAGAAATGTCCTGAACAAAAGGGACTGAAACAGTTGCTACAGCAGCGCCCCCTGCTGTCTAATGATTAGAAGGCATTTTATCCCAGAAGAAAAATGTTTCCTGAAGTTTAACGTTTTCACTTTTGCCCAACTTTCTTGTCTGAAATTATTTAGATTTACAAATATGCAACACAAATGTTATTTGACACAATGTTTTCAAGTATATGAGTGTGTTTTAAATTAAATGTTACTTACTTTGAAGTTCTCAGTCGTCTAATGTTCTTAAAGCATTGTAACAAAGGAAGCTACTCTGTGAGCTGGTTTTAATCGTCCATCTCAGTATGAATCTAAGATGTTTGTTTTGAATTTTGAACACAGATAAAATTCTCTCTCCTCTCTTCACGAATTCACATTTCAAAGCAAACTGTGACTTTTCCTGTTGCTCCGCATAATGATTCACTCTTAGGCTTTTGAATTTGATCTTTCAGCCATGACCTTCCTCATACCAGGTAGAATCCTGGTCCATTATGCTGATGCATACCATCAGACCGTCATTCTTTCAGGGCGTGAACCAGACATCGTCCGTGAAAGAATAACTTCATTTGTCTCTGACAGCTTTCAGTTTTACTCTGCAGACTCTGCCAACATGCCGCCGTCTGTGTTGCTGCTGCTGCTGTTAATCAGCGGAGCTCAAGCTTCTTTCTATGGTGTCGTCTTCAACTACGCCTTTGGAAACAGTGAGCCAGGTGGATACGCAGTAAGTTGAGCTTCTTTATAAATATTGTTTTAGTTTTTTCCAGGAAAAAAGACCTATTTACCAACTCTTCACTGTAAATCCACAGGTACCATATGACTTTAAGGTGAGCTTCAGCTCCTGTGCAGAGTTCGACACTGAGACTTGTAATGGATTCTGTACTGGGCCGACTTATTCAATCGATGAAGTCGGAGGTGAATGGTGTCAGAAAGGATATTCTGGCACTTTCTCTTATCCATACCTCTATACATTAACTCAATCGTAAGTCCACTTCAACTTTAAATGGAAATATAATGTCTTTTATTCATATTGTGATCTAATCTTAAACACCAACAAGACAACGTCAGCAGCCGGGCTCATTTGGGTTTTTCGTTTTTTTAGGATAATGGAAAAATCTTCTGTCTAGTTGGTCTTTATAGATTTGCTCTTTCTGCATCATTTTTTCTAATAATATCGTCCTCTGCAGGGTCAGTGCTTCACCCTGGACAGAAAACCGAAATGGGATCGTATTATCGACAGCTCTTTTGCAGTTTGACTTGAGAAACCGGTCTGACATCAACAAACCCAACTCATCGCCCCGGACCACCATCCTCCCTCTAGTCAGGTGATTCTGTTTGTCATTTCTAATGTTTTCATCCATTACAAACAGAGCATTTTACAGACAGATAAATGTTGAGAGTAAATGATTACTTTTTTATAATTTGCTTCATAGTCTTTATCAGCTTTGGCAGATGAAACTCTGTGAATCAGTCGTCCTGAAGAAGAAAAGATGATTATTGTCATAAAAATGCAAGATCATTTCCAAAGATTTGTTGTTTTTTTTAAATTGGATGTTGATGCTTTTGTTTCAAAGTGTTTCTATTCAAAGCAGTTGACCAGATAAATCAGAATAAAATATATTTGATTATGTTTTAAGGAGAGACTTTATCATGAGAGAAAACTAAAGAAAACAGACACAATTAAAGTGTTTTGGGACATAAACCCTGAAGAACCAATCAGACGGGTTTAAATTGTGAAACAAATCCATGAAACGACGGATAAAGACGTGGTTATTTCACATGTATTATGCAGAGTTGGTAGAAAATAATAACATTTACAGGAGCAACTATTATGAAACAAATGTACTTTTAGGAGGATTTTCACAATACTGTACTTGAGTAATTTTGTTGTGATTTTTTTCTGTTGAATAAAGAACAAACACTTTATAACCAAAAATTCACCCATCTGCAGTTTTTGTTAAAGTTTTTAAGTGAAAGTAACTGATTTGGAAAATGAGTTTTTTTTTGTTGCTCATATAAATTATTGTAATTTTCTGACTTAAAACACCAATATTTCCACTTAACTTAATTATATTTATTTAAGTGAAGGAATGTTTAATTATATATATTTATATTTATCTGATGATGTTACATGATTACTGATAATCTGATCAGTTACTCAGTACTTGAGTAGACATTTTACCAAAAACATTTTTACTTAATTACATTTTTTGGCTCTTCTATTTTTGGCTTTGTTGACGTGTTTCTTTTTCTCAGAGTTCCTTCAAACTGTCAGAGGAGCGTCGACCTGTTGGTCTCTGATCCAGACGGAGACGACAGTCGATGCAGATATGCAGCGTTTCCAGAGTGCAACATCTGCACTCCGCCATCCGTTCTCACCCTCTCGTCTGTAAGTATTAAAATTAACACTAGTTAGTCTGAATTTTATTACTTTTTAAAAATATCATATAAATTATGTGAAAATGTTGGTGTCTTAAAGACTGAAATGATTCATATTAATAAGATAAAATTACAAAATCAGATTTTTATCTGAAGCAATTAAAAAAAAAAACTGATAAACTTTTAACAAAAACTGCAGGTGTTTGTCTGTGTCAGGTGAATCTTTGGTTAAAACATGTTTGTTTTCATTCAGTGGGTAGAAAGTCCAGAACTCAAGTAAAAGTAGAAATACTTCATAATAAAATTACTGAAGTACAGTGTTGTAAAAATACTCCTAAAAGTACCTTTTTTCAAAAAAAAAGATACTCGAGTAAATGTAACTAGTTACTAGTTCGCTTGGTCTGAATGAATTTGATTTTAAATAAAAATACTCTTTCTCTGATTTGGACCTTTTTGTTCCTCCTTTCTGTTCTCCTCCAGTCTTGTTCTCTGTCATTCAGACCCACTAACAGCAGCGTTGAAGGTCCGTATGCGGTTCAGATGGTGGTGGAGGATTTTCCCAGACAGAACGTCATTCTGACTGACAGCTTTGGTTCACAAGGAACCAAAACTACCAGCGACTCCCTCAGCAGCATGCCTGTCCAGTTTGTTTTCAGAGGTACAGCTGCAGAGTTTGAGCTTGTTTTGAACCACACAGAGCTAGAATGAATTATAAAGTTTGTTTTTTAGCTGAATGTGTTCGATCTACTAGTAAACCTTTGAAATATCAACTGAGGGTTATAAACTAACACAGAGAATCAAACTTTTCACCAGTGAAGGAATGTTTGTTGTTTTGCTCCAGTGGATCCTGCAGCTCCGTCCTGCACAGCAGGTGAATATCTGCCCAGGTTTCTGCCTCCAACTCCACAACATGGAGCTCAGATCTTCACCAACGTTAACCAGACTCTGGAAATCAGCGTCAGAGCAGAAGCAACCCAGGCTGAGTGAGTGGTCAATACAGGAAGTTCACAAAGTCTGCAGAAAATGGAGTCTCCTGAAAAGTTATATTTATTTTTTACCCTAAATATAAACAGTGAAAAAACTGGAATAAATTACCTTCTGGACATTGATTCAATATTGATTCAATATTGATTCAATATTGACTAGACATTGGGATTTCAGTCATTAGTATTCAAAAACAAAACAGGATTGATTCAATCACATCTGTTCAACATGAGCTAATTGGCTAGAATTGGATGATTGTTTGCTCAATGATCGACCATCAATCATCAATCAATAGACCTTTTTGACCAATAACTCAACATTGAATTAGCATCTATTGCTATCTGGGATCCTGTCATGCTTATATGTTTGAAATATCGCCGTATCTTATTACAGGACCACTGAGCTCCTGTTCAGCGGGCCGCTGGGATTTACCAAGAGATCATCAGGACCAGGAAACTTCAGCCTGACATGGACGCCATCGGCCAGTGATGAAGGACAGGGTCATCATCTCTGCTTCGTTGTCCAAGCAAAGTTAGTGTCTTATTTCATTAGTGCTTTTAAAAACTGCTTAAATAATACCCGGCCTCACCCAGCAGGAAGCAGAGTTCTTATCCAACTGTTCTGGCTGCAACGCTGGGCTGATCAACTCAAAGAGATGCATGAATGAATGCTGCTCTAAAAGATCTGGTGGAGAAGAACAGGTGCAAAGATACGCATCTGACTCATAAAACCTGCTTTTATCTATCTGGCACAAGAAATACTGCAAAAACACTAAAACGTATCATGTATTTTTGATCTTAGAAGCTACGGTGCTTCCAAGCACCTCTTCAGCAAGAAATAACAGCTTGTTTTGAGTGAATGATTCTTTAATATTGATGAAAAGCTTCTAGATTATTTTATGCCTTGTCATATGTGAAGTAATTTCCCAATGGAACAAGTACTTTTTCATCAAAATTGTGAGTCAGTTTTGTCTTATTTCAAGATAATTTAACTAGAAACTAGACCAGAATAACTTGATAAGATATTGTGCTTCTGCAGCGAATATATACAATCAGTACACTTGACTATGAATCTAATTTGTGCACAGAGCCTGAATGTGTGGGAGCTTTAAGGAATCAAATGAACGGTTGGAAAATAAATACAATTCCACCACAAAAGTTTCTAAAGGTTCTCTGGTTTTAATAAATTAAAGCATTAAATCCAAAGTGATTAAACATTTAAAATAATCCATTTTAGATGCAGTTTGTACAAACAGCATGCTAAAGTTTGGGATTTGACAAAATGTGAAAAGTTTAAAGACTAGGAATGTTTTTTGTTTTTTTACAGTAGTGATGTAAAAAATCTGATTTAGATGCTGAAGCAAATATTTTTAAGGTCAAAGACATTCTAGTTTGGACATTTTAATGAAAAACAAAAAAAAAATTATAAGAACTGATAATTATAATCATAATATTTTTTCCTAAAATTTAGAATCTAACAGATACTGTATTGATTCGTTGAAATTGCTTTTTTAATGCTTAGATAAACTGAATTGATTGGTCATTTTATGATTAGTTTTATATCTAAGCTGTTGCTCTAATTACCTCCCAGTTCCTCCGGCTCAGTTTACCAGTCTGACCTTCGATGCATCGTTGTGAGAACTGGGAACAGTGAGTGGAAATCAATACTTTTCAACGTGAAGTCAGTGGGATTTCTCCTGAACTAATAACATTGCTGCTCCATCCACAGGTCCAGTAACTGCTTCCCCTCCAACTACAACTTCACCTCCTCCATCCTCCGACCCAAACTCAACACCAGCCTCAGAATCATGTAAGTGTGGGATGTTGAGCATGAAGATAAACTCATAAAACCTGAAGCTTTTTGTTCTCAACCAATGAAATAAGTCCAAGTGTCTAAGTCTTATGGGTCCCTTCATCTTGTGGTTCCTCTGAGTCCCCATTGCTGAACTTGGTCTGGACTCTTCACCCAATCTGTCTGCTGGTTGTGCTCAGACGGTCCGGCAGCCTCACGCCTCTCAAACTGCCCCAGGGCAGCTGTGGCTACTATGCAGCAGCTCACCCCCATCAGCATGTGAATATGAATGTAAATAGATGAATTACTAACTTGAGCATAAACAGCTTTCGAGTCCTCTGACTTGATAAAAGGCTGTACTGATGCAAACCATTTATCATTTATGTTTTTTCCAAACAAATTTCAAACAGTCCACAGAATTTTATTATTCAGCTTTTATTTGGCAATAAGTTCATGTGTCTGTGTGTAGAAAATGGACCGTTTGAAAAAGGTTTGCCTCTCACCTAGCAACTCCACTTGTCACCTAGCAACTCCACCTGTCACCTAGCAACCCCACCTGTTACCTAGCAACCCAAGCAGAGTTCCAGAATGTTTGGTTGGCTAGTTTAGCGCTGTACAACGGCTGCTGGAAGAGACAAGTGTTTTGTTGTTGACTTACTGTCCAGAATCCACTTGTTGCATTCGTGATGGTTTTGCTAATCGCAGGAAGACGTCCACTTACAATCGGATCTAACTACAAAGTTTGCATAAAAACACAGCCAAGTGATCCTTGTTGGTTAATTATCCTTTTTCTTTAAATCATAATGTTGATTCTCTGTGCTTCTAGACTATGTTTTGGCTCTGAACGCAAAGCTTTCCACTTCACTGTCACTGAATGAATCTGCAGCCATCATTAACCTGGTCAGTAACCTCCTTCACCTCAATGTTATCGAGAACAATCAGCTTCATCCACGTTCAGCTGCTTCATTATGAGTTTTACTTTCATCTTCTGCATTGTTTTTATTCTTAGAAATATTACTTTAACATAACAAATTACTAAGTGAAAAGCCTCTTTGATCCAAAGCTAATTTTTGAGCTTAAAAATGCAATTTAGTTTTGTTTTTTGTGACTCATTGTTTATATAATGTAGCTCTCATTATATCTTTTTAGATTCAAGAGGAGCTGCAGAGACAAGGACTGCCAGCAGGGATAATCGTAGAGATGCTAAACAGTGGTGCAGTCGCCCCCTAGTGGCTGAACAAGAAGCATCTGATCCTCTTTGGCAAACATGATTTGATATAAAAAGTTTTCTGTAATCTTTGATTCTTATAGTTATACGTATTTTAAAAAATTACAAGGAGTCAGAATATTCCCAGTTATTCATCAATTAAGGCAAACTGAGTGAAATTAGAGTTTAATGCTCTTATTTTGCCTTATAAGTGTAATAAGTATTTCAAGAAACAGTTTCTGAATAAATTTAGTTGTTTATTTCCATCATAATTTGATAACTGAGCTCTTCCATGTAACATAGGTGTCTTCATATAAATCCGACTCACTTCAAGTTGTTAAATTCAAAGTTTTCTTATATCAACGACTCCTTGTTCTTCTTTACACTTGCTATGATTCTTGATATTGTTGGCTGCAGGTTTTTGCTTTTTGTCTGGGTAAATCTCTCATAATGTGAAAGCTGAAAAGGTGAAAGGGGAAAAGTCATAGTTATAAATAAACTTTGCAAGGAAGGAAGGCTGCAAAGTAAAATTATATAAATAAACATTACAATAAAGATGCTGAAGAGTTTTGTGCTTCTCATTCCTTTATGCATGGTTGTGTCTGAATAATTTACTGAAACCACTGCTGTGATCACCAACCACAACCTTTGGCTGAGCAGCCACAGAATCAAACTAATTGGAAACAAACAGAATCTGTGCAATCACTGGTGTTTTCCCAAGTTTTTGAAACACCTCCATCACAGTTTGCCTTTGCTTAAGCAATAAACAGTTTCAGCCAAAACAGGAGTTCTCTGAGTCCAATACTTCCTCATGTGAACCACAACATGGCTTAGAGTGCACATTAACTGTTTGGATTTCAAAACGGCTGAGAAAACATATATTCTACATACCAGGCATCTCGATAATGTAGATCTGATTTCCTCCAGATGAGCTGTTTAAACCAGAGCTGTGAGTCAAACTCTTTCACCTGTTAAGATGTTGCTCAGTTGGTACAACAGCACCACCTAGTGTTCAAATATTACAAGATATTTTAGCCCAGCAGAAAAATATTTCCTGAAGTTTAATATTTTCACCATTTTCAGATTTTCATGACTGAATTTTTTTAGGCTTACAAATATGTTCATAAAACAGTAGCAGCTGAACAGGACCACATTTAAATATTTATTCTAAATCACTTTTAGACAATATATTAAACAAACGACTTTTGAAGTCATATTTTTTAAATCAAAGTAAATAAAATAAATTGTTTGTTAAATTTGTTTAATTAATCTCAGTTTCTTAATTCCTTTTTAGAGATACAAACATTATATTATAAAACAAAGCAGATACTCTGTGTGCTGGTTTTAATGGATGCTGCTGAACATTGAGCTGTGTGGAGCTGGTTGAGTTTTGAAAGCTGTTCACAGATAAAATCCTCTCTCTGAATGAAAGGTTTGTGACATTTCCTGTTACTGGAAATCATAATTCATATTTTCATTTCGAGGAATCTTTCACCAATCAGACATTTTCCTCATTCCAGGTCACCTCATTTATCTCATACCATTAAATTTTCCAAGAAAGGAGCAGTGGGTGTGGACCTGGAATCTCCACACCTAAATTACTCTCATTGATCGAGAGCTTTCCATCCAGAAAAAACCAACTTCTCTTTCAGGTCCAGTTCTTTCTTGCTCCTTTGCTCCTCCGGAGTGGTGAAGGAGCAGCCCTTGTCTGTAGGAGTATAACTTCATTTGTCTCTAGTAACTTTCAGTCTTTCTCTGGAAATCTTCACTCTGTCACCATGTCTGTGTTGCTGCTGCTGCTCATCACCGGTGCTCAAGCTGCTTATCACGGTGCCGTCATTACCAACTATTTTGGAGACGTTCGGCCCTTTGTAGTGAGTTCAGCTTCTTTGTAGAATATCATGTTAACTTTGTTGAGAAAAAAAAAGATGTATTTACCAACTCTTCACTTTAATTTCACAGCTAACATATCACATTAAGGAGAGCGGCAGCTCATGTGAAGAGGTCGACATTTGGCAGTGTGGTGGAAACTGCACCACTCCACCATTTTATGCAATTGATGAAAGCAGGAATGAATGGTGTCAAAAAACACAAATTCTTATTTTCACTAATTACGGCCCAAGAACATTTACATTCATTTTTGGGTGAGTATTCTTCATTAAATAGAAATATATTTTACAGTGTTCATATTTTAACTGATGACTGATCCAAACACAGAGTCATCATTTGTATTGATTAGATTTTGTTGTTTTCTAAGGAAGAAAACATGTGGAAACATATTCTGCTTTGTTGGTCAGACATTTGATCTTGCTGTATTATTTCCTGATAACATTGCTGAACTCGTCACTCACTGCAGGGTTGGTTCTTCAAATTGGATAGAAAACAGAAATGGGATTGTAACACCGTTAATAAGAATAAGCAATGACTTCAGAAACCGTTCTGACATCAACAAACCAAACTCAACACCGCAGACCACCATCCTCCCTCTAGTCAGGTAATTCTGGTTCTCATTTGCAATAAACAGATTGTATTGATTGCAACATTTGCAAATTATGTGTTTTGCTACGTATTCAACATTTGCAGATGAAACTCTGTGAGTCAATCATCCTGAATCAGAGACCAGAGAGTTACATGAAGCCAAAGACATATTGAAAACATAACAAAACAGCTCTTCTTGTTTTATTAACAAGATTGGTGATCAATAATTCAGATGATAATGTTATTTAAGGTGAAAATTATTCTGTTTAAAATAATTGATCACATAAATCAGTACAAAATAAATTTTCTAAAGTGTTTCTTGGAGAAAGTTTAGCATTGGAGGAAACTGAACTGAAACAAATCCAGTGGAAGTAAACAAATGAAAATACCAGAAAGTTACATGAAGCAAAAGATGATTAACGTCAGAAAAATACAAGGCTGTTTACTGAGGGTGCACAGATTTATTGGTGCCGATTTTCTCCATCTTGGGAGACCATCGATCAGCCGATTTTTACATGTTATCAACCTCAGCAGAGGTCTAAAAATCAACCAGTATGCTTTTCCTCTGTCCTGAGAGAGATTTGACTGACAAACTGGCCAACCAGTTCATGTTTACAGTTTACAGTGGTCACCCCAAAAGTGCCAATTCAATAGCTTTTTTGATATATTGAGCAACATTTCAGACAAATAATGGTATCGGCCAAAATCGGAATCGGTTTTTAAAAGATCAGTGATCGGTCGGAAAGCTGCAACCAGTGCAGCCCAACTAATTAAAAAAGTGATAATCCAGCAGATGATTTTTCTTTCATCAATATAGTGAACAATATTGTATTTAGAACAATTAATGTGATAAATCTGATAAATAAATGTAAAATAAACTGGGGTAAGTGTGTTTTGTGCAAAGTCCATCATTAGAAAACTGAACTGAAACTATTTTGCAGTTTGTTCCATAAGGAAGCATAGTGGTGATTAAAACAAAGTTTTGTTGGGAACAAACCTTGAAGAACCAGTCAGAGAGGTTAAAATTATGAAGCAAACGCCTGAAGGGACTGACAGGGGTGTGGTTGTGATGCTCTATCAAATGTTTCTTTTTCTGTCAGAGTTCCTTCAAACTGTCAGAGAAACATCAACCTGTTGGTCTTTGACCCAGATGGAGACGACATCAGATGCAGATATGCAGCTGGTCCAGAGTGCAACATCTGCACGCCTCCGTCTGTCCTCAATGTCTCATCTGTGAGTATCAAATGTGGACATTAAAGAATCTGGGCTTTCAGTCTGAATTTTCTTAAAACCTGAGCACAAAGTGGTTTTCAAGTCAAGATCAAAATATTGGTGAACAATTATTTGTTTGAATAGTAAATATGTCCAGTATCTGCTCTGAACATTTCCTGAGGTTCCCTACTCATCTCATAACTTTCTAAGCTGCTGGTATCAGCAGAACAGTCATAAGCAGAACCACCTGACAGCCTCAAGCATTTAAAACATTTAAAAACATTTAAAACATTTAAAAACATTAAAAAATATATACACTTTATACTGTATTACAATGTCTCAGTCTCTTTATTGTCAAAAGAGAAAAAATATGCATCATTTAAAGTTCAGTCTGAATACAGTTTCTTGTATTTTCTATGTGTGTCATCTGTTTTATGTTTTTTATTTACCTATTGAATGATCATGGAACAACTTTTTTTTTTGCATCTGATTCGAAATAAAGTGACGATAGGTTTCACTTAATCTATAATTATTAGCTTATATATTAATCATCTGATTCAGTTTTAAATTGGACCTTTTTGTTCTCCTTTCTGTTCTCCTCCAGTCTTGTTCTCTGTCATTCAGACCCACTAACAGCAGCAATAAAGGTCCATATGCGGTTCAGATGATGGTGGAGGATTTTCCCAGGCAAACCATCACTCTGACTGATGGCTTTACTGGTGCTCAGGAAGTGAAAACTCCCAGCATCGCCATCGGCAGCATCCCACTCCAGTTTGTTTTCACAGGTAAAACTGCACAGCTTGATGAGCTTGATATGAACCACTTTGAGTGGTTCTGGACAACACGTCGGTTTCTGAGCTGAATATGTTGAATTTGCTGGTAACATTTGGAATATCGATAATTACTACAGATTATTACAGAGAATCATCCTTTTTTCACCCAAAATACATAAAAAAAATGTATCAAAGCTAAATTTAACCACATGTGAACCGGATAAGTATCTGATTGCATTAAATATTTACTTTCCAAATAGTTTAGGAGGTTTGATTCATTGATCAAACTGATCAGCTCCTTTCAGCTTGAGTTAATTTGTTTTTTATTGTTTTCTTCCAGTGGATCCTGCAGCTCCGTCCTGCACAGCAGGTGAATATCTGCCCAGGTTTCTGCCTCCAACTCCACAACATGGAGCTCAGATCCTCACCAACGTTAACCAGACTCTGGAAATCAGCGTCAGAGCAGAAGCAACCCAGGCTGAGTGAGTGGTTAACAAAGGCTCTTCCAGAAATAAAGGATTTGTTGACACGTTCTCGGGAGAAAAAGTCCGGAACTGAAGCTAATCTGATGTATTAAGTTACTCAAATCCAATTTTTCATGAAATGTATCAAGCAAAACAAAAGAAGAATTTTCAGGTGAATTTTCTCAGAACCTGAGAATAAACAATAGCAAAAAAATTAATAAATAAAAATAAAATCCCTAAATAAACAGGAACAGGAGCTGACCAGCATTACATTGAAAACATGCTGCCAATACCAACAAAACCTGGCTGGTAAAGCTTCGTAAATGTCAATCTAACAAAATTTTTATCTCCTGTTTATTAAAGCATCTCTGAGCTCCTGGTCAGCGGACCGCCAGGTGTAACCAAGAGTTCATCAGGATCAGGAAACTTCACCCTGACATGGAAACCAATCGATGGAGACGGAGGACTGAACTACGCTCTCTGCTTCGTTGTTCAAGCAAAGTTAGTCTCTGATTTGCTTCTCTTCTGATTTGCTTCTCTTCTGCTTTAAAACACATTTTTATAGTTGCTTTATATCTGCTTCATAAGACTGTTGTTTTCAGACTCCATTAAACTGAATCGATTGGTCATTTTATTAACAGTTTTATATTCAAGCTGTTGCTCTAATTACCTCCCCAGCTCCTCCGGCGCTGTGTACCAGTCTGACCTTCGATGCGTCTTTGTGACGACTGGAAACAGTGAGTGGAAATCAATACTTTGGTCTTGAGTTTGAAGTCAAGATTTTCCTGATCTGAAAATTTTGATGCTTAACTTCTGCTTTACCTGTATGTACAGCAACTGTTTCCCGCCCGACAACAAATACAACTACGCTGACAACAACAACAACCAACCAACCCACCGCAACAACTGAACCTCCTCTGTCCTCAACCCCAAACGCAACACCAGAGCCAGGACCATGTATGTGTGCCAGAAGTTTGTGTTAGAAAACATCTCCAAACCTGTTAAATATAGACTGTTACCATGGTTTAACCTCATAGGTTCCTTCATTTTATATATAGACCATGTCCAAAGCATACAAAGGGTAACATTTTATGAGTAAACATTAATTTTTCTATTTTAAATAGAAATGTTGACTTTGTTCTTCTAGATCATGTTTTGGCTCTGGATGTAATGATCTCAACAACACTGTCAATGGAGACTGATTCTGCAACCATCATGAACCTGGTCAGTAACCTGCTTCACTTCATGTCAATGTTAAAGATAATAATCAGTTTCATTCTAGTTTAGCAGGTTTAGCTAGGGTTTGTTTCTGGTCTGCGGGAACTCGACATGTTTATAGTGATGATAAACAGCAGAAAGGCGAAGCTCTTGATTTATCGGTCGATCTTCATTCCTCCCCTCATCTGCAATCACAAGCTTTGGGTAGTGACCGAAATAATGAGATTGTGGAAACCTTTAAAAAAAGATGGTTGACAATATGTCAAAGTACTTGCATGCAAGGAGAACAGAGTATGCATCACTCAGCTATAGCTCTGATCTGAAACACACACAGACACACAGACGTACCACATTTCTTTTATTTGTTTACACAGACTTTAGAGCAACATCTTCTACTAACCACAGGTCACAAAAGGAACAGATATCCTAGATAAAGCTGAGTAGACACATTCTGCTCCTCCCTACTAAAGTCGCAACACCAGATAAGAGAAAGAAAATGAATGGATGAACTTACTTTCCTTGTGAAATGTCACACAAAGAATGATTTCTACTTGAGGGATTTGTAAACCTGATTCAAAACCTGATTCAAAACTCAACCGTGATTTTCAGCATAAAAATGTGGTTTAGTTCTGTTCTGTGTGACTTATTGTTTCTATAACGTAGAACTGATTTAATGTTTTTCCTCTCCAGATCAAAGAGGAGCTGAAAAGACAAGGACTGCCTTCTGACATAACCCTAAAGCTGCTGAGAAGCACTTTACTGGGAGTTACAACTCCCGCCCCCTAGTGGCTAAAATGAGAATATTCTGATCTATGCAGGAAAATGTGTTTTCCATAACTTCTCATCTGGTTCATGGGGTAAAATTTATCTTAAAGAATGTAAATTAAAATGTAATAATATTGTGTTGAATATGAGTAAATACTGTAAAGTCATTATGTTCTCATTCATCATTTCTAATTGTCAATGAAAGCAAACACAATAAAATGAAATGCCAATACTGTTACTTGGCATAATAATATCACCTCTATTAAATGACAATTTTTGGATGAAATCTTAGAGACCTAAACCTTTCATGTCATTTAGGTATCTGAATCTCAGCGTCACTTCTGGATGGTAAAATGATAATAAGATAAATTCTGTCAGTTTGCAATCATATCACAGACTTCTTGTTTCTCTTTACACTGGAGACGGTTTTGGATGACTGATACATCCTGTCATGATGGAAAAGCTGAAGAGGTGAAAGGTGAAGATTTATCGTTATAAACAAACCAAAGTTATATAAGTCAATATTATCATAAACATCCTGAAGAGTTTTGTTCCACTTGAGTTTAACAAAAATTAATGTTTTTTTTGTTTTGTGTTTTTTAGTAAAAATCGGTTTTAAATTATGAAACAAACATGGAAAAACGCACATAACACAGTTAACTTTTATCACAGAATTAATTCAAAATGTCAGAAAAATATCAACTTTTGGGTCTTAGACCCAGGAGACGACTTTAAATGCTGATATGCAGATAGATAGATAGATAGATAGATAGATAGATAGATAGATAGATAGATAGATAGATAGATAGATAGATAGATAGATAGATAGATAGATAGATAGATAGATAGATAGATAGATAGATAGATAGATAGATAGATAGATAGATAGATAGATAGATAGATAGATAGATAGATAGATAGATAGATAGATAGATAGATAGATAGATAGATAGATAGATAGATAGATAGATAGATAGATAGATAGAATAACATCTGTTTATTTTTTTATGCATAAAAAACATGCAAAAAATACAAATTCCTAAAGAAATTTGGAAATACAAAAACAGAAAGAACAAAGTACTTGAAACTTCAGAGAACGTTATATCAGAAGATAGAAGGCTGATTTTGTGACTGTCTTTATGTGTCTCTGAAGGTTCAGGTCAGACTTATCGTTATGAAATTATTGCATAAAGTTTTTCACACACATAAAAATCCACCGGACTATTTCTGTTTACTGTCATCACTAAGTTTAGTCTGACAACCGTTGAGATTTTTCTGCTGTTGCTCGTCGTCTCTTCTCGTCTCTCCAGGTCTCTAGATGCCGAACGTTAAACTGACAACAATCACAGATCAACCAATATTTTATTCAATCAATCAAAAGCATAAAATCACAGCAACATCCCAACATGATCATTGATTATCACAAACAAAAGGAAACATTGATCACCTTGATAGATACAGAGAAGCGTCTTCAGAGAGCACCGTGTCTCACCCAGTGATCTGACCAACTGTTGTAGCTCACATTCATTTATACCTGGCTGTGTCCAGGTGGGTTTTCTACCTGGGCCGTCCTGACCTTGGCAGGCAGGAGATGGATGCTCTCCTTCATCATGATTTTCTACCCACAGATAATCCAGGAGTCATTTTGAACAGAATATTCTTCACAAGGACGTGGGACTGAGTTTATCAGTTCACTGGAGCGTTCCACTAAGTTCTCCTCCCTGCCGTCCTAAACAGCCTCAGACTGGTTTCTGAGACCACACGGCGCTCTCCTTGACCCCTCGATGACCCCTCTGTGACCCCACATGTTAGAGATAAACAGAAGATTGATTACAAAGAATTGATACACATACCATATAATGTTCATAAAGAAAATTGAATGACAATCAGTTTAAGATCAATGCAAAATAAAAAGATTAAATGGATGAAAACCCGACTAATTAAACTACGACTGATTAACCCATAAATGTTGTGGACAGGCGTAGTGGGGATCACGTGATGATGTCAGTGATTATAGATCAGCTGTTGCTCACCTGGGTGATCTTAGTGAGTGGGTGATGGGGGAAGGTTTACTTTTTGCTGACCGCATCAATTTAGCACATTTTGTCTTTATTCACTGTTTTTTCTACGGATCCGTTTTTATGCTGTGTGGACACTGTGAAGTTTTGGATATTGGCAAAATAAATCAACTTAAATGCAACTTGGATTGCGTTTTTGATCAGCTGACGCGTCAACAAAGATTCCCCTATTCAGCCACTCGGCGACCTGGTTTGACAGTCGCTAATACATAAATGAAAGACTAAGTGCTGAGTAACATGACTTCTAGAGTAGAAGATAGTAGACACAACTAAATGCAGCACACATTTTTTACAGTGCATTTATAATTTTAAGTTAAATAAAAATCCCAGAGATAGAAATGCTGCACATGAACACAGAGTAGCAATCCCTCTGTAAATATCAGCTTTAATAAAAACATGATGCCAAATATTGACCTTATTTACTTTATATTGATAATCTATAATAATAATAATTTGTGAAAGTTTATCCATTTTATTTTTTTTAAGCATTGACAGACTAAATTACTGAAAACAACCATAACTCCCTGAAGTATTTAAAATATACAGGAAGATTAAATCAAATTTCCTGCAGGGATCAGATTCATTCTCCTGTTTGGCCACTAGGGGGCAGCTGTTTTATTAGCTATACCGAAGCTTAGCAGGTGAACCTTTATGTCTGCAGGCAGCCCTCCTGTAATCAGTTGATCTCGAATCTGCAGAAGAAAACATGAAATCTATGTTAGATACAGTCATTTAAAATCTTCTAGTTAAAAATGGAAAAAAGTCAAGAGTTGAATTTAACCATCACAACACAATATTTTAATAAAGATTTATACAGAAGAGGAACTTTAAATTATTGTAGATATGAAACATAAAATCTAGCAGGTTTTTCATCATTTAAAAACTCTACAAACTAAATATTAAATGTTGATAGTTTTTATTATCTTTGGACTTTTTGTGTTTTTTTCAGCAACAAGATCTGGATCACTCATTCTTTATAAACTTTTGCTTTATTTAGTGAAGTTTACTAAAATATATTTTTAACTGGTTCATATTTATAGCATGGAAGTTAAGTGTTTGTTATTTTACTGATTAGTTTAAGTTATGAAATAACATTTGGGATAAATTAATTAGGATTAAACTCAGGTTGTGATGGTTTGTGTTAAAGTCCAGGACGTCACTGACCGCTTTCTCCATTTCATCTTGTTTGTCTTTCAGTGACATCGAAGTCTTGATCTTCAGCTTCACAACCTTAACATGAGCTGGAAGAGCAAGAGATCAACATGGAGTAAAGAACAACTTCCTGTTACTTTCAGTCCTGTTTTCATCCTACTTACATGTTTTAGGAGGAGGAGATGGAGTCGCTATGAAAGGTACTGGGATAAGAGCAGCAGAAACATCATGAGTTCAGGAAATAAAAGATAAATCAATGATCAAGAAGAAAAACTCACTGTTTCCAACCCTCACAATGACGCATCGAAGCTCAGACTGGTAGACAGAACTGGAGGCACTGGGGAGATAATTTAGCACCAAACATTAATATTAAACTCTTTTTGAAATGGTCATTTATTAATGTTACAATTAACATCCATCCATTTTCTGTTCATCCTTCTCCCTAACGGGTCGGGAGGAGCTGCTGCCTCTCCAGCTGCGTTCTGGGCGAGAGGCGGCGGCGCCCTGGACAGGTCGCCAGTCTGTCGCACTTTTACAGATCATGTAAAATTTACTTTTTTAGTCCTTAAATAGTTGTTTTTTGAGTACTTTGAGAGTGCAAAATAATTAAATTTATTCTCTCCTGGTCCTCTGTAGATATCTTTATACTTGTTTTAGGTTTTATTTTTCAGTTTGTTAATTTTTCTCTATTGCCTTTAACATTTCTTGGCTATGATTTCACCACATTAGCTGCTGAACAAGGTCATGACTTCCAGCCAACCAGTTCTATGAATCCAACATTTTGTCCTCAGTGATTTTGTGGTCCAGGTTCAGTTATGCTGAATTGTTTAGTTCTTGGGTTTATTAACACAGAAGGTTCTTTACATCGCTGCTCAGCTTGTTTTTCTCAGTAACGTTCCCATCAGGTGGAAAAGTGGGTTTGTGGGGAGCAGAGAGCTTCAGCAGCTTCTGCCACTGCACAGGGATTTTCAGGCAGATTTTTCTGATTGAGGGTCAGTTCCTCCTCTGCTGAAATGATGGACACAGCAAAGCAAAGAGCTCCAAATAATGACAACACTAACGTTACAGATGAATTTTATGTTTTGATAATGATGTCCTGTTTTGCTAGTAGCATTGAGCCTTTTGCTTCTGTTAGCGCTGTGTGCTAGCTGTTAGCGCCCTCTATGGGAATATAGAGGGACTGCATGTTTTGGATGTGATTCTTTGGCCTGTTTTTTGTCTTGGGGAACAAATGATCCAAATGCATTCAGTAATGTTAGCTAACTCATGAATTATCTTGAGGTTTTGTTTACTTCATTCTCCTGCTGTGGATCAGACTCCGACAACATGTATGGATGATTGCTGACATTTTTAATTAACTATGGGATGAAAAGTTTCTCTCCGGTAGATGATGTGTTGTTGCCGTCAGACTACAGAAATGGCCGACCGGGGTGGAGTGGAGGCCTCTGTGACGTGGAGGAGGGCGGGGCTTGAAATGCAAATATCACAGCAGCAAAGCAAGTTGCTCTAGCAGCTCAGAACAGGAGTAAACAAAGAGTCTGTGAAGCTACAATAACCAGGAGTTCAGAGTCAAACATTGCAGTTCTGTTTATATGAACCATAAACTAATTGGTTTATTTAAAACCATATGTCCACTTTAAACCTAATGTATTTTTGCATCACCAAGAAGAGCTTTTAGTTACTTAGTCAGACCAAAAATTACTTTGTATCATTGAAGGTAACAATTATATTTACTTTTGTACATAAGTACATTTCAAAACCTTTTCTTTAATTAATTTTATTTTCTACTTTGTTACTTTTATCCGTCGCTAGTATTTGTACCTCTACTTAAGAAGAGAAAATGAAAACATTTGAAAACTTCTGATCAGATCAGATACTGACGTTGCCTGGACAGCAAAACAGACGGGATGACTTTCATCATTTTGACTGAAAGACGGCGTCCATCTCAGGGTGAAATATCCTGAACCAGATGAACTCTTGGTCATGTTGAACGGTCCATTGAACAGGATCCCAGTGATCCTTTAACACACAGGAAACACATCAGTCTGTTTGGTTATATCAGCAAAATGCCCTCAAACCTGCATTAAATAATATCTTCAAAATATTATGAAATAATATAAACATTTTTCTCTAATTAGAGACTATATTTATTTTCTACTCACACAGACTGAGTCGCCTCTGCTCTGATGCTGATTTCTATCATCTCATTAACGTCTATGAAGAACTGAGCTCCATGTTCAGGAGTTGGAGGCAGAAACCTGGGCAGATATTCACCTGCTGTGCAGGACGGAGCTGCAGGATCCACTGGAGCAACGCAGGGAAAAATAATACAGGTCACAAAACAACAGAGTTAAACTAGCAACTCTTCTGTCAGTTTGAAGATTAATCCAGTAAAGTTACACATTTGTCCATCTGAGTTGTTCTAATAAAATGTGATTTTCTTGTTATCTGACATTCTTGTATTAAAAAATTTAAAAGTAATTTATTATTATTGATCAACTTTCAACTGATAATTATTGAATGTTAAATTTAGTGACTCCAGTGTTTCTCTTTGCAGTGAAGCAACATGATTGAAATATTAAATCAAACCTTTGAAAACAAACTGGACAGGCATTCTGGTCATAGAAATGCTGGAGTTTCTCGACTCTGTTGCATCTTTGCTATCAGTCAGATTGATTGTCTGTCTGGGAAAATCCTCCATCATCAGCTGAACTGCATATAAACCTTCATTATTGCTGCTGGTTGGACTGAATGATAGAGAACAAGCCTGCAAGAGGACAGAGAGAGAAATAAAGATTATAAATCAAGTTATAAATTTACTGTATTTCATTGTGAGTTTTATTTGTGTTTGTTATATTGACAATATTCATTTCTGTTTATCTCAAGTTGCAGATTTATTGTTCTAAGCACATCAACTGAGAGTTTATGCTGAGAGCACAGCGCAGTTAATTTGCAATATAAAATATTTTGTGGAACTTCAAATATTTCCAGTGAGTACGAGTCTTTTCAAACTTTGAGTTGAAATAGATTGTCAATGTTTTACTTTTCTGCATGCTATGCATTTCTGCTATTTCTAAGGCAGAAATTACAAGATCTTATAATTATTATGTAGGTAGGCTACTAGCATGTATGAATGAATGACTTTAGCTTGCTGCAGTTAAATCATAATTTAATAGTCAGCAAATGTTTTATTTTATATAGTCACATAATATGCTGCTCTAATACTGTGGAAATCTTATCAGAACAGAAATGTTCTGATGAAAAACATTTCTCCTTGTGCTTTTTCTCCCACCTGTGAGTGAGTTTGGCTGAAGGATATTTCCCTCCTCTCTTCTACCTGTGAACCTCACATTTCCCTTTCCTGTAACTTGATATCATTTATTACTTACTGGTGAGAGGCTGAGGACAGACGGAGGTGTGCAGGTGTAGCACTCATTGGAACCGGATCCATGTCTGCATTGAACATGGTCTCCGTCAGGGTCAAAGGTCAACAAGTTGATGTTTCTCTGACAGTTTGAGGGAACTCTGAGAGAAACAGAAAACAAATATCACATAATTACAAGAGAACTCCTGAGGACAAATAATCTGTTTAAATGTTTTCATTCACAGAGGAGCTTCAATATATTGACTGATTTATACTTCAGTGTTTTTCATTTTTTAGTTTTAAACTTTTGTTTGAGTTTTGTTGCTTTGAGAAATTACCAAATGGATCCAATATTTAATATGTCTAATTTAATCCGCCTTTTACAGATTAAAATTTGCCTTAAAGAGAAATATTATTTTTAAGTAATTTTAAATTAATTACTAAATTTGCTTTGTTTCCATGTGACTCTTTGTTACAAATAAAATTGATTCAGTGTTTGGATCTAATTTTTCTTCAAAAAAAAGGACAAAAAAACATCAGACTCAAAATACAGTTTATGCTCCAGCAAAAGCACAAAAAGTTTCAGGTATTTGTTGTTAACATGATATAAAATCTGAATTACCTCATAACAGGAAGGATTCCGGTTAGTGGTGATGAATTCGATCTGTTGATGTCGGATCTGAACCTCCCTTCAATAAATATCTTAGCGAGGCCAGATGAAATGCCGTTTCTGTTGTTTATCCAGGCTCCAGTATTCCACCTGTAATACAAGATATTGGGAAGATTTCTGATGTTACTAAGTTTCTAAACAAGAAAACTTTACAGAACAGCAGATCAGAAAACTGACAGGAAGAACTCTAGACTTCTTGGAAAAACAGAAAATTATTAGATATATTTTTTGCTTGATGTTGAGATTCAGTTACCCAGAGTAGGAACTGTAGAAACTCTTTCTGTCCACCAGGGTATACTCTCCCAGACACCATTCTCCGCTGCTTTCATCAATCTTATTAGTGTAACTCCACCATGACTCAAGCTCTGCACAGGAGGTGAAGCTCGCCTTCAAGCGACGCACAACCTGCAGATTTAAGGTAAAGAAGTGTTGGATAAAATCTGATTCTCTTAAAAAGGAAAATGAAATAAACTTCATGAAGTCTGAACTTACTGTAAATGTGTTTCCTTGTACATCTTTAGTGGTGTGAGAAAGCACAAGTCCATAATAACCAGCTTCTGTCCAGCCAATTATCGCTACCAGCAGCACAAAGAGCAACATGGTGAACGACTCGGTTCTGCTGAACAAAGATTGGATCATCAGGTAACCTTTGCTGCGACCTCTGCCATGAAGCGCTTTGTTTATGCAAATGTCTGAAGACCGGAGACGACAACATGATGCTTTCTAAGTATTCAAAGGAGTTTCTAGGAATGAGCTGCTATTTTAGTTTTCTCCTTTTTATTTTATTGTGGAAGGTAAACTTTTGTCATTTGGTTTATTTACTTTCAATTTGTAAGTCTTGGTTAATTTTATAATTTCCTTTTGTTTGCAATTTTTGGCATTATTGCTCAGACTCCTGTAAAGTTAGTCAGGAATTTAAAATGAACCAGTTCAAAGAACTGAAAACAGAAAAATATGAGAGCTCTTCTCTTTGTTTCTCTTTAGTGTCTTGCTGCAGAAATTTAGATCAAGTGACAGAGAAAAAGATTTTTATTGATGAATGTCAGATTTACCTCAGAAGATAAAGGCTCTAAAACCTAAAATGTCTTACCTGTTCGGATGTCAATGTCTGTATGTAACAGTATCTAAGTTATAATGTACTTTGATGATTAATTATGTGATGTGAACTAACTTTGTGCACACCACCCATGTGTTTATTTAAATTATTGACGTAAATGTTGAGCATTGTGGTAGCTCCCATTTTTTGCTTTGCAAATGTCTGATTAGCATACTGGTAGCCTTTAGCTCACACTGTGTTGGGTTTTTTCCAATTTGACTGTCAAATTCTGCTTCGTTTATCCATGCAGGGGTTTACATTGTTTTTATAGGTTGGACCTTAATGTGTTATTTTATCACAACACTACAATATCCAATTTCAGATTGTTGCCATGAACCTTTTCAAACTGGGCAGATTTTCGCTGTGCAGGACGGAGCTGCAGGATCCACTGGAACAAAAGAAGAAGGAACAAATTTAGAGAAATAGGTTGATGAAATATAGTTTATTTACTGCAAAAAAAAACCTCTGCGGCTGGCAGTAATCTTTAGTTGGGGCTTGCCATTAGCAATGCATAAAGAGGGCAGTAACTCTTTATGCCATTAGCATTAATCTACACCTAATAGAATGTCTCTTTATTTAATTATTTTTCACGCCGTCAACCGGACTGCGGCTCGTACCGCTGCGAGCTGTTAAGAATTAAAATGAGGAATAACTTGATTTAGCTCATTAATTCATTCCTCTGATCCCAGATTCTTGAGCCTCAATATGCGCAGTGAGAAAGAGCAATCACACGACGTCAGACTTCAGATATCCAGAGTTTTATCCAGAGAAAATCAATGCACAAAGGAATGGTACAATAAGCATCTCACCCAGATTATCAAAAGTCCAAGATGTGACAAAACAGAAATAATTGCACGAGTTGAAAGAAAGTAAACACAGAAAATGCATTTTCCGGGAATCGTGGACTCGGGCAGAAAGCAATTCGAATTCTCTGTTGCAAACGAAAACTTTTATAAGCCTGTGCCTTTCTCTAAATTTAAATATATACATTAGGAGGTGTGTTTTTCCTTTGTGGGGACTGTCTTAATGTTAGTTATATTACCTCTGCTAAAGAGCCCCAAAGGCAGATATATGGATTGTCAAACTGGGTCTTTGCCGTACCAGGTGTCTCCTGCAACTCTCCCTCAGCTAAATTTACGACCTGTGCCTGTTTTGGTTTTCTGCCTCAATGATTGAACTAGAACGTGTTTGTGTTTTACTGAAACAAAATCTAATGCTAAATACTAACTATAAGTTTTGATCTAAAACTGACTAATTCAAAACATGCTTAAAGGAAACACATTTAATTCTAGTATGGATAAAATTATTTATAAAAAGTTTTAAGCTCCTAGTGAACTTTTGAACCACGCTTAGGAATTTGTTAATTGCCTGGCAGACAGACTCCCTGTCTAAACATCAGTTAAGGAGTCCAGGCCTGTTTTTCTGTAGAATCTTCCCTATAGAATTTATGTAAAATCTGAGCGTGGCCAGTTGTTTTAGTTTGGATCTTTATCTAAATTTATGTGAACGTAGAGTGTTCTTTAACTTTCTATGATATATTTCATATGCATCAAGGCTATCCTGTGTGGTATTGTGCAAATTTAAAAATCTATTTCAACACCCATCAGTTTGTTTGGTTATATGAACAAAATGCCCTGGAAAAATTTTTATGAACTAATTATCAAAATGATCTGACAGCTAAAAACAATCAATGTTCAGGTTTTATGTTTTTGGTACCAGTTGGAGTCATTGTGTTATTTTAACACAATAAAGATCAAATTTCAGATTTTAACCTTACATTATTTAGAAGCTGAACTCTGATTAGAGACTATATTTATTTTCTACTCACACAGACTGAGTCGCCTCTGCTCTGATGCTGATTTCTATCGTCTCATCAAGGTCTATGAAGAACTGAGCTCCATGTTCAGGAGTTGGAGGCAGAAACCTGGGCAGATATTCACCTGCTGTGCAGGACGGAGCTGCAGGATCCACTGGAGCAACACAGGGAAAAATAATGCAGGTCACAAAACAACAGAGTTAAACTAGCAACTCTTCTGTCAGTTTGAAGATTAATCCAGTAAAGTTACACATTTGTCCATAAAAAAGTGAATATTTTGACATCAAAAAACACTTCTTTTTCAAATAACTGTCTCCTCAAATCACTTGAACGCCATGTGTCTCTCCTGTTTCTGAAAGGATCTCAGAGCTCCTGTTCAGCGGACCGGCAGGTATAACCAAGAGTTTATCAGGACCAGGAAGCTTCACCCTGACCTGGACACCATTTGCCAGTGATAGAGGACGGAACAAAACTCTCTGCTTTGTTGTCCAAGCAAAGTTAGTGTCTTATTTAATTTACTGTTGTTTCAACTGTTAGCTTTTTGTTTTCTCTCAAATATTTTTCTTTGCACAGAAGCTTCATCTGGTCTGGCATTTAGTTTGGTCCTGGAGGAAATCAGCTGTTACAATCCAGCTGTCTAATAATCAACATTCCTCCAACATTTTACTTTCATGAACATCAGAACATCAGAACATCAGAAATGATCCTAAATCACCTGATTCATCTGTTTATTTCTTCTCAAAACTCCATAGGCGGCAGACGGCCACTTGTATATACCCAGGTTCTGGTGCTGGTTCTGCTGGACATTCCTTCCTGCTAAAGGGAGTTTTTCCTCTCTACTGGTGCAATGTGCAAGCTCAGCATGAGGGATTGCTATAGAGTCAATGATTCAATACAAGAGCTTCGCGCTCCTCCAGGAGGAATGATTGTAATCTGCTGGGTTTCCTTAAATAGAACGTTTTTAATCTCATTTTATTTGAATAATTAATTTTTATTTAAAGTCATAAAAGAACAAAGATGTTTAAAACAGAGCTTAGTTTAGTGTTGGGTTCATCACAGCAGAATCATAATCTCATTTTCAGAAATTGTGCATTTCTGGCATTGATAGTTATATGAACTGTTGTTTTAACACTTCATTAAAACTGAATTGTCTGCTTATTTCATTAATAGTTTTATGTCAAAGCTGTTGCTTTTGCTTTATTTCCCTCCCCAGTTCCTCTGACTCTGTGTACCAGTCTGACCTTCGATGCGTCTTTGTGATGGCTTGAGAAAGTACTTACTTTGGTCTTGAGTTTGAATTCGATCAGCTTTTGCTGCTGACCTGCTGCTCCATCCACAGGTCCACCAAATGTTTTCCAGCGTTAAGTGGTTTTAACCTTATGGATACTTTGAATCTGCTCTTGACCAAAAATATGTTACAACAGCCGCCCCCTAGTGGCTAAAAATGAGAATGAGTCTGATCCTTGATGGGGAAAGTGATTTGATGTACAAGATTTGTCTTTAATCTCTCATCTGATTCTTGTGGTTATACTTATTTAAATTCATTTAAATGAAAACGTTTTTTAGTTTAATGTGAACAAATACTGTAAAGTCAGAATACTCTCATGCATATAATTTCCAGTTGTTCATTATTCCAAAGAGAATAAATGTGTATGATACTGTCCTGGTGTGTTGTGGTGAGATGGTGAGGCAGATGCAGTGGACCCAAATGACCCAATGACCCAAATACCTGCAGAATCCCTTGGGCATCAAGTCTTTGCAATGACAGTTTTTGGATAAAATTATGGCAGGTTGTAAGTTTCCAAAATATCTTTCATATCATTTAAATCTCTGAATCACAAACCCACTTTAAGATGATGAAATAAAGGTTTTCTGTTTTCCTTGCCGTTACATTAAAGACTCGTCTTTCTTTTCACTCAGACGGTTCTTGCAGAAATTGGCTGCAGGTTTTAGCATTTTATTGGTTGCAGAATAAATTGCTGACGCTAATAAAGGCAATGAAAACTGAAGAGCTTAAAGAACTCAATTAATTTCAGGGTTTTGTTTGAAATGTTTCTTGGATGCTTTCTAGATACTTTCTGGAGGAAAGTCTACATCCTTACTGTCCAAGAAACACAATATCATCTCCCAGGAAAAGTTGGAGATTGTGGTTAAAAATTATATCAGTTAATAGATTAATCCAATAGTTTTTATTAGTTGTGTTTCCATTGACCATAAAACTGTGCAAATTAGAATTTCGAAAACAAATTTGATTATTTCGATGTGCTGGTTTTAATAGATGATGTTAAGTTTTGGGTTGTGTTTGTCAATGAGCTGGAAGATGTTGACTTTTTCACCAACGAAGCTTTTTGAGTTTTGCAACCTGCTCACAGATAAAATCCTCTCAGAATGATTTTCTGTCTGAGCAAAAGGTTTGTGAGTTTCCACGTTTGTTGCATTTCAATGTAATCTTTGAGCCATCAGACATTTCCTCATACCAGGTAGCCTCATTATGCTAATGCTGACTGTAAAATCTCCCAAGAATGGAGCTGAGGGGGTGAAATAGAGATTATCTGTGGAGGATTAACTTCATTTGTCTCTAAAAAGTTTCAGTCTTTCAGTTCAGTTTTGTGACTTTTGCATTTACTGCATATCACCAGTCACATTTTGCACTTTTGAATGTGAACAATCAGCCATCAGACATTTTTCCTCACACCAGGAAGCCTCAGTAACAATGCATACCATTAAATCTTCTGTACATGGAGCAGTGGGCGTGGACCAGAGGCTGTCTGTGGAAGTATAACTTCATTTGACACTCATAACTTTCAGTCTTTGTCTGGAAGTTGTGACTCTGTCGCCATGTTGTCGTTTGTGTTGCTGCTGCTGCTCATCAGCGGAGCTCAAGCTTCTTACTATGGCGTCGTCTATAGCTACACCGTTGGAGACCCTCAGTCAGATTTTTACCCGGTAAGTTGAGCCTCTTTATAAAATATCACACTTGCTTTTTTAAAGAGTGTATTCAACATATCCTCACTGAAATTTCACAGCTAACCAACAACTTCAAGGTGAGCTTCAGCTCTTGTGAAGAGTTCAACTTGTGGTTGTGTGATAGAAACTGTAGCGGGTTCCAGATTTATCCAGGTGATGAAAAAGGAGGTGAATGGTGTCAGACGGCCTACATTCAGGATCTTCCAGCCACTTTCCTGTCTACATTAGATTTTCCGTAAGTCAACATTAATGGAAATATCATTTTGCTTTGTTCAGATTAAAACTGATGCTGGAAAATCCTAAACCAGACAGTTTCACCAGTTGGGCTGCTTGGAGTTTCCTGCTTTCTAAGGAAGAAAAAAACCTGTCATTATCAACTGATCATCTGGTTTTGTTGGTCTTTGGAGATTTAATCTTCCTAAACATCTCAACATCATCTGTTGTAGGTTTTCTGCTACAAACTGGACAGAAAACAGAAATGGGATTGAACTATCGAAAGCTATGTTGGTCATTGAAATTAGAAACCGTTCTGACATCAACAAACCAAACTCATCACCCCAAACCGCCATCATCCCTCTGCTGAGGTAAATCTATTCATCATTTTAAGCAGTTTATCTACAAACGCAGCAAAATATTTAGATAACTGTTGTTTCCCTTGTTTTTTAATTCTTCATATACAGATGAAACTCTGCAAATCAGAAGCAAATGATAATCAATATAATGAAAATCGGACAGTTATTCCTGTTTTACAAAATCGGTTACGTATGTTGATGCTTTGATGGGATAATTCAGATGTTGTTGTTCCTCAAAATGAACATTATTATACTTAAAACAACTTGTTGAGGTAAATCAGTATAAATCTAAGTATGCTTTTTCTGTGGAGAGAGTTAATCTTTAGAAAGCTGAACTGAAACTATTCTGGAGGTTGTTCCATAACAAAGCAAAACCACTCAAATAACATTTTTGTGGTGAAGAAACCTCGAAGAACCAGTTGGACACGTTGAATTATGAAGCAAATACCTGCAGGGACTGATAGAAATCTGGTTGTGATGCTCTATCAAATGTTTCTTTTTCTCTCAGAGTTCCTTCAAACTGTCAGAGAAACATCAACCTGTTGGTCTCTGACCCGGACGGAGACGACATTAGATGCAGATATGCAGCTGGTTCAGAGTGTAGCGTCTGCACGCCTCCGTCTGTCCTCAATGTCTCATCAGTGAGTATCAAATGTGGAAATTTGCAGTCAGAAACACTGGATAATCTGGATTTTTCTACTTTTTTATTAAATGTGACCACTGAGTGAAATAACAACAGGTCAACCTTAAGCACCTCTTCAACTTTAACTTCTCCTATGGATTTTGATCTATCTGCTTTATACTTGGTCAATTAGGTCATCTAAAACTTATCAAAAGCTTGAGTTTTCAGACATGCTAAAGGGGCGGGGCCAGACCTAAGATGCCCATCATGTCATAAATTTCAAAATGCTATAACAGTGCGCCCCCTAGATTATTCCAACAGCAATATCTCCCTATAATATCTGACCTGCACTATATTTTTTGTGTGTCATCAGAGAGCATTGCTCTTTGAACTCTGGTAGATTCATGACATGAGTCGTCACCAATCACTCGCAACCAAACGGGAAAAGATGCTAACTCTGGTCTGGAAAGCAAACACCTGGCCAGCCGAGAGACATAGTCCCTCCAGCGTGTCCTGGGTCTTCAGGAGATGCTGAATTATGAAGCAAACACCTGCAAACACCACCTTCCAGTGGGACGTGCCCAGATCACCTCACCAGGGAGGCGTCCAGGGGGCATCCTGACCAGATGCCCGAGCCTCAACTGGCTCCTCTCGATGTGGAGGAGCAGCGGCTCTACTCTGAGTCCCTCCCAGATGACTGAGCTTCTCACCTTTCTCTAAGGGAGAGCCCAGCCACTCTACGAAGAAAACCCATTTCGACTGCTTATATCTGAGATCTCGTTCTTTCGGTCATGACCCAAAGCTCATGACTATAGATGAGGGTAAGAATGTAGATCGACTGGTAAATTGAGAGCTTTTTGGCTCAGCTCTCTCTTCACCATGACAGACCGGTACAGCGCCCGCTTCACGGCGGACGCTGAACCTGTCAATCTCCCACTTCCTTCTTCCCTTATTTGTGAACAAGATCCCGAGATACTTGAACTCCTCCACTTGGAGGACACCCTCCCTGACCCGCAGGAGGCACTCGACCCTTTTTCCGACTCAAGACCATGGACTCGGATTTGGAGGCACTGATCCTCATCCTGGCTGCTTCACACTCGGCTGCGAACCGCTCCAACGAGAGCTGCAGATCACGTACTGATGAAACCAACAGGACCACATCATCCGCAAAAAGCAGAGACGCGATCCTAAGGCCACCAAATCGGATCCCCTGAACACCTCAGCTGCGCCTAGAAACTCTGTCCATGAAAGTAATGACCAGAATCGGTGACAAAGTGCAGCCCTGGTGGAGTCCATCACCGGAAACGAGCCCGACTTACTGCCAGTTGCTAAAATGAGGCACTTAAATAGACATGATGTATTCTGTTTGTCTTATGGTGTATCTGTTTATATGTGGATTCTTATCAGTTCAACGATGACAGAGAAACAAATTTTGACTTAATCCATAGTTTTAATTTGGTATTTTTGTTCTCCTTTCTGTTCTCTTCCAGTCTTGTTCTCTGTCATTCAGTCCCACTAACAGCAGTGCTGAAGGTCCGTATGCGGTTCAGATGGTGGTGGAGGACTTTACCGGGCAGAACATCACTCTCACTAATGGCAACAATACACAGGAGGTGAAACCTCAGAATGACGCCATCAGCAAGATCCCTGTCCAGTTTGTTTTCAAAGGTAAAATTAACTCTGAACTGGTTGGAACCCAAAAAGAGCCGAGCTGGATTAGAAAAATCTGCTTTTATTCTGCGTATATTAGATTTGAAGCATCAGTAACTACAGGTTAATACAGACACATTACAAAAATATACGAGAAGGAATGTAGGAAAGACAAGTAGGTGAGGTAGAGAAATATCTAGTTACGTTAAATATTCACTTCTCAACTAACAGCTTCATGTTGTTTGATTGAATGACCAAACTGATCAGCTCCTTTCAGCCTGAGTTAATTTGTTTCTTTATGTTGCTCCAGTGGATCCTGCAGCTCCGTCCTGCACAGAAGGTGAATATCTGCCCAGGTTTCTGCCTCCAACTCCACAACATGGAGCTCAGTTCTTCATAGACGTTGACCAGGCTGTGGAAATCAGTGTCAGAGCAGAAGCGACCCAGGCTGAGTGAGTGATGTCGAAAATTAACCCTTAAACTAACCTCATGTATCAAACAACTCAGTGTAACATTATTGATAAATGCAAAAGGAACTAGAGTCAAGAAAAGCTTTTTCTATTTTTTTTTTCTGACTGAAAAACAGTATCAACAGCAGATGTCTAAGCATGACAGTTATGATGTCAATAAAAAGCATTGCCAATGCCAACAACACTATAGGCGGCCATTTCTAAAGTTACACAGTCAAAAATAAACGGCAAAGATTCGGGTGATTTAGCCAATCACAGAAGAAGTCATTTGTGTATAAATGTCAGTTTCAAATTAAATATTTAATAAGCAAACTAATTTGTCAGTTATGTATTTTGCTCCAAATGACAGCTTTACTGCCAAGCTAAATATTTATTTTACCTGCTAATTATCCAGCACAAAACTGATTTGAAAGCAGGAGTTTACTTTGGTGGTCCACTAACGGTTACCTGAAAGTGAATTTACCTTATTTAATTACCTAAATATTTAGCTATGACCAAAATATTTAGCTTCAATATTTAGTTGGTTAATTAAAGATTTAATTTGAAACTATGATATTTAAATTTAAAAAGGGCTCCCCATAAAAACAGTGATGTCTTTGCAGGTTGGAAAAAATGGAAATATGATCGTAACAAAGTGTCTGTCCTGTTTATTAAAGGACCACTGAGCTGCTGTTCAGCGGGCCGTTCGGATTGAACAAGAGTTCATCAGGATCAGGAAACTTCACCCTGACATGGACGCCATCGGCCAGTGATGCAGGACAGCAACAAACTCTCTGCTTTGTGGTCCAAGCAAAGTTAGTGTCTTATGTTACTAATGTATGGAAAAAAGCTCAAAATGCTGCTTCATATTTTTTTACTTGTGGTTTTGTTATTTCTATTCAGATCTCCTAACACCAAAGGGATCTGCATGGTTAATTATTGAGAAAGCCCAAAATAAATTAGTGCTTTATAAACCAATATCAGAATTTTAAAATCTTTGACAAACGGAGAGAAGAAGGAGAGGAGTGAGGAAACTATAGGTTCATCAGAAATGAATAATAATAACATTTTGTAAACTAGCATCTCTGGGACAGATCTTTTTATTCTGTTTGTATAATCTACCTTTTTAATACGTTGTTGAACTGAATTGATGTGTGATAGTTTTGTATCTAAGCTGTTTCTCTGATTACCTCCCCAGTTCCTCCGGCTCTGTGTACCAGTCTGACCTTCGATGTGTCTTTGTGACGACTGGGAACAGTGAGTGGAAATCAATACTTTTCTTTTCGGTTTGAATTCAATCAACATTTTCCTGAAGCGCTAATGTTGCTGCTCATCTGCTGCCCAATGTCAGGTCCAGCAACTGCTTCCCCTCTGACCACGATGGCACCCCTACCAACTGCGTTTACGTTCATGACAATCCAACCTCTATTCACAACTCCACCTCCACCAACTACAGCTTTGACTCCACCTCCACCAACTACAGCTATGACTCCACCTCCAACAACTACAGCTATGACTCCACCTCCAACAACTACAGCTACACCAACTACAGGTACGACTGCACCTCCAACTACAGCTATGACTCCACCTCCACCAACTACAGCTATGACTCCACCTCCACCAACTACAGCTATGACTCCACCTCCACCAACTACAGCTATGACTGCACCTCCAACAACTACAGCTATGACTGCACCTCCAACCTACAGCTATGACTCCACCTCCACAACTACAGCTACACCAACTACAGGTACGACTGCACCTCCAACAACTACAGCTATGACTCCACCTCCACCAACTACAGCTATGACTCCACCTCCACCAACTACAGCTATGACTGCACCTCCAACAACTACAGCTATGACTGCACCTCCAACAACTACAGCTATGACTGCACCTCCAACAACTACAGCTATGACTCCACCTCCACCAACTACAGCTTTGACTCCACCTCCAACAACTACAGCTACACCAACTACAGGTACGACTGCACCTCCACCAACTACAGTTACACCAACTACAGGTACGACTGCACCTCCACCAACTACAGTTACACCAACTACAGCTACACCTCCACCAACTACGACTGCAACTCCACCAACTACAGTTACACCAATTACAACTGCACCTCCACCAAGTACAGCTACAACAACTACAGCTACACCAACAACAGCTACAGCAACTACACCTCCACCAAATACGTCTACACTTTCACCAACTACGACTGCACCTCCACCGATTATATCTCCACCAACTACGATTGTGTTCCCACCAACTACCAACCAACCCACCACAACATTTGCACCAGGGCCATGTAAGTCTGACTGAAGTTAGAGAGATTCACCAAACCTGGTAAATTTGTAGTTTCTCTGCGTTCCTTGGACGTACACAAATATATTTATAAATTGCCATAGAAATATTTTGTACCAACATGTATTTTCTTTAGGATTGCTATTTTCAGCAAGGACAGGAAACTAGGAGCCACATTTATAATTACATTTGTATTGATAAAGTCTCCATCGTTGCCCCTGGAACTAAAAAATGGTCTTTTGAAAGTTTCCATCCACATATTGTTTGACAGCACATGGTTCATCATCAACTGCTGTGCTGGATCCCAAGCAGCATCTTTACGTCATTACGCACCACTTTGAATTTCTGTATACTGAATACACAGGAGTACAGTTTACTTTACAAAACTCCACTTTCACTGAAACACAACACAAGAATGTTGGCTTGTGCATATGCAACTCTTCCATGTTCATCTCTGGTCCAATATGGCCAACTTCACAACAGAGGGCACCCTGAGATATTGTATTTATTCAACAGAGAAAATCAAGTTGGTATTTAACATCAGTGCGACGGATTCTGCCCCTTTACATAAAAAAAGGGGGAGGAGCTTCCAGTTACTGATTGCTATGGTAATGAGAGCACAATAACAATACTACTACTACAATAGTAGTAGTATTGTACTACTACTAATAACTACTACTACTACTACTAATAATAATAATAATAATAATAATACCCACACATTATTTGACAGTACACTAGTTTTTTTTTTACTTCTGTGAATGTAGTGAATAATAATAATAATAATAATAATAATAATAATAATAATAATAATAATAATAATAATAATAATAATAATAATAATAATAATAATAATAATAGTTTCTATCACTATTTAGGAAAATAATAATTAATCACATTTGCAAAACATACATTTAAATTCCAGGAAAACAGAAACTAAACTGCATTTCAACAAAATGGAGTTTGAATGGGAGATAATGGACAAAAACATTCCACAGGGAAACGTATTCATGCATTTGGTTCAAAAGGAATATCGAAGATTTAAATGTTGGAAAAGATAACTCATCACAGAATACAAGACCAATGATCCTTATTGATTAATGATCCTGTTCTAAGTATTGACTCTCTGCTTTTTCTAGATTTTGTTTTGGCTCTAAATATGAAGCTTTCCACTTCACTGTCCCTGGAGAATGACTCTGCAGTGATCATTAACCTGGTCAGTAGCCTTTGCTCAAAGACAATCCGTTTTATCCCAGTCTGATAGTTGTTTCTGCAGTAAATTACTTTTGTTTTGTGCATTATCATTCTTCCTTGACAAAATGTTATTTTAACTTAAGGAATTGTGTTTTCTTCTCCAGATCAAAGATGAGCTGAGAAGACAAGGGCTGCCAAGGGATATAATCGTAAAGCTTTTAAGTGGAGGTGTAGTGAAGGCAATAGCCTGAATCTGAGCCTCGATGGGACATGTGCTTAGAAATATCATGTTTTCTTCAGGTTTTTGTCAGATTCTGGGGGTTATACTTATTTTACTGAACCATAATCAAAAGTTATTATCCAGAATCCTCTAATGCATAATATTTTCAGTTGTTTACCAATTACATAATTACACAGTAACCCTGTTTTTTGGCCTGGTAATAGAATAAAGCCTTTGAAAAGGCAGCTTTTGGATGAAATTCAGTTTCCAGAAGACCTTGGTACCATAACCACAGATCCTTCATTTAGGATCCCAGACTCACTTCTAGATGTTAAAATCAAAGTTTTCTGTATTTCTTGCTTTTTACTCTGGGACAGTTCTTGATGATATTTTGCTGATGGCTTTAACTTTCTGTTTTTGTGCAGAATAAACATCTGTTTAAAGTATTTCATGCAGATGCAGTCTGTCATGGTTAAAAAAAGACACAAAAAATGTGCAAAGCTGGAGAATTGAACAGTGAAAATTTGTTTCTGAACAAAACTTGACATGAGAGCAACGCTGCAGATGAAAGTAAATGTTTTCTTGTTCTATTATGAAATGCTGATGAGTGCAGTTCAACATGACAGTAAAAGATTAGAAGCCTTGAACAATTATTTTATATATTCCCTCTTGCATTGCTGTGTTTTTGTGCAAGAGAATAACAGTGAAAATGGGAGTTTCTTTGGTCTGTTTGCTTTCTCTTTGTTTATACAATAAAGTTTGTGACCAAAACATGATGAGGTTCAGATTAATTCCTCAACATCAAACTATGACTTCTTCTGTGCAATTAAATGGATTTGCTGCTATTTATGAAAAGGAAAAAAGATGTAAAATCTGTCCTGGTCCAGATAAGGTTTTATCTTTTGAAGTAATTTTGACTAAATATAACAGGACTAGTAAACTATCCTGTTGAAGAAAAACAAAAATAAAAAGGAAATCTTTCCCACATGTGACGTGAATCTTCAGAAGTTTATGCAATAGGAGTCAAAAACTAAAGGCGGCGTGTGAAGTGGATCACGCTCTGCTGGTACCTTCATCCAGGTGTGAAAGGAGGTGAAGTGATGAATGTGACCCATTAAAAGGTCAGACTGTGTGACTCATGCCAACATATTCCTGTCAGAACAACAAGAGACACAAAGAGAAACCTGTTCTGAGAAATGCAGCAGTTAAAATCGATGGTGTAAAAATCGAGTTTTTTTTCTTCAAAAAGAAAAAAAACTCGAATAAATTCACCAAGAAATGCAAAATTGATCAAATTAATCAATTTTATTTGTGTAGCAAATTTTATAAACAAGGCAGTTCAAAGTCACACAAATGCAAAGTCATAAAAGACACAGTATACAAGTAAATTTTACATTTTAAGTGAACTGTGGCAAAACACCTGCAAAGTAAAAAAAGATAGAAATAAACAGAAATATTGTGCGTACAATTTCACAAATATCTGAGTTTAAAATGAGTCCCTTTGCTGAATTAAATTTCCCTTCAAATGAGCCGTGTAATCTGTTTGTGATGCATTTCAACACCTTCCACCCAAAGTCGCAGCAGACGGCGACGTTTCCTCATTCCAGGTAAAGTCGTTTCCTTCGTGTGACTTCATCCTGTCTCACCTTCAGTATCTGTGATGCTTAGCAGACAAAGAGGTAAGGAGTGGGCACCTCTTCAAGCATAAAGCCTTTTGTTTCTAACAACATCCAGTCTGTGCATAGAGGCATTGATTCACTCAACATGTTATCGTCTGTGCTGCTGCTGCTGCTGATGATGATCAGCGGCTCAAAAGCTGATTATTACGGCTTCGTCTTCAGCTCCTCCACTAAAGACCTGCAAGCAGATGGATTCCCGGTGAGTTCAAACATTTCATAGCTTTTCTTTTCCTCTGGATTTTATTAAACTCTCTTACTGTGAATCCGCAGACCGTGGCTCGCTACCTGTACAGCTTCAGCACCTGTGCAGAGGTTGATGCACAGGTTTGTGGAAACAACTGCAACTTTTCAGAGATAATCTTGAACAAAATCCAGGAAATCAGTGGCGAATGGTGTCAGAAGGAGAGACTGGTTACCAGTGTGACTAATGGGAGCCAGCTGAGTCAGTTTGGGTGAGTTCACACAGAAATAAACATTTATAAGTTTTCTCAAGATACCTGCTAGAATTGGGTAGCTTTTACTGTTACATTAACTTAAGTAACTTTTTTAAAAACTTGTTCTTTTAGGAGTATTTTTACTGCACTGTACTTTGTACTTTTACTTGAATGATTTTATTAAGAAGTATTTTTGCTCTTACTTGAGTAAAACTTCAGAATTTTCTACCAACTGAATGAAAAACAAACACGTTTTAACCAGAAATTCACCAGAAACAGAGACAAAAACCTGCAGTTTTTCTGAAGTTTTTCATTGAAGGAAACTGATTTGGAAAATGATGTAATTTTTAAATATTAAATTATTGATAAATATTAAATTATTGATAATTTGATCAGGTACTCAGTACTCAAATAGACTTTTTACAAAATACTTTTTTACTCTAACTAGAGTCATTTCTAGAATTGATACTTTATACCTTTAATTTTTGATGCTTCTGTTTCTTGAGTCAATTTTTTGGGTTCCCTGCCGCCCAGTTTCGTCTGAAATCTTTCTAATATGTCTCTAATTAGGTTTTCTGGTGGAAACTGGACAGACAACAGGAATGGGATTGTTTCGTTCAGAGTCCAAATGCAGGAGGAGAGAGGAATCCGCTCCGATACGGGCGAACCCAACACGTCTCCACTGACCGCAGTCCTTCCTGTTCTCAGGTGGTTTCTCTTTTTCTCTTCTTCACATCAAACATCATCATTAAAACTCAATCTGATGTTTGGTCTTAAACCCATCTTCAAATGGCATCTATATCAGTTTTATCTTAACAGTAATGTTGACATACAAAAACATTTAAAGTTAATAATTAGGCACTTTACTGCATACTTTGATAATTTAGCATTTCCTCTCACTTATTTCCTGAGGGACAAAACAACAATCACACTTTGCTGAAGTCTTTTTTAAAAAGTACAGACAAGAAAAAGTTTTATGTATAAAAGGAGAGAATGGTTTCTGTTAGGGCTGACTTTTTCCTTAAAGGCTTTTTAGGCAGCTGAACTAAAACAATGTGGAGAAAATTACTAATCAGTCAAGACACTTGAAGTAGAACAGTTTTTCTTTTAAACTGACTTTTCCTCTGATTGGCTCAAAATGTGAGAGTGAAACATTTCTTGGTTTTGTTGTTCCAGAGTTCCTTCTAACTGCCAGAGAAACTTCAGCTTGTTGGCATTCGACCCAGACGGAGATGAAATAAGATGCAGAAATGCACAAAATGCATCCGAGTGCGACGTCTGTACACCGGCGCCTATCATCAACCTCTCATCTGTAAGTAACACCTGGATCAGGCGTAAAATCATCTTTTACAGATGGTGAGTTATCTGTAGTAAAAGAACAGACAACTAATTATTCATTAATGACAATTATAAGAGTTGTGCAGCTACAGTAATATTTATGCAATTTTAAATAAATTAAACTTTGCTTTAGCCATTGAGCTAAACAAGTCTATATATATTTATTTCTATGGTGTAAAACGATCAGATTCTCTAATCTTGCTTTTTATATGTTTGAGTAAAATGAACTTTGTTTTGTTATTCTATAAACTACTGACAACACGTCTCTGAAAAGCAAAAAAATTGTTTTTATTAGCAGAGAATAAAAACTATTTTTTTATTCTCTGCTAATGAAAAAATAGTTTTTGAATCTTTTCAATATTAGAAAAAGATTCAGAGCTTTCAGAGCTCAAATAATGCAAAGAAAACAAGTTCACATTGTTTACTGATGTTTTAACTCAGGAAGACTTCAGGATTCAATATTTGATGGAATAATTGAGGTTTTCAATGGGGATCAGTGCAGTGAGCTCTTCATTTTTCCAGCTCATACATTCAGTACGCCTGGGTTTGTCGGGCCTTTAGGGCTTCAGCTTGTGTAAACATTTAGTTGTGATTTTAGTTTAGTTCTTCTCTTTCTGCTTCCTTGCAGTCGTGCGCTCTGACATTCAGCCCCACCGGCAGCAGTAATGAAGGTTCGTACGCCGTGCAGCTCATGATGGAGGACATTGCCGGACAGACGCTCGCCTTGACTCAAGCAAATGGTGGAACGTCACAGAGGAACACAGGAGACGTCCTCAGCAAGATACCTGTCCAGTTTGTGTTTAAAGGTGACAATGTTAGGCTTTTATTAAACTCCTTTACATGCACATAAAATTACTCAAGTCTCACTTGTTCATCCTAATGAGATGGGTGGGGCTGTTTGGTAAACCATGAATGAATAAACAATCATTTATGTCGATGACCACTAGGGGGCACCTGCGGACCAGCTGGGTTTTGGGGGCAGCAGTTTGATAAAGATTGATCTGTACTTACACAACAATACCTGCAGTGATTCTAATGATGCACTTTACAAATTTACTATTTCTGCTGCAGTTGATCCTGTTGCACCGTCCTGCACTGAAGGCGTCTATCTGCCCAGATTCCTGCCTCCGACTCCAGACAATGGGGCAAAAATCAGCACCACCGTCAATCAGACCCTGGAAATAACAGTCAAGGCCGAAGCAACGCAGTCTGAGTAAGAGAAAGGAAAACTTGTTTCCAAGAGGCTGAGCTAAACAACCTGGTTCCAGTTAGACGGGTTTGTTGAATATGGGACTGAGCTTGAAATACAAACAAAGGGCGGGGTTGAACTCGACTCTTTTCAGTATTAGTCATTCAGCAGGTTTAGTTTCACTGCAAAGAAGCAAAGTCCTGCATGGTGGGCTTTGCAGTGGGCAGCAAAATGATGCTTGCAGCAAGAATCTCCTGGGCTCAAATCCATTTCCACATTTCTAGAAGATTTCAGAGATTGATACCAAAATTAACCACAAAAGGTTTTGGCAGAAGTTTAATCCTTTTATTATATCTAAAATAAATAAACCACTGTAAAAATTCCTTTCAGGTTTTGGACAAACAATAAATAAACAATAAATATCAAGCTACTTTGTTTGCTTCATTTTAGGGGTGTTTGTTTTTTTGGCCCATGATTACGTTTGAAAATACAATTTTGTATATGTTTGCCAAAAAGCTTGGATTCCCCTGATTTAAGTTGTCCTTAGAGATGTGTGTGTCCTGTGTGTCTCTCTGACGTCCAAGGTGTGCAATGACCGCTGGAAAAAAATCAGTTTCCTGCTGTCTCCTTTCTGCAACACCTACAAGCAGAAGTGTGTAGAGGCGATGGATGGATGGACAAAGGAGCCCATTTAAAATGTGAAATATCACCCAAGACTTCTGATTCTTGTGTTCGAAGGATCACTGGCCTCCTGTTCAGCGGCCCGTACAATGTGATGAGGAGCGAATCAGGGTCAGGAACCTTCACCCTGAGATGGACGCCATCTGATGTTGAAGGAGGACTCAGCCATCCCATCTGTTTTGTTGTCCGGGCAAAGTTAGTATCCACTGTCCAATAATTTTTATTTCATGAAAGTCTGTAAAATTCATCCTCGATTCAATTCCAGGCCTTGAAACCTTTGCTGCATATCGTTCCTTCCTTTTTCTGCCCATTTCCTGTCTGATTTTTGTCACTAAAGGTCATTGTTTGGTAAATTAAATCAATTATTTTTATTTTTACATTAATTTATTTAACTTTTATTTAATTATTATTAGTGTCTCTAATTGTACATGTGGACAGGATGTGGAATTATTTTTATTCCTGGTTTTGCTCCAAAATCCAAACTCCAAATCAACTTTCCGTATCTTGACTAAAATGTTACCATGATCGAGTCATTTTTTGAGTCATTTATTATAGAATCTTGTTCAATAGTTTGAAAAATTAGTAATAGTAGAGAAACTACTTTCTATTGATCCATCAGTCTAATAAAATGCTCTGAAGTTTGAATGTAAAGCTACGAAACATAAAAAAATCAAAGGGTGTAAATATTTCTGAAACGTTTGCACTGTAGATATTAATGCACTGCTGGGACTGATTCTAAACTTTCCAGGGTTGCTAAAGTTTCTCTGACTTTCATCCACAGCTTCTCCAGCTCTGTGTTGACCTCTGACCTTCGGTGCGTCATCGTGACGGTGGCAAAAAGTGAGTGGAAACCTTCAGTCTTTCTCCTTTTTTAAATTGCTGCCATTTGTTCCTGAACTCCTCTGATTTTTCTTCGCTGGTCTTTTGATGTTTCGTCAGACTCGGCTGTAACTACAACCGGACCCACAACCAGCACACCAACACCCGCAGTGAGCAGAACAATGGCCCGATCGCTGACGACTGGCACTACATCCATCGCTACCTCTGCAAACCAAACACTTGATGCCGGACCATGTAAGTTTGAGAGCTTCACTTGATGAAGCTGAAACTGGGACCTTTAATCTGAAACAGGTTTTAATCTGAATTATTCTGAGCTGCATTTGTGTCCTGATGTTCTAGATTATGTTATCGCCCTGAAAGCAAAGATCTTGGCCACCATGTCGCTGATAAACGATGAGGAGACCCTCGCCCAGCTGGTGAGACAACAATCACAGCTGCAGCTGCTTTTTGTTGTTCAGCAGTTTCTTTTTTTGCCTTGTGTGATTTTATTTCTTTGCTGTTTGGACGGATTTAAAGAACAATAATTTGTCTTCAAGAAATTCCAAGGATTAACTTTGATTATTTTCTATTTCTTAGTATCTTTCTTTGATTATATCATTCCTGTTTCTGTTTTTCTTTAGCTCAGACCTTCTTAGTGTTTCTAGTTATTCATTGTCTCCAGTTATTCCTTGTTTCTCTGGTTTAATTGTTTCTTATGTCCAGGGATTTCTGTTGGTTTCATTTCTGATACCTGGGTGTCCCCAATGTGTCTCTTCCTCTTTCTCTCTCTCTCCTCATCTGCAACTCAGCAGCTCATCATCCTCGGTCTTTTGTTCGTAATTCAACCTCCCAGTAATTAAGCACTTCATTTTCAGTCGCTCCTTGCTGGTTTCTCGTGTTGAACCCTGTTACTGTCTGCATTGTTCCCTGGTTCCCTGCTGGCTTTTCTATTGGATTTATGGTTTTTATTCTGCTCTGACTTCCTGTCAGAAAACTGGAAAACATTTTTTTTTTTTACTTCACTTCTCTGCCATTCTGCCTCAAAGCCCATGACATTAACTGTGATCTATGAAGCTTTAAGCACATTTTAAATTTGTTCAATAATGTTTATGATAAATCAGTGATTCTGTCTCAGTTACAACTGTGTGTTTTCTTTTCCAGATTAAGGAAGAACTGATTAGCTATGGGCTGCCGCAAACCATCAGCATTAGGATCTTGAGCAGCGGCTCAATGGAAGTAACAAATGCCACATAGTGGCGACTTCCTGCAGGAAAATGGTTTTAGTAACTCATTGATTCAGGGTTTTATTTTTCACACACTTTGTAATCAACCATATTTATGAAGCTTTCTGCACATGATGATAAACATCAAAATATAAAATTTCATTTTCATTTTGATTTCACATGGCTTGGCTGGATATGAATGTTAACAGACTGAAGTAAGATTCGACCTACAATAAAATTATTTTGAATGCAAAAACAAATGCTTGTTGTGCAATAAAATAAGTTAAGTTTAAAAGTTAATGCCAACAGAGGTTTGGCATGAACTGGCACTGCTGCCCCCTAGTGGAATATTGTGAGAATGAAGCTTGAGTCCGGCAGGGGAAAGTTTGATTTTTCTCATATCTTTGCACATCTAAGTCATATATCCTAAAGTTAGATTTTACTTTCACATTTAGAGTGTTGTTAAGTTTTTATGGGGTGATAAAATGGAAATAGTTGAAATGACTGGAGCAAACACAAGATGTAATTTAAAACTGAGACCAGAAGATGGAGGAAAATTGTTTTGCATTTTGTTTCTCACTAAATGTCCAGACACAAAAATGAAGCACAGCTGAAAAATGAATACAAGCAGATTTTGTAATTTAGATATTGTAAAATCCACAAAATTAAAACAAAATAGTCTCTTTAATAAAGGATCAGAATATAAATAGTTGTAGACAGCACTAATTAAAACTGATAATAAAAGATTAAGAGCCACAATCTAAACAAATGTTGTCAAACATTGTCATGTTTTACTGGTAATAAGCTATTAGTCATCTTAAAATAATTACTTAATGGCTGATTACTTTATTGCTTATAAAGGCGATTCTACAACCCTGAAAATTTGCAGAAATCATTAGGTGAAAGGTGAAAGGTGAAAGGTGAAACTCACCCTAACAAAAACAAAATGCACAAAATTACTGGGGAATAAATTAAAACTCTGCTTTTTTCCCCACCATCTTTGCCCTCATTATGTTTCATAACTTTGATAATTAAACTTTTTAAACAAATGAAAATTAAAGCTGTTGGAGTTTAGTAAACACAATGATTAAACCATTATAACGTAATTGCATAATTTTACAAATCAATTCAAACGTAATGATGAAACTGTTACGCAACACTTGAATACTCCTTATCCCAAATACTTTATTTTTTTTTTTTTTACTATTACTCAGTATCAAAGATTTTGCTCAAGTAAAAGTAAAATGTAACCGACCAGGAAGTTGAAAAAGTATTTGGTAAAAAGTTTGCTGTACTGAGTAACTGATCAAATTATCAATCATTTAATATTTAAGAATTGAATGATCAGACGGAACAAAATATAAAGTTATTTGGAAATTTTGGTATTTTATTGGCAAACATGACAATAATTTCTTTAAGTAACAAAAAAATAACCAAATCAAGCAAAAAAAAAAAAAGTAATAATCCGTTTCTATCAATGAAAAATGTATGAAAGTTTAACAAAAACTGCAGGTGTTTGTGTGTCTGGTGGATTTTTGGTTGAAACATGTTTGTTTTCATTCAATGATTAGAAAATCCAGAAATTTTACTCAAGTAAGAACATAAATACTTCACAATAAAAATTCTCAAGTAAAAACAGAAAGTAAAAATACTCCTAATACTAAACCTTTTCAATAAAGTTACTCAATCAATTGTAATTAATTAAATGTAATGAGTTTCTACCACCTCTCCTATTATGCGTGTCATTGTTTAAATGATTAATTTATTATATTTTTTTAGGCCAATCTAATGATGATTTATCAGAGGAGGGAGGAGAAAACCGGAAAACTGATGACATAAGAATTTCTCTACTTCCTCATATTTTAAAAGTTTAAAAAGTGACACAGGATAAAAAAAAACTCTATGAGGCTTTTATAAATCATGCTCCTCCTTCATGATCAGACTTCACCTGGTTGAACTGGTCAGGACAGATTTTACTGACGTCATCGTTTTTTATTTCGTTTTCTTTTCCTTTGTATCTATTTAAATATTAATTTTGATAAACAGAAAGTAAAAGCATCCACCTTGAAAGCTTGGTATTGTTTATGTGACTAAAGTAAAATGTGTTGCGAGGCGACGATGTCAGATTTAACTGGCATTTGAAGGCAGGACTTCAAACATTTATATGTTTTGACGTCAAATATTCACAAAAGAAGAAAATTAGTGGAAGCAACTAATATAAAATCTAAAAATAATTCAGATCATTTCATCCATTCAGCCTTGATTTGGTGCTCAGGTGAAAAAATGTGTCCATGTTGGTAGATGAAGGGATGTAGTTGGTTTATTCAATTATGTTTATTTAGTAACTTTTTAAGGAGTATTTTTACTTCTTATTTTTACTTGTATTATGAAGTATTTTTACTCTTGAGTAAAGTACCATTGCAGCAGTAATTTATGTAAAAGGAGCCCGACAGTGCACTTAATTTTTATTTATTCATCCCTTTTTCAGTGGATCAAACTTTATTTGTTACCTGTACTGCATGACGATTTGTACGAAGTTATCAAGTTGCTGACAAAGAAACAGAAAACGCGAGCAATCAAAGAAAACTCTCTGCAGAAACTTTTCTAAATGCAGTGAATGACAATAAGAAATAAGAGCGAGAAATTAATCAATTCCTTCATCTTTGCACTGCAAAAACACAAAATCTTAAAAAGTATTTTTGTCTAGTTTCTAATACAAATAAATAAATAAGATACAACTAAATTAAAAGTAACTTTTCAATAAGAAATTGGTACTTGTTTTAAGTCAATAATTCCTTAATAATGTTGGAAAAGTTTTAGTTCCACCAGCAAATTAATTCACATTTTTCTCCATTTATAAGTGAAATAATCCGTCGGCCTTAGTAAATAATTGACTTAAAAGAAGCTCCTATGTCTTGCTGAAGTTAGTTTCATATTATTTCAAGTTTCCCGAGATATTTTCCCAATAGACTAGATCAAAAAATACTTGGAAAGATTTTATATTTTTGCAGTTTAGTTTAATTAGACCCATTGGGTTCTGTACGTCCTGTTCTGCTGCATAGTTAATCCCACGTTCTTTGAATAGAAACCACACCTTTACTTATTTTAACGAGAATGAACAGAAGAAAGGAGAGGCTGACTCTGAAAGTGTGGATCTCATTGTCAACATGTTGCTCTCCGTGTTGCTGCTGCTTCTGGTCTGCGGATCACGAGCCGTCCATTATTACGGCACCGTGACGACCTACTACCCAAAGGAAATGACAACCGATGGATCTCTCTTGGTAAGACGAGATTCCCCAAAAGTAACCTTCAAACTTTAACTTCCCTTCACACCTTTTGTCCTCAACCTGCAGGTGAACGTTCGCTACAAGCTGAGCTTCGTTGCTTGTACGGCCAACGACACGTGGAGTTGCACCGGCAACTGCGGCAGCGAGACGGCGGATGTTGAGCTGAACGTTGTTGATGAAAGCCCAGGGGAATGGTGTCAGAGAGAAGGGGTCATGACCCGCCTGGTGGCCGGCACCGCTCCGTTTCAGCTGTTGTGAGTCACGTTTTGGTTCTGATGTCACTTCAACGTTTATTTACTATCAATTGATGTAGACAAAGAATGTAAAGTTTGAACAAATTGTGACATTTTAAAAACTAAGATGAAAAGAAAAAAGTAAAGTTACACTGCAAAAATACAAAATCTTATCAAGTATTTTTGATCTATATTTTCTCACTCAAAATGAGACAAAACTGACTTTCAATAACATTTCAGCAAGAAAAATGAACTTAAATCCTCAATGTTGATGATAACATTCTAGAACTTGTTCTGATCTGTACATTATTTAATTTATAACATAAAATGTCTTGTTATAAGAGAAATAATCTGCCAGTGGAACTAAAACTTCTTCATCAAATTTGAGGAATTACTTACATAAAACAATCCTTTATATTTTGCTGAAAAGATATTTATAAGTTAGTTTTGTCTTATTTTAAGTGAAATTTGCACAAAAAAGGATGTATCGAATTGACTTGGTAAGATTTTGTGTTTTTTCAGTGTACCGAACCTGAAACACTTTGCAAATATTTATTTTTCAATATTAAACTTAGAAAACTGAAACATAAAATACATAATAAATATATAAAGTGAAAACCAAATGTTTACATACGCCAAATAAACACAGAAACCTTGGTGAGTAGATCTTTTGGTGAAAATCAGGACTAGTTGTCTGTGACGTTCTCCAACGTTTAGGTCAAAGGTTAAATTTCCAGAAGTTCTTAGAGTTGCTTCAACCCACAACGTCTCCATAGGACTGAGATCAGAGCTTTGTGTCGGCCACATCAAGCTACGTTGTCCTGAAGCCACTTTGTAACCGCTCTGGCTGCATGCTGAAGGTTATTATTGTCCCACAGCATGACGCTGCCTCCCCTTCACTTCACTGTTAAGACTGTACAAGGATCCCCATTTTTCCTCCAAACATAATGATGGTGTTTATAATCAAACTGTTCCACCTTAGAGCCATCAGACCACAGCAGATGTTGGAAAAAATGAATTTATTTGTCCGTCTGTGTATTTGCAAACTACATTCTGACTTTTGATGTTTCTTTTGGAGCAATGGCTTCCTCCTCGCTGAGGTACAGGACAGCTGATGGTCGGACATTCCCATCATGTCAACACTTCATATAATTGTTTGGCACCTTCAGTAATTTGCACAATTATCTTGGCTGATTTCTTTTTACTCTCACATCGTGTGAAACGTGAGAGCAGAGTTCCAGGTGTAGCCTCAACGAACATCCACAGGTGTGACTCTAATTAACTTAAACGTCTCATTCGGCCTACCAAAAGTTTCTGGAGCCTCATTATCCTCATTGTTGAAAGAGACAGTAATTGTTCTGCATATAAACTCCTTCTTTCTCTTATTGTTGTGGCACTTTGCAAGTTGAAGTGATTTAGGTCATTTTGATTTATTTAAAAGAAGAAAAGTTTGGTCTGGTTTTGTATTTGTGTTTTTATTCAAAGCTGGTTTCATCTGCATGCTGAAACAGGGTAAAGTCAGGATAGGAGCGAGATATTATATTTACAGAATATTTACTTGATCTCTAAACAACACAAAAGTCTCAGCAGATAGAAAATAGCATGAACAACAAAGCTTGTCTACAAACAAGAGGTGTCACTTTAACATTAATTGTAGATCTCTCTCATTTTTGTCCAAAAGACGTTTGATCTTTAAGTAAAATAACTTGCATTGGGTGAAATATCAAGAAATTTTACTCAAGTAAGAGTTTCGATACTTCAAAATAATATTTCTTAATTAAAAGTAAAAGTATGCTGTAATAATTAACTAAAATTAACTAATCATCAGGTCAGCGCTCTCATGTTCAGCTTCTCGATGGCTCCCCCTGCAGGTTGGAGGGTGAAAACTGGATAACTGGAATCATAAACAGCATCGTGTCCTGGAGAGCCGTGACTGACGCAGAGCTGAGTTTCCGGTCTGATAGTAACCAAATCAACACCTCACCAGTCACCACCATCCTCCCCGCTCTGAGGTGAAGCTGCAGGATTCACTTTTTCAGATTAATTGCACTTTAAATGTACCTTCTACGTTGCAATGTTTGCATTTAAATCTGCGTGAATCTTCGTTTTTGCACGAGAGTGGCGCAAAGAGGAGGTCCATGAACCTTAAACTGGTTCAAAAATGGAGCAAAAGTTTCATACATGTGGACATTACACTTCAAAAACACAAAACCGTGCCAAATGTTTACATACGTTTACATAGCTTCAGTCCAGTTTCTGGTGCAAATATCTTAAAACACTTAAGAAAAAACTAACTTAGAAGTGACTTGTCATTAAGATATAGACAGTTGTTTTAAGTCAATTAGTTCCATAATATTGATGAAAACCTTTTTGCTTCATTAGCAGTTTATAGAATAGAAACAGGAAAATATCCAGAAATAATTTCAGTCTTTCATCAATATTGGGGTATTATCGACTTTAAACAAGCTCATTTATTTTTGTTTTAATGTTATTTGTTTGCTACTTTTATTTCAAGTGTACTCAGATATCTGCAGTAGAAACTAGACTTGGTAGGATTTTGAGTTTTTGCAGTGTGTTAAGTCTGCACAATTTGTAGCAAGAAAGGACTTGCTACAGGTATTTCATTGTGAGTCATGTGTTTTCGTTGAGAGGGTGGTTTCCAAAAAAAGATTTAACAATGGCAGGAAAGTTCATGATAGTGTCCGAACCACATTGTTTCCTAAAGAGAAGATTAACACATGAATCACATTAATGTCCTGACGAAAATAAAAGCTCTAAAGAACAAGTTAGGCCACGTTTAATAAGCACTTTAAGGAGGAGTCTGGGTGTGGCTTTTTATTTCTGCACTTTCAGGATTCCTTCAAACTGTCCGAGGAACATCAGCTTGTTGGCGTTTGACCCTGATGGAGACGAGGTCAAATGCAGAAACGGGATTACGGCAGCTGCAGAGTGCAACCCGTGCACGCCTCCGTCCGTCCTCAACCTCTCGTCTGTAAGTACGGCTCCTAAATTCACAAAACACTCTGCGTTGTTTTCTTTTTATAGGCACTTTCAAAATACCTGGCAAATATATGTAGGAAGAGACGCAAACTTTTACATTTACTAAAAAAATGTAAATGCATAAATTAAAAGGAAATTGTGGAAAAATTCTGATATTAATCTAAAAACTTTTATTTATATTTTTTTTTCAGTCAAATTTCCTTGTTTGTTTTAGAAATTTCTAAAAGATCTCTGAAAATTGTCATAAATTTACTACTTTAATTTAGCATGTTTGCTATAGTAAAATGAAAGACATCTAATTTTCAGTTCCATTTGGGCTGAAGTGAATAAATTAATTTTCATTAATAAGAACAAGATTTGGTCGCTTTCTTCCAAATCATTTGCAATATTGAGCCAAGTTCAAGAAAGAATAAAAGCTGATTTGGGTGCAGCAAAGTTGGCTTTTCATTAAAAGTCTCTGATGAAATTTGGTTTTAGCTTTTGTTAAAATTTGTTTATAATGAGACAAATACTGGTTACCAACAAGAAAGTAACAATTTTCACCCTGATTACAAATTAAAAGCCTCCATCAAATTTGTATCATTTTTGAAAAGCAGTTGGGGGCCACAAAAAAATCAGTCCAAGTTTACTGATTTTGACACCAGATCGCTTCACGTTGGTCTTTTCTGTCTCTTGCAGTCCTGCACTCTGTCATTCAGTCCAACGAACAGCAGCAACGAAGGGCCGTACGCAGTGCAGCTGGTCATGGAGGACTTCCCCAGGCAGAACATAAATCTGCTTCAACCCGACGGCTCCTTGGTGCAGAAGACGACCAACGAAGCCATCAGCAAAATCCCAGTCCAGTTTGTTTTGAAAGGTCCAACACTATTTTCAGATTTCAGGGTTTTACAGTCATTAGGAGTCGTTTAAAAGTCAAATGTAGCATTGAGAAGTTGGTTGAGTTTGCAGGTAGTTACATTGTTATGTATAAATATCAGGCTTTTCATCCTAAATTATATCAGCAGGGTTAAATTTCTTGCTTTCCTTTGCTGTTCTAGTGGATCCTGCTGTGCCGTCCTGCTCTGAAGGAGTCTATCTGCCCAGATTTCTTTCTCCGACTCCGGCCCATGGAGCCCAGATCCTCACCTCCGTCAATCAAACACTAGAAATCAGCATTAGAGCAGAGGCCGCTCAATCCACGTAGGCAGCAGCAAAACAATAGAGTTTAGATTGGAAAGCACTGGGTTTATCACCTGAAAACATCTTAATGTTTTGTTTCCCAAAGGATCTCTGGTCTCCTGTTCAGCGGTCCCCATAATGTGATGAAAAACTCACAGGCGCTGGGAAACTTCACCTTGACATGGACGCCATCTAATGTTGAGAGCGGAGAAAGCCATCCCATCTGCTTTGTTGTCCAGTCGAGGTAAGTTTGTTCTCTTCAAACAGATGCAGGATGTGGTTTCAGGTGGGTTTGTTTCCTGCTTGGGACTCCAGTTCATCACAGGGCAAAGCAGAATAAACAACCATAGACACAATCAGCTCATTGTAGAGAAAACATTTAACCAAATCTCAGAAGCTAAAACCTGGCTAAGAGTGAATGAAGGCCAAGTAGTCATTTAAATTCATGCAAATTAATCTTTTTGGGTATGACAAATATATAGCTTTCAAATGTGTATATAAAAATGTTTGGTTTTAGACTTAACTAAGTTAAAATAAAGGCTCTAATTTCATAACAATGAAGCTACCAAACTAAATTATTTCCACAGCTTCGCTTCATCCGTGTATCAGTCTGACCTCAGATGCGTCACTGTAAAAGTTGGAACCCGTGAGTACAATTTTTTATCATTTCCTATTATTCATAAATCAATCCTTTTTTTGCACTGCTAATGACATTGATGCTAACATCTTGCTCCAACTACAACTACAACCACACCAACATCGACTGTATCCCCAACTACAACTACAGCCATCTTAACATCAACCGTATCCCCAACTACAACTACAGCCGTCCTAACATCAACCGTATTCCCAACTACAACTACAGCCACACCAACAACAACCGTATTCTACAACTACAGCCGCACCAACATCGACTGTATCCCCAACTACAACTACAGCCATCTTAACATCAACCGTATCCCCAACTACAACTACAGCCGTCCTAACATCAACCGTATCCCCAACTACAACTACAGCCACACCAACAACAACCGTATTCCCAACTACAACTACAGCCGCACCAACATCGACTGTATCCCCAACTACAACTACAGCCATCTTAACATCAACCGTATCCCCAACTACAACTACAGCCACACCAACAACAACCGTATCCCCAACTACAACTACAGCCACACCAACAACAACCGTATCCCCAACTACAACTACAGCTACACCAACAACAACCGTATCCCCAACTACAACTACAACCACACCAACAACAACCGTATCCCCAACTACAACTACAGCCGTCTTAACATCAACCGTATTCCCAACTACAACTACAGCCACACCAACATCGACTGTATCCACAACTACAACTACAACCACACCAACATCGACTGTATCCACAACTACAGTTGTTTTTCCAGTAGTCCCACCAATCGTGCCGCCATCACCTCAGACCAATGCAACAACAACTCCGCCGCCTACAAGCACGTCGGATCCAGGACCATGTAAGTAGGACCAACGTTTGTCATGCAGTTTTACAATCATAATGTGTTTATAGGTACAACTAAAAGAATCTGACAATCAGAAAAAGTTAATAGATTTTAAAGATTCATGATATGCAAACTAAAATATTTTAACGCTTTACTGTCATTTTGATGATCATGGCCTACAGATGATGAAAACCCAAAATTAAGTATTTTAGACAATAAATGAAATAAAAAATTTGGAATAAAAAGGTTCTCCTGTAATAACGAAGACAGCTATAAAAAAACAACTAATTATTGCGTTATAGAAATGAACATTATTATTTATAATCCAGATCATGATAATTAGAAAAACCCTTATTTTGATGATGAAATTAGATCACTCTATTTGCAATAAATCTGTATAAATTAATTCCATTTTTAAAAATGTGTCAGATGTTGAAGTTGAATAATTGACATAAATTAAGCTATTTTTTGATCGATCATTGTATTGATTCCATGTTTTTTTTTCTAGATTATGTTATTGCTTTGAATGCAAAGATCTCAACGACACTTTCACTGGAGAACGACTACAACACAATCCTGCAAATGGTGCGTAAATTATTGGACTTTCACTCGAGCAACAACAACCGTCTGCAAGTTTTACATGGTTTTAGTTAATAGTGCAGGTTGAACATGATCTGAATGTAAAATAGTAAAAGAATGTAGATTTCACATAATGTTCAGAGAAATAGCTCTTACATCAAAAACTATTCTTTTTATTATTATTATTATTATTATTATTATTATTATTATTATTATTATTATTATTATTATTATTAATATTATTATGTTGTTGTTGTTGTTGTTTAATTGTACAGTGGAAAAAAAAAAACACAAAAACAAGTAAACTTATGGTCAAAGCAGCTGTAGTTGCCAAAAGTTTGATGGCATTGATAATATTATGGTTAAAAATTATGGTTGGAATAAGTGTTTTACTGTGAAACAAAAATGTTTAAGCTTAAGGAAAACAATGTTTTTTCCTAAACTGAACATAAAAACAACACATAAAATGAATGTACAAATGCAAAATGTGCAAAAATATGTTTAATTATTATTAATTCAGCAACTCAGGTCTATTTGTAAAAATGAACAAAACATACTGCATGGTTGTGCAGCATTCAGAAGATACTTAAAGTTACTTTATGCTGAAACTCTGTGACAAAAACTGATGAGATAATTTCTGAGTTTCAGTTTGATGAAAAAAAAGAGAATAATCTGCATAATCCAAACTTATCTGAATTATAAGTAAACTTTTGTTTCTTTAACAGATTAAGAATGAACTGACTGATAAAGGATTACCACAAAACATAATCCTAACCATCCGGAGAAACGGTGCGCTGGAAATGACAACTGCTGCCCCCTAGCGGCCAAAAGTCAGAATGTTGCTGAACTCTGGAAAAATTAAATGGGTTTAATGCAGCTTCGCTGTTTCATCTCCTGTCTCTATATGGTTCACTATATTTTATTTGATTTCTACACATGCATTTAACTTGTTTATTTATAAACCTCACGTGGATATAATGTGGATGATTACATTTTATTTCTGGTTGTCTAATCAATTTTTCTGTGGATTCCTTAAAGTTGCCTAGTAAAGGTTTTTACTGAATGTTAGAAAGTTGGTGGATTAAATGGTTTTTGTCATCTGTTTTTTTTCTCTGTTTCTCAACCTGGAACAATTTTTAATATTTCTAAAGAATGCATGTAAACGCCTCTCATGATGTAAATAAATTAAAGACATGATAGGCTAAATACCCAACATTTTCATGTCTTTATATTGATTTTGTTTCTTATGTGAAATTTTAATGCATAATTCAGCCTTGGTAGTAGCAGCCATTTAGCGCAATTAGATGATAACAAAATGTGCTGGTTTGCACAGATTTATGTTCTTCTGTGTGTATTGTACATGAACAAACTGGAAATCAATATTTTACTGATGCTCAAATAGTTTTTCACCTCAATGTATTTCTTTGTAAATGGAAAATATATTTTTCTTCTATAACCTAATTGTTTCCTATCCCTGACATCTAAATTTAGCCTTTCACTAAAACACCAGAGTGAAAATATATTTTAGTGGTGCATGAGAAGCTTTGGAAAGAGGTTTTTATTTTTGCAAGGGAAGATTTTTCTGAGCCATGTTCTAAACGTACATTGAATCATTCATGCAGAAAGACATGCATCTCAGAGATTTACATAAAAACTCAAAAGGATTTTATCTTTAAGTGCGATAGAACCTGCACTCTCTTTCACTAGATCTAAATGAAATTAAAATAATTTAACCTATGAATCGAAAAAAGAAGACAAAAACAGCTTTATTTTAATTATGAATGATAGTTTTGTTTTTTTTTAACATTAAATGCAGAATGAAAGATGACCTTCATGTGTATCTGATAAGATTCATGGGGAGTTCCAACAAATGTTCACATACCAGGTGATTTCCTGCTTTTACTGACTTTACCCACATGTTCAACAACATTCCACCGTTTTTGGGTCGAGTCCCAAAGGAAACAGAGGCGGGTATAAATGTCCTTTGTCTCCGTTGTCTCTGTTGTCTCCCAGCATTTGTGAAGAGACGTCGACTCCTTCACCATGTTGCTCTCCTCGTTGCTGCTGCTGCTGCTGCTGGTCAGCGCTTCACAAGCCACTCATTTCCTGGGCACCATGATGACCTACTACCCACAAGAAACTTTTGCAGACGGTTCAGTCTCTGTAAGACAAATTACTTTGGCAAATTTTTTAATAAGCTTTTAGTATTTATTATTGTACTTAAAATGTGTTTTCTTTAAATCCACAGGTGATCCTTCGCTATAAGTTGAATTTTGCTACATGCTCATATTTGGATACGTGGCAATGTAGTGGCAACTGTGGAGCACAAACCCAAACACTCAATTTGTCTGTGGTTGAGGAAGTAAGCGGTGAATGGTGTCAGAGAGAAGGAGCGATAACTCATCTGCTCCACAACAACACTGGATTTCAGACTGTGTGAGTCCTCCACTTTAAAAATATCACTGAGAATCAATCAAATCTAAAAACCTATTTTCACAGCTTTTTCCCAGGTTTTGTGGATCTGAATTAGCTCTTGCTATGTATGAAACTTGTTCAATAATCTCCACTGCAGGTTTGCTGGAGGAAACTGGATCGATAGTATACAAAATCGTATTGTATCCTGGAGAGCTGTGACTGCCGTTGAAATGAGGAACCGATCGGACCTCGGAAAACCCAACACATCCCCACAGACCACCATCCTCCCTGCTTTGAGGTACAAAGGACAAGAAATGGATGCTTCATTAAACCCATGAAAAATTGATGTTTAAGTCATATTCAATAGATCACATGCAGATCAGTCGCCAACTTGGTGCTACGAGTCTGGAGGCAAACTTTCCGACTGCATGACAAAAACTGAGCCACAAATTAAGGTTTGTGATATTAATATGGATGTTTTTCTCTCCCAGAATCCCTTCAAACTGTGCCAAAAACATAGATTTATTGGCCTTTGACCCTGATGGAGACGAAGTGAGATGCAGATATGGGAACACATTGGCTTCAGAGTGCAACCCGTGTACACCGCCGTCTGTCCTCAGCGTCTCATCCGTAAGTAACAAGGTCACATTTACTGGAGATCCAAACAGTTGGAGAAGATTTTAATAATCTTATAATAATTTTACACATTTATGATTAAAGGTCTTTGCATTTTAAAATGAAACTTTTCTCAGAGTAATGATATTATATTCCATCTGGGAAACATTATCTAACAAATTTTTCACTTGTTGATAAACTTTTACAAACCTTTAATGGAGATTCTTTGGTCTTAAACCAAAAATAAATATATGTGTTCAATCAAATTTAGGTTTGCATTGGGCAAACAATTCCTACATAATCTAAAAGTATAATTAGGTTTTCCTGCAAAATATTATTGTTCACTGGAATTCATTTTTTGCAGAGTGAGACATCCTGTCTCAAAGACAGTTTTTTAAGTTACAAAATTAAATTATTATTTCATTTATGGACATTTTAGTTTCAAACATTGGTGTTTATTTGGTTTGTTACAGTCATTTGTTAAGTTTCCTTGTTTACTTTTGGAAAAACATTTTCCTTCACAGTGAAACACTGAATCGTTTTTAACCATGAAAGCTCCAGTGACTTTATGGCGACTTTTTCTTCCTAACCATAAAAGTAAAAATATTTTACCTGTAATTTTACAATGAAATTCCTGTAATTATGGCATTTGACCAGAATAGTTGTATATAAAAAATAAATACACAAACAACTTAAACTCCTGCTTTATAATCAATAATTAATATGAGTTCAAGAGTTTTCAGTTCACTGCTTCCATTTGATAAATAAATGAAAATGTGATTATTATGTTTGTATATAAGGTCTATCTATGTGATTATAGTTTTAGAAATGTACAAAATCATTGGAATAAGTGCACAGCTAATTATTGAACGTATTTAAACTTGATGTGATGAACCAATAGAGCTAACAATTATAAAATATAAAGTATTTCCTCATGTTTTTGTCTCTTTTCTGTCGTTATAGACCTGTTCTCTGTCATTCAGCCCAACCAACAGCAGTACTGAGCTTCCATACGCCGTCCAGTTGGTGATCGAGGATTTTCCCAAACAGAGCATAATTCTGACTCAAACTAACGGCTCACAGGAGGTGAAAACCACCAATGATGCCATCAGCAAGATTCCTCTGCAGTTTGTTTTGAAAGGTACAAGACCACACTGACGCCATCTTGTTTTATAGCGATGAACAGATGCTCTGGGGTTTAAAGGTCAACTTACAGATCCTCACTCATGTAAAGTTTGGATACAATATCTTTAAGATAGACATTTAGTGCAGGGAATTTAATATTCATACACTGAATAATGCAGGAAATAAAGTTGAGCTGCAAAGAGTTGAACATAAAAGTTGCAGATTGATTTTCTGAAGTGACATTTTAATTCCCTGATAGTGAAAAAAATGTAATTGTTTGCAAGGTGCTGTGACATCTCGGTTCACTTTCTCTTTCTGTTGTGTCTTCAGTGGGTCCACCAGTACCGTCCTGTGCAGAAGGCGCCTATCTGCCCAGGTTTCTGCCTCCAACTCCAGAGAACCGAGCTCAGCTCTACAGCCCCGCTGGTCAAGCTGTGGTAATCAACATCAGCGCTGAGGCGACTCAGTCTAAGTAAGTGAAATCAAGACACATTTCAAGTTTAGATCCTGGATCATTGGAGTGCATTTCAAGAGAATAAATCTGGTTCAAAGAGTCACTTTACGTAAATTTAGACAGTTTGCTGCTTAGGATTTGCTTTCTTCAAAGTAACATTGTCCTCTTTAACGGCTGCAGGTCACTGACAAGATATGCAAACGACTCGACCCAAAAACGAAGCCCTTCTTTTGTTTTTCCAAGTTTTATTCTGGGGAAACTTAATAAAAACAGCAAAGTCTAATTATGAACTAAATACATGCTAGTAACCCTAACCCTAACCCAACCTGAAGTTGCTGTAAAATACTTGACCTGAGTTGGTTTTTCCTCCAAACCTTCAGTCTGAAGTTTATGAATGTTACAAAACTTGACAAACTGGATTCCAGCTTGACAGAGTCAGGAATTTGGTTTTATCTGTTGGATCACAGACGCATGAATGTTTACAAAAACACAAGAAAAACATGCGATAGTTCCTCCTGGATACAGTATGAGAAAACCACCTGACTCTCCAGATCGTTTAGATAATAATCTGATAAAAACTTATCCAAACCAATCTGTTTGTGTCTGTTTGGTGAAAGCATCACCGGCCTCCTGTTCAGCGGACCGAACAACGCGGTGAAGACTTCTTTAGGATCGGGAAGCTTCTCTCTGACCTGGACGCCATCTGCCAGTGAAGATGGACAGAGCCACCCCATCTGTTTCGTTGTCCAGGCAAAGTCAGTGTCTCTTTAGATGAATCTTCAATTACTTTTACCTTATGACTGTGATATGTTTCCCTTTTCATACTAACCAGTGCTGTAAATGTGTCCAGTGCTGCTGGATCATGATCAGTTGATCATGTTGAAAATCAGCTAATTAATCAATGCCTTTTCACAATTACCAGAGCAAACATCTTAAATCGAAAGCTCTTCCACTTCTTCTCCAAAAACACAAAATTCTACTAAGTATTTTTGATCCGCTTTCTAGTTCAAATATCTTGGTATGTTTGAAATAAGTCTAAACTAATTTACAAGTAACTTTTCAGCAAGAAATAGGAGCTTTATTTAAGTCGGTAATTTCTTGGTCCGTATTGATGAAAAAGATCTAGTTGCACTGGCAGATTATTTCCCGGGGTTTTTGTGAATGGAGTTTGAATGTTCTCCCTGTGCATGACGGATTCTTTCTGGGTACTCCGGCTTCCTCCCACAGTCCAAAAACAGGACTGTCAGGTTAACTGGTCTCTCTAAATTCTCCTTAGGTATGAATGTGGTTGTTTACTATGTCCCCATGGTGACATCGCCTCTTGTCCAAAATGTCTTGCTGGAGATGGGCACTGACACCTACCCTAACCCTACCCTGACCCCAACCCTAACCCTACCCTGACCCTAACCCTAACCCGTAACCCTAACCCCCACACCCTATAATACATTAACTTACTTTGTTTCCTTAATAATCCTTACAATGGTAATTCTTACAAGCCTTACACATTTTTATGAAAATATAATAATAAAGCTTTTGTTTTAAATTACTTCCACAGTTACTTGAACACCTTGTTATACTCTGACCTTCGGTGCGTCATTGTGACAGCTGGAAACAGTGAGTAGATTTCTCCGTTGTCGTTCATGTTTTAAAGTGAAGTGGTGGTTTTCTTCTTTCCCAAGTTAAAACAAAACTGGTTTTCTATTTGCAGGCCCAACGACTCCAACTACACCAAATGTCATCGTATCAAACCAAACCATCCTCCAAAATACTGCATTTACAGCTCCAACTACAACTACAACCACACCAATCCTCACAAACCAAACAACTATGCAACCCTCTGTAGCTCCAACTACAACTACACCAAACATCATTGTATCAAACCAAACCATTCCCCAAAGTGTAGCAGTTACAGCTCCAACTACAACTACAACTACTACACCATCCCCCACCACCCTGGCTTCAACCAAAGCAAACGTAACAACCTCTGCTCCAGGACCTCGTAAGTCAGGCGTTTTGCAGTTTCTGTCACAAAGTTAATTATATTTTACTATCCCTGATAATAAAGTTAATTCTTTCTGTTTCTAGAATATATTATCGCTCTGAACATGATGATCTCCACAACGCTGTCGATGGAGGATAATTCTGATTACATCTTAGCTCTGGTTAGTAACCCTGTTGAGTACAAATGATAAGGAAGCAGTTTCAGCCAAACAGGTTGGGCTGATTTTCCCGTAACGTCTTAACCGTCTTCCTCCTCTGAACCTGTGTGGTATTTTTGCTTCTTGACGTGAACAGCTCAACTGGGAAATAACTGGGATTTTTCAGAAGCAGTTTCGATTGAGCTCATTGAGTCTTGGTGGCAACCTGTCTTTTCTTCTGCAGATTAAAACCAAACTGATTGAGAAAGGGCTGCCTTCAACCATAAGTCTTCGCCTCCTGAGCAGCGGTCAAGTGGTCGTCACAACAGCGAGTCCCTAGAGAAACATCACCAAGAACCAACTGATCTCTAAAGGGAAATATGTTCAGAAGACATGAATATATTTTTAGGGGTGATTAATTTTTAAATCTTTTTGCTTTTTGTGTTTGTAAAACCATCAATAAACCTGTATAATTTCTGGGTACAAGAAAATATAATGATATGATTCAGCATATAGACATGAATTATTTTTAATTTCTTGATGAATTGTGGATTTTATGTTAAAAAATATGTATTTGTATGGCATAGAATGATAGTTAACATTTGTTTCTGAAACACCATTGAAATACAGCAGGTAAATATATCAGTTGTTTCCACATGTACATGAATATCTGAGAGTACTTTGATAATTTTGGGGGTAAAAAAGGATTTAATCAATGGACATGAGAAAAGCTTGATCTTATTCTGCATCCAAACATTACCCTCTGAACTAGAAAATTCCTGAAGAAATTTAACCGGGGCCTGCCAAAGTGTGCCCGTCGATTTGGATCCAGCGTTCTGATGCTAAACATTAGCATCCATGCTAAAGAAAGCTGCAATGTCATCAATACAATGTGGAGAGTCACAAGCATGACTTACTGCATTCAGTATACTAAATATGGGTAATAAGAAAGGGAAATAGGTAATATCTCATGCAAGGTAAAAGGCTAATGCTAATGCTCTGCCTTGCTGCGCAAGGCAGAGCCCTAACCTGAGTGGAAAAGATTATGCAGGATAATCTTATTGCACTGCCTGCGGCAGTGCACTGGTGGGAACAGAGAAATGCTAATGTTTGTGCTAATGCTAATGCACTGCCTTGCTGTGCAAGACAGTGCCCTAACTTGAGAGGAAAAGATAATGCAAGCTAATATCATTGCAGCGCCCGCGGCGCTGCATTAGCCACGGCCGAATCTTAAGGCTTTTATTTTAAAATGTTCAGAATGTTTAATTTTAAATGGTCAATGTAATCCCATGTATAACAGTGATTTGGTTAAATCAGACATATAATGGTCAAAAGAGCACTTATTTAATGTAAAAATTGTCAAGGCTTTTATTTTGAAATTTTTTTAAAGTTAATTTAAAATTTCCACACTAATTCCATGTGTAACAATGGTTGATTAAAAATAGTTATAAAAGGCCCAAAACACAAGCAGTTCTAAACTCCAGCTTTTTTCTCTGAGTTCTGCCATAGTTAGAACTACAGTGATGCGTTTTTGTAGTCCTAATCAGCTGGCCCCTTTGTGTTCCGTTGCCATGGTAATGGATCCTCTGCCAGCTGTGAGTCAGACAGGGGGAGACTTAATTCTATCAGTTTGAGGCAGCCATTTGCCTAAAATATGCATGAGCCAGAAAGGAATCTTAAGGCTTTTATTTTGAAATTTTCAGTAAGCTTCATTTTAACTGTCCAAAATAATCCGAAGAGTAACAGTGGTTTTGTTTTTAAAAAAGTCACATAATCCCCAAGAGAGCAATTCCATAATATAAAAGTATGTCAGGGCTTTTATTTTGAAATTTTAATTCAACTTAATTTAAAATTACCACGCTAATCCTGTGTGTAACAAATGATTGTTACACAACCATTTGAAATCAGTTATAAAAAGTCCAAACACAATATAATTCTAAAGGCCAGCTCATTCCTCCTCAGTAGTAACTGACAGTTCCGCCATGTTGTAGTTCTGACAATCAGCTCTGACCTCTTTTGTAGGCACTGAGTGTTCCGCCATGTTGTAGTTCTAACCTTCAGGAATTGTAGTTCTAAAGAGCAGCTCAGTCCTCCTCAGTAGTTACTGACAGTTCCACCATGTTGTAGTTTTTATATTCACCTATGACCTCTTCTGTAGGCACTGAGTGTTCAGCCATGTTGTAGTTCTAACCTTCAGGAATTGTAGTTCTAAAGAGGAGGTCAACTGTCATGTCAGTGTGACACACAAGGAGAGACTTAATTATAAATGCTTGAAGAAGTTAGTTTTTCTGACAGGCCTGAGAGAAATATTCAAGGTTTTATTTTGAAATTTTCATTAAGCTTCATTTTAAATTTTCACACAAATACTGTGTGTAACAATGGTTGCTTAAAATCAGTTATAAAAAGTCCAAACACAATGTAATTCTAAAGGCCAGCTCATTCCTCCTCAGTAGTAACTGACAGTTCCGCCATGTTGTAGTTCTGACAATCAGCTCTGACTCTTTTGTAGGCACTGAGTGTTCCGCCATGTTGTAGTTCTAACCTTCAGGAATTGTAGTTCTAAAGAGCAGCTCAGTCCTCCTCAGTCGTAACTGACAATTCCACCATGTTGTAGTTTTTATATTCACCTATGACCTCTTCTGTAGGCATTGACTGTTCCGCCATGTTGTAGTCCAAACCTGCAGTTATTGTAGTTCTAAGGAGAAGGTCAACTCTCATGTCATTGTGACACACAAGGAGAGACTTAATTCTAAATGCTTGAAGCAGTTATTTTTTCTGAAAGGCCTGAGAGAAATATACAAGCTTTCATTTTGAAATTTTCATTAAGCTTAATTTAAAATTGCCACACTAATCCTGTGTGTAACAATGGTTGCTTAAAATCAGTTATAAAAAGTCCAAACACAATGTAATTCTAAAGGCCAGCTCATTCCTCCTCAGTAGTAACTGACAGTTCTGCCATGTTGTAGTTCTGACAATCAGCTCTGACCTCTTTTGTAGGCACTGAGTGTTCCGCCATGTTGTAGTTCTAACCTTCAGGAATTGTAGTTCTAAAGAGGTCAACTGTCATGTGTGTGAGGCAGAGACAGATTTCTATCTTTGTGAGACAGCTCAGTCAGTTATAATGGAAAAAGCAGCCCGAACAACTCCTTGCCATTCGGGAACCGTGATACGTATCGGAAAACCGTTTGAAGCATATGAGAGAGCTATTTTTTGTCTCCAATAGTCCTGCAAATCAAATCTGTAGCTCATTCATAGTAATTGCAGCGATGAGAGAAAAATGGTGTGCGCTGAGGTCTGAAATTTTCCAGAAAAGTATGAAAATATATGGTGGAGAGCGTCAGTTAGGCTGGAACTTGATTTTGCTCTAAAGCACCTTGACAGAAAACCGTAAGCCGTAGAAAAAATTTGAAAACATTTTACCGGAGCAGACATACGTATCGATGTCATGTCCGAATTTCATACCGATAGCACGATATTTGTGGGCGTGGCGGTGATTTCAAAATTTATTTGGGGTCAGAAATCCACTTCATTTTTCACTCTAGCAGAGCGGCAGTTGGTGGCAGTTATGCTCTGCGTTTCGGCAGTTGGAAATTTCGCTCGTTTTTCGCTTTTTACGTCGCCGTCGTAACGCCGATTCCCCATAAAAGTAATAGCTCCAATGCCGGGAACGAGCCGCACGTTTTGATACCACTTTTGTGGGTGGGCTCGCAGCGGTGCGACCCGCATTAACGGTAGCGGAAGAAGAAGTTATAATAATAATAATAATAATAATAAAGAGGCGTTCTATTGGGTGAAGATTAATAGGTGCCTGCCATGCAATGCATGGAGGCAGTGACTGACTTGCTTCGCAAGTCAGTCACTGCTCTCCTTATGCATTGCTATGGGCAGGGCCCCAAATATGTTTTGCCAGTTTATTAATAAAATACAGAGTTTTATTTAATTTATTAGTTTGGACTAGTGATGGATCCGACAACACCGATGCGTCGGCGCATGCATCAAGCCGTTAGATAAAACCAATGTTTCAAAATGATGCCAAACTGTTTATAAGCAAGCGAATCTGTCAACGGGTTGCATTTGCCAAAAATAATTCTTGATATTTTATGGCACAGCATCAACTTTGGAGCCTCAAGGCAAATGAAAGCTGTCTTATTTAAATAAATCCAGCTCCTCAATGCTGAGGCATTATAGCTCGTACTGATGCCACTTATATACTGACATCAAACTGTATTCCTCTATCCTACACAGTTCATGCTGTATACCTGAGGATACAGCTGCACGGCGATTCTACAAATTACTCAGTTACTTTTTATAAATTATTTCAGATAAATTGTTCTTTTTTTCTACACCAGGAGGAGTTGTGTCGAAAAGCCTAACAGACTAAATTTCAAGATGTTTAAAAAACGTATTTTCTTATGAAAATTTGTGGGGGAAAAAAACAGTTCACAAGCATCTTCATTCACTTAAATTTTCACTTTATGGTCCATGTTCACATTATTTATTGACTTTTCTAAGTATATCAAATGTATTTAGAATTTAACTGAACATATGAAATTATACAATATATATTATACAATAAAATAAAATGGCTGAAATCTTATTGTATAAACTAGATCATCAAATCAGTCTGTCAACTAAGTTGCCTGTAGGGATTTTTAATCTCCAGCAGGTGGCAGTATTCAGTGACACAATACAATACAGTTTTGCTTCGAGACGAAACACTTCATGCTTATTATTTATTATTATTATTATTATTATTATTATTATTATTATTATTATTATTCAAATGCTTATTAAAGAATAATTTCATCTAGAGACATTTAAAGAAGGAAACATGATTTTATGTGTAGACATGTTCGTCTGAGAATATTTTGGTAATTTGAATATAAAAATGATCAAATGATTCAAGCCCTGCATGTCATACAAATGGAACAGAGACAGTTTCATTCACCGTCGAGCGCTGCGCCACCCTGAGCTCACCTTAGGGATGACACCAAGTGGAGTCAAATCAGTTTCAGTTTGTTTATGTATGACTGAAGACAGTCACTCATAAAGATGGTTAAATAAGCTGCAGCATGTCCGTGTAAGCAGATAAAACATGACAAAAGAGAGAGAGGAAGACACAGACTCAATAATAGGCTAACATTAGAAATCATAGAAATTACAACAGCTCCCCCTACTGGATAACAATGATAGTGTAATCTAATGAAAGGAGGAAATGGTTTTGCTGAAGTGTAAATTCAGCCTGTTGACTCTGTTACAGAGGAAAACCTTTCTTTTGAGGGTTTGGTCTGGATTGTGACAGTGATACAGATTTTACTTTTATTCAATTAGAATTTAATTAAGTTCAAAAGTATTTTGTTAATTCCAAAGGGAATTAAATGTTGTTGTAGCTCATTAATTTAAATTCTTCAGAGAGTTGTTGTCGGTTGTGATGTTTGTTGGCAGGAACGATCTCTTGTAGCAGTCTGTTTCACAGCAAATCTGGAGAACCCTCTGACTGAAGAGACAGTCTCATGAAGGGGATGGTTAGGATTGTCCATAATCTTCTTGATTTTATGAAGGATCCTTCTTTGCTTGATCATCTACAGAGGTTCCTCAGTCGTCCCCAGAACAGAACTGGAACAGAACCAGAACAGAACCAGCCTTCTTTATCAGGCGGTTGAGCCTTTTCAGGCCTCTGGTTCTGATGCTGTTAACCCAACAGATGACGGCGTTTTCGAACACCAATTTCTAGAAGATCTGCAGCATCTTGGTGCTGTAGGATCTCAGATTCTTCAAGAAGTCCAGTTTGCTCTGATTTGTGAAACACTTTCTGATTTTATCTGTGAAAAGTGCTGCACAAATAAAGATGCACTTGCTTTTTCCCATCCTGATTTTGTGACACAGTGATCAGGTGTTACTGGGTTTAACCACATGTTTAACAACATTCCACCATCTGTCTGTCAAATGATGTTAAACAGAAGCAGGAAGAAGGAATATAAATGTTTCCGTCTCTGTTGTCTCCCAGCATTTGTGAAGAGACGTCGACTCCTTCACCATGTTGCTCTTCTCGTTGCTGCTGCTGCTGCTGGTCAGCGCTTCACAAGCCACTCATTTCCTGGGCACCATGATGACCTACTACCCACAGAAAACTTTTGCAGACGGTTCAGTCTCAGTAAGACAAGAAACTTTGGCAAATTTTTTATTTGGCTTTTTGGGTTTGATTGCACTTTAAATGTCTTTTCTTTAAATCCACAGGTGATCCTTCGCTACAAGTTGAATTTTGTCTCTTGCATAGATTTGGATACGTGGCAATGTAGTGGCAACTGTGGAGCACAAACCCAAACACTCGGTTTGTCTGTGATTGAGGAAGTAAGGGGTGAATGGTGTCAGAGAGAAGGAGCGATAACTCATCTGCTCCCCAACAACACTGGATTTCAGACTGTGTGAGTCCTCCACTTTAAAAATATCACTGAGAATCAATCAAATCTAAAAACCTATTTTCACAGCTTTTTCCCAGGTTTTGTGGATCTGAATTAGCTCTTGCTACGTATGAAAACTTGTTCAATAATCTCCACTGCAGGTTTGCTGGAGGAAACTGGATCGATAGTATACAAAATGGTATTGTATCCTGGAGAGCTCTGACTGCCGTTGAAATGAGGAACCGATCGGACCTCGGAAAACCCAACACATCCCCACAGACCACCATCCTCCCTGCTTTGAGGTACAAAGGACAAGAAATGGATGCTTCATTAAACCCATGAAAAATTTATGTTTAAGTCATTCAATAAATCACATGCAGATCAGTCGCCAACTTGGTGCTACGAGTCTGGAGTCAAACTTTCCGACTGCATGACAAAAACTGAGCCACAAATTCAGGTTTGTGATATTTATATGGATGTTTTTTCTCTGCCAGAATCCCTTCAAACTGTGCCAAAAACATAGATTTATTGGCCTTTGACCCTGATGGAGACAAAGTGAGATGCAGATATGGGAACACATTGGCTTCAGAGTGCAACCCATGTACACCGCCGTCTGTCCTCAGCGTCTCATCCGTAAGTATTCAAAAAGTCATCCAACCTCAGATATTTAATAAATACTAAATACATCATCCTGATCATTAGTTGCAGCGTTTTAAAAGTGACCCATTTCACTGCTTCCACTGATACATGAACAAAAACTGTGCATAAAATGTCCTGGTTTCCAGTCAGCATTTTAACAAATGTGGACAACATGGGTGCAGTGGAAACTGTTTAATTACATATTGAAATAATACTAATAAGTATGAAATATGAAGGTTTTCCTCATGTTTTTGTCTCTTTTCTGTCGTTATAGACCTGTTCTCTGTCATTCAGCCCAACCAACAGCAGTACTGAGCTTCCATACGCCGTCCAGTTGGTCATGGAGGACTTTCCCAAACAGAGCATAATTCTGACTCAAACTAACGGCTCACAGGAGGTGAAAACCACCAATGATGCCATCAGCAAGATTCCTCTGCAGTTTGTTTTGAAAGGTACAAGACCACACTGACGCCATCTTGTTTTATAGCGATGAACAGATGCTCTGGGGTTTAAAAAGTCACTAGTAGAGGCAACAAAATGTTTGCACATTTTGCCAGATGCTGTGTCATCTCAGCTCACTTTCTCTTTCTGTTGTGTCTTCAGTGGGTCCACCAGTACCGTCCTGTGCAGAAGGCGCCTATCTGCCCAGGTTTCTGCCTCCAACTCCAGAGAACCGAGCTCAGCTCTACACCCCCGCTGGTCAAGCTGTGGTAATCAACATCAGCGCTGAGGCGACTCAGTCTAAGTGAGTGAAATCAAAACACATTTCAAGATGTTCACTGACAGGCAAAGTTTGAATTCTAGAAGATCGATGGTTGTTATGCAAGTATACTTTTAGACATTTTCTTGCTTAGACTTTGCATGTCTTATCAATAATCTACTGCTGTTAAAGTAAGACAGTGAAGAAAGCAAACCAAAAGCTAAGCCCTTCTTTTGCTTTGCTAAACTGTTTTCTGCCAAAACCAATATGAATGAAAGCAAAAATACTAAAGTCTAATTATAATCTGTAGTTGCTTCTAAGTGCTTGACCTGCGCTGGCTTCTTTCCAAACTTCCAACCTGCAGTTAATGAAACTTTGAAAACCTTCCAAACTGGATTCAAGCTTGGCAAGTTTTACCCAGAGTCAGGAATTTGGTTCTACATGTTCTGTCACATAACTCCACAACAGACGCATAAAGTTCACTAAGACGTATATGTATGTGACAATCATAATCATGTGAAGTATGTGAAGAAAACCAAAGTCAAGGAAATTCATCTGACTGTGGATAATTTAGAGTAGGATCTGAAGAGACCTAACCAATCTGTTTGTGTCTGTTTGGTAAAAGCATCACCGGCCTCCTGTTCAGCGGACCGAACAACGCGGTGAAGACTTCGTTAGGATCGGGAAGCTTCTCTCTGACCTGGACGCCATCTGCCAGTGAAAATGGACAGAGCCACCCCATCTGTTTCGTTGTCCAGGCAAAGTCAGTGTCTTGTGATGATTATGACTACAATGTCATTAATATTTCAACTGTGCTACAGTAGTGATGTCCGATGGTTGAGTTTTGCAGCTGCTTTCAGTTATATCCAATACTCCTCTTGAGACGTATTTGTTACTTAATACTTACTCCTTTCAAAGGCAAGTCATTTTCCACAAATCATCATAAGTGGAAAAATGATGACTGCACTGTCATTGATATTTAAATTATATTAGTGATGACTGATAGACAGACAGATTTGCATTGGGAACCTTTCCAAACCCTGCAGGCTGAGGATGTGAGTCAGGTACAAACTAGATTTACGTGAACCAGCAACGATGTGGTTTGGTTTACCACACTATATGGTTTGGTAAACCAAATGGTTTACCAGTTGATAGCAGTCTTAATGAAGACAGTTAGTTAGTTAGTTAGTTAGTTAGTTAGTTAGTTAGTTAGTTAGTTAGTTAACACTTTGTCATAATTAATATTAGCATTTATCACAAATGTGCTGTAATTGTAAATACAACAAAAGGAATATTTATGTTTCCTTATATCCTCCCATAGATAAACTTGCTTTGTTTCTGGAATTGCTTCTCGGATCAACTTTATATACAATCTAGTAATAAAACTTTTGTTTTAAATTATTCCAACAGGTACTTTTCTACTTTGCTACACTCTGACCTTCGGTGTGTCATCGTGACGATTGGAAACGGTGAGTAAATTTATTTCTTATTCATCATGTTTTAAAGTGCATCAGCTGTTTTCTTCATTCCTGAGGTTCATGTAAATCTGGTTTTCTGTTCACAGGCCCACCATATATTACCGCTCTGAATATGCTGATCTCTACCACGCTGTTAATGGAGCATGACTCTGATGCCATCTTAGCTCTGGTCAGTAAAACCTCTTTACTGCACATGATGCAGAAGCAGTTTCAGCCAAACAGGTTGATTATCCTGTAGAGGCTTAAGTGTCTCAAGCAAGCAGTCAGTCACCTTAACCGCCTGTCTCTTCTTCTGCAGATTAAAAACACACTGGTTGACAACGGGCTGCCTTCAACCATCAGTCTTCGCCTCCTGAGCAGCGGCCAAGTGGTCGTCACAACAGCGAGTCCCTAGACAGCGTCATGAAGAACCGACCGATCTGGAAAGGGAAATATATATTCAGAAATCATGAATATCTTTTTTTGATTTTTATCCAAAACCATCAGTCAACCTTCTGGACCTCTCAGGTCTTCTGGTTCTGGTTCTGCTCTGCATCCCCAGAACCAGAACCAAACACTGAGTTCCTGTAAATCAAGACGCTGTGTATTGTTGCTTTGAAACCATGAAAAATGGAACATTGATCAACACATCTGATGTGTATTGATGACGCTAACGATGCTCATGCGATGTCTGTCACTGGTTTCCACAACTGTTGGATGTATGGTGTATTTCTGTTTTCATGTTTTAAAGCACTTTGAACTGGCTTGTTGCTGAAATGTGCTATACCAATAAACTCGATTGATTGATTGATCTGAGATACTTACTGAACCCAAAAACGGTTAATTACACAACCAAAACTACCGCTTTTTATTAAACTGATCATTATAAACTGAATATTGACACATTGATACACATTCTTGAAACTGAATTAATCAACTTAGATTGAATAAATTTAATGAAAAATGTAAAAAAAGAAAAAACTACTGAGATTAGAATAATAAAGATTTGTTCATATTAAAATTAAAACTTTTTGATTTGCTCAATTCATGACAATAGCGGATGTTAGAAAGCTTAGTGTTTCACACATCCTGGACATTTCAATAACTTATTAGGTATTTAATATTAGTTCATGCAGGAATGCAAACTGGCTCATGGGGGGAATTCCCAGAACCATCGGAACCAGTTGATTCTGTGGGATTTACAAAAACCACTGAGCCAACAGGGACGAAGCAGAAACAACAGAGTTCAGGAGCCAAGTGGAAATAATTACGCCAAGGCAAGACTGAATTTATGTTTGTGAGTTGAGCATTTTAAAGTTATTTAATAGTTAGTTTTCCTCTTCATCGACTGCTGGTTAAGTGGGTTTTGCTCTAAAATGGTGATGCTGATGGAAGGTACCGTTGAAAAGTGCAGAAGTGCGCCTTAATTTAAGACAAACTTCAAACCGTTGCTGTGTTTGAACATCTATATTTCATTATTTAGCTGCTTAGCGTTGAAACTTGGTGCCGTGTATTTCGCATTGCTACTTATCGGACTCAACCCGAACACCAGGACCAAGTGATCCGAGCCAGAGGCTGGGATTATAAACCTTAAACATTAAATTAACAAATGGATGGAAGGTTGAGAATAAATTTGTTCTGCTTAAGCAAAACCTTTTACAGAGATATAACTATAACGATCAATAACTGAACAACTTTACAAAATGAAGCATTTTTGGTTTTTGTTCAAAATCCTCTTTATTATGGTTGAAAATTTGACAAAAGTCTGAATTTTCTTTCAAATTTGCCAATAAGGTTATAATGGCTGAAAAGGACATTTAAACAAGACATATTTAATGTTTCTACTAACTATTAATACTGGTTAAAACTGGACATGGGAAACACTGAAATAAACACTGAAATAAAGCTTGTCTTAATTTTCAAAACCCATTAAATCGTCTCAACTTCATTGCAAAGTTTACAGAAGGAGAAAAACCGGCGAGTCAAGTCGGTTACTTCAACTTGCATGAGAGACAGGAGGTTGGAATGTAAAACATTTCTCGTTTGGTTCTGTGCAACCCAACCCAAAAACAGGTCATGATGTCGGCAAACACAAAGCTTCTGTCCTGAGAGCGAAAAGAATTGAGTTTGAAGGAAGGGAAAGCTGATGAAACAAATAATGTGCAGAGAGAGAAACACAATGCAAACATATCCAGATTTAAAGGTCTGAGTCCAAACAGCGAGTCCCAGAGACAAAGTGATAATATAAATGCAGCCTGTAGAGATCCAATAGGTTTGAACTTGAAAAGCTTCCTCCTGCAGTCTGTTGGTTTCCTTGGAGGAGTGGCATTCACAACTAAAGTTTGATTCACAAACAGGAGTAAAATGTTTGCAATATAGACAATATAGTTATCGTCCTTTTTGACAGCGATGTGCTTCTGAATATTACTGATTGTATCTCAGCAATACAATCTTTCCTGCAGCTTCTTACAACATGTCAGATAATCTCATTTAACTGGTTTCACAAAAGCCAAGTCATTCTGAGGAAGAGCAGAAATAACTGAAGTCAGGTGTTGATAATCCTGCAGCTACTAGCTTACATAAGTAATCAGTGAAAATGCTTTCAGGATTCTAACTGATTAAGATCCTGTTTTACTTTATATTATTATCACTAATATTAACAACATGGTTAACTTCAAACTTTAATTACGCGTCTGCTCTGAGTTTGACTGCTCTGAGTGTGAAAATGAACCATAATGTCATTAAACCCACCTAAACACTTACAGTTAACAAAAAATAAAGGCTTCAAACATCAATCTGTCTGTTTTATTTGGACAATATCACAGATGGTTGTCAACATTTTTTTATTTATTCCTCAAATGTATTTTGAATAGTCAGTAAAGTGTTTCTCCAGACATTTATTGGTGTTTGAAGTTTATGCTGGATGGTGGTTACTGTAGCAGCCAGTAACTCATTTGATCCTTAGGATTTGATTTTTATTTTTTTTTAAAGAGCCACAAGTGCCATCAAACCTGTAAGCACTGACGGTAAATATGTTTAAAGTCAGTTTTACGGAAGAAAACACAAACATAATGAATCCTTTATTTAGCCTACAGATGGTATTTGGCAGTGACTGAAAGATCTGTTACGGCTCCAGTAGAGAGGCTGCGCTGTTCTTCCGCCTTCATTGTTTTCTGTGGCGTCTGTCATGCGAAGTTGTTCTACTAAAGCTGACGTTTTCAAAAGGTTTGCAGTGATGGAATCTGACAGGAAACCAAACATGTTTGTGTCGTCGAGACAAATTTCACAGCATGAAACCAAAACTGGCAAAGAAAAGAGGAAACCAGGGGGTTCAGGGACACATTTGGCACCGTGGAGCCATAAAAAATTTAAACAAACATGCAAACAGAGGACATCAGAAAATACAAATATCTTGTTATGATGGATTATTCACTGACACTGAGTCACCACAAGGTGTCTGAGTTGTTCGTTAACAATGCTGTTGCAGTTTTTCTTCACATTCAATAAAAGAATCATAACCTTTAATTTTCATTGATTCAAAGAACTATAACTCCACGATGCAGATGATAGATTAAAGACAAAAAAGTCACATTTCAAATGAATTCTCATGCTTAGCCACTAGGGGGCGACCAGTACACACTAAATACTCTGCTGTCAATCAAGAGGTCTTTAATAAAATAAAAAATGATAACCAGAACTACAGGAAACTGTGGAGATGATGGTGGTTTTGCGGTGATGAGTTTGGTTTGTTGATGTCAGAATGTTTTCTAAAGTCAAAATGCAAAACTGCTTTTCTGCTTCCTATCCAGTTTGTAGCACCAAACCTGCAGTCCAGTTTGTAGCACCAAACCTGCAGTGGATGATACAGTTCTGCAATGTATGCATGTAAGGCTCTCTCTCTCTCTCTCTAAAAACAGACAATATTTTCTATCATCTGATTAAAACCTAATCAGCCCAACTGATGAATCTGTCCTGCAGGAGTTTAGGAAACACAGACGGCAACATGTTGACAGAGTTAAAGTCTCCAGAGAAAAACAAAAGTTTTCAGAGGCAAATGCAGTTAAACTTCACCAGACAACCTCTGGTCCGTTCCTGGAAAATGTCCTGGTCCGGATTTACTTGATGGACCAGAATGTGACCAGGATGAAACTCTCTGAAAGTGAGAGATAATATGCATAAAAGGAAATAGAAAATGTTCAGATGCGGCAGCTGCAAAGGTCACAAACTTGTTGTTTAGAAACAGAAATTCATTCAGAGTTTATCTGTGGACACAGTTCAAAACTTAACCAGGTTCTTTTATAAAAATGTCCAGCTTATTGATATTTACTAGCTTCCATTAAAAACACTCTGAAATTAGGCCTCTGTCTCTTTAAGAACCCCCCCCTTTCCTACACTCCACCTGATTAAAACACATTCATGTAATTAATACACTCCATCAAAAAGGTTCAATTAAAATAAAGACTTTGTGTGGTTGCTACTGTTATGCGAATGTGTTTGTAAACCTAGAAAAATCTAGTAAAAAGTTTGAAAAAAATAAAAATAAACTTAAGGAAAATGTTTATCTGCTGGGAATCTTCCATACAAATGAGTATTGGTAGAAAGATTCACATTTAAAAATGTGTCTGAGTTTTTTTCAGTGGACAGTTTGGTAGATGCAGAGTGAAACGGTGCAGCATTATGTTACGACGGGTTCAGTTCTCTGCTGAGTTTGCAGCAGAGCATTGTGGAGCGGATGGCATGTGGCGCAGAATGACAGCTCCTTTCTGGGTGGAGTACCATAAACTGTCTGCATTGTTCTCTGTGGCATCTGATGGGTAAAACCGTTCTCAGAACTGACGCTTCTTCCAAAGGTTGCAGTGATCGAGTCCAAAAGGAAAACAAACAAACAAAAACACTTTGGACTGCCAGACAGTCCAAAGTTACTGTCTGGCAGTAACTTTGGACCAAAGGAGAGAGGAAACCACGGGGTACAGATGTTTGGAGAGCTTCACCTGAGGGTGAACGTAACCAAAAATGCAAACAAAGCAGATAAAAGAAGACAAACATCTTGTCAAACCTGAGTGCTCCTTGTCACTGAGAAAGGCGTGGCAGAAGACGAGTTGTTCATTTAATTTGACATTCTTCATGTTGAGCTCCAACATTCACGATGCTGCGCTTGGTGCTGCTGCTGCTGCTCGGCGGCACACACGCCACTCACTTTTTGGGCACAATGATGACCTACTACCCAAAGCAAATTAATACAGATGGAACCGTAATGGTACGTAATAACGCCATTTATTAGCATCTGCAGGTTGTGTTTATTTGAACGTTTCACCTCTTACTCTGCAGGTGAGTTTTCGCTACAAGCTGGGCTTCACCTCCTGCATCCACTCTGACATGTGGTACTGCTCTCCTTACTGTGGGAGCCTGAATCCCACACTGCAGCAGATCGACCTGGAGCCCAGCGGAGAATGGTGTCAGCGAGAAGGAACGATGACGACTGTTATTAATCCAAGCTTTGTAACCCAGCTTGAGTAAGGGCGCTTTTAAAAAACATGCATTGCTTTTAACATTTACCTGTATCTTGAAGGTAAATCGTTCACATCATGAACTGAAATAGTTTGAGTTATAAAGTTGTTATTGATTGGTTTTGGTTTTTCTGTCATTTTCTTTAGTTAAAAAATACATTTTAGTTATTTTTCTAGCAGCAAACAGACTTCTTTCAAAATCAACTTCTATCTGGAACAACAAATTGTTCATCAAAGCACAAGAACATTAAACTACTTTATTATAAAAGCTCTATGATCATTTTCAAGACTCAGAGGAAGAATTATTACCATATTTGTTTCATATAATGAGTTTCTCTTTCCACTAAAGGTTTGCGGGTGGGAACTGGATATGGGAAATCCGAAATAACGTTGTATCTTGGAGAGCTTTGACTTTTGTGGAACCGGGAAAACGATCGGATACCAGGAAGCCAAACGTTTCCCCTCAGAGCACCATCATTCCAGCAGTGAGGTACGCATCTTCACTGCACTCCAAAAACAATAAATATTACCTGGTATTTTTGTTGCAAGTTAGTTTCGTCTTATTTGAAGTGTAGCGACATATTTTACTGGAAACTAGACCAACAATACTTGGTAGGACTTTTTGATTTTGCAGTGTACATTTTTTTGGATGAAGTTTACAGAGATAACTGAGAAGTAACTAAAAAACTCTTAAAATATGTTTACTGTTTATCCCTTGAGGAACCTGTTAGTCAACTTACAACAACTACAAACATCAGTTAGTTGATTGAGATTTGAGATCATGTTTTTATCTCATTGAGGATAATTGCCAAAAATGTGCTTTTGTTCTGACGATGAACATGTGTAAGGTCAAAGAAAGTCAAAGATGGATAACGCCTAAATAAAATAAAACAGAACATCAGAAATAAGGGTAACATGAACAAGTCGTCAGAACCTTTGAGAAACCAAAACCAGAAACAGGTTCAGCGAGACATAAAGACGTTTATGTTCCAGGTCAACGCCGACAGACAAAAAAAGCCGGGATGAGAATGAAAAGCTGAGTGAAGATAACAGCCAGCAACTTTTGTCTTTCAGGGTTCCTTCAAACTGTCAAAGAGATTTCAACTTGATGGCGTTTGACCCTGACGGAGACAAAGTTGAATGCAGATTTGGATCTGATTCGTTGAATGAATGTTGGCCTTGTGCTCCCCCATCCGTTCTCAACCTGTCATCGGTGAGCAGTGAAACCTTTGACCTCTACGCGGGTTTATGCAGTATGAAATGCTTCCTCAGACTAAACCGAAGACTTTCTGTGCAGACCTGCACGCTCTCCTTCAACAGAACCAACAGCACCGATGAAGGATCGTACGCAGTGCAGCTGGTACTGGAGGACTTCCCACAGCAAACAATTACATTGACTCGTGTTAACGGGGTTCAGGAAACCAAAACGACCAGTCAGGCAATCAGCAAAATACCACTCCAGTTTGTTTTACATGGTAAGAGTTTCTATCTCTCAATAGAGCTTGTAACATTGTAGACGATGCAGTTTGGGCAGTACTGTGACTTTAAACAGGGATGAGCCGATGCCAATATGTCCGATATTGTGTGTGAAAATGTACTGCATTTATAAAAGTGCTCCAATAATACTGAACCGCATGATGGGAGCATTTATACCAGCATTTCACACGTATAAAATAAAAAGAAAGAGGATAAGACAAGTATGTAGGAAGAGGAGCTGAAAATAAAAAACCGGCAGAATGACTTTAAGCAGCCGGGTAGAAGAGGAGGAGCTATACCAGTGGCATGGAGGCATTTCCAGGTAAAGAAAGTGACAAAAGATGAGGCTGAGCGCAAATTATGCTCAGCAAAGAGGAGAAATAAGACTTCACACTTTCAACACAAGTAAAACATTTAAAGACATGTTTTATCTCAAAGATTAAACATTGGAACTACCTTGATGGGAAGTTGAAGGTGATCCACCCAATATATTGACTTTAGGTTACATTACCTGGAGTTTTGTTTTTGTTTTTTTCACATTGCCTCAGGTGCTTCTCTGTTTGGTTACAGTGGATCCTGTTGTACCATCCTGCACAGAAGGATTGTTTCTTCCAAAGTTTCTTCCTCCAACTCCAGCAAACAGAGCCAAGTTGTCTACCAAAGTGAATCAACCCCTGAAAATCAGCATCGCTGCCGAGGCTGCTAATGCTACGTGAGTCGAGACCAAAACATTTCCTCCTTTCAAAATGAGGTTCAACCTTAAATACGTCATGCAAAATCCAGTTGTACCTTTTGCACAAATTCTTTTACAAGTTATAAGTATTATTAATGACTATTTGGTAGAAGCTGAATATTAGCAAACCTATCTAAAAGTGCCTCCAATTTAGGCTTTGATGTGTGTAAAATATGCATCAACAGGCACTGATGGTATATAGCTAGCACATTTTATTGGTACTTATGAAACAAAATTTTTCCTAGTGATAGCTTTGCCCTGTTTCACTGAAAATGCCATCTGAAATTCCTCACTGCTTTGATTTTTTTTAAATCTTAAGTATTCAACCTGTTACTAGAATATCACAGGTCCAAATCATCAAGAAAATAACTTATTTCAATTGTTTTCAATGAAATAAAGGTTCAATGAAGACAAAATAAGACAAAGAACCAAACAACAGTTTGTTTTTGACTAAAAATACCTTCAGAAATATGAATCAAAAGATTGATAGTATTGCTGTAATCATAAGTTTACTTGTTGATGTCCATGAAATGTAATATTTTTTTTATCTTTTAAAGAATCTCTGAGCTGCTGTTCAGCGGCCCGGCTAATGCATTTAAGAATTCATCAGGATCTGGAAACTTCACTCTGACATGGACGCCATCGGTCAGCGAAGAAGGAGAGAGCCACCCCATCTGTTTCATTGTCCAGGCAATGCTGAAGTCAGTATCTTCTGATAAAGTATCAGATGGATTTTTAAAATAAACAATATGTATAAATAACACAAGAAATTATTAGTCAAACCCCAAATATGTGAAATGTGATGATCAATAAATAGGGATATTATTTTTTTAGAGAAAAAAAAGCCCATAAATGATCTAAATCTGAACAGGTTTCCACCTTTTTTCCCTTTCGGTGCTCAGCTCTCACTCTCAGTGGCTCCGCCCTCCTCAGAACCGTGTTTGATTGGTTGTTTGGCAGCTTTTTTTCTCAAAAACAGGACAAATACTGAAAGGATTTGAATACCGACCTGCACTGGAGACACAGTATAGTTACTGAACTCGTTCTGTTTTGTTTGGTAGATTTCTGAAGGACATTAACTTCGGTCACTTTTATCGTGATCTATATCCTTTGACTACAGATCAGGGTTGGAATGCAGACATGCCGGTAAATCACATGCTCTGCTTTTTATCCGTCCATCTGCTGCTTTTTGTTCCCACAATGCTCAGCAAGATGTCACGATACTTGGACTTCTTTGTTTGAGATAAAAACCGACTGCTGGGCCGTCAAAGACTCAGAGTTTTCTCTTGCGCTCAAATCTTAACATAAACATTCCTGATCTGTCTGGTATCTTCAGCTTTTCTTCTGAATGACCCGGCGATAAGCCACTTATCATTATTATTTTTAACACAAGCCTTTTCCTGAGCTCACTGTTGCACCTTAAGCTCATGCTACGTCAAATAACCAGTGCACAGTTTGAGAAAGTCTGGTCTAGTTTGAACTATTGCCTGTTTCAAGCATGTTGGGACACAAGAAAAGTGTGTACTAATCTCTGGAGTTCAGTGGAAGACAGGCAGAGAGACAACGGACAGGTAACATTCTGATCTGTAACAGGACAATGGTTATTTGTTCAATATAAACCATTTGTTTGGTTTCCTGTTCTAATAGTTGGCTCAAATACTCAAAATTTAGAGATCTATATGCAGCTTTCTGAAGGAAGTTAATTGTGCTGATGGTGTCCAAAACTAGGAAACTTAAACTACTGGAGGATCACAAAATGTATTAAATTAAAAACGCCAAAATTAGCTTATTGTGATTCTCTGCTCAACAATAAAATCAGATCTACAAAAACACACAAGCAAGGATTTTTGTCTAGTTTCCAGCACAAATATCTTTGCACAGTTGAATTAAGACAAAAGTAACTTATCAGGAGCTTATTTTGCGTAAATAATTACTTGATATTAATGAAAAAGTATCAGATCCTTTGGCAGATTATTTCACTTATGAGGAAATCGTCTTGTTATAAGTGAATTTCTCTGCCAATAAAACTAAAACTTTTTCATTACAAGAAATTATTTACTCAAAAGCTCCCATGTTTTGTCTTATTTTAAGTGCATTAACATATTTCTACTAAAAATTATGCTATAGCTTTAATAACTCTGTTTCTGCACTTTGCTCCTGTTTATCTCCAGTTTATTGAATTAATTTCTTTTCGCAGTTCACAGAAATATCACTCTGAGCTTCGATGCGTCATTGTGCAAGTCGAGTTTGGTGAGTGAATTCAGTTCACTTTGTGATGAAACTGATAATCATGCCGGTTCAAATCTCCACCGATTCGCTCTGAACCTGCTGTCCGTCAGGGTTGGTGGCTCGAGTGAACATGAAGGTTTTGACTTCACTGTCGCCGGGAGGAAGCGTCAACGAAGTCGTCCTGCAAAAGGTGAGTTTCTGGCTGGAAACTGCAAAGGTTGTTTCTTATCACTTTCAATAGGGGTGTCCAAAGTGTGGCCCGGGGGCCGCTACTGGAACCTGGACTGGTTTTTGTGTGGCCCAACAACTGCCATTCAAAACTGATACAAACTTGGCACATAGATGCAGAAAAAGAGTTTAAATTTGTAATAATTGTAAAGTTATTACACTGAATTCGGTAATAGAAAGTTAAATTTACATTTTCTTGAGTAAGTTTTAAAAAAAATAAAACAAACCTTTAGGATCTCGTTACTTGAGTGATTGTATTATGAAGAATTTCTGGTCTTACTTGAGTAAAACTTTTGGATTTTCTTCCCACTGAATGAAAAACAAATAAGCTTTTTACTTTTATTGAGTAAAAATATGTTTATGTGGAGAAAGTCTTACTTGAATAACCAACATCATGTTCTTTGATGGACTTTGCATAGAAATTTATATAATCTGTTAATCTCTTCCTTTTCAGATTGAGTCTAACATCCTGAGGCCCAACGTTTGCTACGTTTAACAAGTTAAAACAGAGTTTACGCAAATTATTTTGTGTTTAATCTGGAAGCAACAGCAAAATGACAGATTTTATTGAATTTTTTTTTAAATAAATGTGTTATTTTCCAGATTAAAGAGGAGCTGGTGAGCCTGGGGTTGCCATCCAACAGCTCTCTGCTGGTTCTGAAAAGCAGCAGTAGACCAGCCAATGCAACAGCGACATCTGGTGTTTAATCATGGAAAGTGCAACGTCTCCACGCAGGTAAATGTGATTTAGATTTTTTATATACATGCATCTTCCTGCATATTTTCTCAAACTTTCTCTTTCTGATCTCATTTCAGGAGTTTTACTGCTGCAGCTTTTATATGATTCATTCTTGGTTTGAATATATTTAACGATTTAATCCACAATTTGTGCCTTAAGTTTTGATCCATTCATTAAATATTTGTATCTTATTTTTTTAAGATTCTTCTCAGGTTTGCATATATTTTTCTGCTTCGAGTTTGATGAATCAAGCTAAATAGTTTTATTCAGACACTCTTTAAATAATTTCAATAAAATCCAACATTTTGACTATTGTCTGTCTCTTGTCTTGTGTGAGATTTTAATATTTCATAAGTCTTATTTTAACCAGATGTTACTTTCTGTATATTGAAATCAGCAGAATTTAAAGTATATAAACCAACGTGTAAGTAGATTAAAAGACATCGGTTTTATTTGGATTTTAACGAGCAGCATGTCAAGAAGAAAAAACAGTACACAGGTCACGGTTTCAAGATTGTAACAACATCTTAAAGCAAACAGTTCAGTTGTAAACTTGTTCATCAGGAAACCACAAGGTATCAAACGCAGTTTTCACTGGAAACTAACCGCTGCAGGAGAAACGTACAAACGCTGACCTTTACTTAGAAAAAGACATTCTGTCAGCTTCAAAACTACTTCCTCTAAACTGCACAGTCAGTTGTTTTCCACATAAAAACATTTTTTACTGGGTTTAATGTGTGGCAACAGTTGCAGATGAGACACTTTTGAGTTTGTTTAGGTTGAAAAAAACAAGTTTTATGAGCCAAAAGGCTGTTTGAGTGGCGGCTAACCGTTAGCTTCTGTTTGTGCAGACATTCCTTCATGTTAGGTGGAGTGCGCTTGTTTTGTTCACCTGTGTTGGATTTTTATCTTAATTAGTGGTTACACTGGAAAATCTAAATATTACAAGACAAAACTTATAAGTAACTTTTCAGCAAGAAATATGAACTTGTTTTAAGTCAATAATTCCTTAATATTGATTAGTTTTTCACTTATAAATGGTCTTGTTATATATGATCAGTATTGAGGAATTATTGACTTAAAACTACACTGGAAAAACAAACTCTCTTTGTTTAGTTTCTCGTTGAAATATCTCAATACACTTGAAATAAGATTTAAAAAAAAACTAACTTACAAATAACTTTTCAGCAGGAAATAGGAGCTTGTTTTAAGTGCACAAATTCAGAATAAATAATATTGTTCCACTGGCAGATTTTTCCCTCATTGATAAGTGAAATAATCTACCAGAATTTTTCCCATCAGTATCAAGAAATTAAAGTACATTTGAAATAAGACGAAACTAAAATATCTGCAGTATAAACTAGACCATTTATACTTGGTAAGACTTTGAGTTTTTGCAGTAATGGATCAAAACAAGCGCACCCTAATAAACTAAAATAAAAATGGAAAAACAGATCAACTGCATTTATCACAACCAAGGAAACCAGCACCCTGATAGCACACAGACACACACACAAAAACAAAAGCCTGAAGTATTTTCAGGTGCTTCACTAAAATAAATTCAAATTCAAATTCACCTTTCAAACCTTTTTACAAAACAATAATGTAAGAAATCATAATAAATATCTCAGAGATTCATTGACAATTCCCTTCATAAGGAGTCAGTATAAAAACCAGAACCAGAACCAGAACCGGACCAGGATTTACCGCAGTGGACAGAAGTTATGAGAAACCTGCAGAAATTGTCCAAAACCAACCATGTTGGGTTTGGACTGGATTCAGCTTCCGTCCAACTGAACCCAGAGAACTGCTGAGTCCAAACAAGCTCAGTTAAATGAGAAATTACTTTTAATTTCAACACTTTTTACATTTGAATCGTTTTGTTTTCCCGTTTCTCAAACGAATCAAACATTTAACCTCACTAAAGTTTCACTCAGCAGGACATAAAAAACCCTGAGAGGTAAAACTGAATCACTGCTGGAAAAAAAATAAACTTTTTATTTGTTTTTACTAATTGTTTGCAAACAATCAGTAATTTTTATCAACCAATTACAAAATGTTTGATAAACATTTCATTCATTTTAGCTTTGGAAAATGAATGGAAACATAGAAAATGTTATTTTTTTAAACCTATTTTCAGATAACTAATGTTAACTTGCTTTTTGTTTTTTAAGTTTTGCTTCATTTTTGTTCAGAACAACTTAAACTGAGGAATTGTTTCAGATCCAGTTTAGTGATCTGATTAATTTTTATTTTGTATTTTAACCAAATATCTGGTTTTACTCTGGCAGAATGAAACTGTAACTAATATTTTACAGTGCTTTAAAAAAAATAACCTGTTAGATTTTGAAACTCTGCAAGTTTCTCATAATTTCTTTACAATAAATTCACCACATTTTTACACCGAGTGGCGTGTTATTGGTGCAGAGGCTAATTAAAGTGATAAAATTAACATAATTCAATGAAAACATTTTTTTGTTACATTAGCAGCTCTTTTTGTGATGCTTTTTGTGACATAATTCATGAGCCAATAAAGCACCTGTGTGTCTGAACCCACAATTCAAAACTCCTATAAACACATTTTCATAAAAACACAAACGGGATGAAGTTGCCTTTGCGTCTTTGTTTGAAACGTTTTCATTTTCAGAACCATTTATTTCAGTTTTTAGGAGCCCTTTGTGATCTGCCACATTTTTCCAACACGATTACAAACATTGTCCTACTTTAACAGGACACTGGGCTTTAGTACTGAATGAATAATGACTGAATTGCTAACTGACGGCTAGCACCGCTTGGCTAGCTGCAAGTCCTTAATATGCATTTGTATAAAATGAACTTGTTTAAATAATATCCTATTTTTTGTCAGGTTTCCATCTTTGGTTTGCTTATTTGCACTGATACAGTTGAATTACTGGATATTTAAATGCTGTTTTTTAGCTAGAAATGCTATCTGAGATCTAAGACACTGATTAGCTTCTTCATGACATTTGAAACACAAACTCGCTACACCTAAATCTTTGGTTTAAGTCTAGAAATCTTAATAAAAGTTACAGAAACACTCGTTATTAACTTGGTGAATCAGTTCAAACTAAATTGAAGCTGAAACTGCAAGTTGCTGCCCTAAAAATGCTAATACACAAGAAAAAGAAGTTGACAAAATATTTTAGTCACTAGTTTTAGTCACATGAATTAACAATGTGAAGCATTTTGTGGGAATCGGGTAAAAAAGGAAAAGTGCAAATTAGAGAAGGGCTGAAAAAAGGAGCAGAACCCCAAAAGGACGAATTCTTTTCTCATAAACTCAGCGATTGTGTGGAAAGGCAACTTCATCCCTCACATAAAAGTAAACATTTATAATCTGGATTAGAAATGATGGATGTGTAAATAATGGTTTCTTCAGTTCCGTAACAGAAAACATCGAGTGAGCGTTTTCTGAGCAAAAGTCATAAAAAAATGTAAATAAAAGTAGAAAAAAAAAAGTTCTTCATGGATGTTGAATTGCACCTGTTTGTGTTTAGCATCAATTTAAATCTTTAAATATAGCATAAATATTGACTTATCATTAAATCATCTAAACTTGACAGATTAATCAATTTACTTACACAAAATTAAACGACTGAAATAAAAAAATCATACCAAATTTAACCTGCTAATTTCATTTAACGTAAATCATTTTTTGTCCACATTTATAGAAGCTTCCTGAGTTTTTGAGCTTGTAAAATTTCTCTATAGGGACCAAAAACCTTTGTGAGAAACAGCAGGGGGCGCTGCTGAGAAATTTAAAAAACATAAAACGGCTAAATAAGTCAATCATGTTGACGAAAAGTTTTCTGTTCGCTGATGTCAAAAAAAAAAAAATCAAACAAGAAAGGAATTAAATTAATTGAGAAAATCTTTTCCTTAGAGTTAAATTGAGCGCAAACTATTGAGTATTAAAGCGTCAGATTCCTGTTTTAAAAGGGAAATTAATTAATTTTCTGAAACTGAAGTATTTAGGCTTGTTTCTGTTGGACAGAAAAACACCTGAAACACCTGCAAACCAGTGATGGACGGATTGAGATTTATAATAAAATAATCATTAGAAATTATTTAATCACATGATAAATTTAAACAAACAAAACTAAACAAAAGTCTTCAGTCTGGGATTTTTAACTAGTTGCTTTTTTTGAGGAACAGTTTTCTTTACAGAAACTTCGAAAATCATTTTGTTTATTTATTAAAGTTTATTGATCTTTGAGAATATGTTATTGTATTATTATGCCGTTATTACCACTACATTATTTGAAAATTGTCTCAAAACAACAATAAAATTGTTTATTGTAATAACTTTGGAGACAATTTATTGTCCAGAAACATTTCTTATTGTGGCAGGAATACGGACCACCATTATTTAGAGATATTGTTATTGGAAAGTGTTTTTAAATATTTAATACCAAGTAGTAGTTTTGGTTGAGAAATTAGTGTTTTTTCTATTGATTTTTGCATGTTGTGATTTTTAAAAAGTAATGTACTGAAATATTAGTCGAAGTTTGAAACATTTGGTCCATCCCTGACGAAGACGCTGCATGAATTCTGCATGGTTACCGTTCAAACCAGAACAAAAGTCATTAAAAACGGGTCGATTCTCCCAGTTTCCAGAGAAATGCTGCTATAAATAGACACATAAAGATCTGAGGATTTGCTGGGCGTAAAACTTCGGGCCTCGAGAAGCTCAGTGGCGTTTCCTCGTCACAGGAATTCAGTAAAAAGTGTCTGAAGCTGAACCGCTTCTTTAGGTCCTGGAGGGTAAAATCGTTAGGACTCAGTGCGTCATTCATTCATTCATTCATTCATTCATTCATTCATTCATTCATTCATTCATTCATTCATTCATTCATTCATTCATTCATCATGTAAATGCAAACAGGCTCTGCTCAGTCATCCTTTCTTCATTTTCACCTCTCAGCTGAAAGATGAGACATCATTTTTAGGCAGCAAAGTCATTCCTTCCCACACAAACATCCGCTCCTCTGCCCACAGGCCAGAGGCCAGAGGTCGGAGGTCAGACGTCGTAGTCGGGCAGCGCGGAGTAGCTGATTCCTCCGGCCGATGGCGGGTTGGAGTGGAGTGGCAGCAGCCAGCAGAAAACCGAACCTGGACGAAGCGGGAAGCTGATGAGTCGGGAATGTCCTCAGGGATGGAAATCGATTAGAGTTTATTGATTGATTCTCACTGAGTCAGGAAATAAACTCTTTAATTCAAATATGATCAATTTGATTAAAGGAAAATTAAAACTTACTTAAACAGTAAGAGTCCCTCCTTCAAATGAACATTTTAACATGAAACGCACTTGTTAAAGCACAAGCAACGTAAATGTGCCGCGTTAGAAAATATGTTTTAGTTTCCTGAATATGAGAGTAAATGCTAAATTTAGAAGGAGAATTTTCATTAATCTGAGTGTCGCACTCAGATTAATGTAACAAACGTCACCAGGGACATTCATGGCTGCACCCGAGTCACCGCCGATGCTACGCAGCGTATCGAACACAATACAATCGTTAACTCTGAGGATGTTGGACGGATTTCCTCCTTTTATTGTGATTCAAATTCTGAACATTTTGCAGATGAGGCGTTTCAGTGAAGACGGAGACGATCGACACCCACCTCTACCGAAGACCTCCCTCAGCAGAGCCAGCTTGGGCTTGCGGGTGGCGTGCGGGATGTGATGGGGCGGCTGCTGCGAAGAGGCGGAGGACGGCGAGGAGGAAGACGAGGAGCTCCGGTCTCTGATCATCAGCCGGTTCTTCATCTGCTCGATGGGAGTCTCATCAGTGATGATGGAGATCAGCTGAGGGGAGACGACCAATTATTGATTATTCTGACCATTAATCAAATGGCATTTCCAGTTGGTAAGACTTTGTGTTTCTGGAGGTGCAGGAGCGGTTCAGAGTCGTTCCTACCTGATCGTAGAAGATGACCATGACGAACACCCCGAACAGAACCGACTCCACCAGCAGGATGAGGTAATGAGCTCTGTCCCACAGACAAGAGGAAACAGCGTGAACAGGAAGCTCCGACACCCAGAGGTGCGCCCCCTGCTGTCCACTGAACTCACATTATCAGATGTTTGCTCGGCGACTCCTCTCCCTCTTTGTCGGCGTCGCCTTCCCTCTCGTTACGGATCCGCCACACCCAGGCCCACGCCACCAGAACCATGGAGTACAGGCTGGCGACGCCTGCATGCACACAAATGAAAACGCAAGACTCAGCCAGGTCTGTGCTGGGACCCAGTTCAGGTCCAGTAAACCAGGCAGGTTGGTTTGTCTGGTTTTTATTGGTAAAAGTGACTGAAGGTGGAAGAACTGCTGGGTTTTTTATCACAGTGAATATGGAGAAGAGATTTCTGTAGCGACTCACCGGTGTAGAAGAGAAACTGGATGAAATATTTCTGGTTCAACTCCCCGACACAATTATTGATCCTGAAAAATGGAGGAAGAGGAAGATGAAGAAGACAAGAGAAAAAAATAAATGGATGGACGGACAGACGGATGGATGGACGGACGTGTGCGGACTCACCAGGGACAGTGGTGGTCCATGCGGCGGATGCACCTCTGGCAAACCCTGCAGTGATGCGCTCTGGGAGGTCTGTAGGTCTCGCAGCGGCTGCACACCGTCCAGCCCTCACAGCCCTGACAACAACAACCACCAGAGGCTCATGGAGGTTCTGCAGAACCGACCGAGTCGGACCGGGTCTCTCAACTCACCAGCATGGACCGGTTCCATGTGTCTGACTTGGTTCCGCCCCAAGTCAGACACATGGTCTCACGCTTAGCGTCGACTTTGATTTTACTTCGACCAGCAGCTGAAATATTTTAGCTTCAGTAAATTTTTACCAAACAGAACCATCAGGATCCAATTAGAATTTAAGAAAACGGCACATTTTCAACATTAAAGAAGCTAAAACAAGAAAATAATTCCACTTGATCAAATTCAGCCATCAGAATTTCCTTCACTGTTGAACAGAGATGGTGAGAAACCGACCCGTTCGTTCATCCGAGACGACTGAGATCGCAGGTCTGAGAAGTCCAAGGCCGTGTCCGGGAGCGGCACCATGCCTGGAGACACGGACACGAAACACAAAACGCAGAGACAGATTGCTATATTTTCCTTAAAAGTTACTTGTGAGTTAGGTTTGTTTTATTTTAAGTGTACTAATATATTTCCATTAGAAAACTTGGTGAAATGGTGTGTTTTTGCAGTGTTGTCTAAAATAAATACTTTTCATGTTATATTTTACTTGTGCATCGCTCAGCTCTAAGTTATATTAACGTTTTAATTGATCATTTGCTTTACCTGGAATGCAAATCTAAATCTATCTAAAGAACTACAAATCTAAAGAACTACAAAACCCGAGTCACCAGGGACATTCCCTGGTGACTCTCTATGAGTTTAATGTCAGCTGTTTAACGTTAAATAAAGTTTGCATGCATGATTACTGAGACCAAGCATTGCAACAGTCACTCTGAGTGTCTGTAGCTGAAGTGTTAAGTGACTCTGACCGACCGGGATCTGAGAAGACGGCTTTGGAGTGGCAGGCCAGCAGCAGCAGCAGGATCAGGTTGAACAAGGATCCATGCAGCATTCCCCACACGCTGCCAGAGAGACAGGAGAAAATGCAGTCAGTGTCTCTGAAAACAAACATTTACTATTCCACAGCTGATGCATTGAATAAACAATGTGCGGTTCAATCTTTTAAATGTTTTTGTTCACTTAAAACCAGCTTTTTATGTGCATTGGAAATGAAATAAAGCGTTTCTATAGTGTCTGATTTCCTAGACGGGGTCAAATGATCACATGTAAAGAAAAAGGGAACTGAAAACAGCATGATGTTTTTTTGTTTACCTTTTTTTTGTTTTTAACCAACACTTCAATATGTCCAACAAACTGCATCAGAAACAAGTTTAAACTTCAGTCAAACTGTTTTAAAACTATCTTTTCTTTTTCATAGTCAGAAGTTTTTGTTGATCTATAAAAATACAAACAGGATGACACCAACTGTCAACCTGCTAACCCGGTTAGCAAACATGCTAATGTTGTTGTTTTTCAGCCTCGAAGGATTTCTCAGATTTTAATTATTACAAATATCTATCTTAAATTCACCCACTCGCTGATATTTGTGATTAAAAGTGACAAATATATAAATAAACGACCGTTTTCGGAGTAGACTCGAGATGCTGTCAGACCTGTTTGCTAAATGAATGGAGAGGCAGCGAGCAGAAACAGGCGCCATGTCGGCTGATTTAAACGGTTTAAACGGGATTAAAACTTCCATTACTGACCTGTCGGCATAGGCAGGGACGAGAACATACTGTATGACCACATAGTCCGCGTAAAACACGCTGAAATAAGTTAAAACCAGGCAAATAACACCGCAGGGATCTCTTCTACAGCGTAAAAACGCCATCTTTCCGCCGGGCCCCGCCCCCTTCTGGACGTTTTCCGATTACGTCAGCACGAAAACTTGCCGGTGCATTCGCGGGCCGTAGGAAATTAGAATATCAGCTGGGTTTACCTGTTCTATTAAATTTTTGTCTCGTAACATACTGTCATATTCCATCAAATATGTGCAAAAATATTTTTGAAAAGTCACAAACTGCAGCTTTAAATGAAATTACACTGCAAAAGCACAAAATCTTATTAAGTTTTTGTGTCTACTTCAAAGTGCAAATAGCTTAGTACACTTAATATAAGACAAAACAAAGCTACAAATAACTTTTCAGCAATTAATAAGAGTTTTTTAAGTCAATAATTCCTTCACATTTCATTTAAATCAAAATTACTTGGTAAGAGTTTTTTTGCAGTGTATCATCCATTTTATATCTAATAAGCATACAAAAATCATAAATATACATTAATAATTAAGTATTGTTAATGATTCTTTTGACCATCTGAAATATTTCACAGTGAAAAACAAATGATAAACGCGCTTTCTCAGCCAGATGGGAGCCAGCAGATGGAGGCTGCAGACTGAACTTTCTGTCGCTCCTCCCTCAGAAAGGTTCGTCCTCCTCCTCGTTTGTTTGCTCAACAGCATTTTTTTCCCTCCTCACTGTGTCACTCTTTGAGTTTTGGGAGTTTGTCCGCCTCACTCTGCTGCCAAACAAACCTGTCTGCGAGTCGGAAACATTTCCTGGCCTCGAAGTCAAACCGGTTCCCCCGTTTCAGAGGGAACTTTGTGGAGTAAAAACCCGACGAAGAGAAGAGAAAGAATAAGAAACCAGGAGCTGAAAGGAGAAAGAAAGGCAGAAAGCAAGACAGCAGAGGAGCCAGGAAGAGGTCGAAGTAACTATGGACGTCCCTGGTATGCAGGTAAGTCTAAAGGTGGAGAGAAGCGTTTATTCATTTTGGGCTCATTTTTGCTTTGTAGAAGTTTGTTTTGTGGGTTTGGACGAGGAAAAAGAAGCAGTTTGGTAACAAGGAAGAAGGGATTGTGCAACTAGAGGCCGTTTCCACCTGAAAACAGAACCTGTATTCAAATAAACCTTCCAGCCTCCACACCCAGTGGGAACAGAAAGGTTTCCATTCATACATGTCCTTTATGCTCTGCCTCGGCTCTATAGTTGGCATCATTCACATAACTGACTGAGTTTCTCCATAGAGACAGTTTTGATGTTTATACTGACTTGGTTGTCCTCTTTAACTGGTTGTCCTAATGTAACTCTGAGCCTCAACATTTGGTGTTGCAGTGACTTGTGTGTGCTCGCTTCTTTAAATAAAACCAAATGTTGCCTTCAATGGCTTTTAATTTGGCTTCTAAGCTCCCTCTTAAGGTTTAAGTCTGAACTTTTCTCCATTTTAGCTGCATTTACACTAATTCACAACAAAAGTTGTCACATTATACTGGACTGGACCAACATAGACCAAATTACCTTGTTTAGCCCAGAAATTACAGTCCGATTCATATTCAAATCTAAATATAAACAGTTCTGCATCCAGTCGTGGTTCAGTATAAATACTCAATCTTTGAATGTTAATTTGTAAACAATTTGTCAAAGAAAACAAGCAGATTGTATTAAATCTTTGCGTTGAGTCTTGTATTCAAGCACAGGGGGACAGTGGAAAGGAACAACGGTTTAAATTGTTAGAGTTTCTCCAGAATAATCTCTACCAACATTATAAGGCTAAGATCTTTGCTGACTGATGTGGACCAAAAGAATGAACTCTGGTGGGTAACCAGAGACCAATCCAAAAGCTGGAAGCAGTCTAAAGCGCAGGGCATTCTGGGTAAATGCAACCAAAAAAAGCGTCAGAGACTCGTGTTTTATTTTCTTAATGAAAAACATAAAAGTAATCATACAACCGCTAAAATTTGATACTATCCCATTTTTGTTTACATTTTGTGAACAGGGAAGTTGCACTAATGTCTTCTTCAGTGGTTTTTGTGTCGTTCCCTGTAGAAGTTAGTGGTGCAGCGCCCCCACAGGCGAGGAGGGGAACAGGTTTTTCAGTTAGTTTGGTTCGTTTGTCTCTGTGCAGCGTGAAAGTGAACCGCAACATCTGAAAATGTAGCAAAAGTTACAATTTTGGTCCCAATGGAACCGAATCTACTGGACTATGAAGTAAATTCACCTTCAGAGGTTTTGAAATCATAACTTTTTAAAACTTGACTGGAAACTGTTCCAAAACAGATTTTATTTTATAATATTATCATGTTGATAATACTGTTAAAGCTCCCCAGTGAGTCTTGCTTGGTGCTCTTGGTTGGACCTTGCTTGATGGACTTTGCTCCGTCTCCGCCTGAATATTTTACGTCCCACCAATCATTTTCTTATAGGAACCTGTAATCTGAACTTTAGTTATCCATTATCCCTGTGTTCATAGTTTCAACCCGTAATCGTGTTAAAATGACTTCATGACAGTTTGATATTTGTTGACGACATTTCCATGGTGACCACTTGGGATATTAATAGCTCAGCTTCTGAATCTGCTGCATGATCTGGGTTAAAGATAAGACGCTGGGTGTGTCTGAGGGGAGGAAACCCAGTTTCTTCATGTTTATTTTCTGCATTGTTACATGTTTTTATTGGACCTTCTTGGGTTTTATTGTTCTCAGTATCTTTATCCAGTGTATAAGATCGCAGAATGTTTTCTAGGACATAGATCAGTGGTGCCAAAAGTACTACTCTCTTAAGCAGAAGTACAGATATTTGTATTAAGAAATACTCTTGTAAAAGTAAAAGAAAGAGTACACGTTTTCATTTGTACTCTAGTACAAAAAGTAATTTTCACCTTCAAGAATACAAAATGACTTAAAGTACTGTAAAAATATTTTCTTTTGCTCGGAACATGCTCTGTGTTTGTGTAGATTTATAAAACATTACTTCTGCGATTTAGTTTTTCTTCATCAGGGTAATTTAACTTGCACACAACACGGTGCATTCACCACTAAACACAGAACTATCAGTGGAATTTATTCCTTTTAAGAAGGATTTTTATTTAAATAAGGCTGCATATGGTAAACGTGTTGCATCTCTGGATGTGCTCCCCTGTTGTTTGCGATGTTACTCGTGTTGATGTGTCCATCCGTGCTGTGTTTCATACCCCAGTGTGTTCTTCTTCTGTTTTGCTATGGTTGCATTGTTTTTTTTTTAATTAACGAACCATATCTGAAAATGTAACGAGTAGAAAGTACAAATATTTCTCTTAAGATGTAGGGAGTAAAAGTAAAAAGTTGTCAGAAAGGAAAAAATACTGGAGTAAAGTTCAGATACCTGGAAAATCTGCTTTTAATTTGTATTTTACAACTGTGCATGTGGGCGTTTCTGCCAGTAAGAAGGGATGGGAGTTATTACAAGCCTCCTGTGTCGCCTCCTGTTTGGCCGGCTTTCAGGTGTGTCTACCTGTGGGACCTGCTCGTGCCGTCTGCTCTGTTTGTTCCAGGTGGGTGGGTCGGATGTGCTGTCAACATGCACCTGACACCCGGCAGCTGCTGCAGCGTCAACGCCTGCACAGCAACTCATTTCCCTACCAGGAAGAGCAGCCATGCCTGCTGCTGTGTGAAATTAAGTGCCATTAGTCGTTTTTCTTTGTGTTTTCACTCAGATGTACAATGATTGTTTTTGCTTTGCTTCTTTATAAATGCAATAAGGATGTTTTAAGTTATCTGAAAGACACTGAAGCCAACACCTACATAAGCAAAGAGTCTCCGCAATAAATATTTTATCTGAGCAATCGTTGACGTTCAGAAGCGTTTCTTTCAGGATGTAACTCGTTCTTATCATAATAGCAGTCAGTTTTTATAGACCACATCTGGAGCTTGTTACGCATGAACAGGCTGCGGCAGGAGAGTGGAAAAGATGACAAAATGTTAAACTATATGAACACATAAAGCTTAATAGTGAAGGTCACATATTTTACTTTTTTACACAGTAGTAGGAAAATACTTTCTGCAATCAAAATCAGTTTGTTGTGGCATTGATGAGCTACATTCAATATTCTTTTAAGAAAATTGTAATGTATTATTGCAGGGCTTAAAAGATGAATCAATCAATCAACTTTATTTGCAAAGTCCATTTTAAAAAGCAATTCAAAGTGATTTACATTATAAAACCCCAAAAATAAAAAGTCTTGTCATTGAGAAACCAGTAAGAAACATTACATTTAGTGACTTTTTAATCGATTAATCGTTAACTGGAGCATAGACACTGACTGTTTACTTGAAGAACAACGAGAGACTTTGTAATAAATTTATTTTGGATATTTAAAATCTCTTCCAGTTCTTGTGTTAAAAATTGATTAGAATTATAACTTTATAGGTCTTTGAGAATGTCTTTTTTTGCATTATTATGCCATTATTACCAATATATGACTTGAAAATGGCCTAAAAGCAACAACAGTATTGTTTATCGCAATAACTTCTGGAACAGTTTATCGTCCAACAAAATTGGTTATCAAGGCAGATTATCCAATTATTTGGATAAAAAATACATTCTACATATTTTAATTTAACCACTTAAACATTTTTATGCAATATTAGAGATATATTAAAAAATATAAATAAATAATTCAGTTCTTTTTTTTAAGAAATAAGGAAATAAGCATTTCACTGCTTAAAATGCGTTTATCATTTAGTATGTCAGCAAATGGCCCTTTTTCCAGGCTCTTTACTAGAGTTAATGATTAATCGATTACTAAATTAGTTGACGATGATTTAAAAAATTGACTAATCGCGATGAAACCAACTAATCGCTTCAGTCCTAAACAAGTTACGAAAATCCATTGTAACAATGAGACAGTGGAAGACTGATCCGCTGCTTTTCTTGCTCCAAGAAAATCTGGATGCTGTAAAAAACAAGAAAGGTGTCCTGTGAGGCGGCTCATACCACCAGACGGCTGAAAGCTCGAGTTGCTTGTTTATGAGGTTTATGGTGATGCCATCATGAACGTTTTCAAACTGTGGATTACAAATGAGGTGTTTCAGGTCTGGCTGGATCAGTTT